GCTACCCGAGTCGTCGTGACTCATTCTATGCTAGGTACACTGCTGCCACTATTAGATACTTATACTACAACTTCTTCTGCTACTCCTAGTACTGTTTCACTTTCACTCTTCAATTTCCTAACACCAGTTGTAGCATAATAGGCAAATCTTAACATCATGAGCAACTACAACATCAGGCTGCTCTTTTGGAGCAGGTTGCGGAAGCTGAGCAAGCTCTGAAGGACTTCGATGAGAAGCACTTGCAGGTGCACAAGGCTGAGCCTGAACAACTAGAGACAGAGCTGAATAATGCTTCAACGCCGAAAGTTAAGATGACGAGATGGATTTGGATTCCCTCCTAGGCTATCCTATCCTATGCTATGCTGTCCTATCCTAGTATGCTATCCTATGTTGTCCTCTGCTATCCGATGCTGTCCTATGCTATCCTGTCCTATCCTATGCTCTCCTATCCTATCCTATGCTGTCCTATGCTATCCTATGCTATCCTATGCTATCCTATGCTATCTTATGCAGCTCTCCCGCAGTCCTATCTTATCCTACAATATCCCATGAGCTTGCGCTTCTCCTTCTGGTGGCACTTCTGTCTGAGAAGTCTGCGTCTCCTTCTAACAAGGCAAAGGCAGAAGTACAAGCGAAGATCGACGCAAAGAAGAAGGAAATTCAAGAGGCTGAGGAACAAATCAGTGCCGCTAAGGAGAAGCTGGAAAAAATAAAAGCTGATATCGAGGTGTTGGACACTACCGAGAAAGAGGGAGTGAAGCCACTGACGGACATGCTAAATGACGTCTCAAATTAAGGTTTCACTCAGTCGTCCATCTTTATTTATTATTCAAATGTAGAATAAGCTCATACACTAGAGTAAAAATAGTTTAGTTGTACCTCTTCTTCTACCTCTTAGGTTCTTCGTCAACTACTTATTAGGTTCTTCTCTTAGGTTCTTCTTATTAAGCTCATGATCGGCAAGCTGTCGACACAGATACAGGAGGCGGGTTCTAATCAAAGTTAGAAACTGGAAGTGATGGCGCCTCTCTGGAAGCGCTGAGAACGGCTCTCGCAGAAGCTGACGCAGCAAGGGAAGCAGTATCAAATAGGTGTCAAGGCGCAGTGCAAGCGATGGAGAATGAGGGGAACACACTGCTCGAAGGAATGAGAGAACTCCTTTTATGGCTTGTTTCACTAAGGAATCTCTGACTGCATCCTTGAAAAGCGTGAATGTGGGAGTTGTATCTCACTGCGATACTCTTCAGGGGTACAGCTGAGAGAAGATCAACTGTATGGATAGCTCTAATGCTTGCCAGCAAAGGCATAGCGGAAGGGCAGGTGAAAGGCAAAATAGACGCCGTCCGACAGGGAGTGGAGCAACAAGATGCAGCAGCTGCTTCTTCAAATGCCAACACAGCGCACCAGGTGACTTTGTTAAGGCTATCGCTAAAGCATCCTCATTATCATGATCCTACTTGTACTTGGCTCTTTTACTTATATAATTTCTAGTACTTCTTGAAAAAGACGCTAAGTACGTAGGATGCTCTCAAGGATGCCAATGCGGTAAAAATATATCTAACTTTGCAAGGACTTGGTCTGAATCCATGGACACTTGCACAAGAACAGAACGCGGAAACGCGACCTGCGACTTCGCGAAGCAGGCCCAGCTCTGCACAACGTCCCAAGGCAGCACCTTCATCTCAGGCTACAGGAGGTACTGCGGCAAAAGGAAAGGCGTCTTTCATTAAGGGTTGGAAGTTGGCATCTCTATGAGCATCTCTATGATTTCGTCAAGTAGGAAAGCCATAGATACGCGAGCCAGAGCGGTCAACTTTCAACCCCTAACTTCATTCAGAAGCAGGACATGAAGGAACAGCGAAGTAGTTCCATGTGGTCCTCCTCGACATCGACGAGTCCCCCGTCATCTTCATCCTTTTTAGAACAACTGCACCAGAAACAGAAGTTTACAGATTTAGCGGCAGCGGAGAAAGAGATGAAGGACGCTAAGGCGAGGATCGTAGAACAGGACAAAGACTGTGAAGAGGCCGTAAAGGATGTGTTGGAAGCGAAATTGAAGGCGTTGCGTCTCGCTGCTGAGTTGTATAGTAAAGCGCAAGCCCTCCTAGGCAGGTTATCCGGAGGAGGTGGAGATGCCCAGTCTTACTTCTCGAAGCTAGATGCTGAAGATGCAGCAAAGAGAGTGGGTGTAGTGGCTGGTGCCGATGTTCTGGAGGTTAGGTTGCAACGTATTTTAGGCGCAGCAGATACGGTCTTAAATCGCTTGCAAGGTTTTGGAGGTGGTGCGAATGGTAGTAGTGCTGCTGCTGAGAATAAGGCTGGTGTTGATGGTGCTGACTCTGCTGATGGGGGTGCAAACTTGGCTGGTGAACTCGATGCTTTTTTAGCGTTTGAACCGAAAGTAGAGGACATTATAAAAGACGCCTTCGATAATGGAGGCGAAACAGCGAAACAGTATCTCTTAAGGCTAGATAAGTTGTCAATCTATCTTCATCTGAGCACACCCTCTTTTGAGTATCTTTTTCTCTTTGACTACAAGTTGAAGTCAGACAATTGTCACGACCAAGGTTCGCATCTTGTTCACCAAATTTCCTATTATTATGTTTTTAGTAAAGTTTACTTCTATGAATCATGTTGTTACCTCAAGTAGAACAAACTGTTATTATTTCTTAAGTTGGTATCCTGATGTAGCTCCACCTCATTGTGTAGATGGATCATGCACAAGCTAACTACAGCACTAACGGAAACTATGACTTTCTTCGTCCCGCATAGAGGACGGACTTTTGCAACCGCTTCTTCTTCTAATCATGGACGCTCACGAAGAAAAGTCTTGGCAGCCGTTGAAGAATGATGAGGTTGCCGCAAAGGCCAAGGCCGCTTGTCTAGCTGCTGTGGAGGAAGGCTATAGCAATTCGAAGAAAGCGAAGGAGAAAAATGAAAAAATTCTAGATGAATTTTGGTGCTACGCTCGGACCGAAATCGAGACCCTCACCTCCAATGGGGATGAGTTGCAGAGTATGATAAACGACATTGAAGCCGAAATCGCCACTGTGGAAAAGGAGATGAGCGAAGCGCTGGAGGAGATGAAGAAGTTGTTGGAAGATGATACAACTACAACAGGTACTAATTTTTGCCTAGTAGGATTGAAGAATATTATATATACGAGAAGTACAGCTTGTCCTTCAGCAGGTGCACGCTTTGAAGTCTTCTAGTTGTAGCACTACACTTCACTTTCATCAGGAGCTTCTATTCTTTTTCAATTTCAATTTTTGAGTCTCCTCTAATTCGAATCGTAGAATCATGCTCGTACTTCCCGGTTCTTTCCTCACGCTTACCAGTTTTTAATTTCAATTTTTCCTATAATCCTCGTCTCTGTTTTAGGCGTCGACACTTTAAAAGCTACCGCTGCAGAATGCAAGACAATCGAGCAAAGAGTAGTGGACGAGACTAACGCGGCTATCAGAAACGCAGTCGACACGCGTAAACAGATTCTAGATTCAATTAAGGCTCAACATTCAATGTGGACTAGTAGAGTAGTACGGAAAGAACTCCCAATCCATACGTTTTTCAGATTCTTCATCTTCGCAGACGAAAACGTAGGCACTTTCGGGCTGCTGATTAAGGGTTGAAGGATTTCATTTTTCCACGCTTTTCTCCCTTATTAAGTCGATTGCTCTTTAAAAATGAAATGCTTCAACCTTAGTCCCCTTCTTGATCTCATCTGGGACCATTTTCATGACTGCGTAGAAGCTGGATTCCGATAAAAATTCTGGGACTACTAACTCCCAACTAATTGATGTAGCTGTGCTCTAATTTAAGTAATCCTCTAGCTATCGGCGGGCTACAAGCAAACGTCGCGGCGTTCACATCAGGCATCATGTACACGAGGAAGGGAGACCTTCTCAAGGCCATCCAAGAGATGTGCACAGATAAAGCAGATGCTGCGCATGAGCAGGGAAAGCAGCTGAAGGAGAATTACGGTGGTCAGCGTTTTTTTTATAGGCTTAGAAGTGGTTGCTCATCTCATTCTATGCTATTTGTAGAGATCCTCCTTCGACCCCTTCGTCAAGCACAAGCAGAAATGTCATGGACTTCCTTGTTGGAGTACTTCTAAATCCACATGTAGAGACTCGTCTTTGTCTCTGTCAGTAAGTCTACTCAGCACTTGTTCTATCGTGGTACCCTTTTCCTGTCCACCCTTCCGGATAGAATCTCTCTCAGCGCCGCTTTTATCGTGGTTGTGCCGGCGGTTGTTCCGCCCTTTCATCCCCATAAAATCTCTACTCGCTAAGAAAAGTTGACAGCGCTACAGAGCAAAGCGGATGACGCGCAGCGGCGTAAAGTTGCTCTCGATGCAAAACTTGAGGAAAAGTCACAGGCAGCTTTTTTAGAGGTGAATGCGAATGCTGTTGCTGCAGGAACTTCTTCGCGTCGTCCTCCCGGTCGTCTGCGTGCATCCATGATGCTCCGTGATCAAGATGCCTTGCAACTACGCCAAGAACGTCGAGCAACAGAAAGAACTCAAGAGACGACCACGCCCTTCTCATCATCATCTTCATCGGTCTACTTGCAAATGAACAAGCACCAGACTACGACCACGACGAGGACCGAACAAGCAGTTGGTAGTGGTGATTCGATCAAGGAACAGACGGATACTCTGTGGAGACAGCACACAGACCTACACGACCAGTGCAAAGCAAGTGCAAAGCGGAGCCAGATTTTATGGCATCATTCAGGGACTTAGACCACCGTCACAAAAATCATGTTCCAGCTCTTGAAGTTTCTGTTGCGCAACTTCTGCATGTCCAAACATGAACAAGTGCGAAGAATGTACTCTATCTTTTCGCAACCTACTCCAACTACTTCTACCACGATCGTGTATATGTATGATACGTCGTCTAATTTTTGTGGTACATCGAAACTGGGCCGCTGAGATGATGGCACTTGAGGTGGAGAAGATGGCACGTAGAGCGATCCTCAAAAGAGCATTGAGGAAGGAGATGCAAGAAACCACAGTTATGAAGAATACTTTTCCGGTAGCACCTACTAACTTACTCCAAGAACCTACAGATTTATTTTTGATGAAGGTCGTGCTCGTGGGTGAAGCTGAAGGTTGTTTAGAGAGGAGGTACTAGAGCAGTAGAACCTCTACGTAGAGTCTACATGCTTGCTCGTCTTACTCACGCTCTTTATTTGGTACAGCTCTGACTCAGTCACAGTCACTGTCCTCGTCCTCTAATGAACTCGGAAAAGTTGACGGACAGGACGTGACCTTTCAAACGTTGACAGACAAAGTGAAGGCGCTTGCGGAAACTTGTAAAAAGAAAACTGCTGACTTGGAAGCTGTAGCGAAAGCCGCTTCAGCCGACGCAGATTTTTTTGAGCAGCTTGTGGGAGGCGCTCCTGATAAAAATAACGAGGAGAAGATGAAGGAGTACACTGTTAAGGCTAATTCTTGTGGATATCGGTGATGCTTGGGGCGGAGTCTTCGTTCTTGTGGATCGCTAACGATATACTTAATTGTTCACTCACCGTTGTAGTTGTACTCTTCGATGTAGCAATTTGGCAACCTTAAAACGTTATTTAATATTTTAGCAAAACGTTAAAAGTTGATTTTTTAAAATCGCCGACTAGATTCCTAAGAAGTCAATTTTTAACGTTTTGCTAAAATAACGTTTTAAGACTGCCATAAGCAAGACTACCTGACAGCACTCATGACGCCATGCCGTGGCGCTTGCTTCTACTAAGAGCAACAAAATGTAAATGACAGCGACCAAATGAAAGAGGAGCATGAAGATGCTTTTCTAGAGGACGTTGAATTTCTAGAGTCCTCTTCTTCTAACATAGGAGACGATTCTGCCGTTCGAAAAAAAGCTCTCGTTGCGAAATACTATGAGCAAAAGCCAGGAGATGATCCCTGTTTGGAGTTGAAGGTAGATCCTATAACTACATCCTCGTTTCTACAGCAGCTTCCATCTAGTAGGAGAGTTGCATTTTTACTGGCGGACAGCGAGATGAAGTTTGGACCGGACGACGAGCCTAACGAAAAGGCTGGGTGGACGTCTAGGAGTGTAGCTTCTTCATCTAGTGCAGCTTCTCCATCCACTAAAACTTCATCTGGTGCAGCTTCTGCATCCATTAAAACTTCATCTGAGCGGGAACTTCGCCATCCACTTGGAAGTTCTTCACCAAGAGCGGGAGCAACATCAAGTGGAAATGCAGCATCGTCCCCTTCTATTTCTTCTTTCTTGGACAAAATGAGTGGCGGTCGTGGAGGTGCAAGTGCTGCAAATCTTTTGTCGCAGAAACTCTCGGACATGCGAAAAAAAGCGAAAGACCAACTGGCTGAAATAGACAAGATTAAGGCTTCTAACTTGGCCTGTTTCTACTATCACCAGAAGCATCTTGGGACTGTTTCTTCCATATTAAGGGGGAACCAACGACGTCAAGAACTAGATGAGTCTCTTCAAGATGGAATGCTAATAAGAAGTAATACGCGACCAGTTAAAGAATTTGAATTACCAAGAATAGGCTGAAGCACTTGAAGAGCGCTAATAAGAAGTACACGACCCGCGCAGATGAATCACGACAGTCTGGAGCTGGATTGCTGGACTTATCGCAGATGAGGGCAGGAGAGGACCAGAAGCACGAAATCAAAAGAGGAATCGAGGAAACCCGCCTCCAGGCTGCCGGAAAGGAGGAGGTGCCGGCGCTGCCGGAAGAAAAAGACAGTACTACTACTATTATACTAATAAACTTCTACTACTATATTTAAGGGTAGGCTAAAGGTGCTTTTCTTACCGCCTTTTATGCCTCTCCTAAGGGAGAAAGGCATAACAAGCGGGGTAAGCGAGCACCAAAAGCCTACCTCTAATATATTAAGGCTACCAGAAATCCATCTTCACAGGCATCCTGAGACCGTTTCCAATGGGAAAAAGGTGCTAGGATGCAGCTCAGGATGGATTTCTCTTAGCTCTAATACTAATTTAAACTCCAACATAAAGTTTAATTTACTTTCATCAGGCTGGCCTAACCTAGTAACCTAAGCATAGCTGTACTCGTTTTTTCTCGCGAAGCCGTTGCACCTAGCAACTTCTTGGCATGAGAAGTGAGGCCCTTGAGCTTGAACTTGTTCACTAGAAGAAGAAGTTGAACAACTACGCAGGTCTACTTCTGTCCGGCGTAGTATTCAGGACGTCGCGTACTTCCTAATCCTAGCCTGGTCGCGTGAGTACTCGACGTCTTTCCTAGAAGTTGTACAAGAACACAGGTGGAGCTCCCGCCTTCCTACGCCTGAAGTACAAGTGATCTACGATCTTATCTGTTAGTCTCTTAGATGATCTGTTAGTCTGTGAGATCCATGAATGAATGAATGATTGTAGTAATCAGCATGATCAAGATCAACACGGCTACCAGGTTGGCCACTTGCAAAAGCGTGGGACAGGTTTTTTGCGTACGATTCTCTTATCTCTGACAAGATGTGGGACTTGCTCACGGCATGTGGAAACTTGGTGCCGGAATTACGGCTTCCGGGAATCTATCTTGAGGGCTTGAGGAGCATCCTCTACTTCTCTATCTATCTCTAGGGGCGGGCGCCGCCTGCTCTTCTAAAAAAGGATCATCAAAAGAGGATCTCCCAGGATGGGCCTCAAAGATGGATTTTCATTCCGGGAGGAAAATCTAACGAGAGTAGAATCTCTTTCGGGAGGTGCACCCACAGAGAGCGACTTTGTAGATGGCATAAAGGAAGCTCGGGAAGCAGTCAAGACGGCTGGCACAGTGTCCAAAAAAGCAGACGACGTGGTCGACGAATTGGAGCAACGGATCTTGTTAAGACATTCGTCCTGACAGACACACTAACAATTGATCCATGTAAATACTTTAGTATCTACGTACTCCTTCTAGTAATGAATGTTGATCCATCTACATATCTGTACTCTATTTACTATAGCAGATATGTTGGAGCTGATGGAGTTCCGTGTACTATATGGAGTAGTTCTATGTACTGTGGAAAAATGGGATGCCGCACGCCTTATCTCTTCCTACTCTATGGATTAGGACATATTGTTGCGCGATCCCCGACGGACCCTGTAGAACAAGGGACGAGGAATCATTTTTGTTAACTAGTTTTAATTGTTGTATTGACTCCTATGCTGAATCATTCATGCGTATTAATCTAACTCCTTGGCCATTCGTTCTTGTCGATTCCTCGTTCAAGTTGTTCAACGACTTACTCGCTTGCCCTTGAGACATCAACAAGGACTATATTTCGCTGAATCTGTATCTGCGCCCTCTGTGCGCTCGGTTTCTTGTCTCTCGTATCGTTGTACACAGCTGACCTTCCTTTTTTTCAGCTGATCTTTTTTCTGTCCATGAACTCGGTATTCGTCTCTTTGTATCTGTTCTGACATATCGGGAACAGACTCATATCTCAGATAAAGTTCTACCCCCCTTATTTAAAATATCTGACTCATGTTCACATGTATGCTTGCCTGCTAAAAACGAACATGACGATAAGAACATGGACGTTCTTACCTCCGACAAGGTTAAGGCTATCTAGTTTGACTGCGAATGATCTTCAGTTGTGGTAGTAGTGAGCCGGCACCCCTGCTGTACTACCACATCTTCCTCTGTAGATCATTGCGAGCACCTTCTTTCTTTCTTTTCTTTCGACAAGAAGGACCTCAGGGGCAGAAGCAGTCCCTAATATGCGCATATTAGCCTTTATTTATTAGTCTAATTATATAGATTACTTTAATAACTAGCTCCTTCTACCTTCTCCATCCAAAACATCATAGGACAACCCAATTACACCACCTTAGGGAACAAACAAAAATGACCTCTCAGCGGCCTCGTTTAGTCACCTGGTGACCTTCTCTCCACGACCTAGACTAGTGTTCCGGCTCAATGATATACCCTTTTGTTATTGAAGATGTAAAGACTTGGTCTTCTTCGGTTCAAACATTATTTTTTGCTGTTAGTGATGTCCTGAGAAAGCAAGATCGCGCATCAGTGTACTCCTGCAGTGCCTACCCTTAGAGAATTGAGTTCAGAGCATTTTTTTCAACGAGAGAGTATAACTATGAGCCAGTCACTAGTCTGTCGTTCATCATAGGTTTTTTCTACAAAACCACGTCGGCGCGTTGGTTCTTCTGTCACTTCGTCTGTTTTTTTCTTCGTTTCTTCTTCTTGTTCCTACCAGTGTCTGCTCTCCTCGGTTTCTGTTGGTCACTCCACGTGTTCCTATTCAATACAGCCATCATATTTATCTTGTCTCAACTCTTAATCTCCTTTCACAATCATCCACCATCTCATCCAAAACAACCACACAGATCTACCAAGCAATACAGGAAATGTCGCTGCAAAATATTTTTCCCAACAAGGAGCAGGGCTCCAAAGTCATTGTTAAGCCTCGATCGATTACAGCCCCTCCACCAAGGAATATTAGTCTATTTGAGAATCATGAGAATCATTCTTCATATCCAAAATCGAACATATATATTCACCAGCCACATCTCAATCCTTTTCCGTTTAAAGCACCTTCAATTGAGCAGAGACAATTTGACCAACTTGAAAATATTAGAATCAGAAATATAAACAATGCTAAAGCTGCAGCTATTAGTAAGCGACTTTCTGTTCCAAAACCACCCAAAACTACCATCAAAGCACCATCAGGACAAAAGCGATATCGTTCAAAACGCAGACGACCTGGCAAAGAACGCTTAGGACCTCGCATCAAGGAAGACCAAGTAACTGGAAAGTCGACGACAATCCAAGACGATATCACTACAAAAGCATCCAGTAAGTATCCTACGTTATCGAAAGCAAGTAGCTGCACTACTTCGTTAATCAATAAGCAGACAACTTCATCGTCCTCGAATAATCCACTAGCACGAACCAAGTTAGCATCCGGAAAGCAACAAAATCTCCACAATAACATTGGCCCAGAACCCTTAAGCCCTTCCACGCTAATCCGGAAAGGACCACCTGTTCAAGTGCAAACCACTACGCATCCGAAGAAGACAATCTTAGCAACTTGCTCTTCACCAACAGCTTACTCAACTTACAAAAATGCTGCGACTTCTTCTAGAAATACAAATAATACCAGCATACACGTCATTAAATCAATGAAGAAAAGTACAACTAACACTATAGCACCAAAGGGCAAGAACTGTGCTACTACATCCTCATCATCCTCCTCAACTACCTTTGGAGTTAGCAAATTCAGTGGTAACGATGAAGCCCTTTTTCCGTCAAGGAGCAAAAGACAGCGAACAAATGCGAACAAGAAGAAAAGGAAAGCACTAGAGCAAGCTACTACCACATCCAAACTACCTTCGCCAGCTCCTCTTGCTGTCTCGACATCCGTCTTTCCAGACATGTCAGCTAACATCAAAGCAGAGCAGATATCTAGACAAATTGTGGACAGGCCTACTCGAGACAGTTTACTTGCTGCACAACCTGGCGACCAAACGACTCACCTACTACCACCGGTGCGCCTCTTACCAGCTGAAACTCCACGATGCTCTAAATCTGTAGATCCTGGAGTACTACCATTAGCACAACTATTACCAGAACGCCTCTTACCGCCTGAAACGCCAAGAAGAATACCTGATGATCCAGTAGTAGACTCACGGCGACCACCTACACCACTCCTGATAGTTTCCGATAACGAAAATGAAGAAGCACCTCCACAACATGATCAACCACCGTCGTCGCAATTGCCTGGGTCTGAAGTATTAGATGAACAAGAAGAAATTATCAAACTTAAGGCACAGAACACTCAAAGTGTCAAAATAGTTAGTAGAGGGCCACTGAATTACGAACAGCCTCACAATTTATTGAAGAAACATCGACAGAAAGTATGGTCCTGTATAAATCACACGGAGACACATCCTATCTACTTCCCACTACTTAAAAACTCAACACATGTGCCTTCTTTCAATAAGAATGAGTTTCAGCATGTAACTAAAACTATTATTAGCTTTATACCAAGTGTTGAAGTTCACCCATTCTTTCTCAACTGGTGTAAACACAAGATCCACTTCCATATGTATCTTAGTACTACTACTAGAATCACACGGCAAGAACTGGAAAAATACTCCACCTTTGCACCAGTGGAGAACCAGCAAGATAAGGCCCCGCTTCCGGCAGTTAATATGGAACCAATCTGGAGTATGTCAAATGCATACACTTGCATACAAGAGTTCAAACCTCTTAAGCATATTAGCTATTCTCATATGAAAATTTATAGAGCATTAGCAAACACAGCGTCGCTCTATAAACAACCTCCAAATGTCTTATGTCTTCCTCGGAAAGGCCTGTATGATGATAGCCTACCTCTTGACCTTAAATGGAGATGGTTTACAACTATTTCTGGCCTTCCCAATAGACAAGCCTTTGATTACCAACCTTGTTTACGCCCTACCTATCATCCTGTAGACATTTCACGTCCGTGTAGAAAAGACCGCTGTTTTCTTTGTCGTTTTGACTACCCACCAAACTTCTCACTATATAAGTCTTATCTTAGGGTGCAGTTTCGTAATAATTTGAAAGTATGCTGTTCGAATGAGCCTCATTTTAATTTAGTCTATCTATGCTCATGCTCTTGCGGCCTAACATATGTCGGCATCACGACGGCTGACACTGCCTACAACTATAATCGAATGCACCTACATGAACAGAAGATGAATAGCTTAGATAAAGAAGATCCGCTACAGATACATACAACAGTCGACTTCCCATCACACACACAGGCCTGGCGAGTGCTATGGGTAGAAGACGAAACTGGCTTAGCTTCCGTAGGGGGGCACAGAGTCATCAATTTGATAGAGTCTTTCTTTATTATGGCTTATAAGACGTTCCACCCTTATGGCCTCAACCAGAGATGGATTTGCCCAATTACATTCAAAGAAGTAGATAGCGCGAAACAAGATAGAGTATCTTTATATAATTACTTAATTACTCAAAATCCTTGCAAGTGCAATTATGCTAAAGAGCATAATTTTCTGAAAGCTATGGGAGGTAGGTTCTTGCATCAGTCTGAAAATCGTACTATAGATTATAGATCCATCAGTCCTAACGTGCTTGAGTCTCAAGCTTTATGCACTTTCAATTTACTTCAAGACATAGCTTCACAACCTTCTTCCCCTGTCAAACTTCCCAAGCATATCCCTTTTTTTGTTAAATGCACCTCCTTTACGCATTTCTATCCTCCATGGGTATTTCTCTTTGTAGTGTCCCAAATCATGCCTCGCAAAATTGCTCAGCTAGTACTTACCATGTTAAGCACTAGTAAAAGTCTTTCGCCCCTACACAAGGACCTACTACTTATACTATTGTACTGTTACCACACTCCTCGGTTTCTTGTATGTAATCCTTCTCCTGCACCACGTGCCATTTGTATTCTAAACTTTCTACACAAAAGTATTGATCTCTTAAATATTCATGCTATCTGTCGAAAGGATCAATACTTAAAAGATTACATGATTACCTGGCGCCTAAATCCTAAAATTAATATCGTTAACTATACCAAGACACTGAAGACTAACCTTACCAACTCAACTCTTCAGTGCAAATGTCACTACTTTCAGACCCTACTACCTAGCTACTTCTTCCAACTAGGTCACTTAAGCTTTTCTTGTAGTGTCGAGAACTTCTGTTCCTTGGTACCACAAGAAGAGAAACAAACACTCAAGTACTATTCCATGTTTTTTAATCGTAAGTGTCGTTTCTCAAACAAACTAGACTTCTGGAAATTGACAGAAGAAGCACCGGAGTCAATTCGAGTGCATCTACGTAACCTTGTTATGGATGAATGGATTTCACTTAAGGATAAAGGGGACTTTGATATAGAAGCGGTGGATCAAGCACGAGTCTGGAAGACTTATAACAAATTTATGGGTGAACAAAAACTAACTTCTTTTCCGGTAGATAAGTGTCAGAATCTCAAAAGTGAGTGCACCACTTTACACAAAATGAAAAGTGGTGATGCTCTAGGGCTAGTCAATTTCAAACTTTTGAAAGCTTGGAATACGTTTTGTGACATACAAGATAGTCAAGGCAACAAAACCGATAGTTCTTCCAGTCAATTGGTTCTAGACCTGGAAGAACTACGCACCACCCTACAACTTCCCGCAGAAGTTGAAAATAGATTAATTTTGAAACGATTAGATAAAGATATGAAAGTATCCTTAGCGTCACCAAAAGCTACTACTATGGCAACGAAGGCACGACAAAGTAAAGCAGGCACACAAACTAACTACAAGGGGAAAGGTAAAAAGGGAAGTAAACAAGTGGCTAAGCATGATATTAGTAAGAGACATGACTGTCTCAAGGTACGCAAGCGAGACGCCCCTAAAGTCAGTAAAGACCTGTCTCCACGCGCACAAAATAAGTTTTCCTTACTTAATGTAAGTCGTTCTTTTCAGTCGTATAGTAGTTTCTTTCCACTAAACTCTTTCGGGGAAGAGTATTTTTACCGTTCAAGAGGGGAGTCTGTTCTTTATTTTAATCCAAGATGTAGACTTTTCCAAATTGTATCGACTGCCACTCTCTATAAGCTAGGCTTACGTCCTAAAGCCATGCCTTTACTAGAGCCCCGGGATGCTCGACCTTATATAGACTTTAAGCATTCCAATCACCTTTTTCGAGTGCTCCTACCACAGAAGATCCCTCGAAATATACCGTGGGAACGCACTTTTTTCGATAATCCTGTACTTAGCCGCCTCTACGTGTATGATAACTCATGCTGCCAGTGTATTACATCTATAGCTTTTATCAAAGCCATGATAACTTGGTGGGCAAAGGAGTCTAGTTTAAAGGACCACCAGGCTAGACTATGTGACCATCTAGTTATGAAAAAGGAGAGGCTCATACCTCCCGGCCCTCTGACTTCTGATACTCTACACGGTCTGCCATGCACTCAGAATGACCCTCCTACTTACTTTTCGGATGAACATAGTGATTATTTTGCCTCTTCGCCTCATGATGATGAGGCATGCACTTCTGATCTTTCATCCTGTGAGCAAGATATTGATGACTTCGACGTACTTGATTCTGATTACTATGCGATCCTACACGACGACCCTAACCTACATGACGCACGATCATCACCTCCTTTGCCTTTTCCTTCGGATTCTGATAGTGAGTCTAATTGTCCCTCTTCATCTTCCTCTTCGTCCTCTCTTTACAATAAGTCTAAAGAATGCGCTAGCGATCATATATCATCACCTGGACCTTCTAATTTTTTACAAGACCCTAAGTCTAATTCCCAGGACCAAAACACATTTACCCATAACCCTGACTCATTATATCCACATCCGGAATGTTATCTACCTATCTATGAAGAGAGTAAAAGTAAAACACTTTCATCTGAACAGACTAAGCTACTAGGAAAAATCAACTTAATTAAGTCACAACATCCTACTAACATCTTATACAACCCTGACAAACAACAACCCTACAACAAGATACATCCACAGCAATCGTTTGATCCGGAGGACTACGAATTTTTATCCGCTGAGGACCAGAAAAAGAAATCCATTTTTGAACGAGTCAACCTCACAGCGGAAGAGATTGAAAGACAGATTAAGGACATACTAACTACAAAAAACCTACAGCATCTCATTAACAAAAAAAGCCCGATTCCTCACTATTATAATAGTTCTAAGGAACATAAAGCTCCAAAAATCTCTTCAAGAGGGATCACTGGTGCGCCAGCCCATACTACACTAGGCAAGTGCGCTTCTGAACTACATTCAATTCTTAAGTGCGTACTTGAGTGGCTACTTAAATACCAGTGGCAAGGCCGTACTTTTAAAATTATTAATACTCAAGACTTAGTGAAAAAAGCGACTAAATCAAAATCATATAGGAAAAATTTCTATGGCTTTGATTTTGGTAGCATGTATGATAGATTACCACATCACCTCATACTTTCTTGCCTGAATAAAGTGATTACTGACGTTTACTCGGACAAAAAAAATGAAGGAAAAGTCATTACTAGCTCATATACGTACAACAACAACAAGTGGATAAAAGCATTTGCTTTCAGAGACGAAGCGGAAATCTTACGAACAGCAGAAAGACTTAAGAGGGACCCTCCAATCTACTACAAGCTGGAGCAAGTGCTAGATATTGTAGATATTTGCATTAATAGCAACTACATCTCATGTCTAGACACCTTTTTTATCCAACGGATAGGTATACCACAAGGACTCAGTTGCTCCCCTATGATAGCTGATATTTTTTGTTGCTACTACGAGTACATTTTTTGTCTCAAATTTCCTATTTTTGGCTCTTTAGGTATATGTAGATATATGGACGACCTACTAGCTCCTCTAGATATTCCTGTTCTTGGGATATATCCTAAGGAGCTCGAAATACTCCGCACTACTACTGCAAGTTCTACAGCCTGCTTTCTCGATGTAGAACTTGCCATAATAAATCATGAGCTTGAGTATAAAGTATATGACAAACGGCGTTCCTTCGATTTTCCACTACTTAAGTATACGCCTTTCTCCTCATGTGTACCGGCTAGCAGTCACAAGCACCACTTTAAGAGCGCAGCTATTCGATTATACAATCTGAATAGCTTTCTTATTTTTTACCTTTTTGATCTCTTAGATGTTACTTCATATTTTGTACACAATCAAAGCTGGAATAAAAATATACCTTATTGCGGCATGAGCCATATAGTCCTCAAGCATTACCAACATAAGTGGTTTAAAACTCCCGAACAATTCAAGAGCAACGTTAGCAAGTTCCTAGTTATTGCCGCGCAAGAACTTCAAGAAAGATTCTCTCACTCAGTACTTAGAAAAGAAGAACCCACCGCCTAAGGCTTAAGCATTGCTAGCGTCTTTTTGTTTTCTTTTCTTTTAAATTACTCCTTATTCATTACTTATGCGTGTCCGCTACCTTTTTCCTTTGTACAACTTATTGGGGGTTACACTAAACTAAAACGAAAGGGGGTTCAAGTCGTAAATATATAGTTCAGACTTACAGCACTCATCTACATACTCGTCCATAATGACACTCACAACATAAAAGACACTCATATTGCCTCTGCTCACATACTCTACTGCACAATTATCTACATACCCCTGTATATTACTCAAACTGCTGTCAGTATGTTCGCCTCCTTCCTGGTTTTTTTCTGACTAAGTATGTCACCTCTTGAGAGACTTTTCTTTTTTTCTTCCTTTCCCCTCTTTTCTACCTCAGTGGAGTAACATTCTAAATGTCTTAGAGAGAGTTTTTTTCCTGAAAGTATAACATGATGGAGTCGGTACACAGTGAACGCTTTACCTTAAGATCAAACCAATCGGACTTGCGAAGATAAGTGGAGCTGTGCCATCTCAACGACAAACCGGATTCAAGGTTTTTTCGTCAGAAAGCAACCAATGAGGCAGATAGGGGTTTTTTCGACAGACTGCAGACAGATTAAGAGCATTCGGTGAAAAAGTTTTTTTCGACAGACCGCAGACATATTAAGAGCATTCAATGAAACAATTTACTATTTACGCTCTATCCAAGTTCTATTCTCACAGCCAGCTGTATAAATTGGTACCCCCTTTCTCCAACTTCTTAACTTGATTCAGTATGTCACAAGAACTAATACCGCTTGCAATGATGCAAAGATGCATCATTCCTATTACGACACGACCTACATTCCTTCAGTATATGAATGCTTTACCCAAACTGTCAAATAAAACTACAATGGCCCCACTTTTTTCATTATTAGAAATGCTTCCTTTTGAGTGTGTGCTAGAGATAATAACATACTTACATCCGTCTTGGTCTAACTGTAACTATCTCACTCTACATGACTTGTATTTAAACCACTACAATCTCTTTTGTGAGTTAGCATGCTTGAATCAAGAACAAGGCAAGGTAACCTTTGAACGACTAATACTACTTGACACTTACTCGCAAGCACTGACACTAAAGCTCCTTCTTAAAGGTTACCTTGACCTTATACACTCTCTTACTTTGAGAACTAACCAACACACATTTGCTGACCAGACTTCGTGCTTAAGCGAGTTAGGAAACAAAAACCCCATCAGCTTCTTTCACAGCCACTTGTCAGAAGTTAATCTTCACTCTGAGTGTTGGGTTTCTTTTAACTCTGCAGATGACAACTCTTTTTCTTTTCCTTGGTACAATACATCCCTAGCTAATGCGTTTGCTGAGGCCTTCATGAATATCATAAGCCTAAGTGAGCATCTACCTAACGAACATGCGCAAAGTCTGAACCTAATTAGAAGCCGTCGAGACGATCGCCCTCTTATCAATTTACACGGATCCGGCTATGTGTTACAACGTAAGAAGCAAGCACATTTAAAGTGTAAATGTGGTAATATTTTTGAAATACCACTTTCCTCACTAGAGTTACACTTTGATCCAAGCCAGGTGATTTGTAGAAGCCTTCCTTCACCAAATTGCTATATATGTATTTCCTTACAAGAGCGACACATTGGCATCCCTTTACTCAAGACTAACACGCACAATAGTAATAAAAACTATGTGACAAACACTACCAGGCCTGTTTGCTTTCCACATGATACGACCACTAGTCTTATTCGTAGACAACTTACACACTACGTTCGTTCTCAACTTAACGCGATACCTATACCAAAGCTTACTATCTTTAGTAAGTCTCCTCTTTTGCAATCACATCTACCGTAGCACAAAATGACGACTTTCCGATATATTGATGACTACCTTACAGTCAAAACGACACCAACTGCGCAACTAGATCAACAAGAGCAACCAATAGTAGAGAAGTCAGCTGATGGGAGTGAGATCATGATCACACTTCCAAAACGCCATAAATATCACAGCCTAACGGACCTGATCAACATGCAGCAACATCTTGAGAACATCAGTGGAAACCATCATGGCCTTTCCTTCAACATCTTAAAAAGTGGACAACTTATTACCACCCAGGAGGCTCTTCAAGATGCTACACTACTACAGCGACCTACCTCTCCGGCAAGCAGCGGAAAATCTACACAACAGAAAGAGTTTTCCAACATCCACGACTACAAGAATAGTACAAAGGTGAAGCGTCAACGTCAGAACTCGAAGATTCATTATCACAGTTACGAAACAGAGGATGAAGGATGGCGCATCCTCTGTGCAAGTAAGTCCATGAATAAGCTATCTGACAAAGGATGGACAATTTTGTAAAAGACTTACTACCTTCTTATAACTCAAGTTGTGTTAGTTTATCTTCATTAAAATTACTCATCTTTGACTCTGTTCAAGTTATTCAGTTGACTACTGCCTCTTTCTTATCTATGTTCAAAGCACTTCTTTCTATTCCTTCCAAAGATATGAGCCATCACATCTTAAGCACAAGTTTAAGATGTCAAGGGATTTGTGGTTAAGAATGAAGACTTACCTTGATGCATACTTCAAGTTTCTCTGGGTCATGCTGCCCCTCATTGTGTAACTCTGCGACTGATATCTGTTTAAATCATTTACCCGCTTCGTCTTCCAAGTTGTTAACGTCCAAGTGGCCTCTATGAAGTATTTATGTTAGTTCTTACGCCCAATTTTCCTTCGGTAACAATTTTTGCCTTCAATTCAATACTCATGGTTGTAGTTCTCTTTCAAGTAGATACATTTTCATGTCAGTTTATATATATTACCACAGACAATGAAATTAAATTAAAGACAGCACTAGCTTAGAGTTTCAAGGAAAAGGAGACGAAAGAACGTGGCTCAAATGATGCAAGAACATTCGGGGAACATACAAGGAGTATTAAAGCGCAATCATGAAGCCAGCCGGTAAAGGTACAGAATGTTAGTAACACAATTCACATATTCTCCTCTGACGGCAGGTAGCATAATATTTGACTAAGCATGCACTTCGCATTCAATATGATGGCTTACTTTATCTTTCGATTCTCCTCCGTGTTCCTTCATCTTTTGTTACTTCCACGTTCCAGACAATGAGTTTCTGTTTTTTCTGCTTACCCCTTCCCCACACATCTTCACTGTCTCCGACAACTCATTCTGTTCCCACATTCCCCCGTGTCTCTTGTTGCTTTTGTTGTTCCTACTTTGCAGCGGATTCCTCGAACCAGGGAACGACTTCGAGTGCTGATTTCAGGTACACTATAACCCACTAAGGAACCCGTGCACTCACATAAGTATTTGTGACGTGTTTTGCTCTGGTAAGCCATACAGCCTCTTTTTTTTAATTGTTGTATTGACTCCTATGCTGAATCATTCATGCGTATTAATCTAACTCCTTGGCCATTCGTTCTTGTCGATTCCTCGTTCAAGTTGTTCAACGACTTACTCGCTTGCCCTTGAGACATCAACAAGGACTATATTTCGCTGAATCTGTATCTGCGCCCTCTGTGCGCTCGGTTTCTTGTCTCTCGTATCGTTGTACACAGCTGACCTTCCTTTTTTTCAGCTGATCTTTTTTCTGTCCATGAACTCGGTATTCGTCTCTTTGTATCTGTTCTGACATATCGGGAACAGACTCATATCTCAGATAAAGTTCTACCCCCCTTATTTAAAATATCTGACTCATGTTCACATGTATGCTTGCCTGCTAAAAACGAACATGACGATAAGAACATGGACGTTCTTACCTCCGACAAGGTTAAGGCTATCTAGTTTGACTGCGAATGATCTTCAGTTGTGGTAGTAGTGAGCCGGCACCCCTGCTGTACTACCACATCTTCCTCTGTAGATCATTGCGAGCACCTTCTTTCTTTCTTTTCTTTCGACAAGAAGGACCTCAGGGGCAGAAGCAGTCCCTAATATGCGCATATTAGCCTTTATTTATTAGTCTAATTATATAGATTACTTTAATAACTAGCTCCTTCTACCTTCTCCATCCAAAACATCATAGGACAACCCAATTACACCACCTTAGGGAACAAACAAAAATGACCTCTCAGCGGCCTCGTTTAGTCACCTGGTGACCTTCTCTCCACGACCTAGACTAGTGTTCCGGCTCAATGATATACCCTTTTGTTATTGAAGATGTAAAGACTTGGTCTTCTTCGGTTCAAACATTGTTAACTAGAATCAATATTGGTTATAATTATAACTAGAATTAATCGGGGTAACTAGAATTAATTTGGGTAGCAAGCTAGAATTAATTGGGGTAACTAGAATTAATTTGGGTGACTCATAGAATCAATTGGGGTAACTAGAATTAATTCGGGTAACTCATAGAATCAATCGGGGTGACTAGAATCAATCGGGGTAACAAGAATCAACTCGGGTAAAAACTAGAATTAAATGAATTAGAATTATCAACACTAACAGGCATGAAGAATCTTGATCTTCAAAATTCCCATGGTTTCTAAGTTTGCAAGGAGCAAGCGAAAAGGCCGCTGCAATGGAGGGGGCCAAAAGATTAGCAGGCCAGCAACAAGCGGCCGCGAAAGAGAGTGCAGAGGAGGAGTGCAAGGCGACGATAGGAGACATCGAAAAACAGGCGGCGAGGCTAAAAACTCCTGAAGCCAGTAGCCCTTCTGGTGTGGTAGCGACATACGCGAAACTTTTCAATGAGGATATACCGAAAATCGTCGACGAACTCCAGAACGCGTTCAAAGCAGATGGAAAGTTTTTGACAAGCGCAAAACCGCCTCCGAGGTACATGGATGCTTTTCGGATCGTCGCAGATATCTTCTTATGAACAAATGTCTGTGGTTTTGGCTTTTATATATAATTCTACTGGCAATGGTAATCCACCTGATCCTCACTCATCCTGGTCCTCATCTTCTAATTATGGTGCAAAAAGAACTAATAGTGACGCCACCTTTCGCCTCGGCTCTGCGTACGCATATTGACGTACTGGTCACGGGGAAGGCACGCGGATTATACACAACTGGACGAGGAGTCAGCGACGCAGAACAAGAATTATGAATTGATCCCAGTTAGTGCCTCTACTTCTAGTTCTACTTCTCTTCAGCTATTAAATTTGGATGTCGTGACTTATCAAATGAAACGCACATCACTACATCATGCTCTTGAGTGACATACTATTTCTCTGTGAAGACACATCACTCAGATGAGCTGCAGTACAACTAGTGGTCTTCTACTTACTCAGTTTATTTTACAGCTACATCCTCTAGCTCTAAAAAGGAAAGAACTCGAGAGAAACTATGCGTCACTGCTGGAGTGGAACAAGGCGCCTTTCTTGCAGGACATGAAGACCAGAAACACCGCCGAGGCATCAATCAGATCCCACATACCGTCGTGTTTTGGCCACTCCGTGTCCGCTGAAAAACCAAGGGAGAATCAACTTTAAGGCTTGGTCATCTGCTTGTGCTTATTTCAGATTTCAGTCCTATTTCTAGTTCTACTAGAACTTTTCTACCTTTTCTACTATTTCTACTTTTCAGTCCTTTTCTACCTTTTCTACTATTTCTACTACGTTTTACTGCTTATAATATTTCAGTCCTTTTCTACGAAAATACGTTGGTTTTAGAGATGAAAGAATCTAAGGTGGGTGGAAAAACTGTAAGTCTAAGGGAGGTCGTCCTCCCAAGATAGAACATTCCAAGAGACAACCTCCCAGGATAAGGCAGATCTTCTAAGAAAGGACGATAGAAGATCTTCTAATATTTGATGCCCTTGGATCCAACAGCTGCAAAATCAGTAGAGTGCGAGCTGTGGCCGACCAATTTCTGGAGCATTGTCAAGAGCATCCCGAAGGTGACAAAACAGCACGTCCTCGCGTCTGAGAAAATGAAGGCGATGCGGGAGACCTGCGATGCGGCGAGCATGGCGGCGAAGGCAGACGGAGTGATCGACAATTATTCAGTCGCTCTTGAGTCAGCACGGAAGGGAGCTCGTGGCGTGCTGAAACTGAAAGTGAACCGCTACGAGAGACTCCGTGGTTTCCTCACGTTAAGGCTTCTGTATGGACGACATTCCTCAACAGTATCTTCTGTATGGACGAGTTTCCCCCCCCTTCTCTATGGACGAGATCCCTCAACAGAAGTATCTATAGTCTTTCCCCTATTCCCCCTTCTCTATGGACGAGATCCCTCAACAGAAGTATCTATGCACCCCGAACAAAATACAATGGCGGAGAGACAGAGACCACGGGCGGAGAGACATAACTTAATTGTTTACGAGGGATTTCCATGCGAGCAGGGATGGACTGAGGGAGGCTCTAAAGACGATGTCGGTCCTCCCGAAGTTGGATAAGCTACACAGGCGCAAGGAAGTAGTCACCAGAATCAAAAATTACGTTGATGACCTCGCATCCATCAACGCAAACCCAAAGCCGCCTGCACCAGTTACGGCTTGATGATTTGTACTATGTACACCTCTTGTATTTGTTTTTGAATTTCTTGTATGTTTTATTTTATTCACGGCTTAGTACGTTACTGTACGCTTCTTGGAAGAAATTCCTCGGGGCCTGGTCTCAGCGCTGGTTTGGAAAATCAGATTGGAGACACATGACATGACATTAGTACCGCAAGATTCAGGAGTTCTACTTGTAGTTATATTAGGTGAGGCTCTCTAGAATAAGTACAAAAGTAGATGAGGAGGAGGAGCCTGCTCTCTTCTTCGTCTTCTAATGCGTTTGCTGATGTAAAGATCCTGCCGGCTACGGCGCTGCTAAAGGATTACAAGACCCTCCTTGAGCCCCAGTTGGAGACTTTGCGCCAGGAGATACAGACCACCTATTTGGTGTCAGACTCGATCTTGTCAAACTTAAGGCTAACTTTTTGCTATCGAACCCAGGTGGATGTGGACTATGAATGCTGAGCAGTCGAGGGCTGCTGCTCCTTGGTTTTCTATTATAAAGGGGAAGCATGTATGTGTAATTACAATTTTTGACATAGGGGCGGAAAATCCAAATTAATGGGATCTCACTCAAGTCAACTCACTCAAAGGACTCAAGCCACTCAGTCAACAGTACAACGCAACATAGTGCGTGAAGAAAAACTAGCGCTAACGAAAGTCGATGCCTCCAAAGAAAGGGGGAAGAAGAAAGCGGAAGCATTCAAGCTGATCAAGGACAAGGAGTATAGTAAAGCGGACGACACAGCTAAGGCTCGGTCTTCCTTCTTGATCACTGAGTAAAAACTTAATGTTGATTGACTTACTTATGAATGATCATTTGATACAATCAATTCTTCAAGTTCAATCTAGCTAAAAAGTATTTCGATTTACTGGGGTCCCGTTTTCAACCTCGTCTACTCAGAGAGTGGTCTTTCGCATCACCTTGATGACGAAGCACCTTGAGAGAACAAGGAAAATCTATGGGCGGAAAGTCATAATCTAACTATATCTATATGGAGTCGACGCCTGTAGTAGAGCCAAGATCTTCATCGTGGAGCCCTCATTTCGTCCCTTCAGAGTCACCAGTGACCAATAACTTCCGACCTCTAACACGACAAGCCTAACGCGATTCGCAGGACAAGAGTTAGTCTCATGGATGCCAGACGCAGACGAGCATAAGTGGAATCCATCGACGTCGTACTCGGATTCTCTCTTTTTTAAGGCTTCTACCTGATGTAATCCAAATCTTCCAACGACTCTAGTATCGGGACCGACGAGAGGAATACTACTCAACCAAGAGCCGGATAGAAGATACCGACGAGAGGAAGACTTCTCAACCAAGAGCCGCATAGAAGATACGCACGCGACCCAATAAAAATAAGTTAATACAAGCCAGATAGAGGACGTGGAGGAAGAGGACTTCTAATTTTTCCCAGCAACCGGATCGCAGCTGGAAGTGGGCTGATGCAGCGTCTTGTGAGAACGATGAGGACGCGAAAGAAATCATATCTGATTCAGTTAAGGCCCTAAACCCATAATACTAACATCTTCCTGAAGCTCCTGTCCTATAGCCATTTTAAGGGGAAAGAAGCAGGGCCAAGAAGATGCACTATCTTAGAACTATGGATAAAAAGGGAGAGCTCCAATTCAGCCGTTTGCGAAAAGAAGTGGCACAGCTGGTGGCCGGAGCTTGTCTCATTGGTGCCCAAACTTGTAGACGCAGTGAAAGGAGGCGTAAAGGGTGTGCGTGTGCATGTTGCGTATTGTGCTCTCGCGGCAATTTTCGAACTAGAAAAGCCAAAAGGTTAAGGCTTTTCAGCTTTTAAGCTTAGAAGTTCATTGATTTATTGGATTTATTGAGGTAACTAAGTAATCAATTCACTGACTAGTACAGCGTAGCTCTTTTTCCTCTTTCTTTGTATTATTTCCTTCCCTGTTAGAAGTTACTGTTACTTTGTACCTATTACTGTCATCTGGCAGAAGTTTACTTAGCAGCAGACTAAGCAGTGGAAAAAGTAAAACCTGATGTAGAATTTTTATTAGACAGTGTAAGTATGTCTATGTGTAGTCAATAAAACTAAAAGTTCGCGTTGATGTAGTTACCTCAATATTAATAGGTAGATCATAGATACTTTTACCTCTAACATGAGGCTTCGGAAGATGATTTGTGGCAAGCGATCGGCAACATTTTTCCTGTGGCAACCCGCGAATCGGAGAGCTCTGCTTTAGTGTTTATGACGAGTAGAAATAGTCTCCTCAGAAGTCTATATGACGAGTAGAAGTAGTCTCCTCAGAAGTCTATATGGCGAGTAGAAGTAGTCTCCTCAGAAGTCTATATGGCGAGTAGAAGTAGTCTCCTCAGAAGTCTATATGACGAGTAGAAATAGAAAGCTTGCTCAATCACAGTCGCGCTCTCTCTCCTAATATCAGAGTCTTCAATCACATAGTACCAAGCGAGTTGAACAAATAGAAAACTTCTACTTTCATTATACATTCTTTGATTGATAGAGATCTTCTGATCGACAGTCCTCGTGACAACTTCTGTGATTTCTGATCTGTCGTCGCTCCTCCCCGCCTTGTATAAATGAATTCAACAAGGGTCCTCGTTATTAAAGGTTCTTGAAACAATTCATATTTGCCCTAGACATATTTGACACGTTTCTTCTTGAATCATGCGTACAAATCATGCTTCAAGAACCTTCTATGAAATGTTTCAACCCTTAACGAGGACGTGGAAGGCGAGGAACAAGCTTCAAGCGACGAAGCCGCAAGAACAGATCAGCCATCCAGGATGAATTACCTACATCATCATCATCATCACGTCGTACATTCTTCATAGTTGCAAAGATGGTCACCTCGGTGTACCCGTTTGAAGAGGCGGACAGGCAAGCCCCGTCGAAAGAAGGCGTCTCTGCAGAAGTGATCGCGGGACGACAGCAGTTCCTTACGAACGGTGTATTTTTCAAACCGGACCACCTGCAGCAGTGCCAAAACGCCTTGGACGAAAAAAAATTCTTTCCAGCAAGCAGAGAGGAGGCGAGAGACGAGGTTAGGATGGGAAGACGAACAAAGAGTGAGCAGTTACTTATCTAAGTAGTTCTTGTAATGTTATCTACTCATATTTATAATCTTCTTTGTCGATCAACGTAGTGCCCTCTATTAGAAGGAAAAACAACCGGTCAGTTACTACGGGTTTTCCCTCGTAGTTCTCCCTTGTTCACGAGTATTAGATATGTAAACTATATTTATTACATAGTTACAACATCACTGGGCAGCTGTTGCTCCTCTTCCTCAAGATAGTAATTGGATTATATTAGAAGGACCACAAGGAGGAGGAGCACAACTCTTACTATGCACGTCCTCTAGACTAGACTCTTCTTCTAATAAGTACTACGTTGGGGACGATGAGACCGCGAGAGATGTAGTCAAGGAATTTGGTGAAGTTATCAGCAAGTACGCGGCCATGCAGGAGAGTTCTCAGTCTCAGAGCAGGGTAAAGGAAGAGGATACTTTCGGATTTTGGTGGAACGTCATCTCCTACGAGGACGTGGACGCAGTACAAGCGTTTGCGTCAGCCAAGCAAGATCATAGGGGAACAAAACACGGTCCTGCCCAGGGTCATGCCTGGAAAGTTAAGGGTCTTTAGTATAATCTTGCTTCACCATTATCTTTGTGACTCAGAGCTTACTTGCCTACATCACGAAGGATCCTCGTCATTTTTACAGAGTTAATATTGCTGTGCAGAGTAGTTGAATTCTCGGATTTTGCCTCCATATAGGTCATATTATTCAACAATGCATCTCATAGATGATTAGTACTGGTATTGAGAATACAAGTGCAACGTCTAATAAAGATGCAGGTCCAGGCACAGATCTGCGGAAGTATCTGAAGACGCAGACTGCCGATGCTTTAAGGATTCTGGAGAAGCTCGTGGAAGCAGCCGAAGGCGGTCGGCCCAAAGCCAGTGCAGTGACTTTTTTAAGTTCCTCGCTGAAGATTTCTCCCTTTGACATCGTCGCTGCTTTTAGTTTTAGTAGGAAGATCAATTTTTAGTTTTAGTAGGATAGAGATCAGTCATGATATAAAAAGTGTCCTCGGTAGTTGTGGGAGCTCGGAGCCAGTAGAGTCCTTCGGAGGCAGTGCTAGATCAACTAGCTACTTGAGCATAGTATTTGTAAGTCCATCCATCCTTCCTTGCCCCGACCAGCTAGCATTCTTCAGTTGTGAGCAGTGAGCTCCTGCTCTAATATAAGACGCCACTGTGATCACCGATCCAGATGAGGAGTGCAGAAGTAGCATCACGGGGCTCAAGGCAGATGCAAAACTGGGGGAACAATTTTCAGCAGACTCTTCCTCGTCCTCTCGTTCCACTGGCGACACACGAAAAATAGCATTGATGTCGCCAGACGTAATAACGCAAAAAAATGCCGGCACGAATGTGATCGTACTCGGGAAGGATTCGTCGGGGAAGGACAACAACATCTCAACAAAGCAGTTCCTGATGCAGCTCGGTCCCCTGGCGATGTTTGGATCTAAAGGGAGCGAAAGGAGGGCTTCATACGTGGAGGCAGACACCTTGAAAACGCACCTGGAGTTAAGGCTCAAGCAGAGACCTTAAAAGCGCACTTAAGTAGTTAGTAGTAGATTTAAGCATAGTTTATAAGTACTTGCCTGATTTTTCCTTTTTTTCGATTACTTATAATAGAGTAGTTTATAGAACGGATGTAGGATGGACTTGGATGGATCGGATGGACCCCCCTGATTCTTCCGATCCTACTTGAAATGGTGGAAAGTCCATCCGATCCATCCGATCCATCCCATCCCGGATCTGGCACCCCTATCAACTGCTCTATTATAATATATATAATTTTGTCTTATTTATATCTAGTTAGGTCTGCTCCACCGACACTTTCTTAGAGTTAAGGCTCCTGAATATAATGAAGAAAGTTGCCAGAAACTACACTCTTCTTGAGCCAGAAGCGCCCTATCTTCGCCAGAAGCGCAGCGCAGTCTTGCATGAAGAGGAGTAGAGCTCAAAAAATCTTCATAATTCTAATTCCTTTCGAGTTCGACGGGGCATTTCGATTTCCCACCTGCTGATGTAGTTGAGTTCCCTCTTATACTTAGAAGGATTGGACTTGGACTTGGCTGGCACGGGTTGTAAAATATTAATATTATAGGCAACAAGAGATCCAGAGTTGGAGCTCCTCTAATGCAAGCTTTTCAAAAGGGCCTGGAGACGGCAGAAATTGCTGGGAAACTGAGTACCACGTTTACGACGCTTGTGGTGTCGAAGAATGGAATCAGATTCGCGAAGGCAGTCGAGGAATTGAGGAAACTTCGACTAGGGCTCAAGCCTTTGATGCTTATTTGAGATGTACTATTGATGATGAGGTTTAGCACTGAGATTGTTGGGCTATCATCTCATGAAGAAGATGATAGTTCTCATTTCTCACTTTTTCATTTTCCCGAATGCTGCAGCGATGCACCAAGACAAGACTACTTAGTAGATGAAAAATGAATTGTATTAAAAGTTGGTAGATGAAAAATGAATTCTTTTGAAAAATGAACTGTTTTCCTTAGTAGATGAAAAGTGAATTGTTTTACTTAGTAGACGAAAAATGGGTTGTCTTCTAACTTGAGATCCAGAGACCGCCAAGGAGAAAGTTTGGAATATGCCTGACAACAAAGAGACAGCGACAACAGCAACGCAGCGCTGTGAATTTGCGTACCGTAAAGCCAGAGCGCTGGCGCTGCTCCATGGAACGGAACTAGCAGAGCATCGGAAGATATTTGAAATTAAGGCTCCTTCCCATGACCATGTCCATCTTTCTTCGTAAGCATTTTCTCAGAGACATGCGCTTTGCTTCCTAATCCATCTCTAAAGACGATGCACGCGGCGCGCCAGATGATAGGGACAAGAAGAACAAGAAAGACGAGTACGTGGCCGTGCTCACGGCATTTGCTGACTGTACTTACGGGCGGCAGAAAAAACAGCCAAGGGATAACAAAAGCGAGCGAGACACGCCAGAGTTCGGGGATATATTATGGCCAGCTGCTTTTATCCATCTCGCTCGGCAACATCTTGATCCACTTTGTAGCTTGCCCTGTATTCTCATGAAATACAAGGGGAAAGGGGTCGAGATGAGGGGACAAGGATGGCGAAAAGCTGAGTCTAAACTCGACGGCGCTCGCAAATTCAGAGACGCCCTGTGACACCTTGGACTGGATGGGGGAGCGTGCTTCGGCGTGGGGTGATTTTTTTCACCTGTTGAGCACCAGGCAAAAGTCGAGTACTGCTACTACTAAGGCTCCACCTAGGCTTATATTAAGTACTTATTACTTCTCATGTGGAATTTTTTTGACTATCTAAGGTTTACTCGCTTATTTTCACTTGATATCATGTAGTTCTTCATGCATCGTTGTGGTCAACAGAGGTGGCGTCTTCTTTGACGTGCTTTCCTCAGGTTATAACTATGGCGCATAGAAGTGCATGAAGATATAGATGAAGGAGACCACGGGCACTCTTACCCAACTCTAATTCTAGTATAAAGGAAAACTTAAATTAAGGCTCAACTTTCAATGGTCATCGGGGTTGGTCACTGAGATTGAAGAGTCGACCCCTTGAGAGAACAGGGGAAAACGAAGGGAAAGGGGAGAGCTTTGGCGAAAGGGGTCTCTTCCGTTCAAAGTCAGTGACCACTGAGTGCTGAGCTTTAATTAAAGGAGATAAAAGAGTGGGAGACAAAGACCCAAGAAGCGCTCGCGGCTCTTACCGAGGAACGTCCAGCGTATCAGCACCTTTTATGCCTTTACTCTTTCCCAATAGATTTACCTACTAGGAATTCCCAATACCAGAAATTCCACACTAAAAATCATAACTTGTTATCCCCAAGAATACGACCTAACACTAACTGGTTATGTAAGTATTTTTTACCTCTAGAAGATTTGGTAGGACTAGACGCGCGCTCGTGGTCCTTTGCACTGGTGTCCTCTCTGCTTCAAAGAGCATTATCTACTTACTTAATGAATCTTCCTCGCCGTCCTCGGCGACGACGAGGTGACTCAGGATCTTCCTCCATTACCAGTTCAGTACATTTTTGTACTACAACATAAACCTTCTACTTAAATTGAATGAAGCTGCCGCTGATGAATCACGATCATGATCTAATGCCTTTAGTACTTTAGTATCTTTATTATCTCTGATGGATCATGATCTAATATTACATCTCAAAATGACCGAGCCACTGACTGAAATATGGGAGATAGCTTAACATCGAGGCTACTCTTCCTTCTCGTCAGTGTCTCGGTTATTCTGGTCAGTTGCTTGCTTAAGTATTTCAGTTTTTCGGATTTCGCTGCCTACATGGTTGTCTACCACAAGTCCACCAACATTTATTTACGTTAGGAGATCGTGGTCGTGCGGAGTTCTAAAGCTTCCTAGGTTCGGCCTCTTGGCGCTGGCGGTAATCCAGAAAGAATTGGAGGAGCCACCCGAGTTTCGTTACGACTTCTGCTTCTAGTGTAGTATCTTGTTGCTTCTTTATTATTCATGATCTTTAGAAGAAGTATTAGTACTACTATGGAAGTGCGGACTAGTGGCCACTAAGAGAGTTACTTTATGTTTGTTAGATAAACTGCAGCCATCCTCGGGGTCGAGCAGGTGCCGGTGGGGCTCGATGTGCAGGATCCATAGCCTAGCCCTAACGGAGTCAAATTTAATCGCGATGCACTCCTTTTTTTACGCTGGTTTAAAACTCCTACCCAGTTTTTCGAGTTACCACTAGTGTTGGGCTGGACGAACTGAATGAAGTGAGCCTATAGATGAATGAAAACTGATTCGGTAGTTCAGACTGGATTGGAGCTCAGCACATTCGCATGCCCTCTTCTTCTAAAAAGCGCCCAAAGCAGGAGCAACAGTTACGGGCCTAAAAGTTTCTACTTCTTGATAACTATCCTTTTCTAACTATATCCTACTTCCAGATCAATCATGGAGATTCATTAATTTCTATAAGTACTAAACATCTACATGATCTACTAACTTCGCTGTTCCTTTCTATATTTTTTAGCCACGCGACATCTTCGACACTTGAAGATCATGAAGATTCATCATGATCTAGTAAAAGTTTGCACTTGATAGATGTAGAATCCAGCTTCTCTCATTCCGCAAACTGATATTTAGTCTTTCTCCAAAGTAGAGCCCATTTCTAGAAATCCGCTGCGTCGAGTTTAATCATCAAGAACTCCTAGAAGAAAAATACTCAACGCAATTCGAACAATATGATAAAGCATACTAGTCATCTTTCATACTACTAGACTGCTAGGTGTCCTGTTCCTTACGATCATGATGAAGGAGGTTTGTATATTTATAGTGTGACTTACAACGTCTAAGACATCCGGAGATGCTGGACAGCAGCTGCAGCCGTTGTGGACAGAAATTTTGATGGGATCGTCAGTGGCCGATCTTCAAAAACTCCATGAGCGGAAGGTCTGCAGCCAAGACTGGAAGGGATACCCCAGTGTTAAGGCTAGACTTTCAGTGAATCCCATGTGCTGGACGATGTTGCTGAGTGGACGAGTCCTGTCCCCCTACCTACTTGATTAATAATTTAAAAGGGGAAAGAAACGACCAAGGATTTGAATCTTCATGGCTTCGACCAATACTTCTCCTACTAAGCTGCGCGATGTTCTTCCCCTTTAAAAGGGGAAACGGAAAGAAGCGACCAATGTAAAAAATGCAACTTACTCAAGCACGGATAATTGATGCAGAAAACTAGCGCTAATAGTGCCATTGGCATCGGTCCTGATCAATCCGCAGTCAATGCTTGCACCGCCTGGGAGATTTGCTTGGGAGCAAATGATCTGCGCCAACACATTATGGCGGATGTTGTTTCTTCTTGCATCTTGTTCTATCAGTCAGATGATGATCATCGAGGCCGCTGCCCTTTCTTTGCTTCCCTTAAGATTCATAACTGAACTCTGTCATTGATATTTATATATAGGTTAATACTAAGGGGGAGCCTCGATGGTCTGCATAGAAGATGATGGAAAAGATATCATTCATACGCAAGGGAAACGAAGGCGGAAAGGCTGGCGCGAAGGACCTAGAACAAAAGACAACAAGCTACTTAGTGTCCGAATGTGACAAGGACAAAAAGGCGACGACCTATCCGGCAGAATTACCTGCGCCGAAGAGTAGCGTTAAGAAGGCTACCGATCAAGCATCCTCCTACAGCAAGGCCCTAGTAGGCTCTTTTTCAACTTGAAAAAGAAGCCCCCAAGGATATGAGTCGCAAGGAAGATGCGGACGCTATATCTCTAACAAGGCAGGCAAATTCAGTAAAACAATACTGCCAGCGGAGCTTCTTACAATCTACATTATGAAACGAAGAGCCTCGTCGGCATGATCCACGGCCGCGCTGCTGCTGAAAATATATAAGTGCATCGTCTTGTAGTAGATACATCCCCAGAAATCTTCGAAAGCTACTCAGTGTCTTTTGGAATATTTTACCACTTTACTTCCTTTTTCTCACAACACCCTCAGAGGCTATCGCCACGTCTCCTGTGCGTCCTCCTTGGGGCGCCTCGCTTGCGCGGGAGAGCTATCCTATCCTGCCCTATCGTCTTATCCTAAACAAGTGCGATATAGTATAGTACTTTTAGAAGTTTTGGCACTGTTGGAACACCCGAACACGCCCAAGCGCACTCTTTAGCTCTTGGGGGCAGGTGGATGGGATGCCGATGAGGGACGACTAGAGCGGGCGCCCTGTATGGTCTCTGACTGTTTAAAGCCCTGAAGCGGTACCAGCATGGGCCCAGTGTCGTGGGATATGTATCATGGGGGGCCGCGATGTGGCTACGAACCTGGGGGGACCATGCTGGCCTTTCATGTGCGCAGTGGTGTGTGATATGATCGAGAAGACCCCCAAAGACTGCAGACTCTTAAGCGCCTGAGCCTGGAGGCCACGAATTTCCTGAGTCGCATAGGTTGTTTGGGGCGTATTTTCTGAACCTTACGCTGATGAAAATGATGGGCATGAAGATCACCATGGCGACCCTTGTCTGATTGTATCAAGATCAGGACAACAGAAGAAGGGCAACAAGGTGAAAGAGCCAGATCAATCAGATGACTGAGAAAGGGCAGCGACATGCGTGCACCCTCATACTTTTCACGTTTCAACTGGGACGGGTCGCGTTTCCATTTTTTCGATTCGCAAAGTGATCCACCTTATTCAGCTGCACAGGCTCCGCGCTCATAGACAGCGGGTCAGCGAGTGTAGTCATTAGCTGCGCCATATCATCTAGGCCCCCACGATCCGACTCGAGAGAATGATGGAGGAGGAAGCGTCTAAGAGTGTTCGGGGGTGGATTGGGTATAGACATGCAGTGGGTCACTGAGTTCAACCAGCGACCGACCACATGAGGAACCAGCGAGCGAAAGAGCAAGACAAGGAACGGCGTCGGCCATGATAATTGCGGCGAGGGCGTAGCCATTGGCACTCAAATCAGGTGCATCCATAGGCTTCAGAGTAGGCGCAGGCCACACCATTGGCCGCCGCCCCTCCTTAGTCGCTAGCTAGGGGAAAAGTGGCAAAGGTCACGAGTGGGCACTTTGTTGATCTATGCCATCTGCGCCAGAATCTTGAGCCGCCACAAGTGTCGGATATCTCAACCATTCTCGCGCCACCAATAATCGAAAAGTGAACACCTCAAGAAAAGCAGACAGAATAGGCAAGCGTTGCCAATGGCATGGGATGGGCCAGAGCTTGAACCAGATTCGTCGCTTTCTCCTTCTGGGTCACTACGATCCCCCCAGTATGGGCATGGCCCAGGAGCTTTGAGCCTGCTTTGTGGTGTAGTGATTTTGTATGACTTGCGCTGGGTGGGCCTCGCTAGCCAGTCTGCCCTCATGCGGTGAGTAGAGCATGGAGTGGCCTCCTCAGCTGCGTCTCTGGCAGGCTCTGTCTTAGATACCTGCCTGGGCGCGTAGTGTCTATTCTTAGGCCTCGGGCCTTGGCTCTTTGCTGTCGATTTTGCAGCCTGGTGGCCGGCCCACAACGTGGAACCCCTGAGGGGTGGTGATATACCGCGCCGCGCTTCTGCTGGTTTACTTGGCAAGGGGCTGGAGAAACCTGCGAAGTCGTGCAGTTTGCTCATGACTATTGTGCTGGGCGCGGCTCGGTGCTCTGCCTCTGCAGTCGAATGCGCGCGCATGGTTTGGGCGTTGTGCTTCCGGCAGATCATCAGGGAACGACCCCAAGGGCGCGCAATGTAACCGAAACACCAGGAGCGTGCGCGCTTTTTATGCAGTTCGCGAGCCCTCTAGCGGGGGGCCACTTGGTATGTGGTAACCGTAGCCCCCTCCCCCCTGGTAAAGGTTTGTTGCTCATTTCGTGGCGGTCGTGTTCACTTTCTGGAGAGTGAGAGGGCCTCTGGCCTTCTGTCGTTGCTAAGTGCTTCGGCACCTCTCTGCAGGGTTTCGTGTGTGATTGTTTCAGCTAGGGGCTTCCGGACCGGCATACCTGGCCAATATCGCCACGGGGGCGCATATGCCTGGCCTTGTGGAGGTTGTCGATATTCATCCAAAGCAGTGCGCCAACAAGAACAACCCCACTCATACAGTGGCAGCCTGGCCGCTAGCTTCGGCCCCGCTGCCTCCTCTGGAAATGCCTGCAGACTCGTCGAAATTCGGCGACCTCACTAGCCTGCTTAGTGTTGTCCTGTACTTCCTCGGCTTGCTTAGAAGTGTTGCCTTCCTTGTACTTCCTCAAAATCTCTCCGGTGTGCATTTGTTCTCTCGGGATCTTCACAGAATGCGCCTCGGCCTCCCGACAGTTGTGGCTCGCAATCCATCGCACCAAGGGAGGTGGGCTACACACAGCCACTCGAAGCCGATGGGGGTAGCGGCTCGCTCTGTCATCTCTATGGGCCGGCGCGTCTAAAGGCCAGGCTGAGCGAGCCCGGGCCGTGACTCTTTATCGTCGGCCTTCTTGGCTAAGACTAAGTTGTCAGCGACGTCGGGTGAGGTCTTCGTGTACTTTCTTGGGTGTGCTTTGCTCGCTTTTCGCCACAACCTTGGAGCAGAAGGACATGGCCCCCGCCTGCGGTCGGATAATAGTTCGCGCCACTTCTTGGGCCAAGCATGTGGGGCGCCTTCGAGCCCATGGCGAGCCCTCTGAAGCTTGACGGTGTCGGCTCTGTGGTTGCTCCTCTGCCCACACAGGTGGAAGACGGCAGAAGGTGCCGCGACCTGGCTCAGCACTAAGAGGCGCTGAACCGAGGTCAGACGGGATCACGAAACCGGTCGCCGCTGCCGCTGGGTCTGGCGTGAGCTGACTAGCAGCGTGCGACACCGCCGGGGCGTAGGTGCTGACGTCCCCGGTTGAAACGGTCAAGATTTCCGAGCGCACAGCTGTCGGCTTCGAGTGTGCTGCTTTGTTTTACGGGGAGCGTGATCGCTATCGACGCTAGTACTAACTTGAGAAGCGTCCCGCAGCTCCTCGGCAGTACGTAGCTGGCGCCCAAGTCTCCGAGGCAAGTAGTTCGGCTCCCTCTTTGGAAATTCATAGCCGCTCGCCATATTTTATCTCAACGCCAGGGCCTTTCAATGCGTGGGATACTGGCAGCAACATTCATTGCGGGCACGCGTTGCGACAAAGATAGAAGAGCTCCCCTTCCTTCCAGCTCAGGCCCACCAGCTAGCGTGGCGCACTCGGTCCCAGACCCAGCGCTTCAGGCTCGGCCTTTGTTCTTCTCTTGCGTTGTCTTGGGTTCTTATCTTTGCCCCCTTCCTTGGCTTGGGGTCTTCCTCGGCCTCTCTTCCCCTCCTCAGCGTTGCGCCCTCCCTCGGCTGAGGTGGTGCGTGGAGTTCGTTGTAGGCATCGACTGTGGGTTAGGCAGCTCTGCGTTGGGGTGTGAATCGGGCGGCTCTTCTGATGGGGTGCTCCCCTTCTCAGCGTGTTAGCTGCCCGCCAGAATTGCAATCGCCGCCGGGTTTTGGGCCTTTTTCTTTCTCCAAAGATTCGCAGAAAAGCTCGCCCGCTTGAATTTTCTCCAATATCATCCCCATGCTGGTGGGATCGCCTGGGCTGTACTCCATGCAAGGGCAGCGCAGCTGACAGGCCACACGCTGCGGCGCGTGCCTCTGAGTCACTAGCCTCCAGCAAGGTCTTGCGCTGCAGCCTCAGGTCCGCGCCTTTCGTCTGTGGGGTTGGTTCGGGTTGTCTGTGCGTGGCACGCTGCAGCCGCTTTGGGTTTTGCGTAGATGATGCAGGGCGAGGGGTCAGGTGATGGGCCTGGGCTACTGCTTGGCGCTTGCGCCTTAGTTATTGGGGGCCGCGAAGCGTAGCCTGTGCCAGCCTTCCCCGCGGCTTAAACCCTGACCACAGCAGCCACGGCTTGAAGCTTGCAGGCGCTGCGACTTAAGCAGGGCGAGCCGCAGGAGCTCAGCTGGGCCTTTAAAGTGTAAAGCATCGCCCGCTTGTCTTTCGTGGTGTTTCGAATGCGCTGGGCGATCAAAGGTGTGCCAAATTACCGCGGCGTCCCCTATGGCTCGAGGCTCGCGCTCCCTCTGTGTGGGTGTCGTGTCGTAGTACAGAAGAGGCCCAACCCATGAAGCGGTGCCTGGGCTCTGTCAGATTGATTGACTTGGCGAAAGCGTGCCCCCGTGCTAAGCCCGCCAGGCTGGGCGCCTCTTATTTTTCAGCCTCATTGTGTCAGCGTCTGTGATGGTTTTCGCTTTGGGATTCTTCTACATGATTGCAATCGCTACGCCCCCAGCACCCAGCGCAATAGTTTTAGAAGTCTTCGCACTATTGGAACTAGGCTGCTTCGTATCTTATTTGTGTCCTTCTTCAAATAGATAGTACTAGAGCGAAGCTACCTTATCGGACTAGGCGGCTTCGGTTTAGTTCTAGTATGTTTATGTATTACTAGAAGAGGGGCGCAGACACTTATCTTCACACTCAGCGAACTCGATTAGCCCAACGAACTTTCTACCTCTAGCAGCGTACTTAGCTTTTGACTTAGGTTCTAGTACACTTCTGCTGTCTTCAAAAGTCCGACTCTGATACACTTATGCCACGTGTTTAGATTCTGAAATACACGAAAGTTTTGGGTTCTAGTACATTTCTCTTCGTCTCCTGTGGCTATCTAGTGATAGCGTTTGGCCACACTTTATTTTTCTAGTATCCTTACTATGATAGTCTTCACATTTTCAGAAATTATACTTTTCTTCTAATAGTTAAGCTTCTTCTCGGCCTCCCGTCGCGTGGACGATCTTCGATAACTTGAGGGATTCGGGAGATGTGGGTCCTGACAATCGGGCGAAAGCGCGCGCAGAGTGCCGAGTGTGCGCGACTGATGAGGTGCGTTTATTTTTCTAGTCCTAAGTAAATAATATGATAGGACCAATCGTCGCCTTCTAGTAGTCCTCTCTTTAGTTCGTATTAGATATGTTTTCACTTTCAACTACAAGGACAAGAAATGCGAGAACATCAAGCGGCCCATCGTCCAGCACGCGCGCTGCAACCTCTACAGCGTAGTAGCTTTTCTACAATCGACAACATCATCTACAGAGTGGAGCTCCGTGGATTCGGCGTCTTTGTGAGACAGTGGGCGCGTACATGGATGGAGGCAAAAAGTGCTATATTTTTTATGCTGCTCCGGCCGATCAGCAAAAAGACCCTTATAAGAAGGCCCTCAAGCTCTTGGTTGACAAAAATTACGGACATTGTTGACTGAGATCATGAACCATGACCGGCTTCAGTAATTTCTGACTATTCTTGCGTGCAAGCTCCTTTATCTTTGAAATACAGCGAAAGGCCAACATCGTCATCATTTTATAAAGAAACTAACGAGTTGGCTTAATATTTGTTACTCTCTCTAGATGAGCTATACTAGGTAAGATGCGACTGCGTTGTCAAATACTTCCATAGATCTTATTAGTAGAAACAAAAACTCGATTGCGGGAACTACTAGTACAACGAGTAGGCTACGGGGCGTCAACTGTTGTAAGTATACATCATGTTATATTACTATTAGATTTGAAGAAGGGCAGCGGCCGCGCGGGGTCCCCGCCGGCCCCCCGGCCCAAGGCTCCTCAAATCTAGAAGCAAGGAGGAAAAGGGGCTGCAAATAGGAGAACACATCGTAGAACAAGTCTCACATGGTAGTTTTTGGCTCTACTTCTTCCAGCCGTGCTCTGGTCTGCTAGTGATCCTAGTGGACCAGCACCTCTCCAAACCTAATCTAAGCGAAGCTAACTACTTCAAGGCATTCCTAAACTTTATTTTGGAAGATGAATGCCTAATACTTCTTAAAATACCTACTACTTCACCAGAGCCTCTAATGTGGTGGATTCGACCCACGCGTTTCCACTTCGCCTGGAGCGCAGCGAACAGTTTAAGGCAACCCAAACAACATCAACGAGCAAGCAGTTCTTCTTATTGTATCTATAATAGCGATGACTTAGACCGCCACGCGTTAAGTACTATATTGATACATTGTTACTAATGAATAAGGTGATTTAAGTACTATTATACATAGCGATCTTCATAGTAACTACAATGAATTAGATAGTGGTCCTTCTGAATTTGAAGAATTGCTGTGTGGCGTTCCTGCTTTTAGAAGTAGTAAGGAAGTTTTGTCTCCATCTCTTCTGTGCAATTTAGCTTTTTTGATATTTTTTCAACTGCGAAGTTGACATCAAGTAGGTTCCATTTAAGTATGTTGCTTGAGCGGTGGAGGTCGTCTTTGACATTTGAGTAAGGAACTGTCTACAGGAGAGACTATACATAACTCGGGGCCCCCCCCCTCCCCGTAAGGTGGACCGAACGCCGTAGAGCTGTCCACATTAGTCCCACCGCGTAGCCCCCTACTATAAGGGTGGCCCTCGTGCTCTTCTTTGACGCGTGACACATGACGCGGCACGCGCGGCCCACGGATCGACCAGCGATCCGTGGATCGATCGGCGGCCCGTGGATTGGTCAGTGATCCGCGGAGCGATCCGCGGCCCGTGGATTGATCCGCGATCCGTGGCTTGGTCAGTAATCCTCGGACTGCTCAGTGATCCGCGGATTGCTCAGTGATCCGTGGACTGCTCAGTGATCCGCGGACTGATCAAAGACCCCCAGACTGATCGGCCAGGGGTCCGCGGACTGATCAGTGATCCGTGGACTGATCAAAGACCCACGGATCGAGGGCCTCGGGCTTGATCAGTGACCCACGGATCGACCAAGGAGAAGGGCCCCCGGATCGATCAAAGACCCGCGGATCGAGCAAAGGCCCACGGATCGACCAAGGACCCCCGGACGATGGGGCAAGGATCCGCGGATCGATCAACCCAAGTCAACGATCCACGGATCGACCAAGGATCCACGGATCGATCAAGGGCCCACGGATCGCCCAAGGATCCACGGATCAGCCAGTCTGTGGACCGATCGAGGAACCGCGGAGCGATCTTCAAGGACCCGCGGAGCGATCAAAGACCCACCGATCTACCAAGAGTCCGCGGGCGGATCAAATATTCGCGGATCGCTCAAAGATCCACGGATCGACCAAAGACCCACGGACCACGCGCCGCCGCGTGACACGTGAAGCACATCGCTCGCGCTAGTTGTGTGCTGCGTCACGCTTGAAATTGAGCACAGAGACAGAAGGCGCGTCTCCTCCCGAAGCTCTCAGCGTCACAAACTGGGCGTCACGCGTCGCGAACAGCTCTACGGCGTTTCGGAAGTCCCGCCCCCTTGTGGTCTGGTCTGTGGTGGCGCGCGCGCGCGCTTCTCCGCGCGGGTTTTTCGCGGGTCTTAGTGGTGGAAGGCGTCAAATCTTGGCGCGGGCCTCCCCTTGGGCCTCTCAGCGTGTTCCTGGGGGGCCTCCTGGCCTCTGCTGACCTTCGCAGGCGGGAGGCCTTCGGGGTAAAAGGCTGCCGAAGGCGGCCACGGTCGCAAAAGCACGCAGTCCGATGACCAGGGGGCAGGGGCCCGGAGGGTCCAGGCGGCACGGCTCAGGGGGGTCTGGCCCCTCGACTTTTGCCGCCTTCGGAGGCCTTCCGCTGCTGGCGCACTGCTGCGGCGGTGAAGCCTAGCGGATGCACACAGGGCACAGGCAGGCACCTGGACGGGGGCGCAGGCGGTCCCTTGGGCCCCTTTTGAAGCCTCTAGGGAACAGCCAGGCAGCTGGAAGGGAGTGAAGGGGGGGAGGCCACTGGGCCCCCTTTGGTTGCTTTCCAGTCCCGGCAGACGCCTGAAAAAGGGGGCCAGGGCGCACGGCCATCCCCCGCTAGGAGGGCGTCGCCCCGCGGCCTGGAACATGTATGATTTATTTAGGGGGCTAGCGCTCCTAGGGCTTCTGCGTAATTTTAGACTGGGCTTCTACGTTTTTTCGTTGCGTGACCTCGCTTCTTTTTTGTTTATTTTGGCTAGCCTAAGGAGGCCCCGACCTCTTCCTTTAGGCTTGTGTCGTCATTCTGCTAGTCTTTCTGTGGACCGACCCGCTGAGCGGGGCCCCCTTCCCTGGGATGGCGAAATATTGTTGGACTTTATCGGCGTCCCCCGAGGGGCCGCCTCCGTCCTTTGGGCGGTCCTGGCCGGAGGCGCTTGGGAGGGGTGTCAAAAAGGGACACAAAAAGGGCTTACTTTGACCCCCCAAACGAGGCGGGTCATTTGGCGACACTTTTGGCCCTAAAAGTGTCGGCTTAAGGCACCCCCTAGGCGCCACTAGGTGGGGCCGCTTCGGTCATCGCAAAAGAAAATGGGGTGGAAGATGCGCCCCAATTTTGTCGGCGTTTTTTTTCAAAAGAAGTACCCGTCTGAGGCGCTCCTTGGTTGGCTCCGACCTTTGGGCCGCCGCATGTCGCCATCATGAGTGGCGGGCCGGATTTCCCTGGCGGCTGCTTCTCTGCTGATGTCGACGGGCCTGAGGGCCGACGGCCAAGCGGTGGCCAGGGTGTATGAGAGTGCGCCAGGCCTTGCCATTGGCGGCATTTTATAAAAAACGAAAAAGGTCGCATAACGAGAAAAGCCTTGGTCTAGTGATGCGGCTTCTTACAGGTGGTAGTAGTCGTGGGCGCTCACCTCTCCGAGGCGAGCCCATCCCGATCTTATCCTAAAAAGGATCGGAACACTATAAGGAACCGTATACAAGATAGAGCGTCGGCTTCATTAGTCTAGAGCTTGTTCTAATCCCTGGAGGACTGGCACTTTGACAACAGTCCCAACTTCAGGGGATTTCACCGACTGCGGAGCTTACACTTGTGGTCATCGTACTTAAGGCCGCTTCTACTGAGTAGTTTAAATGTGCGCCACAATGTGCTCCGAGTTCATTGATGTTAGTTGATGACTGGTAGCCCCTCTGAGGCTGCGGACGCTCGCCCGAGAATGCAGGCCAAACTGTGGACGGCGGACTAATTCCTATCCTATCTTATCTTATCCTATTAATCACTATCCGAGTACTATGAGTGCCGCTAGATGAAGTTTATCTCCATCTATCATCTCCGAGTAGTCTTATGGGTGTCCCCTTCCTCGTCCTCATGATGAAGATGTGAACTATGCTGGTGGGTGCGGGTGGAGTGTGCAGCTGCTCATCCTGTGATTTATTCTTGAAACGGGTTAAAGGGGAAAGAAACTATGTGAGGGGAAGAAACTACGCGATGGGAAGAAACTAACTGGGGGGAAGAAACTAAGGGAGGGAAACTCACTCAGCCAGAGGGATCGTGAAAAACTGACACAGTAGCCAAGCAACCATGTCTGTCTTCCTTTATTAGGCAGACCAAGACCTGAAACTCTGCCAGAGGGATGATAATGAACAACCACCCATCATGTTGACTTCTATTTCGTCTCCTTCATCTTCTTAGAGATTCATAATTATTAAACTTTAATTATATCAATCTTCTCCCTTTAATCCATTCAAATGTGAGAACAGTCGCCCAGCACCTTACTGCCGCGAGCATTCCCGAAGGACGGATGCAGGAAATCTTTCCGAATCGACGCCAGGTCCAAACAGAGAATGTGCACATTTCTTAAGGCCACGACCCATCGATGATGTTGATAAGTATACCAGAGTAGTTTATAGCACGCATGGCGCATGGAGTAGCATGGAGTGCATGGGGCGCAGAGCTTTGAGGGGCGCAAGAAGCTCCCCCTTTAGCTCCATGCTACTCCATGTGATCCATGCACTCCATGCCATGCGAGCTGGGAAACCTTATAAATTGCTCTGGTATACTATAAGTAGTAAGCTTAAGTTATAGGTCTCTCCTTCAGTTTCAGAGCTCTCAGCCCCTTATTGTTTACTCACTTTGCCCTCGTTGGTGGTTTACAAGTGTCTACTCTTTCGTGGATCTTGTCACAGCGATTCGCCCTGCGTTTAGGTGCTATATGCCTATTTATTTGGGGAGATGCACAGAATAGTAGAACAGAGGCGCATCAGGTTCAGGTAGAAGCGCGAACGCCTTTCGCAGGGGGGGCATCATCATATTTCCGAAGAGAACTTCTCAAGTAGGACGACTACATTTTACACATTTGTGAAGAGAAGCTAATATTTATAATTATAATTGCCATATGATCTTAGAAAGTCCTAGGTTCATCTTATTATAATTGCCATATGATCTAGAGTGAGACGAAAGGGTAAATGGTTAATTTAGTCTCTCAATATGTAAGGAGGAACGTGTTCATGTGATATGGGTTCCTCCTTCTCTCACTAGTTTTATGTGTTCCAGGGCTCAGGACTGATGGCCCCCCGATCTAAAATTTTGAGGGGGCGGCCTCCAGCCCCGGACCCTTTTTCTTGAGGGGCTGTCGGGCTGGAAGGCGTCCAAAGCGCCCACCCCTGACCCCTTCCCGCTTCTTGCCTGGACCCTACAGAGCCCCGATCCTTGAGGCTGTTGAAGCGCCGAAGGCCGTGGGTGGAAGGCTTCGGAAGGTGGCAAAGGTTGCAAGGCCGGACCCCCTTGCCGTGTTGCGTGTGCCCTACAGACCTGGCAAAGGTGGCAAGGGTGGACTTCCTTGCGGTGTTGCATGTACCCCACAGGCCTGACGAAGGGGGCAAGGCTGGACCCCCTTGCCGTGTTGCATGTACCCGACAGACCTGGCAAAGGTGGCAAGGCTGGACCCCCTTGCCGTGTTGCATGTACCCGACAAACCTCCCGCGTCCGTGCGGGCTCCTCACTGGGGGAGCTCCTTGGGGGGATGAGCGCCAAAGGGGCCAGGCTTCGCGACCGTGGCTGCCTTCGGCGGCCTTCTTCGCCCGGAGACCGTCTCCGTGATAGGACCAAGAGACGCCTGTCAGTGGGGTACACGCGGAAAGCCGCCAGGGGACTCCGGCTCCGCCTTTTGAGGCCTTCGCCCCCGGGGGTCCTTACATGCCACCACCGCGGAGAAGAGAGCGCGGACGCCATTGCCGCGCCGCCCACGGGGGGGCCCCCTCCCTGGTGCATATATTTACTGCAACAGCCCCTCCGTCAGTAGTTCATAGGGCAACTATTATCGTCTCATGTAGGTGATTAGTTTGCTACACGTCATCTCGATCTCAAGTTATGAGCTCACAGGCAGAGACGAAAGGGCGAATGATCTTGATGCCAGTAGAAGTTATTGATATATGTTAAGTATAGTTTAACTTCTTCAAGAAGATGACCACGGCCAGCACTTCTGACTCTGAGCAGGTCCTCGTGCTCAAGCTCTAAACAACATCGCACAAGGTTTGGATAGATAAAATGGCCTACGGCCCTGAAGAATCTCGGCAACAACTTCCAGACAAATTCCATATGACGATTGGAAAAGTCTTACCAGAATTTGACACAAGCAGTGCCTTTTTTTAAGGCTTACCCTAATCCATCTCCGGAAACATCCCCAAGGGGCTTCTTCATGGGAAAAGGCGCCTAGGATGCATTTCGGGACGATGGATTAGGGTGAGCTTTAGCACTAATGTTTGCAGCCCTCAGGTGGAGCTTTTTTTCAAAGTAGAAGCGCCCTCGTTTCTGCTGATCATGTAGAAGATGAGCAACATGGCAGAGATTCTGGCGCTGAAGATGTAGATGACGATATGAAAAGTACCATCTTCAGCACAACATCCAAGTCAAAAAAAACTCTGAGCAGGTCCTCGCGCTCAAGCTCTGAACAACTCAGCTCAACTTCTACTACATCAGAAGATGCAGCTGCTCCTGTTCGTCCGCCAAACAACACGACCTCATCCAGTTCAACAACAACTAGAAGAAATACACCAACTACTACTAGTAGTGCAACTCGTGCCTCTTCCGCTTCAAGATCAACAGCTAATAACTTCAACTACATTGAATTTGAAAAGGCAAAGGAGATGTCCGCTCTGTACAAGAACGTGGCTGTGCAGGGAGCCAGGATGTACAAGAAGCGCGGCTTTGGTAGTGTAGAAAGCCAGGATGTGGGTGCTGCTGATCAACTAGTGAACATAGAAGACAGCCACGACGTAGGTGATGAAGTAGATGAGTCTGGGTCTTCTAGTGTCCACCTCTATAACATCAAGAACTCGCCCAGATTTTCTAGACTCGAAAGTACAGCCCAGCATCAGCAGAGGAGTCGTGTTTACCACGACGACGTCGATGACACTGGGAGCACAGCAGCTTCCAAAGATTATGGAGGAGGCCTTTTTCCTTTGAAGAACATATTCAATTGATATTGTTGATACAAGAAGACAGAGGAAGGGTAAAGTAGATGAAAGGGGTCGTGCGAGATGAGGGGACCGAGATGAATTATTGCGCCGACGCTAATCTAACAGCGGCGGAGACGGCGGAGACCATCACGATGATGAAGATGATGATGATGAAGATGATGATGGTCACGACCATAATCGTAGCAGCAGCAGTCGTAGTAGTAGCAGAGGTGCAACGGCTGGAACTACGACGGCTGACCTTATTGATGGCCATGGTGCCGGGGTGGGGAATGGGCACCAAGATGATGCTTCAGCAAGACGCTGATGGTGAACTTCATGGGGTGGAGCAGGATGACAAGAAAGGATTGGCCTTTGGCATCTTCATGTTACTATAGATCTTTATCTAAAACTTAAACTTATATTTTAGCTTCTTTGAGTAGCATTAGTGGATGGCTACGACTAGCCCTAGGTAGCTAAAAAGTCATCAGCTAAGCTTCCTGAGCATTTCCATTGAACAACAAGTGAAAAGATGATAACTAACTAACTAAAAACTAACTAACTAACTAACTAACTCAATAACATGAAAAATAGAACAATTTTTGAAAACAGGCCCACGAGCTGCATGATTAGAAGGTCCTCGTCTACTATGGTGAGCTCGTCACTCACGCAAACATAAGAAGGAGCTGCGAATCCGCAAGCCAGTAATACAGGTGCATTAGTTATAAATATATGTTGTTCTTGTATAATAGCAATGAATAGCAAGCAGGCGAGTATATGTCTGTAGGTCTGAAATCTGCAGAGTTAAAAGTGTCAGTCTAGCCTCCAGAGTTATTATATTTGTCAGCCTTCTAGAATGTTATTCTTGTATTGAAAATTTACACTTAGAAGCAAGTAGTTGAGAAAGCCATCGACATACGCCTGCTAGTGATCCTGGTAGACCAATGCCTAACCTAACCCAACCTGATGCTGAAGTGGTTGACAACAATGACGAACAAAATTTGACGAACTACAAGATTGACATGTTGTCATTACAGTGGCGCGCCACTCAAGTATGAGCATTTCATGGAGGGCAATAATTGACACGCGTCGAAAACTAATATTCACATTGAGCGCTACGATCATGAACAAAAATAAGCGCAGGAACTACAGTACAACTATTACGACTGTGCCTACTATCTGTAGTAAATAAATAAGTAACCACTTCTGCTACTAGAAATAGTTCTAAGCTCCAAACTATGAAGAGCCACTACCACATCGTTGATTATCGAATAGAACAACTTCGCGGGCCTCGAGGACCCTTACGGCGCCTTCAGTGTTCACATTAGAGGCGGAGTGTGTGGCGCGATTTTGAGTGTGCTCTTAATAGAGCACAAAATAGAAGATGTCGATGCTGATGCTCACTTGATGTAATTATAGTAAGAGTACTTAACATGATGATGAACAATTATGAAAAGTGTGCGCCGTGTCATCATGTTTGAACTATTTGAATTTATTACGTCTTGAGGAATTATTCAAACTGCAACCCGTCTCTGTCCTGTAATAAGGAACTTTTTCATCTCGTGTAAGATAAGACTTCTGCCTATCAATCTAAGTCTCAAAAGACTTATATCATGACTTCAGTCAGCAATAAAGCGCGCAGGAGTAGAGTTCTCTACTTCATCAGGGCCAGATGTGGGCTCGTCGAGGACCGACCAGACACGCGACCAGACACTTGAACTTCTTCTACGATCATCAGAGAGGATCATCAGAGAGATGAGTAGTCTAGTCCTAAGTAGATCATCCTTTTTAGACGAGAGATAAGCTGTTGAGACTGATCCGCCTCCCGAGAGAGATAGCAACTAGTAGTAGTACTTCTAACAATCTTGTTAGTCTTAGGACAACAGCCTGACCCTGAGGACGAAAAACAGGCAGGACAACGACAAGGACTAGAACTACAAGTACCGACTAGGGTGGCCTTACTGATGGATCCACAAGATGAGGAAGATGATCTGTCCGAACCAGAACTATACTCAAACACAGTTGAATAGAACAAGAACTGACCACTTGCTCTATTCCTTGTTCTTGAGTGAGTAATCAGCGGACTCTCGTCTACCTAGCCGCGTCCTTCGAAGTGGACTGTGACGCCGAACTACAGGTCTACGCTATTATATAAATTCGCGATGTCGGAGGTGCGCGTGGCCTCCTGACCTGATCGAGGCCAATGAACTTGCCTTGACTTTACTGAGGCAGTACTTGAAGCACAGGCAGTAACTTAGAGTACGACGTCGACACTTGACAGCATGAGGCAGACGACCGACATCTGCATGAGGGAGACGATCTCGTTGGCAAGACTGCAGTTTTCACAGTTTCAAAAAATCATGATCAAACTTTCAAAAATTACCAACCCAATTCCAACTTTTAGGTGGTATCTATAATAAGAGTCGGCTCTTTAAATCAAGATGTGGCGGGAGAGTGGGAGCTAGGAGGCGTCTTTTTGCACTGTTCTCTCTACTTCATCAAAGCTTATACTTTCGAAATTGCAACCTTTTTTCCTCTTTTTTGGTTAGTTATGGATCATGCGAAATGATCTAAATGCTGTTGAAGCTGCTAATCGCTGTGCGTCTTCTCCCTTGTATCCTTCAATGTTCTTCACGAAATTAACCTACCAACTTTTTTAACTGCTTATTCTTTCTTATGTGTTAATGGATATGGAAACAAAAGCTATAAAGTGGCTTTATCTTTATGCTCAATATTTGTTATATGTAAAAATTTGATTCAAATTAGTAGCACTAGTACTACACGGTCTTCTACGAAGACCAGGGCACTAGTACACGGTCTACCAGGAGGACCACAAGACCGTCTTGTCAAGACGCGTCGCGTGGTCACAAGAGTCCTCATGTGGTTCATCTTGACGTCACGTGTTGTCTGCCTGCTCGACTGGTCTTGACGCAGCGTTGAAGACAAAAACGCGACGACTGGTCGTGTTGAAGACAAAAACGCGATGGAAGAAAAAAAGACTTTCTCCAGCATGACACCAGACGAACACGTCCCAGACGACGTGGTTGAACATGAAAGGAGCAGGACTGATCACGATAGGAAGCCTGTTGGCCATGATAGAAAGCCTGGTGGCCATGATAGGAAGCCTGTTGGCCATGATAGAAAGCCTGGTGGCCATGATAGAAAGCCTGTTGGCCATGATAGAAAGCCTGGTGGCCATGATAGGAAGCCTGGTGGCCATGATAGAAAGCCTGGTGGCCATGATAGGAAGCCTGGTGGCCATGACACGAGAAGGGCTGACCATGACAGGAAGACTGGACTAGTGTTACAGCATCACTTTTACAACCATCAAGAGACGAAAACTGGTACTAGTCGTGTTAGCACATCATCAAGCTCGTCTTCTTCCTCCGCTAGTTGTAGTGTTGTTTCTTCTCAGATGATGAAGACGAGGCAGTTAATACAGCAGCAACTTCTGAAAAACAAGAAAAATACTAGAAGCAGGGTGAAAAAGTGTTGTAGTTGTTCTTCTACTTGCTTCTCGTGGTTGAAGATGTCCGATAGATCTAGGTCGTGTCATGATATTTTTAATACATGGAGAAGTTGTATTATAAGAAGTGCTACTAGTTGTACAAGAACGTGCAACATCGCATGGTGGTGGCGAAAGTGGTGGACAAGGATACGGAACTATAGCACTACTTCATCTCCCAACATTTCTTCACCTGGCAAAACCACACCCAAGAGAAAAAACGGCGCCTCCACTACTTCTACCAGAAGAACTACAACTTGTTCTAGCTGTTCTTCTAGTACGCCAGGATCTCCTCCAGGAGCTACAAATGGGCTTAGTGACATCATGAGAGGCATCTTCACGCCTACGACGACCACTACTCCTGTCGTACTAAGAGCGACAAGTAGTACAGGAGCAGCTGCAATGTTGACTCCATCGCCAAGAGGGAGACCGAGAACTTCCACCAGTACAAGTCCTCCAACATCTAGGTGCTCACAACTAGGTTCATCTCCGGAGAATAGTGATGAAAGTACTACTTGTACTTGGATGTGGTCCTCTGGTATGTCGCTGATGAACAATAGAACAACAGTACGACAACTTTTTGGGCATCTAAGTAGTTTATTTAGTAGTAGAAGTGCAAGCACGACTACAAGACCTAAAAGAAGAACTACAGGAAGGAGCACAGGTGCAAGTGGAGGTAGAACGAGAAGAGACACTACACGACCTACACCAGGTAGAAGGGCCCCCACCTCTTCAATAGACGAGACACCAGGTACAGGAACGCCCTCTCCGATAGACGAGCACGAGGTGCGTTTAGAAAACTTTGCAGCCTGGAGAGGCTTCCTACATTAAGGCTACAAAAAATCACTCTACGTTCCCAGCATCTTACTTGGTCCTCCCGTTTTTCCACAGCGAATAAACGGGAACCATGCTGACGATGGATTTCCATTTCTCTGAGTTCTAACCACAGATACCGATAGAGGCGTATGGGGTATTCGGTGTGATGCTCCTCCTTCTATGCGTCATGACCTCGTGGACGTCGCCATGGGCTTACGTCGATCACTACCAACAGGAGCTAATATCAGCCACTTCCCCTGGTGCTCCTATGGTTCACGACGATCAAGACACAGCAGGCGTTACGACTACTAGTACTACTTCTAGTTCTACTAGGGACGAGCCGTCTGCTCCTGGTGCAACTGGAGGAGGTCCTAGCACTGCTACAACTAATGAGGGTTCTGGTTCTCCTCCAGCAGGTACTATAATTGGTTCTTTTTCATCCAGTATCAGGGAAGCACTACTCCCTTTCGCTGTACAAGAACCTCCAGCTGAGGAGGACGCGTCCTCTGATGTTGTAGGGCAGGAAGCTTTGCCACAAGATCCCGTCAAAGAGGATGTTGTAGAGCAGGAAGCTTTACCACAAGATCCCGTCAAAGAAGCTTTACCACAATTGGATGTGGAGGAGAGTAGAAGAACTAAGTCTACAACTAAGAGTAAGAGACCTTCAAGTAGGAGAACTAAGCCTTCTTCCAGATCCAGAGGAGAGCAGCAGGGAAATTCAAGAACACCAACTAGGTCTAGCTCTGGAAGTTCTAGTTCTAGTACACGAGAGTCCTCGACTTCTACATCTACTGCTAAGGGTGACCTTGAAGAATACGTGACTGATGAGCTTGAAGGTGGTGAGCATCTTCATCAGGCAACAGAAACGCAACTCCGTGAAGAACAACGAGGACACGGGTCGTCAAGTAAACACACTAGAACAAGAACTTCTAGGAGAAGACTGCCGCGGAGAAGTAGGAGAGGTGCCTCTGGTAAAACTGGCGCGCGAAATTATTATAGAACAGGTGGAAGTCATCTTTCATCAGAACAAACCCAAACGTTTGAGTCTACAAGAAATGCATCTTCTTCTACTTCTGAGGAAGACAACATGATATTATCGCAAGTGCAGCACCAGGACCAGCCGACTGTAGTACTACAACTTCTTCATGCACAAGAGCAGGACGCGTCTACTTCTTCACGCACAAGAACAGGAGGCACGGGCATCGCGGCCCCTTCTTCCCGCACAAAAACTACAGGGGGTAGCCGAGAAGTTTCTCGTGTTCTTTCTCCAGCTCGTAGTGTTTCTCGTGCTTCCCTCTTAGAGGTAAAGATGAAATCATGCTGCACTCATCCGGATGACGATGGAGATGACAGTGATGACAAGAAACCTGCAATTGGCTTCTGCCTCTGCGCTCATCCGGATGACGGGGGACGAGATGACAGGGATGACAAGAAGCCTGGAATCGGCTTCGACACCTATGTCTACTGGTTGGTCGACGAGCATTTAAGGGAGGTTTGCTACTTCCACATTGAAGATGGACACTACTCTCACATCGATTTGTGGAGCAACTTTCATCTTCAATTATTATTTTTGATGTCATTTTTGCATGATCTTGTTTAACCAAGAAGAACGTCTCTACAACTACTATAAAATTTATAGTAGTTGTAGAGACGTTCTTCTTGTGGGATTCTTTGTGGATCGAAGCAAGAGCATCCACCTTGTTCACAATCGCAAGAACGCAACGCGATCGTACGTTTTCTAAATCAAGGGAGGAACATAAAAAAGCTCAGAACAGAGCACAGGCCCTCGTCTGTGACAATGCTGACGGCCCATGGAGACGAGGATGAAGAAGCTGGCAAAACAGCCTGCTCTTGCTGCTGTAGTGGGGATGAAGATGGTGGTACTGGTAGCCCACAAAGAATGGGAAAAGTGCGGCACATCAAAGTTCGAGCCAACAGGCGAACCAGAGCCGCACTTGCTGAGGGAAAGATAAGCCTACCAAAAGCTACGACAGGAGTGAAGGAGTGTATTCATGATACTCAGAAATATGTTGGCTACAACAACTCCACAACCTGAGTCCAAGAGTGACTAATTATACTTGAGTATGAGCACCACCCTTTTTCCTTTCATAAAATCGACCGGCATCGTGCTAGACTTTGTGAACTATCAAACGACGCGTATGGATAAGCTGGCGCAGAAAATCAGAGCCAAGATTCGTGGTGCTGCAGAGGGAAAGCAAGAAGAGTATGGAGACGGCGTGATACCTGACGACCCGGCTTTGCTTTTGGGAGAGGTAGAAGAAGGACAGCAAGAAATTGAATTGCTAATCACTTAAGGCCGGGTTGAAAGTTTTCATTTCTACTACGTGCGATTCTCGTCCCTTAGATGAATTGCTACTTAAAAATGAATTGTTTCAACCTCCAAATCACGGACCATGTGGACAAGCATAAAACAACTCTGCAACAGTTAAAGTCACAGTTAGAAAGGACTTCCCAAGCAGATAAAAAGGCCGAACTGACAACGAAGATAGATGCGAAGATTAAGGCTACCGCTGGGGCAACATCCATCCTTATAATAACCGCCATCCTTGGCAAGTTTTCTACTTGAAAACGAAGGAGCCAAGGATCTTCTTCAAGCACCTCCCAGTGAGTTGTTTGCGATGCGAGGGTTCGGTAGCTGCTCTAAGAAGTTACAGGAAATTGAGAAGGCGGAGCAACGGATTCAAGAAGTAGAGACAACACTGTTTAAGCTGCAGTCTAGGATTCCCGAGTTTGCTTCTGCTGAGGGAGGTGGAGCGAAGCCACTGGTCACCATGCTGAACGAAATTTATCTACTCGAAAATGGTAGTACTAGGAGCGGTACTGGTGCTGTAGAAGGAGAAGGAGGAACATCAAATAACGCAGGAGCAGCTGTTCAAGATACTGGTGCTCAACATTAAGCGTACAAGATGAGCTACCTACTAACAACAAACCCCGCCATCTAGTATTATTACATCATCTTTTATTACCGTATTTTTTCTACCTGATGAAAGTCCTCAAGAAGGGCCGCTACAAGGTGTCGACGTCCCAAAAGATTATAGCCATGATTGTCCCCGGCACCTCTACTTCTAAGAACATTTTGATGTCTCGCTTGTAAGCGCAAGAGCGGCACTCGCAGAGGCTGAGCGGCTTAACGAGGCAGCATCGAACCTCTGCCAAGACGCGGCTCAAGCGATGAGCAACGAAGCCGACACAATGCTCAACGACATGAGGGCTTTGCTTCTCCGCAGTGGCATAGCTGAGAGCTCAGTGGATGCCCGATTAGCAGGCATTAGGGCAGACGCAACAGCAAATGATTTAAGGGTCGTAGGCTCAAGGTGTTCCTGTTGCTGTTTGTTATGGCTCTCCTCAGGGAGTCAGGCATAACAAACGGGATAAACGAACACCAAGACGAGCCTACCTCTAGCACATGCAGCAGCGCCGGTCGACGTGGATGGAAACGCCATCGGACTGAATGCGTGGACTCTTGCTGCCACAGAAGAGGCCCCACCTACAGCAGTCGCACCCAGAAGCAGAACTCCAAGTGCCGCTGGCATTAAGACTTGTTGTTCCTGTTCTACTTCACTCACACGGACACGACTCACGAAAAAGCTCTATTAATGTTTAGTCCGTTAGTACCCCTGCTTAGGTCGTGTAATATCTATTTATAAATATAATCCCTTGTTTTTCTTTTCCTAGTCAGCTTGGCTCCACCCATAATATAATTTCTTCATCATGCAATAAATATACTGAGTAGTACTCCCACCTACATCTTCTTCTTCAATCGTACATAGAACATAATTAATGCTCAGAATGAGGAGACCAAGATGTATTAACAATTACTAAAAAAAATGTACATCGCGGCCATCGGAACAAATCAAAAATGGTCAAGTAGTGGTCCTTTATTTCTTTTCTTCACCACTAGTTCTCGCTAAGGCGGACAGTCGTGCTAGAAACGCGGTTCTGGCTAGGTCAGTATCTAGAGCCGAGGCATTAGCCGAAGCAGCTGCAGCAGAGGATCATCGTAACGCTGGCGCAGAAGGTAGCTCACCAAGTGGTGGGAAAGCAAGGCCGCTTCGTAGAGTTCGATCATCGCCGTTAGGTAGTTCATCTAGTTCATCTTTTGTGCAACAGGGACAGCTAGTACAGGAACAAGAACAAAAACTAGGAGTTCTTGTACAGGAAAAATTAGGTCGTCGCGTAGAAGGAGGACCACCACCACCAGTAGACCACGGAGACCTGGCTCAAGCGAAAAATGCCGTCTCAGAATCGAGGACGATGATAGAGAAACATATGAGAAGAAAATCTGTCATCATTGTCATACTTTTCTACTTCAGAAACTTGATGATGATACCAGATTTTCGCTTCATAGAACAAGACAGAGAGTGCGAAAGTGCTGTCAAAGATGCCGTGGCAGCGAAACTGAAGCTAAGAACAAGGCTCACTATGCATATATTCTTGTAATTCATCGGGTTTCTTGCTGGCAAGAACATCAAAGTAGGACAAGAACTACTACGACAAGAACGACCGACGTGTTACTTATATTTCTGACTTCGTTCTCTAATGAAAGCGTTACGTCTTTTAGTGGATCTATATGGTCGTGCAGAGGCGTTGCTAGGACGGTTCGCAGGGAATGAACAAAGTCCCTCTTACTTCTCTATGTTACTTCAACGCGAAAACCAAGCGGCTGCAGCGAACGAGGCATCAACTTCAACAGCAGAGTTAAGGCTTCTATCTTCACAGCACCAGAGTTAAGCCATTACGCGGCTTAAGTTGTACAGATTCATCTCTGAAGATAGCGAAAGGTCCTCCGGATAGATGTATGTGTAATATCACGTAGTTGTACCAACCTTCAATGCTGTTAGCCTCGTTTCGCACTACGTTAGGTAGTTGTACTAGCTAGTAGTACAGAAACACTAAAGCAGCAGCTCTTAATTAGTTGTACAACTAGCTAGTAGTACAGGACTAAAGCAGCAGCTCTTAATAAAATCCTCTAGCTCTAATAACAGCCGCTCCCTCGTCCAACACAGGAGGCAGAGGTGCCGAGCCACGGTCTCAGTTACAGTTAGCCTCGTCTGAGAGTCAGAGCAGTCCTCGGCCTGAGGAAGTAGCTCCTGTCTCGACTCCCGTAGCTCCTGTCTCGACTCCCGTAGCTCCTGTCTCGACTACTCCCGTAGCTCCTGTCTCGACTACTCCCGTAGCTCCTGTATCGACTCCCGTAGCTCCTGTATCGACTCCCGTAGCTCCTGTATCGACTCTCGTAGAGGCAGCAAAGGAAGTTGGAATCTCTGCAGGGTCCGACCTCCTGGAAGCGCGGATAACGCGCGTCTGGATCGTAACGAAACGACTCTTAGATCACATGCAGGGTTCTCCCGCGTTGGGAAGAACGGATAGTGGCGTGGGTGCGGGTGGAGCAGCAGATGGAGATGGTGGAGGAGATCTTCGAGATGGTGCAGATGGATCATCCGGTCTTGAGGATGGATCTGGTAGTATTTTTAAGGCCTTTCTTTCATCTGGGATGAACTGTTCTTGTAGTTGGATGAACAACTGTTCTTGTAGTTGGATGAACAACTGTTCTTGTATCTACTTATCATCGATGAACAACTGTTCTTGTATCTACTTATCATCGATGAACAAGAATTGTAGTTGTATCTATCATCCCGCCGGTACAACTAGGCTAGGAGGACTAGTACTAGCACTAGGGATGTAAATGAACAATGAATGGAATCCAAAGAAATCTATCATGATATAATCTTAACGCAAGAGTTCAGAACCAAGTAGTGAAAAGAGCTCTAATAAGAATAATGGCGGAGCAGGATCTTCGAGTGGCACCAGGCGAGGCAGAAAAAACTTGTTAGCCGAGTTCGACACGATTTTCGCTGGTACACCGAGTGTGGCGGACTTAATCGCTGACTCACTCGATGGTGATGGTGCAATAACGAATCAGTTTCTGGACTCTCATGATTATTTTTACGGCTCTCATCTAGACTAGTCGAGGATAGCCACGATGGATAATTTCAATTTGACTGTAGTTAAATTTGAGAAATTGAAACTCATCTTTTTTGTTCGACGAGCGATGTCTGTACAGTTTTGAAGCGTACTATTTGTCCACTTACGTAATAAAGATACGAGGAAGGTCAGAAAAGAAAGTAGATGAAAGAAGGCTCACCTGAGCAGCTGCGCTACCTTTTTGGAGCATCGTGTAGACCATCTATGACGCCGTTATGGCAGTCTGCACTGAACTTTGTGCGAGATTAGTTGTATTGTATTGTACTACCAACAGGCGCCCCTCGTCTAACTTATGTCGCCTTGGCAGCCGTTGAATGGGGAGGATGTGGTTGCCAAAGTAGCTAGAACAACTGCCCTAGAAGATATTCCAGCCGCCTATCTAGAATCGAAGAGGGAGAGGCAGCAGTCAGATAATCTGCTGCAACAAGGCTTGAATTATTATGATTGCTGGTCGTTGGAACTGGAAGAGCACACCATGACTTCGTTCGTTGCTAGTAGAGGAAGACAGTATTATCGTAACTACAGGAGTTGTTTCTTTAGCTGGTTCTTGAAAGTAGAGGACTACAGAAGTACAGTTGTTACAGTAGTACTGTACTCTAGTTCAGGAGTTTTTTCTTTAGAAGTTGTCCTAGCTAGTTGTACTACTACAACTACTTCCCCATGAAGATTCCCATCTACGGCTCCCATCTACGGCTCCCATGATTCAGAGACCCTGATACCATGACTCGTCACAGACACGACCGCGTCATAAAAATACCCTCTATTACTATTCCATTACTAATCCGACTGTTCCAGCCAAGTGCTTTCAGATTCTGAGCCAGACATATCGGAACAAGAAGATGAAGACGATCTAGCAAAAATAGCGCAAAAGGAAACGGAAATGTTAAGGCTACAACCCGGGATCATAGTTCTAGTTGTGTTTCACAACATTATTCCTTTGAGAGTAATCAAAGCACTAATAAATTGTAGATTGTAAGGGCGTTGTAGATTGTAAGGAATAAGTAAATAATTTCTGTAGTCCTTCTACGGCTGCGAAAATCTGCTGGAGTATGCAGGTAAAACTGTGGACGGCAGACCCCATCCTAATCCTAATCCCAATAAATATTTGCATTTCTTGGGTAATCGATCCAACAACGAACTCATAGGAGACGGCATGATCGGCTGCTGTGTAGATACTGAAAATAACCGATTTACTGACTAAAATCAAGCATGGGGTAGCATTGACAGGACTACTCTTTTCTGTGTGTTCAGTTGTATCTCGCATATTTTAAGTAGTTACTCGCTTATTTCAGTTTATCGGATAATCAAATCTGTCCAGCCGCCATCCACCACGCTTAAAGCAAGAATAAGAAACTAGCCGTCAAGCCAAGTCAAGGGGGTCTTCCCGTTTCTCGCCCTGAGTAAAAAGAGCGGTTTTTTTCTCCAGTGGAGCCGTTCTTTTTACTCGGGAGCCACGACCTGCTCTAAAAGTCGCTTCCGTTAATGCAGAGATGGAAAAAATTCTTCAAGACATGCGAAAATTTTTGGAGGAAGACGCCAGCTCCTCTCTCCTTGCTGTGGTGAACCAATGCAAGCAGGTAGAGCAAAGAGTGGTCGATGAGACTAATTAAGGCAGCTGCACACCTGAAAGCGTCACAACCAGAAAGTGATAATCTTCTAGAAAGGCAGACCATGTAAAAAGATTGTAAGTTTCTAGAAAGGCAGACCATGTAAGTAGTTCTTGGCGCAAATACAGATCAAGATCATCACCTCCTTCGCTATATCGCTTTTTGAACACCAGCTCTTGCTCTAATCCTATGCAGCCATTTCGAATGCAAAGGAAGCGCGTGCGCAAATACAGGCAGACTCAAATGCAGGTGGGCTCATGGCGAGTGACAATTCTTTCACAAAAGGCGGAAACAAAGGGAGGAAATACCAGCTCCGTGATGCGATTAATGTTAGGGCTAGTAAGTTGTCCAAGCTAAGAATGTATGACATCTATTTGCTGATGATGATGACTTTTTTACTTCGTGATTGATTTCCTTTTGTCAGCCTTTCGTAGTTCTTAGGGTACCACTGGAACTAGGTGGAGCGTCAGCCCCCTCAACCTCCACTGCAGATAGTGGAGAAAGAGAGTATTCAACTCATATAGTGAGAGTATGTAAGCTACGGCAAGCTCTTCACCTTCATCTGCAGAGAGTAGTAGGTGTAGGCTATAGTTTCATCCACCTGGGAGCTATTAATTTACAAACAAACACAAGTGACACTTGTGTTTGTTTATAATTAATACTAGTCGTTCTATTCCTAAGTAGGTGACTAAATGAAGAGAGCGCGATGTCACGATCATGAGCGATCATGCTTTTCTAGTAAGTAGAAGTACAGTGAGACAAAAGTCCTCCTCAAAGTCTTCAAACTAGAAGTAGAAGCACCTCCTGCTCTAACAAACCCGAGTGTGCAAATAAAGCCAAAGAAGTCAAGACAAAAGCTGAAGAGAAAAAAACACAGCTCGCAGCTCTTGGGACAAGACTAGACGACTTGGCCCACAGTAAACAAGCGCTGGAAGTAGACAAAAACTTATTAGACGAGAACTTCTAACGAAACAATTTGATTACTCAACTGGCTAGTAATCGAGTTTGCTATTTTAAATTCGATTCTCTAGTGCGATTTCTTTATCGAGAAAAAACGACCTCGTCTCCTCATAGCACCTTATTTGAGACTGTGTCTCTACTGTCTTCTCCTTCTGTGATTATGCATATTATCATGTTGTACATCCGTCTAGCAGTGCTCTACTTTATTTTAGGCATATTTGTTCTAATTACGACTGCAGCATTGGGAGATCCAGCCGCTGCCCAGAAACCTGTAACTGCAGCGAAGGAAGATGAGCGGCCTGATGAAGGGAACAAGCAACACGAGTTGTCTGCAGCGTCTCTAGAAGAAGGATCTTTTGAGCAGGCGTCTCTGATGCAGACTACACGTACCTCCAAGATGATGAAAAATCGTGCTGCCAGGGAGGTCGTGGTGGACGAGCAACAAGCAGAACAGCCCGTTGCACGTCCTGAAAATGATGCAGCCACTCCTTCGGAACAGCCCGTTGCACCACGTCCTGAAACTGATGCAGCCACTCCTTCTCCTCCGCAACCACAGAGTGACGCAGCCGCTCCTTCTCCTCCGCAACCACAGAAAACCGTGGTACCGGACGATGCCCCGTTGCCCGCAGCGGAAGAACCCAATCAACCTCCTAATGCTGCATCCGCAGAGATATCTACTCCTCTACCAGAGGACCCGCCTGAAGTCGCTGCTGCAGCTCTTGCTCCTCCGGATGCTGAGATATCTACTCCTCTAGTACCAGATAAGGATGCGCCCGAATCTCGTGCTGCTGCTGACGCCGCCGCACCAGCTGAGGCGCCTCCACCTGAGGCCGCCGCTCCGGAAGCCCATTTACCTCACCCTGCCATCCCCGAGGAGACCGCAGCGAACCAAGTGGTTGAACCTGAAGTAGAAACCGGAGTAGAAGGATCAAAAATCGAGCAAGGTGAGGCAATTTGGACGACAATTTATGGGTTGGAAATTGACCTCTCTGTGAGCAAGCATCTTTTTGGCTTCTGCAAGTTAGTAGCAAAGCCATAGATATCATGCGAGTGAGATCGGTCAACTTTCAACCGCTAAACAATAGTTGGGTTAGAAGAGCAATGCCAAACTAGTGCCAAGCGAAGTCGTCTTGTTCTGCACCGTAACTGGGCTGCGGAAGTACTAGCACTGAATGTCGAAAGAATGCAACGAAAAGTGGGACTCATCCTTATGGCTATTGTTTTCAACATAATACAGGAGAGGAAAGGAAGATATCCAATATAACGGGTTCTAGTTCGACCTCTACTGCATCCTGAAATTATAAGATAGATATTTTTATTTTGTTCTGGCAACCGAGGAAGTGCTTTTGTTCATCACTTACTTTCATCATGATGCTGGTGGAGGCATCTACTCCTTATCGTTACAGGTGGGTATGGAATTTTTTCTCTGCCATCTTCATCTTGTCCTAGCAAAAAATTCGAAAATCGGTAACTACAACATTATAATATTATCTTAAGCTCGTGAACTATAATATTATCTTAACAAGCTGATGAACTACTACCTTCTTCGAACAATAAAGACGCCTTGCAAAACGAGTTTGGTATTGGCGAAGATGCGACTTCGACTATGGTTGGAAAGGTGAATGGAGAAGACGTAACGCTTGCGGAGTTGACGGAAAAAGTCAGCAATTTTGCTGCCACGCGCGCGAGCCAAAGTCAGGATCTGAAGTTATGCTCTTGTTCATGTGATGACGTCAAGTATCAATTTCCTTAAAGAAGCTCCCTATAAGGAAGCTCCCTATAAGGAAGCTCCCTATAAGGAAGCTCCTTAAGAGATTTCGGCCGGTTGCTAATACTATAAATACTAATATATAAGTAGCACTCAGCCTTATTTTATGAACTTCTTGAGCTTTTAGTTTTACTATACTGTTGAGCTTTTAGTTTTACTCCATAATACTGACTTATTTGAAATGTCCTTGGTACTATACCTTTTTATTACTAGAAATCTCCAGTTTTTTGGAGCTGCAGTAAGTTCACGTTATTACAACTTACACTTGGGAGATTTGCTGCAGTCCACGTTATTACAACTTATACTTAGTAGATTTTCTTTTAGCAGTCAAAAGGAAAAGAAAAACTGCTTAATATGTAGTTGTAGCTTGATATTCCAGCCAAAAGAAAAACTCTCACCTGAACGGATGCCTTCGTCATAGGAGAATATCGACTCGCCAACTTGCCCAAAAATGCTTCTAATGAAGAACAGGGCAGACTATTCTCAACAGATATGGCTGCCGCTGATTCGATTTTTTAGAACTAGGTATAACAATAACTACCGAAGCATTAACTTTCGTAGTCGTGCTGAACTACAAGAACAGAGGCAAAGAACACATGACAAGAAGACTCATCCCTTGCGCCTCGATTTAGAACTAGTTGACGAGGGCAGCTATGGCCTATTTGAATTTGTAGGCTGCTTTAAGAAACGAGGACATAACTAGTACTGACTGGTCTTCGCTATCATTCTACTGGTGAGGCAGTTTGTTCTACTTTTCCCTATCGCAAGAGTCCTCTAGGCCTTCGGCTGCTATGATTTTTGGCTGCTCTAATAAACGACGACCTAAAAGCGTTTGATTCTATTGTAGGTCCAGAAGGAAGCGCGAGCTCCGCGGTGGAGTACGAGGCTCTTATCGACTCCATGGTACTTACGGCTTTGACTTTGTTCTTATTTTGCCAAAGTATAAGCAGGTCAAACTGTGGACGGCGAGTCAACGCCTAACGACCTACCCTAAGCATGCAAGATGAGTATATAATTGTAAGAATCAATATAGTTTTGCTAATGGTAGCGAGCTGGAGTCACGGCTTTCGCTTTGATGTAGTTCTTTACTTTTAGAAAGATACAATAACTGACTCGTCCTCTAGTAGTACTGTACTACTCAACTGCGATAGCACTAGCAACTGTATTAATGGCCTCCTGGTGTTCCTTTTAGAATGGTACTATTGTCATTGTGTAAACATGTACTATCTGTTGATGCACGACCTCGAGCACGAGCGCATTTTTTTCGATTTTCTTCCAGGGATCTGCAGCTCTAATCTACAGAGTGATAATGTGTGCCGCCAGCTACTAAAGGATAAAATTTAAGAACAAGGCTTCAGCGCGATCCTGAAATGATTGGCAGTGAGTCTCCTTCATCCTTTAACCGTTCTGGCACTTAAGTTCTAAGCTTAACCCGTTACTGGCTCTACTTCTAGCGGTTTCGGAGGACTACAAAAACAGGATTTCTTCTAGTTGTATAGAGGAAGGGCCCGCTGCGCCGGGCATAGGTTAACAACTAGACAGATTGACTACTAAGAGACAGAAAGACAAACGAAAAAAGTCGCCAAGTCTGCTTGCCAAGGCTGGGAGGGTGGCGCCCACTGTGGCAAGGAGGGGAAGGCTGGGGAGGTGGCATCCCCAACGGCTTCGATTTTCAAGCACGGAGATGGATCTCTTTGGCCTTCTCAACTCATGGATGTGATGACGCTCACCACGGTCCACCCTTCAGACATGCAAGTGCTCACGGCTATCATTCTCACAGACATCGACACCCTCAACGGCTTCGACCTTCACGCACAGAGATGCATACCTTTGGCCTTCTCATGGATATAATGAAGCCCACCAGGGTCCACCCTTCAGCCATGCAAGTCCCCACGGCTATCATTCTCACAGGCATCGACATCCTCAACGGCTCCGACTTTCACGCGCCGAGATGTATATCTTTGCCCTTCTCATGGATATGATGACGCTCACCAGGGTCCACCCTTCAGACATGCAAGTCCTCGCGGCTATCATTCATTCTCACAGACATCGACATCCCCAACGGCTTCGACTTTTCTCTCACGCGCCGAGATGTATATCTTTGGCCTTCTCATGGATATGATGACGCTCACCAGGGTCCACCCTTCAGACATGCAAGGCCTCACGGCTATCATTCTCACAGACATCGACATCCTCAACGGCTTCGACTTTCACGCGCAGGGATGGATATCCTTGGCCTTGCTTCTAATGGATATAATGACGCTCACCACCAGGGTCCACCCTTCAGACATGCAAGTCCTCACGGCTATCATTCTCACAGTCATCGGCATCCTCAACGGCTTCGACTTTCACACACAGCGATGCATATCTTTGGCCTTCTCATGGATGTGATGATGCTCACCAGGGTCCACCTTTCAGGCACGCAAGTCCTCGCGGCTATCATTCCCACTTTTGTACTGTTTAGAAGTATACTGGTTAACCATCTCCAAGGGCTGCCGCGCGCTCCTGTGGTCGATTGCTGTGTGCGGAAGGTAGACGCGGAAGGGGAGCGAGCTAACTTTTTCACAAAAACTTCAGGGAGGTCGTTCCGTTTTCTCTGTATTTGAATGACCTCCCTGAAGTTTTTGAAAAAGAATAAAGGCGCCGGGCGATAAATAGCTGCAAGGGTAGCGGCTGGAAGTTCGTTGGGGCGATTCGCTAGGGGTGGCTGGGCGCGTAGTGTCCTGCTGCAGATGTGGCTGGGTACGTGAGTAGCCTACAAACTAACAGCTGCGAACGCGTTAACATGTTCGCGGTGCCTTTGAACTCGTAGCACTAGCAGCGCAAGGGCTTTAGAGAGCCTTGCGAGCCCTTGCGAATCCCTTAAGGAGCGAGGGGCCTAATATTAGCCAAGGGCTATAACAGCTTTTCCTTAAGGCCCTTCCTTAAGGAAAATTTTTCCTCGTCAGGAAAGTTATAATAACTTTTTGTAATAGGAATTCCTTAAGGAAAACCGTTCTCCTTAAGGAAGCCACTTAAAGGAGTCCCTTAAGGATTTCACAAACCATCGCTAACCCTATAAATACTAATATTCTTATAACAGACCGCCGTCTTCATAGTACGGTCGTCGAGGACGGCGATGTTTATCAGGTGGGACAATACGAATACTTAGACATGATATATATAATGCATTAGCACAACATGACCGTGCTAGTGCTCTACAAGTCGACTCACTCGCGTAGTGTTCGGCTCTTCCCTCAAGCTTACCAGTACTTGAACTAGACGAGGTTGTAGGAGGATCAGGATATTATTATCAAAAAATAGAGATGTACGGGTGGAACAAATTCCCTCTAAGAATTTTACAACGGCGGGAAAGACAGTGACCTTGCTGATCCTTGCCCCGAGCTGCAGGTTGATGCGGAATATCGAATGGCTTTGGGCTTAACCTCTGAGGATGGAGCAACATCTTTTCTGCACGTCGCGAAGACCATTTTTACTCCATCCGAGATGATGACCAGTCGTGTAGAAGTTCTTGTAGATAAACACGACGTACTAGATGAAGTAGATGAACAACTACAAGATGGGGCAGAAAATCTCCTCACTACACCTCCAAAGTGGTCAAGAAAGACCAACGCGGGCAAGCGTGGGAAGAGTGGATCTCCTGAGATCAGTCGGGTTGATGTAGGAGAGGAAAGTACTCTCCACCGAAGTCCTGCTCTCCTACACACACCAGAACTAGATCGTGGTGGCTCCTCCTCAGGGGCAACACCCATCTTCAGCAACTACATTGAACATGATTATACTAGTAGAATAAATACAACAACAAGAACTGATTATAGAAGTGGTGCTAGAAGTACTAGTTATACACCCAGAGGATCACAAGTGGGACCCCCCAGAGGGACCACAGGAGGCAGTAGAGATGAAGATGAGGGGGAGGCATCGTTTTTGGCTACTACTGCGGAAGAAAATGAGCCAAGAAGTAGTAGCCCTGCAATTATGGCGACAATAATCATTTTCAAGACAGCACGAATAAACGTCGTATTAATGCTCTGGGCTCTCCCGGTCTAATATAGGTTGTGGCCCCCTCGAGGCACATCAGGAAGTCTACAGTGTCTACGGTGTCTACATCTTCTAATGTCAATCTTCTTGCGAAGATCATACTGGATGTGCAAAAAAAGGCTCGAGACAAGATGCAGGAGATTGACGATGACGGTGGCCAGAGCAATGCCCCCGGGGAAATTGAATCAACCCGGGTGGCAGATCAAAGCGCCGTCCCTCTGGACCTGGAAGACATGATACCGGAAGACGAAGAGGACCAAAAACGAGAAATCCTCAAAAAAATCGAGCACATTTTATGACAAATGAATAGTACTCCAACTTTTTTTAGTAATTTATTGCGTTGTAGTCTCAAGAGGAGCCTTTCGCACCAATGATGCGGAGGTTTTCTATTTCCTCATCTTGTTCTACTATATAATATAATTTAAGAACCGAAACTTTATTACTAGTATAAGTGCCTTCACCTTCTAAGCAGCCGCGCATACAGCGAGGATAGAGATGATGAAGAAAGCCAACCCCCGCCACCGCCGGATGATGATAAAGACAGTACTACAATTACTCATCTTGTCGTTGTGATAGACATAGATATTCGTCATGAGTTTTCTATTTCAAATCATGACAACAGTTCTACTCTGCTTTTTCCGCTTCCATGAGGAAACCCAAAACCAGTAAACCTCTGCAGGCTGGCGCTTTTAATTTGACAATCTCCACCAGAAAGAAGAAATCATGAAAGTTTCACACGCAACACGATAACAGTAGATAAAAAAATCTAATTTCGCCTATGAATAATGTGATTATTATAGTAGAAGTAGATAGAAGTTGTACTGTTCCCGCCAATCTTGGGGTAAAGATATAACCCAGCACGACCTACCACATCCACCAGACTGGCCTCTTGCTAAAGAATGGGCGAAGTATTTTCCATACGATTCTCTTATCGCCGAGGAGATGTGGAGCTTGCTCTCCCCTTGCGATACTCTTGTCGCGCAATTGCGAACCTTTCAGAAATGGTCCACAGGTATTCGATATCTATTAAGCCCTTATTTTGACGAAGTAGCTTTATGTTTATGTACATGGGCGGGTGTAGGTCTTGCGTTGGCGCCTCGTTCGTTGTTTTTGGGTTGTGTTTGATCGTCGTGGCCTTGTGTCTGTGCTTTCTCCTCCAATGTAAATGGGATAGAGGAATTGAAGACGATCTTGAGTTACTCATCTAGAAAGGAATGGCAGTAGCGGCTGCGCCTCCTGCGTATGAGCGAACAAATTACAAAAGGCTTCAAAGCGCAACCTGTTTCGTTCGAAAAAATTCCTACAGCGTTCGAACTTTTTCGAACGGGTTCGGAAGATTTGCGAATAATTCGAAACTGGAAGTCTCAAACGATCGCCATCTTCGAAAAAAGAGCGCGACTTTTTTGCAAAAATAGCCATATATTTTCGAATATGGCGACTTTTTCCAAATTCTTGGCAATCATTCGAAAATATTCGCCAGCTCGTTCGAATATATTGCCCAACTCGTTCGAAAATATTTCCGAACGCTGTAGGAATTTTTTCGAACGAAACAGGCTGCGCTTTGACGGCCTTTGTAATTTGTCCGTTCATACTCCTGCGGCATCTCAACTAATAGCTTATCAGAAAACACCCTGCGAGGCCGTACGCGTTGCCCGGGGCGCATCAATACAAACAGGCTACGCGCATGCCTATCAACTAAAGACAGATAAAATGTAGAAAACCAACTTCACCAAAAGGAAACAAGTCGGGACATGGAAACAATTCTTAGTCTCTCGTCGAAGAAGTAGCTGTACAGGCACGCCAGGTGTGTTAGCGGACATCCACCATCAAGGAAACGGGAGCTATCCGTTTATGAGATGCAATCTTCATACTTTTTCATCATCTTGGCGAAGACGGCATCACCTTTTTTTGAAAATAACAACAGGCAACAAAGGTGTGGCTGCGAGCACAGACTCAGCTACGCCTCCAACGGACCAGAGCGAAGACGTCAGTCCGTTTTTTAGATTGTGGGCCGTGTAGGGAATTCATCTCCAAAGTCATCTGGAAGAAAGAAACAAGAGGAAAAAGGGACCCAGATGATCCCTGAGATGAATTCGTGGCGCAGCCTCTAACTTAAGGCCTAGAAGCTGCTCGCCTAGCAATCGAAAAAGCTGCGGAGGAAAGCCAAAGTGCAAATAAACTACTCGAAGGCATGTCGGAAAGACTCAAAAACTTAAGAGACATGCTATCGCAGGCCTAGAATCTAGTCCGTCATCTCATTCAGGCACCGTTCTCAGTTAGTTGTGAATAAAAGTGGGTATCAACTACATCACGACGACCAAGAATGCCACCATTCGCATTGCTCTAAGATTGGGAGCAAGGCTGAAGAAAGCGGAGATGGGAGAGAAAGCTGCCCTCTTGGCACGGCGCCAAGAACTGGAGATCCTGAAAAAAAAGGGAGCAGACCTTACTACAGAGATCGCTGGCCAGGTTGTACTTATGGCATCATCAACACATCAAAAACTTAGCCGAATTCTTGACTTATTATATTAGCTAGCGTCGAGATGAATTCTAAGGGCGTATCTATGGGAGTAGTAGTATACAGAGCTCACACCTCTGTAGCTGCGAATAGTCCCACCCTAATGCTGTTTCCACTGGGGAAACACGGGCCCACTGAAGTCTAGGGTCGCGCTCAGGTTGTAGACCAGCCGCGCAACCTTCTGGGAGAATAGGCGAAGGGCTTCGGCGTCAGCTACCCAGCTGGGGCGAGTTGTCTCGCAGCTGCTAGGCAGGAACTAGACAGGGGCACGCCTGGCGGCATCGCTAGCGCTTGGGCTTGGGTGTCGCTGGAGCAGGTTCAGAGGTGTTCCCGCGTAAGAAAACCCAGGGCAGGCGTGCTACTGCCTCGGGGAGGAGGTAGCTGAGCAAAAGCAGTAGGGGCTTTTGCGGTAGAGTCGAGAGACTGGGCCTTGCTCTTGCCACGAATATAGTGGCGTGGCCACCCTGGTGGTGAGTTATTCAGGGGGCTGTCATGGAGTGAGGTGAGAGTGAGGGCAGTGAAGCTTGCTAAGCTTGCTTGCCTCTTGGCTCGGCTAGGTGCTCCGATCCGAGCAGCTGTTGCTATCGGTGAGGAATTGGCCAGGTGTGTCATTGCCTGAGGAGCATGGCGGAGGCTATGCGGGGTAAGCTATATATATGTGACTCCACCAAGCAGCACAATTTTGAGGAGGGCGCTGACGCCTCATCGCCCGCGCAGGAGGGGCAGCGAGGACCTGGCCAGAGGTGTCCAACGGGTCCCATGTTGTGTCTGGCTGGGTTGTGAGGAGCGAGGGAAGCCCCCCCGCCCATCTTAGGAGCTTGCGAAAGTGGTCCCATCTTGGCTGGGCCGACTTTGGTAGGATGGTCTTGCTGTTATGTTGTCGGGACCGCGGTCAGGCTGTTCTTGGCTGCGGAGCTGTGTCCAAATCTTGTTGCCACCGTGACCAATGCGCGGGGCGCGTGTATCTGGACTGGACTAAGCTAGTGGCGTTTCTTCGGAGTTTCTTGGTGAGGCTATTTGCCAGTGTGAGTCTGGTAGAGAATGCATATTCCGCCAAGCGTGACCGTTTACATTTTGCTGATCTTCGACTTCTCTGCAAAAACAAATATCAGCAAAGGCTTTGCTCTAATAACAAAGTGAATGGTTTGAAAAGTCAAAAGGAATATGCAATAGGGCAGATGGATGCTCTCGTGGCGGGATTGAAAGAAGCAGGTAGCGTTCTAATATAGAAATGTTGAAGATTATTTGCTTACTGGAGTACATGATCAAAAAACGTTCACGTTGATGATTGACTTGTTACTGGTGGAGTACAACAAACGTAGTTGATTTACTTACTCTAGTACTAGAGCTAGTTCTTGTAGATGCTCGCGTAATGTTACAAATGTTGACTTACTTACTCTACCACAGCTAGTAAGTAGTTGTAGAAGATGAAGAAGTACCATGCCGCAGCTAGCAAGTACCCCTAAAGATTATAAGCAAGTACCTCTAAAGATTTTAAGTTGTAGTGCTACAAATGATGTTGAAGAAGATTCTCCTTGGTCTCCTTTGTCATTCATCTACAGCGAGTTGCCGCCCTAGTAGTAATTGAGTTTTACTAGTAGCTATTTAATAGAACTACTTACTTCTACAGTTTTATGAGAAGTAGGAGTAGCTTTATTGAGTTTCGCCCCTCACCGTCTAATTTGTTCGCCTCCTTGTAAGTAGTCACGTGAGTGATTCTTTGCGTTTCTAACAACACGAGCAGAAGATGTGAGTTTTTATTCCCTTCATGTATTGTGTATTTATTCTTCTATATCGTTTCACCAGCTGACGGAATTGCGCTGGCTCCGGTATTCCGAGCTTGTCAAAAGATGGAAAAAGGCGTTATCGTTGCTTAGGGCTCGACATCTTCTTCAATAGAAGGTTCGTTTGTTCTCGAAATTAAAACAGAGGGTCGGTAGTAGAAATGTGTTGCTAAATAGGACATCATGACGATGATAATAGAAAAGAAGTATAAGAGAGTGCTGTCTGGCCAGTTTTCAACTCAGTCCACTTCATCCATATCTCAACTCCTTGATAATTGAAGTAATGATCTTGGGGGTGGGGGTGCTCTCATTGATTCACGATCCACCTGAGCAGGTACAACTAGCATTAAGGCCTTTTCTTCTAATTCGACATAGAAGCCGCGATAGCAAAAGCAGAGGAGGCGCGTAAAGAGGTTCAGCTGGTGGCTGCTGCTCCTGGTCTACTATCGGCTAGTGTTGCGCTCACACGAAACAACAACGAGAAGAAGACAGAGCTGCGCAACTTATGCTATCGCGCAAAAGTCTCTGATCTTGAAACTAAGTAGTAGTTTCATCCACCATCTCCTTTTAATGAGAGGCCCTAAACAATTAAAAAAAGGGGACGATGAATGAAACTAGAGGAGTCCAATAGCGGAGCAACACTGTCCGACACTCTCGGCAGATCTTCCCTTCTTCTTTGTCTTTCGTTCCTCTTCCTCGTCCTTCGCTCTCATTAGTATCACCCCCGTGCGCTTTCACGTTACTCCCAGCACCACGAGCGGTCTCCCCCGCGAGATAGTTCTTTCTTTCTGCCTCCTACCCGGGGCGCGCGACCTCTCGAGGATAATGCCTTGGGGAGTTCATGCATCGTCTCCTTTTGTTTTCAAGGAGATGGCGCGCAAAATCATACAGCATGACCATTTCCTCTTGAGCTGTTTCTTAAGCTTATAACATACATCATCAGCTTAAGCTTTCCTTTTTCTTAAGCTTAACATCCATCATCATCATCTCCTTAACACGTAAATGCTTTCATATATCGTCAGCTCCTATCGATCCTAAACAAAAGGCGACGCATCCTAATCTATCGATCCTAAACAAGTTGTAAGTATGATTTTTTTAGTGATGTTCGTTGATAAGTGTACAGGTCAACTGTATGGCTCTGGTATTGGGCAACCTAAATTCGATCGCAAGGATTCCCTTCTTGTTTTTCTCATGATCGAAATCAGGTTACCAAATACCAGCACCATTCAACAACACGTAAACCAATAAGCCAATAATATATATAGTAACACTCTACTTCTACTAGATCTAGCTCTAGGAGCGTGCAGCCCTAAGAGCCTTTTTGCTGAAGTGCCAAACTGTTACCACCTCAAGTTCTTGGCCATAACACTACTATATTGATACTAACGGACGAAGACGAACGGCATTCATAGACTTCAGGTGGTGGAGCACGGCATTGATAGACCTCAAGGCCTTTCGCTTCCCTCGGTCGGTCCAACATCCTCTCAACATTTCTCCCAAGTACCAAATTGAAAGCTCAAGAAGTAGAAAGATGAAAAGAACTGCAACCCTTCAAGAAGGAAGCAAATCACTCAAATCAGAGGGGAACGCACTTCTTTCTAATCACCCGCATCAAAGACGAATGCGACGACAAGGCTGAAAAGGTCAAGCAGGAGACCGAGAAGAAAAGGGCGGGCCTGGCTGAATTGCTTGCAAACTCGGCGGCATTGACGAGGAGCCAAAATGAACTGCAATTAAGGCATCAGTGATCCGCTATTTTGGTACTTGGTAGTCCAACTCTATAGAAAGAGGCCACGGCCGCTAGATTAGATGCATACAAAGAGGCCTCCAACTCCAAGTACGTAGATGGGTGCTCATATTGAGCGTCCTAGTCTGTTGATAAAATGTATTATTTTGCCAAAAGTCAGATGGGCGACTTATTGAGCAGGACTATGTTGGAAGTAAATGAAAGTAATTGATGGGCTGGGGTTTCTTGAATCTTTGTAATGCTGATCATGAGTGCTGGCTGACTTCTATCTATTATTCTGCTTCCTTCTCCTTGCCAGTAGCTGAGAGTAGCTACCTAAGACGTATAAAGATGAAGATCTTCAATTCTGAGACTGAGACTCTCTCGCGCAAGCTCTTCTCTTGATCGCTAGACTTCTAATAGTAATGATACCTAATCAGAACAGGATCTTCTTCATGGCGGTACTTCTCGCACTAAGTAAGTTGATGCACTTGGGACTAATCTAGCCTGATCGCGACTGGATGACACCAGCTATATTTTGACTTCGTCAGCGAGTACTTCAAGTACTACGACAGAAGAGGAAACAGTCACAGACTTTCTTGAGTTATAAGTATAAATATTAGTATCTAAGCCGACCTAAATTATTTATATTAGTCATTTTCCTAGTTAGCTTGGCTCCACCCGTATATTAGTTATTGTTGGTCATGTATGGTCCAAGCCTCTCGGATGTCGTGTTGTTCTGTTCTCAGTGGCTCACACAAAGCCTCGTGCTCGACTGTCATCGGGATGATCTCACAAGACATGAGTGTCAACGATCATGGATGCTACTTCCAATGCACATTCAGTGCGCAGTCAAAGCATAAGCATAATGATCAATGCGTAGACTAGGTACGGCTGTACTGATCCTAGCCGTATGATGCATGTTCAGTCCGATCCCTTCTGACATGCTTATGCTGATGATGTATGATTCATCTTACCCAATGAACCAAACAGGGACTACACCAGCCAGAAATCGCAAGTCTCAGGCAGGAGTATCAAGATTTGCTTGCGTTCAAGATTCTGACTCTGTGTCTCCACTGAGAAACGAACCAAGGCACGGAGGCCTGTGTTCTTGTGGTCCAGCACTGGTCTAACCCTTGAGCGGCAAAAGTAAATAAGTTTGGAAGTAGTGCAGTAAAATAAAAATAAATCCATCAAAACGTCCTGCGAGGCCAAGGAGATCCTCAAGAAGTTGGGACAGAAGTCCGACTGGCGCGAGTGGCAACGAGCCGTACGTCAAGAAGCTAGTCGCCTAGGCTTACTTGAGAACTACACGAATGTAGTCAACGTGCCGGCTGTTCCACATGGTGCGCCGCAAGGTAATACCAGTCGCGAAGAAGCGATCCGCCAGAAGTGGCGCAACCTGAAAGACGTAATCATGCGAAGTCTGAAAGGTGCGGCCAAGTCGTTCGTCGACAATCGGAATAACGATGGCGCGGTGGACGAAATGGATGCTGGTGAAGTTGTTGCTCTACTTCGTGATCAAGGGAACTTCAACGCAAACAATCGCCAGGAGCAGCGCATGAAGGTCAAGCCGTTGTCGGAGGGACTGACGAAGTTCCACAACAGCGACCAGCCTGCAGATGTCAAGGGGTTCCTCTCGAAGATCCGCGACATCATGAACCAATCGCCCACCGTCTTCCCGCCGGATGCAGATCTGCCCGGAGCTGATCAACAGAGCGGAGCGATCCTGCTGAAGTTGCCTGAGTTGTTCTGCAAGAACTTCAAAGCGACTATCGAGCGGATCGATGCAAGAAGAAGATGCATGGCCTGGCATTTGACCAAATTGGAGACCGACTGGAGAAACGTCTCACGACGTTGATCGAGGAGGGAACCTACAAAATTGAGAACGACTCCTTCGGGAAAGCGTTTCCGGTCAATGTTCAGGAAACCTCGAACAAGCGTCCTCGTGATGATAAGAATGAGGATGGTGACGAGGTAGAGGCCAATAAGGCAGATGGTAAGACCTTCATTTCCGCTAACGCCCTCAAGCGTTTCAAGCAGAAAGAAAAGAAGAAGGCAATCGCCGAGGTCTACAACTCCTACGGGTACCAACCCAAAGGAGGAAAGAACGGCGGACAAAAGCCGAAGAAACATAAAGGAAAAGGAAATAATAAGAATACCTATCCACCCCGCTGTGATTGCTGTCACAAGGTCGGACACAAGTCCTCCGAGTGCTGGCATAACACGCAAGCCCTTCAACAGGGACAGGGAAGTTGGACTACCGGGGCCTCATCTAGTAGCTCTAGAGGCAAAGGCGGAAAGGGTAATAGCAGTGGCATGATCCACATGTCGCAGGTTGCGGAGATGCTCAACGTCATGAACCCGCATAACCGAAGCTGAGCGACGGAACCGTACGAATTTGGGGAGTGTTCGCTGAATTTCGAAGAAGATGAAATAATGACAAATGTTGTTAATTATGCTGATAGCTACAATACAGATGGGTATAGTTTCACAACATTGAACACTAGAACATCAGAAGAAGCAACTCTAGTTGACAGCTGTGCTAACAAATATCTATCACGACACAAAGATGATTTCGAAGAAATTGGTAACAACATTTGTAGAATAACAGGTAGCGCAGGCACTAAAGACGGAAGAATCGGAAAACTCAAGAGCAATGTATACGGCTGTGCTGATCCTAGCCGTATGATGCATGTTCAGTCTGATCCCTTCTGACATGCTTATGCTGATGATGTATGATTCATCTTACCCAATGAACCAAACAGGGATTACACCAGCCAGAGATCGCAAGTCTCAGGCAGGAGTATCAAGATTTGCTTGCATTCAAGATTCTGACTCTGTGTTTCCACTGAGAAACGAACCAAGGCGCGGAGGCCTTTGTTCTTGTGGTCCAACAGTTATACATAGAAAAAAGATATATATTAGTTATATATAGACCCCCCGGGCCGGGGTGCTCCGGGAGACGTTGAAGAAGGGGGGCGAGCTGCTTCATTGGCGTCGGCTTGCGTGAGTGGTGTCACGAGGTGAACAAGCGCCCGAAGGGCGCGCACTCCCCTCCGTCCCGCGGTAGGCGGAAGCAAGAGGCCCCAAAGATGTGGCGAAAGAAATGGGGCCCCGTTTTCAAGATGGTAGCAAGCGCCGGCGGGCAGTTAAAGGCGCAAGACCATGGGCGCCATTTTCAGCACGCTGGCCGCCATGGGTGGCGTGGGTCCGTGTGTTTCCGTCCTCTTTTTTCTCTTTTCTGTTCGTGGCACTGTGCCCGACTTTTGGCGAACAAAGGGGCGAAGCAACCCAGCAAGAGACAGCGGGAAAGCCCGGGGAGGGTGGGGCCCCAAAGACTCCGCGAAGGGAGTGGGGGCCAGTCCCCCGGGCCCAGCGGCGCGCGCGTCTCTACCCCCGTCGCGATTGTTTCGGGGCTCTATTCGTCTCATTGCGCCACCTGCTCGCAAGGGGTTCCGCGCATTGGACAGCGGCGCGCGCATCTCGACCCCCGTCGCGACCGCTCCCTTCGTTCTTGTATTCCACTACGCTACCCGCCCGCAGCCGAGGGGCCTCGCGTGCCAGGGTTCTGCAGCGGCGCGCGCGTCTCTACCCCCGTCGCGATTTTTTCGGGCTTGCTTCTATTCCATTGCGCCAGCCCACCCGCTCGCGAGGGGTTCTGACCGCGCAGGGTTTGGCGCCGCGCGCGTCTCTACCCCGCCCGCTGTGACTTTTTCGGGCTTCTATTCCACTGCGCCACCCGTTCACAGCCTGCCAAGGGGCTCCGCGCGCCAGGTTTCAGCGGCGCGCGCTCCTCTGCCGCTGTCTTCGTGGTTGTTTCGGGCTTTCAATTTCATTCCACTGCGCCACCCGTTCGCAAGGGGTTCCGCGTGCTGGGGCTCAGCGGCGCGCGCTCCTCTGCTGCTGTGGTCGTGTGTGGCTGTTTGGCTCGAGCTCTCATTCCATTGCGCCACCCTTTCGCAAGGGGTTCCGGGCGCCAAGGCACAGCGCCACGCGCGTCGCGAACCCTGTCGTGGCTCCTTCGGGCCTCGTCTGTTCCATTGTGCCACCCGCTCGCAAAGGGTTCCGCGCGCCACCTCAGTGGCGTGCGCTGTTGTTGTGGCTGGGGTTTTCTGTTGCGTGCTCTCTGTTTTTTTCTGTCTTTTGGTGTAGTTGTTTTCTTTCTGTCGCCTTTTGCTGTTTTTTGTCGTTCTTTTTCTGGTGTTGTTTTCTTCTGTGTCTTCTTGTTGCGTCTTGTCGTCTGCTGTTGCATCTTGTCGCCTTCTGTTGCCTTCATTCTGTCGTCTGCTTCTGCTGTCTCTTGTTGTTTTCTGCTGTGTCTTTCTGTCCCTCTTTGTTTATCGCTTTTATGAAGGCCTTTCGCCTATGACATCGCCGCGGGCTTTGTCACCCGATCGCCCCCTACATTGGAAGGCCGTGGGAGTTGTGGCCTTTCCACTTGTGACTAGTCTCAGGCCTGGTCGCTGTGACTAGTCGAAAAGCTGCTGCGACTAGTCGCAGAGTTACTGCTTGCGACTAGCCTCATTCTGACTGCGCTGACTGGTTTCAGCCTTACTGTGACTAGGTAGGTTCAAACTTACTGCGACGGGCTTCGGGATTACGGTGGCTAGCCTCTTATTTAACCACTGCGACCATTATCGAACTCATTGGGAGGAGCCTCAGCAAACTTACTGCGACTAGCCTCAGACTTATTGCAATTAGCCTCGCGCCCGCTGTGACCGGTTTAGGGCTTGCTGTGGCTGGTCTCTGACTGAGTTCGTCGGGCTGATCGAATCTGAATACCGCCAGAAGCTGCCGCTTGTGTATTCTGAAGATTGTGTTAGGATTCAAACAGCGCGACAACCTCAGTCAGGGGCCAGGCGTAACAGGTTTGTGACTAGTCACAGTGGGCGTGAGGCTAGTCGCAGTAGGTTTGAGACTAGTCACAGCGGGCCTCAGGCTAGTCGCAGCGCGTAGGCCTGGGGCTCGACGCAGTAGGCCTGAGGCTAGTCACAGTGCGCCTGAGGCTGGTCGCAGCAATTCTGAGACTAGTCACAGGAATTTTGAGACTAGTCGCAGCAATTTTGGAGCTAGTCGCAGTAGGTGCGAAGCTAGTCGCCTCGCAGTGGGTTTGAGGCTAGTCGCAGTCACTGCGTGCTAGAACTCGGACGCCACTCGCCACAGCTTCCACGGCTTAGGCGTAATAAAGTCAAGCACTTGCGTAGGTGTTTGGTCTCTCGAGTGCTTTGCTTTGCTGTATCTTGCTGATTCTTGTCGGGCTTCGCGTGCCCGGGTTCTGCGTTGACTGAGTGACGGCAAAAACCTGCAGCGCCGTTCGAAGCTTGTGGCGCCGCTTTCTGCTACTTGTGTCTGTTTGTTTTCTGCCTGTCTTGCTGTATCTTGCTGACTTCTTTTGGGCTTCGCGTGCCAGGGTTGTGCGCTGGCTGAGCGAGGGCTAAAACCTGCAGCGCCTTTCGGAGCTTGTGGCGCCTTGTTCGTAGAAAGATGGTCGGTGTCTTGCTCGTGGTGTCTTGCTCGTGTTGTTTTCTTTCGTTCGTTGTTCTTGTCGTGCATTTTTCCAGCTGATAGCGCCCTGCAGGTTCTCTGGCAATGTTCGTACAAGAGGGGCCTCGAGGTCCTCTAGCCTTCTTCGTGGTGTCTTCTTCGTCGTTCTTGTTGTGTGCTTTTCCCAACTGGTGGCGCCTTCCAGGTTCTCGAATGTTCAAACGCAAGGGGCCTCAGACGTCTTTTCGTTTTTTCACATGAAAGGGGCCTCAGAGGTCGCCTAGTGTTCGCCTTAGGGGTCTTTCAGTGTTCACACTAGAGGCGCCTTAGTGGTCTTTTAGTGTTCACATTAAAGGGGGGAAGGGGGGCCATTAAGCATTCGCGTTGAATGTTTCTTAGAGGTCCATTAGTGTTCTTGTTCGCATTAAATTTAAAGGGGAAGAGTGTCTGGGGGTTTTTAATGGTATTCAAATAGCGGACATCTATGATAAAGCAGAGCAGTCTGAGTGCTGCTGAAGAACGCTAATCCAAGCACACCTTGACGCCAACTACGGACGGGTCCGGGTGCTAAAAATAGATATTGATGCAAAAGAGGCTGAGTTGGAGCGTCTAAGCGACGAACTCGAGGCAAAGAATACCAAATACTACAGTACACGAAAGGCAATTGCCGAGCAAGACCCAGTAGAGGCTCACCCTACAGCCCCGGCAACGCCTGCTGCCTCTTTTCTTTAAGGCTTCATCTGCTGATACTTAATTCGTTATTTTGACAATAACAATTGCAATTCATTTACTACATTCATCTTCTACCAATGCTCTAATATTTACTAGTGTCGTGATGTAGTTGACGAAAACAGCTACTTGATAAAGAATATAAAGAAGAGCGAAGATTGATAGATCACTGCCCTTTTTTGTGCAATAGGGTTTTTGATTATCTAAGGCTGACGCGATTAGTTAGTCTCAGATTACGTAGATTCTTCAGTTTGGAGAAGCTTGACTCCTGACGTGCCACTAGTCCACACGCCCGTCTCACTAACCTTCTGCGTGCCACTTTTTTTTGGCATTATTTATGGAGGCAGACAGGTGTTGAGCGCTAATTAAAGCAAGACGGACGCGGTGTGGATGAGGGAACCGGAGGCCCGCTCGTGCATTATAATACCACCCGGACTGGGGCATACGAGCAGAAAGCTGAGGGTCTAGAACTAGAAGTACCCGGCGATCACTTTTAAGGGGAGATCTACAAGTTGTACTCAAATGTAGAAGATCTTCAACTTTTATCTTTTATTATAACTGAAAAAACTCCTCGCTAGTATCTGATATGTGTTACCCCCTTTAATTCTGACAACATTATCATAATGTTGATGTTACCCCCACCTTTATGACAACATAGATATGACTACTCGTATTTGATCAATCATGTGTGTGTGGGTGTGGTAGCGCTCTGCGCTACTTTTTTCGTTTACTTAAGGAGGCTTGTTCTGAACCTCCTTGCCGAGCAGGTGCCGGGGGTCAGTACGATGTGCAGGATTCACAACCTAGCCTAACCATACACGCAAATAACGTGTGAAATTCTTCAGCTTCGTAGGTTTTCGTTTGTAAATCCTAGCCTCCTTAGGGTTCCCCCCGTCTCTCTCCTGTCCTTTGTAAAACTCCCATAGTAGAATAAGTGTTCCCCTCCAAGAGGAAACGACGACGTCATTTATGCAGACTGGCCTGGAGGTGGAGACGAGGGAAGGAGTATCTCAATCTCACCAAAGTTAAGGCTCCTGCTTCTTGAGGAAATCCACCTTCTCCAACTCCACCCAGTGTCCTCTACTTGGCATAGTTCCCGTTTGAATTCCTCTTTGTCAAAGGAACAAAAGGGGAGCCACCAAGAGCAAGATTGTCTCGTCACGAGGATGGATTTCGATTTCATCCATTTCCTCTGCAAGTAGTTCTACTTCTAACAAATATTACGGGAGACAACAACGAGGACAAAGAGGATGACCCGTCTGACGGCGGGTCCAGACAAGGGGGAAGCAGCTGCGAAAATGGATTACACTGACGTGGAGTGGCAAGAGCTAGCTGACAGGCACTTGGCAGCATTTCAGGAGAAGTACATGATATGCAAAAACAGTGCCAAGCGCAGTCGAATTGCGTTACGTCTTAACTCAGTTGCGGAGGTGATGGCTCTCCATATGGAACAGTTGGCCAGGAGGGTGGGAATTGCCAAGGAACTGGACGGGCAGCTTTAGGGTGCTGTGCTATAGTATCTAGTGCAAGAACTACCATGTACTAGATGTAGCTAGTATAAATAGAAAGACTCCTCTCCTCGAATATTTTTAAAGTAGAACTTCTACCTTGTTGAAGGCATAAGAAGATCAAGGGTAAGTCTAAGTTGAACACTACGACGTTCGGTCAAAGCCTTTCAAATGGTCTAGAGAAGCTGTTCACGACGTTGAAGTTGACCATTTGAAAGGCTTTGACTGTGCCTGTGGTATCGCCGGTATGACTATCCCCCGGCTCTTGGCGATCTGCTAAAGCTTGTGGTCCCACCAGGTGTGGAGGCTAAGCGGCGGCATCCTATCCTATCCTATGTTGCTGTTCTTCTGAAAAGTAGAAATGCTATTAATCATCAGCTCGACGAGGTTCTTTTTAGATGAACAAGAACAAGATGAAGATATTATGACTCATATTTTTTCACGGCTTAAGTGAAAAGACGTGAGTCGTACAAGAGTTCCTCGGATACGTATTTATTCTTAGTCCTCCCTGTTCACAATACTTATATATTATAGTCGAGTATGAGAAGTATCTGATCATGTACTCACAGTTATTTTTAGGGACAATATATTTTAGGGACAATGATAAGTAAGTGAATACATGAAACAGCTCGCTCTTCCTCACCTCGTTTTTCTTTCCATATCAATTTCGTTCCATAATTCTACTAAGATAACGATGATCCTGGTGGAAAATACAATTTAATTGTATTTTCCACCAGGGTCATCGTTATCTTCGTATATCAAGGACAACACACGGACGAGTACTGTTTACGCCTACAACATTTTAGCAGGGACCGACGCCTACAGCGATCTCCCTCAGCTAGCTCAAATTTGAACTCACTCTGAGTAGTTGGCTCTATTCTATCTAATCTACCTGTTATTTGTTCTTATAGCTGATACTGAGTAGTTGGCTCTATTTTACTCTAATCTACCAACGCGATCGCGGAATTGACGAAGGAGGTGAGGGATGCTAGTGAAAAGTGTGCTCAACACACAAAACAAGCCAAGTTAAGGCGAAGGCGCTACCGCTGTTGCTGAAGCATGTCTTTCTACCCAGTGCATGTCCAGTCCTAGTCCTTAGAAGTATCATGACAGAAGATCCTTGGAAGAAAATGGAGAACTACCTTGGATATTTCCCGTTGGTATATAAGTAGTTAGACCAAGAATATACATTGGAGAAAATTCAACTAAGGACTGCAAAAATCCGGACGAAATTCAATCCCTCCGGGCATGACGCGAATCCGCAGAATACTCGCCGCCTACTGCGCTCCCTTCTGGAAAACCCCCACCCAGTTGCGAGCCAAGAACCTCGGGCACCCTCCAAATCCCCGCGCCCCTCCAGAATCCCCCAGCACACATTTGCAGGCTGGTGCGGTGGACTCTGGAGGGGCGCGGGGAATCACATGAAACGAAACCAAAAGACAGAAAAACCAAGAGGAAGCAAGTGGCAAAAGCCGCTAAGCGGAGCACTTCCAGGACGAGGAGGCGGCAATCAAGACCGTTGCTGTGCAGTTCTTAGTTGACTTAGCGCCATTATAAAAATCTGAGGCGTCCTCACGTCATGACGTGACATGTCGCGACTATCATCAACACCAACATCCTAACGGTCACGTTGTTCTCTTTCGTCTCTCCGTAGAAGTAGGAAGAGTTGAAGTTCTTCTATTTCGACTTGTAAAAAAGAAGCAAGCAAGGGACACTTGTAAGTAGCTGAAGGATCCTTGATGGACGTTGTTCTTTTTCGACTTGTGAAAAAGAAGCAAGCAAGGGACACTTGTAAGTAGCTGAAGGATCCTTGATGGACGTTGTTCTTTTTCGACTTGTGAAAAAGAAGCAAGCAAGGGACACTTTTTTGTAGCTGAAGGATCCTTGATGGACGTTGTTCTTTTTCGACTTGTGAAAAAGAAGCAAGCAAGGGACACTCGTAGAAGCTGAAGGACCCTTGATGGACGTTGTTCCTTTTCTACTTGTTGAAAAGTGAGCAAGATACCAAGAAGGATCGACCAGAAGCCTTCTATCGAGGACTGCTCTCAGGCAAGCGACATGCGAACGACCTCAGGAACGCTCTAAACCTCGCCGATGCCAGCGCCCCTCTTGGCCCCTGTTAAGGCGACTCGCCATCATGTAGACACCCACGGCCCCATGTAGGAGGATCCATTCATAGCCTAACCTCATAGGTGACCTAACCTGTAGTCCTCACCTGTAGTAGCCTCACGCAGTGAAGGCCTCGCAACGTTGTATGATCGTCAAGATTGATAAATATTCTCTCCTACGTCGAGTAGTGACACGTTCCTACCGAAAAAGAAAGCGCCGCCTGCTAGAGCAGTCGGGCTACCGCGCTTCGCATCCTTTATTCTATGAAGAAGAAGAGAAGCGCGGCTCCTGGCTTCAGCACCTTTTGCTGATTACCTTTTTACTGATGCTCAGGTCTTCGCGAGGATCTAACTCTGTCCAGAATTGGTGGTCAGCGAGGAGTTGTGGAGCAATCAGCATCTGCACCTTCCTACTGTGGTGGAACTTGGCTCCGGTCCGAATCATGCGTTTTCGTTCCTGCAGTCCTCGTTATGAAGGCCGACATGTTGACAGTCTGTCAAACTCAGGATAGTGCGTCCGACAAGAACTTAGAAGAGTGTTTTAGTTTTCACTTACTAGGAGAACAAGGTGGAGATCATACAGCTTCGAAGTGTTTGCATTTGTCACATTCAATTAGAAGACTGCGACTGAATCAGAAACAGGAGTAAAGGCCAACCACTTTTCCTACACTCGTTTGCGAAAGTATTGCGTCTCATCCAAGTAATCCGTCTCGAACTTGCTCTGGGCGATTTTTGATCAAATCGTCGATGGTGGGTCACCATGATCAATTATCTTTAGCGCCATCGTCATCAACTATCGTCATCAGCATTAATATCACCGGCACCATCAGCATCACGATCGCCATCAGCATCGCCATCAGCATCATCACCAGCATCATCATCACCATCATCATCACCACCACCACCAGAGTCATCACCAGCACCATCACCCGTTCCATCATCAGCACCAGCATCATCAGCAGCACCATCACCACCACCACCAGAATCGTCAGCATGTCACCATCAGCACCACCACCAGCATCACCGTCGGCGCGTCATCCTCAGCATTCAGCACCACCATCAGGATCGCCAGCGTGTCACCATCAGCACTATCGCCGGCATGTCATCGTCAGCATTCGCCACCAGCACCACAACCAGCCTCAGCAGCATCATCATCAGCACCGCCACCGGCATCATCATCATCAACATCATCATCAGCATCATCACCATCAGCATCATCACCATCAGCACCACCATCAGCATCACCATCATCACCATCATCACCATCATCATCACCGCCATCACCGCCATCACCATCATCATCATCACCGCCATCATCATCATCAGCATCATCAGCATCATCATCATCATCATCATCACCATCACCATAGCATCAGCATCGCCACCAGCGTCATCATTAGCATCAGAATCATCATCAGCACCATCATCAGCACCATCATCAGCACCATCATCAGCATCATCACCAGCACCATCCTCAGCATCACCATCAGCATCATCACCAGCACCGTCAAAATTATTGGCTTAGAAGTGGTTTAGGTTTAGGCGGCGCGGTTTGCCTGTCTGTCATTTATCGCGGAGTAAATAGAAAAGGGAAGAAAGGCTGATGTTGACATGAGTTGCGAAGTGTGGCGAGTGGGTGTGGCTAGTGAAAGTGCAGTAGTATCTACACTCCATGATATTAGAACTTCTACCATGCATAGTAGTTGTAGTCTAGTACCATACTATTGCTGCGGTGAGTTTGTCCTTCTTTCATTATTTGGGACTACAACAAGGACGCACCAGCTGCAGACGCATCCTGCTCTCGATGTCGTATCTCCAGCATTTTTAGCAAGTGCACAAGAAGTCCTGAACATTACCACGCCGCTCCCTTCCTCCTTTTTACATACATTGGCCGATGCTGCACCCATAAAACCAGACAGCACCACTACTGCAATTACGATGATACCCCATTGAAGCCGTATTAATACAAAGAAATGCGTGTATTTGCAAAAGATCTAGAACTCTAGAGTCAGCTTTGTTTTCAACATAAGTAGTTTCCCTTGGAGGACGAGAATATAGTTCCTAAATTTTTTAGTTTCTTACTGGGTGCTCCTGTGGCTTCTTCACGATACATAATGAAACTCGAAGAAAATATTGACGTTTGGACTAAAAAAATATTGACGTTCTGTACGAATAGTGTGTCAGCAGGTGGTGCTGGTGTAGCTCGAGGTGCACGGCAGGAGGCACAGCCCAATAGCCATCCTCGTAGCAAGATGTGCAGGACCCACAACGTCAAGCATTCTTTATTTTCATCTTCTAATAACATCAATTTACTCGCGCAAAAATACATCGATTTGCATGTAGAGACGCGAGAAAAGGTGAAAACGATAGATGCGAGAGAGTACGAAGACCCGACTCACGCGAACGTGTTGAACATGCTTAATTTTCTACGCGTTGTGCGGAGTGGTTAAGGCTACCGCAGCTGACGCATTCTCAGCGCCCTTGCTGCTTGGCCTCTCTTTGAACAAGGGAAAAAAAGGCTCAAGGATGGGCTCAGGGGTGCGTCGACGCGGTAACTCTAACTTTCCGGAGCTGCAGCAACTGCATCTGCTCGCATCGCGACGACTCTCTTTAACAAAGTTCGCGGAGATCTATTAGGAAGAGATCTACTTCCACTTCCTTTAGAAGAGAAATAATTTCATCGCTACAACTTAAGATGTAGAGTAAGATTATATTCAACATGTAGATCTTAAATGACACAATCGAAATCTTAAATAGCACGTCTTAGATGATCATCTTGTTCAATACTTATCTACATCTAGTTCTAAGCAAAAGTCGCGCGGCCAAGGCTGAAGAGGATGCTGATGGTGATGGAGCGAATCCTCCGGAGGCACTACCAGAAGCTGAGAGTACCACTGAAAGCTTATTGATGTCCGTTGAGTATTTATTCAAGAAGAGTAACATGCTCACTCCGTTGGGTACTTATTCAAGAAGAGTAACATGATGAGCATTGAATTAAGAGCGATCACTAGATGAGATGAAGTAGTAGCTGTACTAAGATCATGAATGCATATTTATTTACTTCCTTAATACAACCTGTTCTTTCTTGAAGTAGATGATTTACTTGTTTTTAGTAGTGCTGCGTACTAGACGCACACGCACTGCAATGGAATGAACAACAAGAGGGCAATGAACAAGTTGCCCTCCTGTGTTCGACGTCATGTATTCGAAAACTCCAAATAACCGAGTTACTGACTGAAATAGGGGAGGCACTAGCCTAACATCAAGGCTACTCTTTGTATTGCGACAAAGTCTGCCATCTCTTACCGAGTAGCTTTACCCTGTTCGCCTAACGAGAACGAGGGCGACGAGGATTTAAGAGTAAGAAGCTGGAGAGGCTTGAGAAAGTAGGAGCGTGCCCCAATATGGCACGACTCCACCCATGACACTCCAACAATGAGACCACTGAGACCACCGCTCACCTTTGCAGGGCCGGCCTTTGAGCTACTTTGTTAGTATTATCCACACTCCCCCGGGCATAATGGGCACTCCTACATAGGGGAGATGACGAGGCTCCTCCCCTCTTCCTTCTCGTCAGTATCTCGACGGCTATTCTGGCCTTATTTCAGTTTTTCGAATACTATGTTCTTGGCTAGATGAAGATGTTCATGAAAAACCTGGGGATCTCTGTATGTATCTCTTAGGAAATATAATACTCATTTGCATTTTAGTAAAAAGAAGAAATAAGTACTAAGTCTCTAAGATTCTAAGGCCCTCCAGATCATATTAGCATGTTGATCGTGTACATCTTTACACACCACCGCACCAGATCTAGATGATTGGCCGCTGGCGAAGATGAAATTTTTCTTCACTGACCTCACTGACCCGAGGCCGATCGTCATCAAGTGGAGGTTGTTGGATGTCTGTGTTAAGGCTTCTACAAGTTTGTAGATGGTAAAGTGGGGAGAACTAATACTTGACGTTGATAAAGAAAAAAATATATCTATTAGGCGGCTCACGTGGTAAAGCATGATATTGAATGTTATGCAATTTAACGAGAGATCAGACTTTGTATGTGTTCTACTGCTCGTGAGTCTTACTCGTATCGCTCCTAAAGAATTACATCTTCATTTTCTTCACGAGTTGCCGCTGGTTTCGTTACGAGTGATCATTTCGTCTCCCTGCTCAGGGAATCGGTGAGCTGGGACATGCCAATCCTGGGGTTATCTGTGATCGCTTAGAGGGTGGCGCCTCTGAGCGTGAGATGCCGGGTGGCCTGATCGCAGGGGGTGCTCATGATCAGGTCCCTGACCCTCCCTGCCCGTCGTGGGTAAGCTCATCGGCTTGCTTTCTTTCTATCAGTTACTACCTCCGATCATGGCCCTACCCCTTCCCCTCTGTCCTCCTTATCCTTCTTCCCATTCACCAAACTTTAGGATGCGTTCGAGTGTATTAGATTAGTGTTAAGTTAAGGACCTAATAAAGATTAACTAATCCACTATCGTCTAGAACAACTGCATTATTAGGCGGCTACAAGTTAATGAATTATGATTCATTTAACGCACTTCTTGAGATTGACTTATACTGGTGCACGATCTACAACGTGCTAGTCAACTTCTTCATCATTCTTCTTATTTTTTTTAGGCGGCTACAAGAAGAACGCGCATTCGGTGGCTCTAATTATGGGTTACTTTTGAACCGAGGCGACTTCTTCGAGAGGTGGTTCTGGCCGGAGAACTCCAAGGCAGAAGAACCAAGCTTGGAGTTGAACAGTAATGCACAGGACTATCAAAGCGACGCGTTCATGCTTACTTTCCATAAATTTTACGGCTTCCTTTAACGGTCTATCTTCAACAGAGAAGTCATCCTAGAAGAGGTGTTGCTTGGGGAAACGGAAACACAGTCTCAGGATGGACTTGGAGATCATGGATTAGGGTGAGCGCTAAAAAGTGTTTCAAGCTCGCCAAGCAGTGGTGGATGCTCACACGCGCGAAATTGTTAAGGCTTCGTCCGCTAATCCTAAGAACAGGATGCATCTTCCCAATGCAGATACACTCTCTACCTACAGTACAGAAGATACATTCTCTACCTAGACCTACAGTACAGAAGATACATTCTCTACCTAGACCTACAGTACAGAAGATACATTCTCTACCTGCAGTGCAGAAGATACATTCTCTACCTGCTGTGCAGAAGATACATTCTCTACCTGCAATGCAGAAGATACATTCTCTGCCTGCAGTGCAGAAGATACATTCTCTACCTGCAACGCAGATGCGTTTACTTCTGGAAGTAATAAAGTAAGCAACTAGACTAACGAGCCTGCAAGCTAGCCACTTTCATCATTGTCTTTCCCTTTCCAATGCAGATACCTTCCCAACGGCTCTTCTTATTAAGGAGAGGGCAGTTGGACGACACGCTGCGCCTAGAATATACCGGCTCTAATATAAACGGCCATTACATTCCTATACCTAAAGTGTGCACCTTCACTTTTTAGAATTTTTAGGCTGGCTCCACCAATCTTATTAGGGATAGGGAGATGAGTCCCTTACATACTCTTCTTGTTCTTAGGGAGAGAGTAACTGTAACTAGAAGCTTAGTCTAACGCACACTCTGTCTCTGATTAGCTAGGAAGAAAATAACTACCCCTACCGAATACTGCCGCCTCTATTAGGAAGTAGAGAGTAATTACAGCACATGCAGCTTACTATGCAATGATCCTTACTGCTAGCGGGGAGGTGCAGACTGCAAAGATATGATCCTTACTACAGCTACAGGGAAGATGATGTAGGATTGGGTGATAAGAATCTAAGAATGAGGCGGAAAAACACCACGAAGAATGAGGCAAAAAGTGCTCGAAACAATCACCACGAAGCTTCCAGACGGAACAACAGCAAAATCGATCCTGCCACTTCCACCTCCACCTCCACGTAACGAGAAACGAGAGGGGAATTAGATAAAGAAATAGAATTTACTACGAGACACTTACGAAAGTTTAACATACCTCAACTGAGAGTATTTGCGGACGTGTGCCGACAAGCTGTCGCCTGGTTGTGGCCGTGGGTGTGGTTCGCTGTGGCTGACTGCGGTTCGCTGTGGCTGTGGTTCGTTGTGGCTGTGTTTCGTTATCTTATGGCTGTGGCCCTTTGTGGCTGTGGCTCCTGTGGGAGTTCGTTGTGGCGTGTGGTTTTTGGAAAGTGTTTGAGCATTGGGAAAAGCTTGAGCTTTTGGGCAAAGTTTGGGCTCGGCTTTGGAAAAGGTTAGAAGCGCTTTGGAACAAAGTTCGGGACTTGGGAAAGGTTTGGGTGGAAAAAGTTTGAGGCCTTGGGCAAAGTTTGGGATTTGGGAAGGGTTTGGGCTTTTGGCAAAAGTTTTGGGTTTGGCAAAAAGTTTGGGTTTTGGGAAGCGTTTGAGCTTTTGGGGAAGGTTTCTCGTGGCCTTTGGAAAAAGTTTGGGCTTTGGCAAAAAGTTTGGGCTTTGGCAGAAAGTTTGGGGTTTTGGACAAATTTTGGCTTTGGCTAATGAAGCGAGAACCTGGAGGACAGTCTCAGATATTACTAAAGCGTGTAAGCATACTTCAGTAGTTCAAACTCAAACGCAGAGGCTCAAAAATTCAACACGACAACAAGGTAGACGCCGACATGGCAACACATCCCCAGTGGTAGAGGCTATTCTGACACTCGCAACTCGCGGACAACTACTTAGAAGAGGCAAGAACAATAAGGCAACTTGATGCTGCGCAAATCTCTTCCAGTAGTTCTTTCTCGGCCTCAAGAGGACTACTGGAGCTGCTTAGTTTTTTTTTTCATTTCAGTAACTACACAAGACCACTAGAAGAAGGCAAAGGCACTAATGCAACCGCTAAATATTCTTGAATGGTAGTAGATGACGTCTATGAAGAAGTCATGACTAGTATATCCGAGTAGCAGGCGTATATTTCGTATCCGATAACTCTTGAGTAATAGGAGTCGACACGAATAGAAGACAGCACCTATATCCAATGGCTATTCAACCGATTACAATACGCAGCGAACATCGTAATAACAAGACGTAAGAGCAGAAGTAGAACATTCAAAACCATTTCGAGGACTAGAGCGAATATCAAGAAAGAGTTAAATTCAATTGCGTATTCATTGAGTAGTACTAGTAGAGGACGGGCATTCATTGAGTAGCATTTGTTTTTCTATTAGAACAGTCAAAAAGCGACAAATAAGTTGAATCATGAAAGTAGAACGAGAATGATCTTCACCAGATGAGCCGTCCTCTAGTTGTCAGTCACCGTGTAGAAGTCCATGAAAATTGGAAAAAAGAAGAGCGGAGGAATTAGATACCCTCAAACCCAATCCCCATTGCTACTCTGATAAATCCGATAGAACAATGTACAGAATTATGTTATCAAAAACCCTTTATAGCCCAAGCTGCTGAGAAAAGTATAAGTAGTTGACAACGTCGCTACCTAGCCCTCCTATTATCGCTCCCGAGCGTAGTAGAGGTGCGACAGTCGCAGCTGCGGGGAGATCAGTGCCTTTCGGAGGCAGCCTGATTGTGTGACGGCTTGCCGATGTCAAAACGCGCAGGCCAGAGATACAACTAGCTGAGAGCCTCCTGTGAGCACGGACGAAGCGGGTGCTACTATTAACTACTAGAAGTTACAGCGAGAAGCTCATCTTTCATGAACTGATAGAGATGATAGGGCTCAAATCGGTTCAGCTACCTCTACTCGTCTGTGGAGATCATTGACGTTTCTGCTTCTTCTACTTGTCCTCGTCTGTGAACAAGACTGATGTCCTTCATGTCCTTCATCTTTAGTCGAAGAACACAGAGAAGATTCAGGGAAGTCGTAGGCCCAATCCGAACCGACTAACACCGTCATCAGGTGGACCAGATCGCACTGATGTCGGTTAGTTTTCCCGCAGGTCCTAGGCGTATCTTCTTGCAACATATTGTCGGTCTTTTCGGTCGTAATTTCTCTCGGTGAGGACGAGGAGTACCACCACCAGTTTGCAGTGCTGGAGATGGAGCAATAATCTGTCTGAACATGATTCCCGACATCTTCCAGGATCACACCCAAAACAGTCGTGGTGGCAACCTGCTAATCTATTCATTGGTCTTTCAGTTTCGTCGATCTTTCAGTGATGATTATATTTATGATTATTAGTAGAAAAGGTCGTTGAGGCACTCGTACTACCTCTTCTACTGAAATGCTACAACAGCTTGTTCTTCTCCTGAAATGCTACAATGACAGCTTCTTCTACTGAAATGCAGCTACAGCAGCTGCTTCTACTGAAATGCAGCTACAGCAGCTTCTTCTACTGAAATGCTACAGCAGCTGCTTCTACTGAAATGCAGCTACAGCAGCTTCTACAGCAACTGAATTGATGTTCTTGGAAAAGAACGTGGCTCGTCCTCGTCCTCGTCTTCTCTGCTGTCAAAGGATTCAAATTACAGGTGACGAACCGCTCCAGCGCAAACCGATCACATATCTTCAACATCTGACGAGTCTCAAGCTGTGGGAAGATTAGGAGCACGCTCTTTCACGTCAGATAAAAAGTACCTCGGCCTCGTAAGCAGAAGAAGATCTTCGAAGGCACTGTTCACGAAGGAGATCGAAGGCACTCAAGAAGATCTTCGAGATGCCAAGCATAACTCAGCACTACATGGCAGAAATGCAGGAACTCCTGTTCTCTTCAGGAGAGCAACCCATCAGTGGAGAAGAACCCATCAGTTCTTGGCGTGCTCATCGGGCTGGACCTCATGTTATGCTTATAGGGTTAGGGTTTATAAGGGTTTAGGGTTCATGTTTAGTAGTGTAGGTACTATCGTACAGCTGGCACTGTACACAAGATAGTGCAGCGTGATCATGCAATAAGTAAGCTTCAGTAACAACTACCTATAATTCTCGGCTCTTATCTCACGCTTACCAGTTATAGGGCTTATAAGATCCCCTCGACGTCGTCACTTTCTGTGAAGATGCTTTGTGTCACTTAATTATAGCTATCGGATTAGTAGGATGGACCATTGATTCTACTAGTAGCAATTTACAACTTGTTCTAGCACATCAACTACGTGTTTCTGCGTTTCGATTCTCTACTCATCTTTTTAGCTTTTGTCCCTGTAGTATAAGTTATCCGCTTGGTACTAAAGATCGTTGTCGTTCTTGTATACTCTAAATCATTTGCTGGCCTTACTGCGTTCGCTTTTTCCGGACGTCTGCCTGACCTCTATGAGGATCACTTGCCGCCGAAAAGTTCTATATTATGAAATGTTGACCACCTTGACATCTACTTGAGGCAGAAACAGAAGGTTCTTGTAGTAGGTACACTAAAAACTTCTACTTCAAAATCGGACTCATGATGAAATCACTTCGCTCTAACCTTCATACAACTAATAAATATTTTATCGCCGCCTAGTACGTAGGTAGGTAGTCCTTGTCCTTGTCCTTTCATCACCATTGATTAGACTTGAAGAGATTACATCTGTGATCATCCTAATCCGCATCGCGCTGTAAAGTACTTTTTACCATGAGTTTACCTCTGTGGAAGTTCTTTTGCTTCGAGAATAACCTTGGCCGGTAAGGGTTAAACCTGAAGAAGTACATGACCATGACCATGCTCGTTAGCCCTCGAGAAGTCTTCTGAAGACAGAGCATTTTTTAGTATCTTGAAGAGTATTGGTTCTTCTAAAGACAGCATCAAGTATTACCGAGCATACGCGAGGAACGCTCAAGCTAACGGAAGCCGAAGTAGAGGCGCATGAACAGTCGAAACTGTCAGTGTACGCGGTGACTTTATGGAAGAGTGGCGAGCATGGTGTAGTAATGAATGGTTCTGGTATTTGGAGGTAACCTGAATTTGATCAAAAGGGAAAACAAGAAGAGAACCCTTATGATCAAATTCAGGTTACCACATACCAGAACCATACAAAACAAGAAGAGAACCCTTATGATCAAATTCAGGTTACCAAATACCAGAACCATACAGGTAACTCTCCTGATTGTTGTACTTGTAGCTAGTACTTCTTGAGGTTGAGGATTTCTTTTAATTATTTCATCTTGGTGAGCATCAACATCAGGAGACTAGTATAGATGTTAGGGATGCAGAATGATGATAGCATCAACAGGACGCGAGAAGGCGAAGAATTAGAAGGTGGTCATCGGCGTGGCTTTCTCTGAGGATCTCTAACAAAAGCCGGCATCGGTTTTCTTATCGGGGGAAGCGTCGCCGCGTTCACTTCTAGGGTAGAAACAACCCTGCTCTATGCTCAAAATGAGCTCGAAGTTAAGGCACTTTCTAATGAGGATGTTGTTGTTGTTGGGTCATGCTTGGTACTATCTTGATGCAATAAATATGATAGAGAAAAACAATATCGATAAGAACGAGTCTATTGTCCAAGTATTTACATCAACTACGAAGCTCCTGTCATCTTTTTTCTTCTAATGCAGATTTCCGTGCCGCCGTCCTGAAAAGAGACGAAGCAAGCCCTGCTGAGTCGCCAGATATTATAGATGGCCAAATATTAGGGCTACAAGAAATCCATCTTCACGTGCATCCTGAGACCGTTTTCAAGGGGAAAAAGGTTCTAGGATGCGTTTCAAGATGGATTTCTCTTGGGTCTAAAAATAGAAGACGGAGTGGGTGCTACTAGAGGAGGTCGTGGCGCCTCCCAGTCCATGATCTCACAGTAAGGCTTCCTCTAATCCATGATCTCTAGAAGTGTGTACTATAGGGTGGGATATACTAGGGATCCCTCAAGAGCCGTATGATCATCCCTCCTCTCTTTCCCTCCTCTACAAGGGGGAGGCTCCTCTACAACAGGGATGCTCCTCTGCAAGGGGGATGCTGACGCGCACGCTTGAGGGATTTCCACAGGGGAGGGAGATGAAGTCTAATTATCACAAGGACGCGGCTCGGCAGTGGCTTCTCTATTACCTGATGGCCCTCCTGACGCTGGCGCGAAGTTAAGTCAAAGTGTTGTACACAACATAACTATGAAGCATGCCGCACCAGGAAGTGGATCGGTAGGAGCTGGATTCATGCCAGCAACATCTGGTCGTGGCTTACCACAAACTCAAAAAAAAGGTGGAGCTGGAGGAGAGCAAATAAAAAAGGAGGAGCTGGGGAAGCAGGGTAAAAAGAATTAAGGCTTAATAAATAAGTACTAAATTCACCGACCCATCTTCGAAGATCTTCGTCTCCAACAAAGAAGCATTTTCCTGTTCCGTCGTTTCGTTTTTAAGAGACTTCGTCTCCAACAAAGAAACATTTTCCTGTTCCGTCGTTTCGTTTTTAAGAGACTTCGTCTCCAACAAAGAAACATTTTCCTGTTCTAAAAAGAGGGAAAAGCCAAATCCTCGCCTAAGGAGCAGGGAGGCTCGCCAAAAGGCACGCCATCGCCGAAAGGTAAAGGGCGGAAGAAGACGTAATCTTTGCACTTTGGGTTCTTCGTACTACAACTTGAAGAAATAAAACCCAAGTTGTAGGTTTAGCGCTTCCTCGGCCGTTCTTACAACCGCAGGATGAAATCGAAATGTATCATCCCGCCGATGGCTAAGTATAATGGTCGTTTGGGATGCAGTATGATGATGAGGCAGCAGAGCTTGAAGATGACAAACATCAACATGCAATCTGCTAGAAGAAGGGGTAGCAGTAGAGGCACAAGTAGTGAAGATGAACAAACTCTGGCTCGAAGTTATATTCTCGAGTCAGTGGTACTCCAACACGAACTAGAATTGAAATTGGGGTGTAGTTCAGTAAGAAGCCTCACTGTTCAGTAAGTCTGCAGCAGCGATTCGTCCAGGTTCCACCCCGGTGAGCTGTAGCGCCTCGATCTGTTCGTGCGCGAAGTCCTTGATCTGTTCGTGCGTCGGATCGTGCGGCAGCACTGGAATCTTCATCCCAGTAAGGGTTCGCAACACCCTGCAGGGAAACAGAAAAGAGTCTTCACTTTTTACAGTAAGAATTTTCAGATTGACATGATATCAAAGAAGCATCCTTGTTCAGTAAAAATTTTCCAGATTGACAAAGATCCACAGGCGATCATGGAGGCTTATGATCATGGAGGTTCCCAGTACTATATTGATAGAAGTGCAAATTATGTAAATGTTGTAGGGGTTCTTGCGCTTAAAATTCCCTCAGCACCAGCACACGAACAGCCTAGCACTTCTTGGATATACCACTACAGCAGCATACTATTCTTTTTCATTTTCTTCGTTGAAATAAAGACTATCGCCGCTGGCTTGGATTTTTTCACCTCAAGAGTCATTCCATGATCTTGCTGTACTTGCTGCTATCCATCAGGATTCATCTTGCTACTATCCCGTTCACGACCTCCTCTGCTACCTCCTATTTCTTGTATCTCTCAACACTCGTCCCCTGTCTATCTCTATTTTCATCTATCTCTATTTTCATCACGCAGAAGGAGTTGTAAACATGTTTCGTCCTCGTATCCTGTGCCTGCATGGTAAGCGCCAGAATGCGGCCATATTTGAGCAACGGCTTGGCACTGAGTTTCCGAAGAAGGCTGATCTCTTCTTTTTAGAAGCGGACTTCGATTTTTACAACTATAAAAAAGATGAAGAATTTGTAGTAGGACTAGGAGCCGCGGAAGATCATCGTAGGACTAGGAGCCAAGAGGATGAAGATTTGGATCAGGGACAGGGAGATGATGACGACTTGCGGACAAAAACTTGGGTCAACCTAAAAGTAGAACAAGAAGAGGAAGAGAATTTGTATCATGCTTTAACCACAACAAGCTCTGCAAGATCCACGTCTACGTCAAAGAAGGCCATGTATACTGCTAGTGATTTTCTTCCTGCACTGAGAAAAGTACGGAGAGCTTATGCAACGCATGGGCCTTTTGACATTGTTCTGGGCTTTTCGCAAGGAGCAGTCTTAGCGTCCGTAGCTGCTGAGTTTGCGGATGTGTTTCTTTCAGTTATGTAGATGCCCTTGAAGATGGTGGAAGATGACGTTTTATTTGATTATAGGCTTAGAGGACAAGGGTATAAATAAAAGCTCGGACTTTTGTTACGGTCTACAGAAGAGCACGGCTTTGTATCTGAGAAGGTCGATTCATCTTATAGTTCTACTACCACTGCAGCTCATCTCTTACAATAAAATTAAGAAATAAGTACAAGAAGAACTTCTGTTCAGTGTCTTCTGGTGCTTCTCTAATACCACAACGCCGTCCTTGCAGCCCTTCGCCTTCTTGCTATGCGCTGGCTTTGTGCTCGATAACGAGAGTCTAGACACGCATTTCTTGCAGTACGTAGAAGCGGAGCGGAAGAGGAACTGTCATGATCCTTCTGGAGGTGATCCTACTAGAAGGAGTGAAGTTCTTGTAGAGCAGACAACGAGGTGGATTTACCACATCGTATTAAGACTTCCGGAACGAATGTGTCCCATCTACTTCAGAACAAGCATCTTGGACCTCCTGTGTAAAATTACAGGAACAAAGGGGAGGTCCACCAAGAAGATGCTTTTCAACAAAATGGGAGATGATTTTTCCCGGAAGCTGCAGGTCTAATAGTCGGAGACCGTGATAGACTCGTTATGCCAGCACTGTCGAAAAAACCCTTTGAGGGTAAGATTGACCGCGTATTTTGGAAAAGAAAGGCTCCTGAACCTGATGAACATGTTGCTTCTGACATGGAGGCTCATCAGGCGTTGTTCACTCATCCTGGCACCCACATCGTTCCGACAAGGGATATTCTGGGAAAATGGTGGTCTCAGATTTGTCATCCGTTGCCTGGACAGATCCAGCAGACCTCCTCCACTTGGAAGTCCAGTCGTGACCACTCGTCCTGTGCTTTGACCGTAGCCATTCAAGAAGAATATGAGCTCTTGGCCGCAACGTTCTGTCCTGACAACGACGACGAGGCGAACAAGAGGACTGCTGGGCATCGCGTGCTGTCCAGAAGCACAACTACCCGCTGTGCTCTGAGAGTGCCAGTGTGTGACGACTTTATGCTGGAATTACATTAAGAGTCTAGGTTAATAAAGGTGCTTTTCTTACCGCTTTTTATGCCTCTCTCAACCCTAAGGGAGACGAGAAAGGCATAAAAACAAGCGGGGAGGTAAGCGAGCACCAAAAACCTATACCTCTAATTACACTATCCTCCGGGATTTGCTGGAGATGATAACTATAGTGACCATCCTCGTCCGACTCCTCGGATCAAGATGGTTACAACGAACAATTTTATCTTCCAAGTCCGTGAAGGAGAGCTAGAAGCTTATCTTGCGGACAGGGTCTATCCAGACTTGCATTAAGGGTAGGTTAAAGGTGCTTTTCTTACCGCTTTTTATGCCTCTCCTAAGGGAGAAAGGCATAAAAAGCGGGGTAAGCAAGCACCAAAAACCTACCTCTAATTGCAAGGCGACATTGGAGACGGATTAGCGCTTGCCTTCGGAGCAGCGGACTGGCATCGGATGGTAGTGGAAGAATTGAATGCTGGAAAAACAAACAACAAGGGTTGTACTAGAAGTGCCTGTGCAAGTCGTGGTGCAGAGAAGAACGAAGATCAAGAGCAAGATCATTCAGGGCACAAGAACGGCGTCGACGCTGTGAAGAGTGCTGGTCATAAAGGCACAATGAATAATTGGTGGGATGAAGATGATGACAACAAAGATCGGGATGACTCTAGTAAAAACAGCAAAGCCACTACGGACCATAGTACCGCGAACGAAGTCAAACACAAAGTCGACTTAGCTCTGCTGCAGGAAACAAATTTTACACACCTCTACAATATTAACAATAAGGATAGTAGCACTGCAGGAGGCGGGGAGCACAACACGACTAGCCAAGGAGCGCCAGGCACAACGTTGTCTGAATGCGGAAATGGGCGTAAATCACGCCTCTTTGCCTTCGTCCTTGGCCTCGTCGGCAAACCAAGCGCCGGAAAAAGCACGCTTTTCAACGCGATTATTATGGTGAGTCACCAGTCTTTTTATTAAATTTAATTTGAAGATAGGCCGTCCTCCACCTAACAAGACGAGTAAAAAAAGCATGATGATGATTGTCATTGTCTTGAACAACACCAAGACCAAGTAATTTGAAGATAGGCCGTCCTCCACCTAACAAGACGAGTAAAAAAAGCATGATGATGATTGTCTTGAACAACACTTGTCATTGTCTTGAACAACACCAAGACCAAGTAATTTAGACCATAAGACAGAACAACCCAGAAAAATCACTGTCTTGAACAACGAACACCAGAACTTCCTTCTTTGGATCCTTTTTCTTCATTCTAATACTTCCGGTTCAGCCAAAGCAGCCGTGGGTGCTCATCCATTCACCACTATAGAACCCAACATCAGTGAGGCGTGGTTAAACTTCAAGGGCGAACAACAGCAGCGCAGGTGTCCTCCAACGGCACTAGGTCGTATCCCCTTCCTCGTAAAATTAAGGGTAGGTAGTTTTTAATGGTGCTTTTCTTGTAGTTACCGGCGTTTGTTATGGCTCTATCCCTGCTTAGGTGGGGACAGCTGCCATAACAAGTACAAGCGGGATAAAAGAACCACAAAAAGCTACCTCTAATAAAAGATGTTGCCGGTTTAGTCCCGGGTGCTTATCAGGGTAGGGGCAAAGGTAACGCCTTTCTTAATGACCTAGTTCGTGCTGACGTGTTGGCGCACGTGGTGGATATATCTGGGTCCTTAGATGAGTGCGGTGTAGTGAAAGCAGTCGAACCTTCAAGCACCACAGAAGATATAAGCGGCTCCTCGTCCTCTACTAAAGGCAGCACGGCAAAAACTTCCACTACTAAATCAAGAAGTGCTACATCAACAATTGGCACTACTCCTGCACTAAGCAGCACAACCAGCCCATCCACAACCAGTAAGAATTTAGAACAGATCTTAAAGGATGTGCGATTTATTCGTGAGGAAATTTGCTGCTGGATTCTCGAGAATGTTAGAGCAAAGTGGTCCAGCGTTCGCAAGCATGCTATCCACGAGACCCCAGCTCAAAAAAAGCAAGCCCTAGAGCGTTTTTGCACTTTGTTCACGGGATATCACTGCACACCCGCTTTCGTCGAAAGACTGCTAGCAGCCATGCCAAGGTTAGGTGGCTTTGGAAGTTCTGTCTCAGAAGGAGCGGACTCTGCTGAACAAGCTGCTTCTAGAAATCTGTTCCTAGACCAAGTAATAGATTTCCACAAATGGCAAAAACGTGATTTTTACGCATTCGTCAATGCTTTCGTCTATTTCCGCTTCCCGATGCTGTTGGTCTGTAATAAGATTGACAAGATTTTTGAAGAGCACTTACCGTCAACACTGATTAGGGCTAGAAGAAATCCATCTTAGCCAGCATCTTCGGTCCGCTTTTTGAGGGGAAACGGTCAAAAAAATGCGCTACAGGATGGGTTTCTTCTAGCTCTAAACTGAAGCACCTCCACGACGTCTATCCTGAGTATCCGATCGCCCCGGTGTCTGCCAAGCTAGGTCAGGGCATCGAATCGGCTGTCAGTGCTGCTGTGGCACTTCCGCGGCCTGTAGTGCTGGATCTAGTTGAGGGGGTGAGAGGATGGCAAGAAGTGGAGCTCGCTAGTAATGCTGGCGATGATGTTGAGAAGAAAGCCCCTCCAGGAGGATCTTCATCCAGTCCCCGAAACAGCAATGCGGCTCCTCCTGCCCTGTCTTCATCCTCCCAGCAACAGGAGTTCCCACCTCCTCCTCGTCGACTCTATTTACTCCCTCACAATTCCACAGTTTTTGAGGCCTACGAAGCGCTTAAGAAAGAGCAGGTGCTACAAGGTGACTTCGTTCGCAGTGAGCAGGGTGCGGGGCTATTGGCTAAGAAAGAGCAGATTATAGGGGGTAAGAGTATCCCTTTTGCTTTTGTTTCCTCCTCAGCAAATCTCGGATTAGCTCGCTTGCGCATACAAACAAAGAAAAAAGCCACACATTGATGACATGCAAACGAAGAAAAAAGCTTTCGTTCTCTTGCTACTTTCTATGATGCTTGTAGATTTAGATAGCTAAGGATCTTATCCTCCTTTCGTTCTCTTGCTACTTTCTATGATGCTTGTAGATCTAGATAGCTAAGGATCCTATCCTCCTTTCGTTCTCCTGCTACTTTCTATGATGCTTGTAGATCTAGATAGCTAAGGATCCTATCCTCCTTTCGTTCTCCTGCTACTTTCTATGATGCCCCCAAGCAGTATGTTGCGCAAGGTAATGAACACGTCGTAGGAGTCCTGAGGCTCAACATTCGCGTCATGCGTGTTCGCGGTGCTAAAAATACTTCACTCAGATGAAAAAATAGATGCAACATATTTATTCACAAATGTTTGCAGTTCAGAAATGGAGATCCAGAGACGCTATTCGAAAATACTTAGAAGACGTCTGAGAACAGAAGGCTGGAGATCCAGAGCCTCGCACTTCCGATATGATAGTGCAACTACAGTAGCTGACTCTCATAGAATTACTTATCATCGGCTATCCTTTAAACAGGCGTTGTACTTGTAACTACCTAGTTACAACTTCTCATGAAGATACCTCCATCGTTCTTCACACGACCTACGCCTTCATCTATCACGCATATTAAGCATCATTCATCAAATAGATTCATTATCTTCACTAAAAAATTCGAATGAATAAAATACAAAGCTTCAAGCACCACGAAAAAGATGGCCTGCTCCAGCACCGGAAATGGTAACAAGTTTCTGTCGAACGATAGCGACCACAGTCCGAACGTGTTTGTCGTTTGGCTATTACCCAGCAATGAAGCAAAGCTGTACGATCGTCTACAAGATTGTATCAACAAACTAGCGAAAGAAAACTCGACGCCGACCTTCGTTCCCCATATAACAGTCTGTGGCGCGATTCATCAGCTCGAGGCGGAAGAAATATGTAACCGGGTTCGAGAGGTTGTTGTTGCAGTAGCTTCTGAGTCTGGCTCTGGTTGTAATGGAGGAGGTAGCAATCAAAACAGAGGACCGCTTCTTGACCTGGACTTCGTTTCTGTTGGTTCTCAAGAAAATTTCTGGGCACAAGACCTGTACCTGGAAGTAAAACAGACCGAACCATTCTTAAGCTTAACAAGGAAGGTACAGGAGAAATTATTGAGCTCCAGCACCACGGGTGAGCGTGAGCGGAGTCTGTTCGCTCCTCCCTGTACAGTGCCTCATTTAAGCCTGTTGTACCCGAAGGGCGGACACTCAGAACTTGAAGTCCTCGACGGAGCAGAGGGAGAAAAGCCTGAAGATGCGCCTGCCTTGATGAAGATAAGGACGTTCTACACACAGTTGCGGGAAAGGATAAAGGAGGAGTTTTTAGCTAAGGACGATGGAAGTGCGAGTTCTTCAGCATCGTCAGTTGGTGAAGATTGTCTAGCTGTTGTACAAATTGGCGGACGTACGGCTGAAGGTGTGAACATTTCACGAGGATGGCAAGGAATACCAGACTGGAAAATTGTCGAGAAGATACCACTAAAACCCTGAGGACTTTCATCATTTATGTTTATGAAGATCATCATCATTGTCTGTACTTGCACTGAAAGGGCGATGAACAGATATTATCTACAAGCGACATCATGATCATCATAATGAAGTGCAGTATGCATTATAGATACTGTCACGACGTTCTTTGCCTCACCTACATTGTTGATGTTCGATAGCCTCATGATCCTAGTGGTCCTCGTCCTGATGATCCTAGTGGAGAAAGTTTTTCACTGAACCGGTAAGAAAAGGAAGCGAAAACGAGTCCCTGTAGTTGTTTTTAGATCTCGTCTACAACAACTGAGTATAGGTCCTGTCGTCTGTGAAGTAGTTCGATGTTGCCGTGACAACAAGTACAAGTAAAATTGATGAACTACATTCTTGAGAGATTCAGAATCATTCCTCGTGCTCGTCAAAATCATGCCTTTACGACGTCGATCCACCATTTCTTTGCCTGCTTCCGGTCCGCATACAATCCGAACAGGAACAACAAGGTACCATCTTCATCTTCTTCAAGAAGATCTTCTCAGGAGTGCGTCTAGAAGGAGTTGCGATGCCTCGTCCAATCGTTCTTTCTCATCATCTCCAATCGTTTCTTCTACGACAGCTTGGTGGGTCGATCCCTGTTCTGCTTTCCCCACAGCTGCTGCTTCGACTTCGACATCATCCTGCTCATCATCTTCATCCTCGTCACCACAACATCACTCTTGTTCGGAAAAAACGGACCTTAAAAATGTCGCTGGATCCGATCAATGGACCACACAGCAATTGCTAGCTTCACTGCAAGGAAACTACACATCTTCACAGCACTTGGTTGCTAGCATAGCTGCTCTAGTAGCTGCAGACCTTCCACCCGCTCAAAAGAGGCAGAATGCATTTGCGCGCAGTCTCCGAGACATATTCCTAAGTGACCTAGAGTTTTCTGGAATAATTGACTTTGATGAGCAGGGAGAGGGACAAGCATCATCTTCAAGTTCTTCCTCAAGAACAGATAGGAAACATGATCTTGAGGAACACACTGATGAACCTGACCATACTAGCCGCGCTGTGGAACCCGATCATCCACCTTTATTCGAGACCCGACGACGTAGGTGGACAGTGTATCAAGTTTGCGCTTTGTGGCAAGCTTTTGCCCAACTAGGCTTGCTTGACCGAGAACTAGGCTCCCGAATCTATGCACGCTTATTTGCGGATCTAAGAAACCAGAAGAAGAAGATGGACCAAAAGACAGCTAAAAGGCTGGAAGATGAGAAGAAGTTGCGACGTGATGGTATAAGGGTGCCAAGATTCACAAGAGGGGACGAGGAGGAGGTCGTGGAGGATGGTAGACGAGGCGATCTCGTTGATGATGAGTGCACGTCGTCTGCGGCCTCTACTTCCTCTTCATCTCGGGAACATCAAAACGGCCATCCTACAACATCAAAATCTGAAAGTAGTGCTCCTACTAGATCTACTAGTCCCAGCACCCTCGCTCTCCTCCTTCTCGCGAAATGCTTACGGCAAGGTTGGTACGAGGCGAAAAAGTGTACTCATCCTCAAGAAAGCAGGCTCTTTCGTCTTCATCTAAGTAGGAAAATAAAGCCTCTACTTTCCTTGAGTACTATGAGTACCCTTTTTCTTGTCATGGTTGGAGTCGAAACGCTTTACCAAAAGGAAGGCATGCAGAGTTGCGTGAGGCAGTCTTGAGAAAAATAATGCGCTCTAGGGATGATCTGTTGCGAGAAGATGTCTTTGTGGACGCTCTGATAGCGTTAGGGCAGATGTTTGGAAGTAAGCCTGCAGAAGCTGGAAAATATGGCAAGATGACTATGCTGCTTAATATTTATTCTTTTGTATTTATTTCTTGTGTTTGATGTGCCTCTGTCTTGTTAACAATATTAGTGGGTTCTACTTAATATCGACGAGTCTCCTTAATATCGTTTTTCTCAAGTCTCAACCTGCTAGTTGTACAACTAGACCACTCGCAGCACTCGTCTCCCCGCCCTCTAATTCTCAAAGCTAAACGTCCGCACACGAAATTTGATCACAGAAACGCTTCTTTTCGAAGACGTCCTGGAAACTTCTCTTTCCCCGAGTAGTTTGCGCAAGTTGCCTCTAGCATGTGCTTTTTGCGGAGTGTGCGAACCTGAAGTGTTTGACAGGTGGTTGGATTTGATGGTAAAACGCAAGCACGGCAACAGGGGTAGAAATCTAGGAGACGTACTACGACTACAAGAACATCAAGGCAAAGGCATCTTCACGGAAGAAAAAATAGAAAATTATCTAGGGGAAGTACTACAACTACAAGAACATCAAGGCAAAGGCAAAGGCATCTTCACGGAAGAAAAAGTAGAGTACACAACAACATGGACGTCTGAATCCGACGTTCGGGAGTTCTTAGAAGGACTCTCATCATGGCATGTGGGCTCGCCAGGCTTACAGCAAACCGGTCTCAGCTTGATTGAGGAACGATTGGGAGAACATCAATCCATAGTAGACATAGAAGAGAAGAATCGGCAGCAACAGCAACTTGAGAGATCCTCAAGCGAGCAGAAGAAGTGGTGGACGACATCTTCGTCGAGCTCTTGGAGAACATCAGCGTCTCCTTTTCTTTCTTTAATATTCTTTGGAACGTCAAGAATTATCTCATCTAGCGCCCCCAGCGGCCCGAAGAACGCGGCAAAAGGAATTCAACTACACGACATGACCAGCGCTTCTTCGAAGAGGAAGACCACAAGATTCTTCAGCGGAAAGAACGGAAATCAACCACACGGCGCTTCTTCGAAGGGAACATTGATTTTGTGGCTCAGGGCACTGTCAAGGGATAATTGCAAGCGTGGTGTGATCCCGGACGTGGACGGTGACTTTCCGGCACCTTCTTTACTCATTGCTTTGTTGAAGGAAGTAGCAAAAGAAGCTCCGAAATTTGATAAGCGTGAGTTGGTTCTCATAGGCAACGCTTTGTCGTATCCCAGCTGGCGAAGGGCGGTGGCCGGTCCAGGAGGTGGACTAGGTTTCAGAGGCAATGGCAGTGCAAATGATAACGAGGCACGTGAAGAAGAAGAAGGGGGACGAGACAATTTCGCGGACCAGGAAGAACAAAGGGATCAGCAAGAAGAAGAAGGCAGGGACAAAAATATTGCACATGCTATTGCTCTCACTCGCGACGAGAATCTGCGCAAAATTTCCTCTGCATTTGAAGACTGCTGCCAAGCAGTTGGGGTGTGTCTTGCGGAGGATCTTGATTTGCGAGAAGGCAAGGACGGCCATACAGAATCATCAATGATCACAAATGAGCAGGACAAGCAGAATTTCTCTCGCGATGACCTCGCTTCGATATTTCGATTTTCCTGGGCAATTTGTCCGAATGACTGGCGTCTTTTAGGGAATTTGCTCCGGGCTATGGAGATGAAGGAAAAGGAGACGAACAAGGAGCAGATCATGAAGATGGGAGAAAAAGAAGTATCAACATCAATATCAAAATCAATGTCACAACAGTTTCGTGCAAAAACTCTCGCTACATCGGCGAGTCGATGGCTGATGTTGATGTCACGAAATGCCACTGGATTCCAGGAAGACTTGGAGAAAAAACTCTATTCCATCATCCAAAAATGGACACCCTTGATGGCGCATCCGCGTGACGGATTACCGGTGTTGAATGCATTGGTTGTTTCATCTGGCCGCGAAGAGGGTTGTTCTGCTGGTCGTGGTGCATTGCTCACCCACGTCCGCAACACTTTGCAAGCTATTTGGAGAGAGGATGGCCTTCCATTTCTGGACCGCGATGACCTAGCAACATATACAAAGTGCTTTTTGCTGTTTGGGAGCGAAGATTCTACTTGCACGAGGACGACTTGCACGGTTGGTGAAGAGAAGACTTGCTCTACTACCTCTACTCTACCTTCATCAAGTTCAAAGGAACACACAGGAGCTGCAGGAGAGGATGCGCTGGCTGAGTCTCTGGCAACTGAGTGGCTTCGAGGATCTAGGAGATTGCATGCTAGGCAAATCCAGGATCTGTTGGCATGGTTTCAGGCCACGAGAGGAGGAAACTTGGGTGAAGAAAACTCCCCAGATTCAGAGGCCTGCTCAAAACGTTTCGCTAGCTTCTACAAGAGGCTAGCTTTGGCGCTGCAAGGCAAATTGGAGAAGCGACGACAAGGGCTAGAAGATTAAGGGTTCGAAGGCGTTCGCGTTACCGTTTGTTTCGCCGCTCTTAAAGGTTTAGGGTTAGGCATTTAACAAACGGGGTAACAAGCGAACACCAAAAGCCTACCTCTAATTCGAGGAACGGAGGGAGAAGGAAGCTGTGCATGTGAATGGTCTCACTTCAGTTAAGGGCTCTTGGAAGTTGACCTATCATCTAAGAGCATCTCTATGGCTTCTTCAAGTAGGAAGGCCATAGATATGCGAGCTAGAGATGCCAACTCTCAAACTCTAACTCAGAGGGCAAGGGCGAGGAAGACCTAGTACAGCACCCGAGTTCTCCTGATGAAGAAACAGCTGGGGCGCCATCAATCTTAACTTGTCCAACCATTGACGTCTCTTCGAGAGAAAGAGAAACACTTGATGCTTTGGAAGATGGTTTATACTTTTTGCGCAGACACTATTGGGGAACAAAGCAAAGAAATCGATTATGAGTAGAAGGTGGATATGATCGTTCTATGATTTGCCATCTTCTGTTGACTACACGTACTACGCGCCAGACGTTGGTAAGAAAGTACATCCGTAACGAGGAAGCAGTAACCTAAGCGCTAAGAACACTGTCTAAGCACGTGACTAACTGGGAGCTGTGTTCTAGAAAAACACGAATAAACGGAGAGCTTGCAAAAGCAAAGGAAACATCAACAAGCTTGATCCGATCATGAGTGTTCTTGTTGTTGAAGGTAGTGCCCTTCATATTTGCCCGCTCATCATCAACAAGGATAGGGTTTCCTGGATCTGCTTGATCGTAAACTTAGAGCTCTGGTTCAATAAATGACGAGTGTTTTGCATTATCTCTATGCACCCTCTTTATGTCAACACGGAAATAAAGCATTTTCAACTTCATTGCGATGATGCTCAGCTGAGATTAATGGCAACAACGAAAAAGTTGTTGGAGGGGAGAGAGAGTAGACGGCAACACTTCGAGTGATCATTTTCGAAGGACGAGGCCCAGTCTCTGACAGTAGTCCTGGAAAGGAGTAAAAATCGGAAGAAGTAGAAGTAGGCATTTTTTTTATCAGATCATGATGTAGGTGTAGGTTTAGGACGCGATGTAGCAGCTTTAGGATGAAGACTCGAAGTCTACCTCCAATGAGGGACGAAAGCAAGAAGTAGATACACGAAAACGCGTTAGATGAAGTGCTTAGGCTGTTGTTCATCAAGATCAACGCATCCTAGTTATAGCCATTAATATATTTACCACCACCAACACGACCATGTCAGTCGCGGCCCTACGCATGGACGACGAAGTCGGCACTTCGCTTATGATGACTGGCGCTCTTTCCGGAGCTTCGGGTCGCCTCCATGGACGGTCTCCTTGGGCCTCCTGCCTAAGAGCACTGGAGAAGGGCGCAGCGATGCAACAGGTAGGAGCAAGCTCAAGTAAGACTGCATCATCAATAAACGATATACAAAACGAATCAGCAGAGAAAACCTATCATGACTTGCTGTTTGGGGATGCGAATGACGTCTCTGGAGCTCCTGCTGTGCCTGCTAATGAACACCAAGCGGGAGATGTACTCGGCGGACCTTCTAAGAACAATACAGAGCCTTCTTCTTCTTCAACGTCTACACGGGACCGTGATGCGGAGAGGGAGCTGAGTAGTGGAGTCCCTCGCTTTTTTCCACGACAAGCACCGGTATTGCCTGAAGAGCCAGTAAACATGTCTTCGACCGAGAGTGTTAAGAAAAAGTGCTAGCAACGACGAATATACAGTTGTCGTTATTTCAACAAAACGTCGTGGATAGTACTTATTCGAAAACTCAAAATAACCGAGTTACTAACTGAAATAAGGGAGGCAGCTTAACATCAAGGCTACCCTTCCTTCTCGTCAGTATCTCGGTTATTCAGATCAGTTACTTGCTTATTTCAGTTTTTCGAATACTACAGTCGCAGTTCTAGGTTCTTGATACTTTTTACTACAGTTGTAACAGGTCTTAGAAATAAGTCCTAGGTGAGGAAATGTTCTTTCTAACCACACTCTCCAAGCCCAGGATGAGGAAATGTTTCCGACCTTGCAAGCAGGGAACACAACCTCTGCGGACCCCGCTAGTTACGATGGCGCGGCTTTGGTTGACGACTTGATGCGCTTGGAGCCCAGTGTGAACAATTATGGGAGAAGAACGCGGAAAGAGGTAGAAGGTTGGCGGGTTTTGTTCTTGTTTTTTATCATTCTTGGTAGCAGGTCATAGAAGAAGACGAAGATGAAGTGCAGGTCGTACTACTAGACGATGAAGATAGTTATGATTACGAACTCTTTCACTTGCACCACGACCACACACACAGTACGCAATGGACCACATTGAGTAGTTGGAGTTAGTGATATGTTGAAATCACGACCTCCCGTCGCTGACCTCATGAACATGATGAGTAATGTTCGACGTCCTCTAATTCCAAGATCATCATAATCGAGTACCGAAAGGCGTCATTCACAAAATCTTGACAAGGATAGCGCGAACGAAGATGCTGCAGCGAAAGTTGGCCTCGCTTGTAGTCGAGCCCGATTTGCACAAACTCTTGGAACCACTGAGAGCGAAAGCGATACTGACATGGTAATCTTTGTCTCTTTGGTTCTTGTTTGTAGTTGTATGCCTACGGGGAAGGAGGTGCTTGTTACTGCGTTTGCATTTGTGCGGCAGTGTTTCGCCCCACTAGGGGAGTCGGGTCGCTTGGGGACGGCTCCATCCACACGTGGGCGAGGACGTGGACGCGACTCGAGCGCCACCACGACCAGCAGGAGGCGCAGCCAGGCGCGCGCGACGCGGTGGCGGCTGTTTCAGGAGGTGGCTCGAACACTGCCGCCAGCAATGTGGGCAGTCGCTCGAGGAGCTGGGCAGGGCTGTGCTGGCTCGATGGGTCCAAAGACATCGCCCCCTGGCTGTGCCGCCGCTGCTATCCAGCCGGCCACCGGCGTGGCGCTTTCAGTCTAGGGAGGACGCGCCTGCGCTGCCACAGTGCGCACTGGGTGTGGCTTTGCTCGATCGTGATAGCTTAGCGCTGAGGCCCTACAAAGAGAGGGCAGCACCCGGGGCGCGGGTGTTTGCCGGCAGACGTGAGGCAGCCGGAAACGGGTTGGGGCCGTTTGGAGGGCCTTAAACCTACCGCGGGGCGGCGACGCTCGCAAGGTGAGGATCTGGCGCTCTGTCGGTATCTTCGTAACTGCTTCTGCTGCCTTCTTGTTGAGCGCGCCGGGGCCTTGCTCCATCGATGTGAAACACCCCAAAACGCCTGCAGGGGGTCCAGGACGGTGGCCCAGCGAGCCGCGGCGGGCCGAATGAGACGCCACAGGAGAGGGGAGTGAGAGTAAATAACAGGCGAAGCCGATGACCGAAGCCGCCTTGCGCATTCTGAGCGCCCCGCCAAAGGGCTCTGACCGGGTGAGCTTCGCAAGCGACGAGAGGGGCGCAGCCAACAAGGGGGGGGGCGCGGTGTTCGAGGTGTCGGCGGATGGCGTGCAAACTGGCGGGCCCGCTGGTGAGGGTCGATGGTGGGCGGGGCCACGGGCTTGCGCTGCAACGGCTGCCCCCTGTGGTTTGTTTTGTTTTGTCCTTTCGTCCTTTTATGCGTTCTCTGTGCGTGGCAAACTCTGTCAGCCGGCGCCGGCCGCTCGCGTTTCCTTTATTTTTTTCTCAGTTGTAAGTAAGTATCAGCTTTCTTTCGCATTCATGGTTATCTCCACCGAACTTGAGCCCCCACCACCTGTGACGACTCCTCCTCTGAGAAGCATTCTTGTTTTGGTGACACCCTTCCACGACCAAAATGGAGAGGCTTCTTTGAGTATATCGCTCTGACATCGTCTACCTTTCAGTTCCAATTATTCCGAACGCGAAGTAATCGATTATAAGACTTTTCGGGAAGTGTATCGGCTATTGCTAGAGGAATATCCTGCGGAGGAACGGGAAATCTACCAGAAACGCTTTGGCCCATTCTTCACAGCGCGCTCCTATCTCTAAGGCTCCCCGTAGGTGTAGTTTTCCACTCTACTTGAAGACTTTGCTACAGTTGTACTAGATTAGGGGCATGATCTAAGTAACAAGTACTTGTTCTACAACTTCTATAGGTTATCAAACAAGCGGAATTTTTATCTCGCATCTTTCACTTCTCTAATCTTTCAAGTTCGGTTCTCTCGTTTCCGAGATTGGAATCGTGCCGTTCTTTTCCTACGTCGTAAGAATGGTGAACACAGCTCAGACAAGGATCCAGCTGAGCTACTACGATACTCTGGGATCTGGCTATCTCCGCGAAAAGGACGTGGAAAACTTCATCTTCGAACTCATTCCTACGTTGCCGCAACTACAGCAATTGCAAGTATGGAAGAGATCATGTTGCCCCCTACTTTTCTTGTTTTTAGTCGCAAGTAAGAATGAAAAGATGAAGTAGATCTGAACTCCTAGTATGTTGATCTGAGCATTGCGTAGTACTCTAGTATGATCCCTTTCCCCACCTTCATCTCCCGAAGAGTTTTATCCGTTTTACGTTTTCACCGCTGTTCGAAAGTTCTTCTTCCTTCTAGACCCAAAGCGAACCGGCAAAATCCACATACGACGACTGTTGTTAAGGCTGCAAGAAATCCCCCATTTTCAGAAGAAGGTTCTAAGATCTTAGAACCAGGGGAAAAAGGTTCTAAGATGCGTTTCAAGACGGATCTTAGGTCTAATGTTGCCATCGACGCTTCTACCAGAATTGTACGAGCTACGTGCTGAAACCAAAGGAGACGTTGCAACCGGGGAAGGGAATTGGTTCTTTATGAGGAAGATGCAAGGATTTTTGATGTATAAGTACAAGTAGAAAGCGCATTGATAGTACTAGTCGTGATCGTGGTAGAAGTACCGAGGTGTAATAATTATTTCAGCCCGGCAGCACAATACCTTCTATAGCGAGTGGAAGCACAGACTCACCATACCGAGGTGTAATAATTATTTCCGCCCGGCACAATACCTGCTATAGCGAGTGGAAGCACAGACTCACCATACCGAAGTGTAATTATTATTTCCGCACGCTATATTGATGCAGATGCTGGACCCAGCATCTCCAGTCACTGATCACAAACGCCCATCTTTAGTAGTCCTACAACTCCCTTCTGCCCCCCCTTCTTCATTCCCTCCGTCGAATCCGCTTTACGTGTTTACGGCATGTACCTCGAACTTGACTCCGATCAAAATGGTATGCTCTCTCCGGCAGAACTCGTCAAATACGGCTCTGGCCTCTTGTCCGAGGAAATCATCATCCGAGTCTTCGAGGAATATCAGACCTACCGAGACGAAACGGGTGCGCAAGAGATGGATTACAAGACGTTTCTAGACTTAAGGCTTAGTACCGTAAAAATTCATTTTGTGAGTAGAAGTATCTATCTACTGTGATTAGAAAAGGAGAAACCTTTGTACACAAGATGATCATGATGACTTGCAGGATTATACTAGATAGTACTAGTAGACTTCGCCCTATAGCAGGAATAGATAGATGAGGAGGATACTAGATAGTAGACTTCTTCGTCCTGCTATAGAATTAGAAATAGATAGAAAGGTCATCTAATACATAGACTATAGATCTAATAGACTTCGTGTTAGCGATGAAGAACAAGCATTGCAAGCAGAGCATCTACTACATGTGGCGACTGATCGACTTGAACCACGACAACCAAGTGACGAAGCCGATCATTAAGGCTGTACTACCTTGAAACGTATTGTAAGTCTTTGGGCCCACGACGCTGTAGCATCCTTGATGAAATGTATGTTGAACGTATCTATGAATATTCATGGAGGAGTTGTATCATCCACCTAAGCAGGGATCGATGAAAACAAGGACTCCCCCATAGTACTTTTCAAGGATGCACTTGAAAGATGAACTTCGGACAGGAGCTCTAAGATTATCCGCTATTTTCTTCAGGGAATAAGGCGGAACATGGATCGCGCGGACGTGCCGCATGACCTGTTGAACTCGTCCAGCGTCGATATCGATGACGTCGTGGATGAGATCTTTGATATGGTAGTACTATCTATGGCATTTGATGTTGATGACGTCGTGGATGAGATCTTTGATATTTTGGTACTTCCATCTGCGACCTATTTAATTCTGTAGTAAAAATGGCTTTTTGGCTCGCAGGACCTTTAATCCTCAAGTAAAAATGGCTTTTTGGCTCGCAGGAAGATTCTTCTAAGTACGTGGAAGACGAAGAACTAGTACATTGATAGCGATTTTTATATCTCAAACTCAATCTCACGAACATTTAGATCAGGGACAACGACGGACAACTATTTCAATTTCATTCCTCAACATGACAGATCCGTCCAACCAATCCGTGTTACATCACAGTGGAGGACGTGTTGGAGAGCAAGATGGGTGTTACCATGCTCTCCATTCTAACCGATACCCAAGCCTTCTTCCACTACGATCAACGGGAGCACCTGCTTGCTCCTGATGAAGAGGGCGCGGATGAGATGGGGAGTTAATGCTGGACCATGTTGCACGTGTCGTTGTACGCGCTACGTGCTTCCAGTGTCACTCTTCATCAGCCGCTCTCTCTTCATCAGCCGAAGAGAGGGAGCCGATGAGATGGACCACGTAGTTGCACGTGTGGTCGTTGTATGCTGTGCACAATGTTAACAATTAGATTTTGCTCAAGAAGATCTATGAGAGGAAGATTCGCACTCAGCCCCTGACGGTCTGCCCTGAGGCTAAGGGGATAATTCGATTTGAAGGGCTCGTAGACTGGATCTTTTTTTGTCGGTCCTGCAGTCGTCCGGCGCCACCTGATGAAGAGGGCGCGGATAGAAATCAATTTCCGAACAAATAATTCGCACTTCTGAACAATAAAGAAGATAGGTGCAGGGGAATTGAAATGAAGGTGCGGGAGCTCGCTGCTGCAATCGAGCCATTTTTGTTCTTTTCCTCCTCACTGCTGCAATCGCGCAAATCGATGTTGCACTGTGGATCTGCTCAATGTGCTGATCAACCTGAAATTTTCAGAACTTGAAAAATTGATTTTTCATGATGTGGATGCTGTCGATGTTGTGCTCGTTCTTGTCCTTGTTCTGGGTGGTTCACGTAGTACAACCAAGAAGTTCACTGATACTGGATAATCGGAATAAGTATTAAGTCCTCTGGCTTGTCAACACAGCAATCGAAGTCAAACCAGCTTCATAATATGAAGTTCGTAAATTTGATGCAAAATAGCAGGAGCAGCGGAGAGGAGCTTGCAAGATAAGAATTTGAGATCGTTTCTTTATTCACGTACTATCTTCAAGCACCAAGAAGAAGAGTTGTAAAAGGAAAAGATGTCGAACTCTCTCAGCCGAAAAGAGCTGATTGAGCTCCTTGACTGCGCCAAATCGTCCAAGGAACGCAACAAAGCCGTCAAACTCCTCAAACGCTTCGACCCAGTCCCCAATTACGACTACGATGACCATGGAAAGAGGGCAAATTTTCAGTTGAAGGAATTCAACTATGTGTTGGCCTTTGTGTGTGGGCGATGCAGTAAGGTGAAACAGGCTAAAACGAAAGTTTTTTGGAACGTACCTTTGGAGAACGGAAAAACGCTGAAGAAGCACATCTGCACTGGGTGCTATAATTTATGACGAGCATCATGCAAGAACTAGAACAACTAGTACTGCAACTCACTAAAGTACTGCAACTCACTATTGTAAACGACCCTGCTCAATGAATTGATGCGTTGTCAGTCATAGAGTAGTAGAAGTTGTCTTAATGGTTCCGGTATTTGGTAACCTGATTTTGATCCTAAGGGAATTATAAATCAAGAAGAGAACTATCGTTATCCTTGTGATCAAATTCAGGTTACCAAATAATACCGCCGGAAGCAACATCCAAATACCTTCCTTGAGTCATGGATTATTAAGCAAGATGAAATTTCTTCCATCTCGTCGATTCATACTCCCAACTGTTGGAGGGAGAAGAGGTGACCCGATTGCGCACGAACCATCAGCGACAAGGCCTCGTCCCAAAGGGTATGGGATTCGGTCTCACCGATGGCGTGACAGACTACTCGCATTTGAGGCGAGACATCAATGCTGGACCCGGAGGAGCCAGCAGCTCGTCGAGTACTTTGAGGTAAGCAGAGGAGACCGAGAGGACGTGCAGCTCTTGAGCAGAAGACTGTTGCTGAGCTAGAAGACGAAACTGGTGACTATCAGACAGGAAAAAACTAACTATCATCAAAGCCACTACTTGTGAAGAAGACGAGAACTGGAAAACGAAACAAGTCTTAATTCTTGAGTATACCTTACATGATTCCCCCAGGAGAAGACCACTACCCTTATGATCTTGATTTGAAGCTGGTCAATTTGAAAATGTTTACAACCTCGTGAAGAATCTTCGATGATGTAGTTTTCAAAAAAGAATGATGAGGACGCCGGTCTGAATCCCACATACAACTAAGCTTTTTTTCCACCCAACATCAGGAAAGGTTAATTTTGCGGCTTTGAACAAACTCCGATCTTCAGAGAAGTGTTCTTATTGCACGAGATCGCTCTATCCTCAGGTCTCTTTGTCCGGTGCACCAGATGAATCTTCCGATGATGTTGTTCGATAAAAATTCACATAACGACGTACGTAAAAACGAGTCAGAGCGACGTAGTATTAATTGAGCATGTGGTCGTTGTCGACGCGAAGACGAAGCAGTGCGAACGACGCCCATCATCACAGCACGCATCTTTCTACATCTCTATCGGTAAACAAGGGACGATCTTGAAGTATTGTATTCTTGCGCCTTTTCCCCTGCTCCCCACCTCTGCCTACATTACCCCCAATTCGCTATTTCGATACCCTTACAAACCTTACAAATAGTTGTTTTGATTCTACTCGTTATCTTCTACAAGATTATGGTCAGACATTATTTTCAAACAAGAAAATGTTGCTTCTTTGATTACCGCACAGTGATGAAAAAGATTTAAGATCTTAGATAGTAACAGCCTAATCATGTCTTGAAAAATCTTAATGTTTAGGATGAAATTAGACAACACCAACGCGTCGGGAATGGGTCTTCTTGCTTGTGAGTTGGGGAGATGATCAATCGGACTTCTAATGTTTAAATTTACTTGCTGAAACAGTAGATCTGCTGTTGTAGTCATCTTACCGAAGAAGTAGATTGAACAGCTTCACGTTCACTCAATCACTACCTAAATCGCATCAAGAACACCTTGCCCTGGACTACTAAACCTACTTAAATCGCATCAACACCTCCCTCGACCCTCGTGGACTAACCTAAATCGTGGAGTCGATGTTGGCATCTGTTGGCGATGGTGAGGGCCTCAACAAATACGCGGTTCATCCATTGCCGCTACAACACCTCCAGGAGGAAACGAGCGTTTCCTCTGACGAATTCTCCTCACTTGAAGAGGCCAGCTGTTTTTTATGGCTCAAAATGATTATACTTTAAGTACGATTCATTATAATTGCTTTATTCCGCTCTAAGTTTGACCGGAAGAACGGTGGAAGCTTTGCATCAGGCAACGTGCTCGAATATTATTCACTTGTTCACTCACTTGTTCAAGTTCAACACTTATTCACTTGTTCATCCAAGTTCAACATGATAATAATAATTCATCCAAGTTGTAGGGAGGTCTTCGCATTTTTCTTCTGTTTCCTCATAGGGAATCTGAAGAAATGGACTGAGGTCGGAAATTAATTGCTTTGGAAGTTCTAAGTTTGATTGGAAGAACGGGGAGTCCGAGTCCGGCGGAAGCTCTGCATCAGGCAACGTGCTCGACGGCAAGCAACTCGTCTAGCTCTACAGCTCTGTCCTCAATAGCATCCACAACGAGTCCAGTTGAGGCGACGCCTTCTGCTTTCATGAGCAGGACCAGGAGCAGGGATACGCCTATGCTATTTGATAGGGATGTGAAAATTATGGTTTTTCTAGTTTTTTGTAGTACAACTAGTGTTGGTTGTAAAGGCAGCGGATGAACAAATTGAATAGTAATTGTGAGTAAACTGATGAATTTGAATAGTAATCGCGGATGAATTTGAATAAAGTAGTACTAGTCAGTGTTGGTAAAGCGTGAACAGCCACCTGCCTTCGCTTTAGACTCCTTCTACACTTGCATAGTAACAGTCGTGAGCAACCTGCCATCGCTTTAGATTCCTTCCACACTTGCATAATTTGTTGTTTTGTTCGACCATTTGTCTCCTACTCCTACTCCTTTTCCTCCTTCATAACCTCCAGAGCTGACGAAATGAGTCAAAGTGGTCCCAACGCGACCAGGATGAAGAAGGCGCCGCCGCAGTTGGACGAGCCTGCGCAGATCGATGAGGCACGAAGGAATCTGAAGCACGCGCTGCGTACGATAGATCCAACTCTGTGCTCATCAGACAGCAGTGCTCCAGCAAGCAGCCTTGGTCATACTCCTATGGGTTGCCTGTCTACAACAGTATGCGGGAATCCTGGGACCACGACAAGTACTCCCTCAGGCATAGTTGGGAGAGGAACTCCAGATGGAATTGCAGTACTAGGTCGTCGTGATGGTAGAGCCAGGAGTCCAATTTTTTCACCCACTGCACGCATGGTAGAGGATGGAAGAGCAGGAGCATCTAGTACTAGCCAGTTGATCCCAGGAGAGAAGGTCCCCATGTTAAGGCTCAACTTTCAATGGTCATCGGGGTTGGTCACTGAGATCGAAGAGGCGACGCCTTGAGAGAACAGGGGAAAACGAAGGGAAAGGGGAGAGCTTTGAAGGGGGTCGCTTCTGTTCGGAGTCCGTGACCAATGAATGCTGAGCTTTAACCATGGTAGTCCTTGTGGGTGGTAGCAGCTCCTCTTGCTCGTCTTCTGCAGCATCTAGTAGTTTTTTCGGGTTGTCGACATCAACTACTAGTGGTGGAGGTGCAGACTCGATGGGAGGACTTGTTTACTCTGGAACGGTAGGTGGAGCAGGAGGAGCTGCTGTAGTACAACCTGTTCAAGAAACTAGCTTCCCCTCTTCTGCAGCTTCAAGTGCAAACCAACAACTCAATGTGGCCCCAACAACTTCCAATATGCTCCTGCTCAGAGAAGGTATGCATCCTCCGACATCTTCGAGTTTCGATATGGAGGACAAGCATCAGCCGTCGTCTTCTCTCTCATCTAGTAAAGTGAACGTCCTTGCTGCACAGATCTCTCAAGATATATCAGATGGTGGGTTTGTGTCGCAGCCGTCTTCAAGTTCTTGTGGTGGCCACCTATCGCTTTGTGTGTCGGACGAGGAAGGAGCCCAGCTATGGAACACCTCAGATTCGCACTGTAGCGGTGACGAGATCGGTCGTGGCGCGGATCATGGTACTACTTCTGTCCTCCTGCTCTATTGAGTTATTTGTGAAGATGTAGGAGGTCGAGGTTTGCTGTTTGCGTCCTTTTTAGATTGTGAAGATCTGTAGATGATCTTGATTGACATGATTTTCGTGCGGTGATCAATCATCCTCTAACTCCTACAAGCTCACTCCACCCTCTCTCCAGCGACAGGACACAGCGCGCCTTCAAAAGACCCCCCGCCTTTCGCGACACCGGAACAGCAAGGGAGTCGTGGCCTCTTCCAATTCGGACCCGGTCTAGGTGGCGAAGTGGCCAGGCAGTACTCAAAAGCCCTGTTTCCTGATGTGTTAGTACTACCACCTGTACAAGTTGTTACGCAACCCCGACTCGAAGGTCACGACCACGAGGCGGAGTCAACGTCACTTACAGATCAGGCGAGATCATTTTTGCAAGGTGGAGCGATTTCATCTACATCAGGTGTTGTAGTTGCTTCTAGTGGTTCATCTGGTGCACCTTCTAACCTGTTTGGAGGAGCTTCATCCTCTCTGTTTGCAGAAAATGGGAGTGGAACAAGCGGCTTGTTTGGCGGAAGTGGGATAGAATTGGCAGCGACAGATACTAGTTCGAATTCTATAGGTAGTTTGTATGGAGGCTTTGGTGCTGGTATAGGAATTATGGGTCGTGGTGGCACTTCTATACCTAGTACGACGTTTCTGAGAGCAGGCGCAGAAGGACAGAGATCAGCTGCTGTCGGTGGATCCAGTAGTGCAGTGAGTAAGATGAAGAGCAAGGAAGATCTTTCTAAGTCGCCACCTACTCCAACATCAGCCGGTCCCCCAAGGTATAACCTTCAGAAACCTACAGCTCCTGGAACTTCTAGTCCCAGGCCCAGCAGTAGTATACAAGTCTCTGCAGCATCCTCTACAGGAGCTGGTCAGGCAGTGCAGCACCAGGTGACGAAAAGCAATAGCTACCACAATATGACTCCGATGGCGACTGGGAACTTCCTCTTTGACTTGATGCTGACCAGAGGAGCTGCGCAACAACAACATCTCCCCTCGACATCGGTCAATCAATCGAGGCAAACGTCACGTCAGGCACCACCGATTGCGTCGCCAGTGCCACAGAGAGCATTTGCAGTTGGAGCAGAGGGCCCAGTTGCTGGGGGAGCTTTATCACGGCGACCAGGAGAAGATGCTCGAACAATGATAGGAAGTGGTGCAAGTAACGGCCAAACCGCTGCTACTGCCATCGGCACTGGTGCTGGTTGTAATATCTTTGGTTGTACTCCACCAGGAGGGCCAGGAGCAACAACTAGTAGTTACAGCAGTCCTCCACCCAAGAATAATTCCTACTTTGCACACAAAAATAATGCCAACGACAGCGACACTGCTTCTATGCTTCCTAATTCATGCTTCTTGCCGCCATCAGGAGGAACAGGTTCTTCAGGTGGCAGTAGAGGCGCCTTGAGCCGTAGCTGTTCGCCGCCACTACCACCTGGCGGTTTTGCAGCGAATGGGTTATACGACGGTACGGATTGCATAGAACTTGGAGCTAGCGGTACTGGTTCCTCATCCTTCGGATCTGATGATGAGGATGATGACCTCGACATGATGTTTCGTGCTAGGTCACCGAGGATGTTGAAGATGACCTACAGCACTCCTCTCGCCACGACAGGTTGCAGCTCCTCATTAAGGCTCGGCATTTAGATTGGGGTCATCATTTAGATTGGGGTCACTGAAATCGAAGAGGAGACAGACCCCCTGAGAGAACAGGGGAAATAAACTAAGGGACGAAATAAACAAGGGGAGTAGAGGCATGGGGCACTTTTCTTTCAGAATCAGTGTTGACCACTGACTGCTGAGCTTTAACCTCAGCATCCGCTTCAGCTCTAGCGCCAGGAGGTCAGACACCACTGAGTCGAAAAAGCCGAACCAACATGAATCCACGCTTAGCTGCGGCAAACCGGCCACTGCAATTAACTGGGAGTTTCTGTGCTGATTTCTTGGAGAAGTTAAGGGATGGAGATGATGATATTCGGATAGGCCATCTAGCGCCAAGGAGAGGACTAGGATCGGCGGGTAGTGCGAAGAATTTCCTGAACCAGTATCGGCATCATTTGTACAGAAGGTACCTGGACGACGAAGAAGAAGATGATGAGGAGGATGCTGATTATGGTTTGTTTTTTCGTTTTCCCTGGACTACATCTAGACTTCATGCACTTTACAGGGCTAATTGAGTCTAGTTCTAGTTCTAGTGAAGGTCTTTCTAACACCAAGACGAAGACCTGTATTCCGGTAGCAGGAGAAAGAGGAGTCCTCGGAGGCGACTGGGAGGTGACGGGAACCAACACATCGACATGAACAAGAACAACCTCGAACCCCCAGGCCTTCCACCCCAGCACACTTCGTCTCTACCAGTAACGCTCACGACCGTTAAGCAGGGTTTCCAAATTACATCCCCCTTGGCCTATTCTCTATTCTCTAGCAGAAAAAGGGAAAAGGTGGTCAAGGATCTTCTGAGGAATGTAATTTTGCAACCTCTAACACTGGCCATCTACTGCCAGCGCCCTCAAATAAACTGCTAGACCCAAACACTTCTGATGCCCAACTCCGGCAACTTCATCCATCTGCATCGGTAGACAATTCATCGGCTTCCCTTGGTCGATCGTATTACGATCGACAGGGACGGACGCAAGCAGGTGGTGGAGTGAAAAAGCGGAGACGAGGAGGTGGTGGGAATAGTACTATCTCAAAAGCCAATGAAGAATTACACGCTTTGTTTGCTTTTCAGGGATAGGAGCAGCAAGATGAAGCTCGTAGTTCTTACTAGGTAGAAGTTAGATACTAGACATAGATGTTTATTGTCTCTGTCATGATGACCACGCATTTTTATGATCATTTTTCTTTTTGTGTGTTGTAAGTGTACCTGTACAAACTGTGAGTGTACAACATAGTAAGAATTATCTCAATCTGCAACAGATGAAATTTGAACTTTTCACGCTACAACTAAATTGTATAGAAAATCCAAAATCAACCTCAATAACCAGAGCTGCTAGCGTGTGAAATATGATTAGACAAGTAACCTGATCTTCGATCAATATTTTATTTTCTAGTACGTACGCATCAAAAGGTAATACGCGGGCTCACTCATCAACATCGTGATCAACGTCCTTGCCACCAACTTCATCAAAAAAAATATGTAGCCTATTATTTGCTTTCCATGCGCAACATGAGCGTTCAGGTTCACCTGTGTTCAGGTTCACCTGTCCACAATACTTTCAATGTACCACATGTATCTAAAAAATCAATGTACTAAAAATATGTCCTACTAGTTATAATCCGACATTATACTTAGCATCATTCTACTCGACAAGAAAAACATCATCAACCTCCATATGGGACTGTACCAGGTATCTTCTTGTTAAGTAAAGAACAACGGCAACCGCGCATAAATGGGACAACAGTACTAGCCCATATTACCGCAGTACTCCGCAGTACAAGTATGGGACAACAGTATCTTCCCATGAATATTTATGATAGTAAAGTCCTCTCCTCACTATCCTTTACAACAGTACCGCAGTCAAGGATAGGGGACTCATCAACCCGACTGTTCTTTACTTGACAAGATACCATATGGGCTTGTTATAAGTAAAAAGAACAACGGCAACCGCGGGAATAATTCCTACCACCAAATCAATTTGGACGCTCCTCTATGTCTTACTTTGAAGAGATGAGTATGTGGTCTATGTAGTATTGTTGTTGTTGTACCTCATGTGCTGTTTCTCGTCTCATACAACTACAACATACTTCTGGATCATAATTCCCTTGATGAACAAGTTCGTTAAATAGTCCTGTATTTAGAAAGTCTAAAATAATAATTTTGATGTTGAAGACATCAAGGTACATTTTTTTTCGAATTTTCTGTAAGACGAAGCGGGCTTCCTGAATAAACGTCATAACAAAAAGCAGGACACATCGAAAAAATTGACATTGTACTGAACAGGAGCGAGGACCACATCCACGACGGTCCGCAACAGCACAGAAGCAGGAGCCCCACGACAAACTCGGTCTTCGTCTTTTCGCAGTGTTGATGGTATTATAATCCATCGGTCACGACAATTTATTTCGCACGGTTTATCGAAAAGAATCAAAATCGAAAATTATCGAAGCCCTCGCAGGCACAATCTTCTAATCACGACCTCGACGTTTCATCCTACGTATAGCTCCAAGTACTAGTAGTAGATGTAAGCCCAAAACAAGAAGAGTCAAGGAAAAATTCTATGGACTAGCAAGCGTTAGCTTCACTATTTTAGCAAGAATATACTTCTAGAGAGTAGAACAAGAATCAATAGCGCGACAAGCAGGGCGACATCATGGCGGCCGCGGTTCCTCCCATAGAGGTGCCGCAGGCCGACGCGAACAATTCGGCGCCAGGGTCAGCGGCGAGAGGTGGCACAACTCGATCCTTCTCAAGCACACGACCACCTCCACAACAGTATTATCTCGACGAAACACCACGATATAAGAGTCTGGGCTTCCAAGGCTTGCTGAACCTAGCGCACAAGGCGAATCCGGTGTTATGATGAAAAATGTCTTTTCTATTGTCTAAGTGTCTTTTTCTATTGACAGAAGTAGGTGGATGAAGGAACCCTACTTACTTAGGGGTTCCTTCATCTCCAGCAGCATTCATTTTAGCTTCTTCTAAGACCCCTGATAGACACAGCAGCAGGCGTGGACGACTATGAGACTCTCCTTACTGGAAGCAAGCATTTGAGCCCCAAAGATTCCACAGTAGATGGCGCAGCAGGATTTTCAGGGAGTGTGGGTACTCGTTCATGAGATTCTTGCTCCCAGTTATGTTATGTAGTCGTTCTTCTTCTGTGAGGAGTTGTTCAACTTCGTTCATCAGTTTATGTCCGTCGTGAGATTTTTTAGGATATTTATTAATGCCACGTCCTCAATTAATAAACTGACTCGCTTAATCATATTTATATTTACCGCATGATAAACATAAATGTAAATCATGATCCTCACAAGTAGAATCTTCAGGCGACTTCCGTTCCGTTTCGACAATGGGTGGATCACCAAAGGGCGGAAAGAAACGAAGGCATCACACGAGTGCAGGTTCACAGAGCGTAGACGTAGCGAAATTGGAAAGGCAGTTGTCGGTGGCAGACCAGAAGACAAAGCAACAGGAGAAGAGATATAAATTATGGCGGCATAAGCACAAGAAGTGGTGAGAAGAAGAAAGGAGAAAATGAAAAATTAGACTTATTGATACTCGCTTCGCGATGACTAGTTGTAGTTGTGTAGTCATCACCTATCACAATCGCCCCCGCACCTCGAATGATGTGTCGAACTCGTCGGAAGTAGCTTTTTTAGAATCACTGACTGGTGGTTCACAGTCAATACAGAATTTTGATTTTTCCCCCTTCTAAGGACCGAAGAAAAGAAGCGTGCTAGTGCGCTAGACAAGGAAATGGCGAAACTCAGGGAGCGAGCGCACGAGCTACAACAGCAGCTAACAAACACAGACCTGGATTTATCCAGTTTGAGGAAAGAAAGTTACGGTGCAGCAGCACTAGGATGTTAAAGTCCAGTACGTCGGTCCTCCTTGGTCGTGGTGTCTACGTCTACTTTCTATTTCTCTCCAGCAGGGAGGGGTTGGAAATCTTCTCTCCAGGGTGGTGTCTACTTTCTCTCCACCAGGGACGTCGAGGAGGTAACTACAGATCATCATTTACATCCTCTAATCGGAAGAGCTCGATCGGCGTGCGTTCGAGGCCGACTGCAAGAAGAAGGAAGCCTTTCTGAAGAAACTCCTGCTGGCAAAGAAGGACCTCTTGGAAGAAAACTTCAAGATAAGACCCAGAACTGCATCCATGAAAGCACCAGGCGGCATTTTTCTAGAAGAGCAAATGCTGGAGAGGAGACCACTCAGTGCTAGTGCAACACAACTTTCGAAAGAAACACCGGCGAGCTCCTCTACACACCAAAAAACCGAAATCGAAGAAGAACTAGACTTTCTCGGCTTACAGCCAGCAGCTGGTAAAAGTGGAGCGAAACAAGGTGTATCATCTGGAGCGAAACAACAAAAAGGAGGAGGTGGAGAGCCAGAAACGCCAGCGCCAGATCCACTAGTAGTCAGTGCTGATGTCCTGAGAAAAAGCCTGGGATCGAATTTATGACTGGAGGGAAATTTTCAGATTCTAGTGTAGGTTAAGCATATGCTGACCTGCTCACGATTTGCAGTGAAGTATCGTCTTAGTTCGTGAATTATGATGGTTCCAATTCTTGGAATATCTATGTTGGCCCATTCATTGTTTGAAGCAGATATTTGAGTCTAAATATCAAAGATTCGCATAGCTCTGTCTGCAATTGAATTCTTATTTTGGAGGATAAAATCAGAAATTTTTAGCAAATATTGCTTTTCAAATTTTTGAAGCTTAAGCCTTAGACTTTGATAACTTTGATATTGGTCAAAGTCTCACAATGACGCTAATTTTTGAGGCATATGGGCCTAAACATTGATAAATAACAAGATTTCTAGCATACATCGGTAAAATTCAACAAATTGCTTGAATCGGGTGAAAAAGCATCGCCAGAAAATGAATTTAGATTAATTTGGAATAAAATCAAAATTTCTTGGATATGACAGAAGAAATGGAATTCTAAAATCAGACTCCACCTCCTGCTGCTCTTATTTCCTTCCTCTAACTTCCCTCCCAAGCGTCCTGAAGAGCGTAAACTTGAGTTGGTGCGATACCATTGTTGCGCCACTATTGAGTCGGGAGCACGCGGAGATTCTACTCGAGGAATTCAAAAGGATAGACCAGCGGTTTTTCACAGCCAGCGTAGATCGGAGGGAAATCGCCAGAATGCAGGCTGAAGTGGTGGACCTGTCTGAGAAAATATCATCGATAACGGCGGACAATGAGAAGGCGAAGGACGCTACTAGCCGTTTGTCCATAGTGAAGAAGAAGCTGGAGGATGGCTTGAAGAGGAGTAAATCGGTATAAAGAATTTCGATTCATCTCGTATTACTTCTTGTGGTTTTCCTGTAGTTCTGCGATTTAAAAATTTTCATTTGATCTTCGATGGAATGCGATAAAAATGCATGCACTGTTGGACCTGCTATCAATGTCGCACTCTCTACCCAACATCAGGTCGCTTCCAAAATGGCTGAGCGCAATGGTCTCGAGGAGGAGCAGAACCAGAGGGTGCGTGATCTAGTCCGCAAGCACGAATCTCGGATTGAGCAATTGATTATGGCCCCACATATTTGAATGTGGAAATAGATGTATCCTATAATTCTACGAAGGGCCAGGAGGAAGCACCATTTCGCCAACAGCCGCGGTCACTGTTACTGCTACCAGAAGTGGTCTGTTATACTTTCCCTCCTTCCCCTGATTGATTATCTCCAGTACCTCATTTTTGCAACTTCTAACCTCCTGGACCAGCTGAAAACCGAGACCAAGTCCCGCGACGTGCAGATCAAGGAACTTCAAACCGAGAATTCAAGTCTGCGCAAAAAGGTCATGGAACTCGAGCAGACTGTCCGGGACGCCACTGCCCAGTCTAAGACGCTGGAGAAGGAAGTCGAGTCCGGACGTGTGGAAGTCTCCCTATTGGAGGAGTGGAGGACCAGGAGTGGACAATACTTCCGGGAGAAATACGACTACGAGTCTACGCGAATTTCTGCCTTGCAGAACACGAACAAGAAACTGCAGACGCAGATGGCGTCAGCGACGGCTGGGTTCGACCGATACTGCGAGAGGAAAGCGAGGATAATGTAGTAGTGGAGGCCATCGTAACTTCTAGTTGCAGCTAAAAAACGTAGTTGTGCTCGTGTCCGAGAAGTACTAGTGGAAGTTTCTGCGAATAGGAAGATCATTGAGCAGCTTGCTCTGCTGCTTGTTATAATGAAGGTGAAAGTAAATTTAGCATCGACGACAGATATAACGAAATAAACGATTCGAGAAAGATCACGACGAAGAAATCTAACGAAAACTAACACAAACACGAGGACTAATATCGATATTTATTAGACTTACTAACTTTTCTCTTTTTTATCGCAATGAACCCAAAAACCGTATAGGAGAAGAAATCGCTATCTACGTACTAGGAGTTGTAGTTCAAACATGTGCAATAGTTTTGTGACTAAAATTTCCATGCATTCTATCGTTGTAAAGAAGAAAGGGTCATGTTGATGTACAATACAATTGTCGTGAAGTAAGAATGTGGCTTCTAGAAATTAAATGGAATCACTCTGCTTGAACAGATACCTATCACGAGCGAGAGACTTGTTTTTACCAACAAGAACATTTAACGTCCTTGACGGTGGAGAATTTTGATATTCATGCACAAGAGAACATAAAATGCCGAGAAATGTCTACGATCAGAGCAAATTGAGAAGTGCGCATCAAAAAGAAAGTGCCGGTTCATGTTGCAGGTGATGAGTGACAACGGAGTAGATGTTGTAGCGCGATCAAGCTCCGGTTCCTCTGAGGGATCACTCTGATATTAGATACTAAAAAGGTCGTCATGGAAGGACAGGGACGCTGCCCTTTGGGTTACACTGAAGAGAAGAAATCCAACCTCAGTGTTTTTGGCTCTTCAGCAGCCGCTGACGTCTGCTAGTTTTCCTAGGGGGCCCACACCTAAGCTATTAACCTCGAGATCATATAAAAATGATCATGGCATGAACTCCTGTGTCTGTCGGCTCAGACCACAACTCTGCCTGTCACTCACTCTAAATCGGAAACGGTTCTCTCGGTCGAGAATCCTGAGCTTCATCGCGTTGTAGCAGCATCTATTGCCTCTTCTATCAATCTGTCGGAAATGACGAGCATTATCTTTCTGAGTCTGTCGGAAATGAGCACCAGCGACCTTCGTTCGATTTTGGAATGCATATCTCTCTGTGATATCTATGATATCGTCATGTCGGTGAGTAGATGGTGCAGGGAGATACGTCGTTGCCGCGTGTGTAGTTTCTAGTAGTTCGTTATAGGGTTTTTCATAGCTGCAGATCACGAAATAAAACAGTCGCTACCCGCGCGACTGCTCCTCTCTCCCCAAGGCGAAACCAGAATCATAGTGAAAAACTAGAATATAACAGTAACTAACATGTTGAAAAGATCACTTTCTACACCCACTTTATTGACTCGTCCACTGGTGACTACCTTGTGCCTGTTCCAAGAACCAGAAAAGCAAAAGGATGTCCTCTGCTTCCGTTATTGACGATTTTCTTGCTGGGCCACTGAGGAGTGTGACGGAAGCCATCACAGCACCCATACCCTTCTATGGTCGCCGCAAGATCGTGGACGACTGCAAATATCAAATCCGAGAAGGTGCTCAGGGGGGTGGACCATTTTCTGGAGATTATGAGAAGGAACTTGATGCTTGTTGTGCTTTACCGATAAAAAGTTGTAGTTCGCATTACTACATGACGAGAACGAGGCAAAAGCATCCTATCCTATCTTATCCTATCCTAGAGCAGCAGTAGTAGATGTAATTGAGAGGTATTTTGAATAGCTTTACTGTAATTGAGAGGTAATAGCTTTAGCTGTTGGGCATCGAGGTGTAGTTTCGTGTACTACTAGCTGTACCTTATGCTCAATCCTCTACCTCATCTAACTACTCCCTTCCACGAGGATTACAAAATTTGTGCCCGCAAACGGCGGACGAGATTACATGCAGCACACGCCCGATCCCAAAGCTTCAGCAGATTCCTACTACACCCAGTGCGGAGAGCGTGCTGGGCCTAGTCCTCGACTTATATTACGGGTGTAGGGAATTCATCTCCAAAGTCATCTGGAAGAGAAAGACAAGAGGAAAGAGGGACCCAGATGATCCCTGAGATGAATTCCCGATACCTCTAAGTATACCGACCGATCAGCAAACGAAGAAGTTCTTAAAGGATATCAATGGCAGTCACTGGGAAGAGAAGAGACGACGGGCGCTCTTGGGAGAAGCACCGGCTCTACCGATGGAGGGAACGGCAGCTTCGTACTATTTGGACTTCTATTTACTTACAACTACAAGTAGAGATCCTGTGAAGATGTTGTAGTGGTGATTTTGTAGGTTCCTCATCAAGGATGATGAGTACTATCTTCTATGAATGGTTCGGGTATTTGGTAACCTGAATTTGATCATAAGCAAGGGAAAACAAGAAGAGAACCCTTAGGATCAAATTCAGGTTACCAAATACCAGAACCGTACACTCTACAACACCATGGAGAGCATCCGTATTTTACAACACCATGGATGTTGATAAGATTTTCGGTACCAACGATTAGAAGAGTCTTCATTTTGTACAACGACAACACCACAGATACTATCAGCACTCGCCGGACGTGCTCGCGCAGGCGCTCAAAGAAAAGGTGGGAGGAGTGGAGAAGAGTCCTCACTATCCTTCTGATACCTCACTCGGGGCGCCGTTGATTGTCATCGATTCGCAATCTTTATGGAACAAGTGCTGGCTCTTGATGATCGCTGTTTTACTTAGTCGATGAGAAATTATTATTTACATTTAGTTGTCGGTGGTTAAAATCATGTCCTAGTAGTAAGACCGGCACAACTCCACCGGTCGTTCTCGCTTCATTATTATAAAGAATAATAAGTAGAAGAAAGATGCCGGCGACCAGCAGCTCCCGCCCTTGTTCCCCTTTCATCTTCCGCCTCCATCGCCTCCACCGATATCGAGGATGCTGATAAGTGGTTTTGTAAGTCGCCAGCAAGATGGCAGGAACAAAAGGGAGATCATCCTAGTTTCACCTTCCGCGATCCCATCCCAGGTGAAATGAGTGTCGAGATGCGCGATTTGGCGAATGGAGCTGTGCACTGGTCCAAGACCTATAGTTAAGGCTTGGGAGTTGACCTATCATCTAAGAGCGTCTCTATATCTTCTCCAAGTAGAAAAGCCACAGATATGCGAGCTAGAGATGCCAACTTTCAAACAACCCCTAATATAGAATGAACATGTCGAATCGGTTAGACCGATGGACTCCGGAAGTAGGAGAAGATGTCGGAGAAGGTGATGACGAGTGGTCGCAGACGGGAATGGGACGAGTAGGTAGGGGAGAGAAATTGCCCTTGCGGATGGGATTGCTATGGCATCATGTTGATTTTTATCGTGACAAGAACACTACTAGAACAAGGTAGAAGCAGTACTGTAAGGAATTGGAATGCGTATGCAGCGTTTTTATTCCCTCTTCACACGCTCTGCTCGTCGTTGGAGAAGATGCCTGAATCTTTACGTCTTCTAATCCCCCAACGCGGTTTCTGGCCTGTTTGTCCGCAACGGGAAGACATGTTCCATTCGTATGAGATTACCTTCCGCAGGTTGAGGCCTTGGCGCGAGCAGTTTGCTGATAAGCATTGCGCAGTGCTGGAAAAGAAACGTAGGAGGAAAGCCGCACTACGTGCTCTCGCAAATGCGGCGGGACGAGGTACTAGTACTGGTGCACAGGACGAGGGTAGTAGTGCTCAAAATGGAGATTTGCTAAGCGGCCTTTCTGAAGCTGACGCTTCTACTCAAAATGCCAGTTCGTCCTCTGCTCAGGAGACTCCAGGCGAAGCGAGCCCAGAATCGGTATGGCTAGGATTTCCGAATAGAGACGAGGCTGAGGATCGGGAGAACGCTTCGACATGGAATATGGAGGCAAACGACGGAGATGCGTCTTCTAGTGCTAGTGCTGCAGATGCAGGAGAAGATTGGGAAACCGCTTCTTCCGGAGATGCGTCTTCTACAAGTGGTACTGCAGGAGGAGCAGACTCGTCTTCTTCTTCTGGTGCAGCAGGAGCTGCAAGTACTACATTTTATCCGGCTTGTTCATCGAGTACAACTGGTACTACTCGTTATAGTAGTACTAGGATAAAATCAAGCAGTAGTCGTGGTCGTCGCCCACTTCCAGCATCGCTCCCGATGCCTAGTACAGGGAGTATCATCGGAGGCTACTTCTTCGGCGACTTCAAGCAAAACCACCTACAACTAGATTCTCTTCTTTTTGCGGCTTTGCAACCGGTCCATCGGTTGTATCGTCAATCTGGTAGAGCGTTGCAATCTCTCGTCTCTGGTGAAGGGGAAACGACCAGCACTAACAGCAGGAGGAGGGCCCCTTCAAACTCTACAAGGAGCTCTACAACAACAGCTAGTAGCTCTAGCACAGCTAGTACTACAAGAACAAGTAGTAGCAGTTTTTCTTCACCCATACCTGGAGCTTCACCAGGAGCTTCAGCGGGAGCAGCAGTTGATGACGAGGATGAGCCACATCCTGAGTGCGAAGAGAATGATAGTTTTACCTCTGACAGTAACGATGTTACTGACATCATTGGCAAACTTGTAATCTCTGAAGCGCACTCAACAGCAACACCATATGATCATACCATGATGTAATTTGCAACTGCGACGTGAGACTACACAAGAAGTAGGTTTTTTTGAGCCCAACATGGTTCTTATGGTTTAATCCCTCTCGCTTGGTCAAGACGAGGACGAATATGAATTTGTTCCAACATGACAAGCTTAATTGAAATATTCTGCCAAGGAAGCAAGTTGCATCTGAGTTCTACTCATAATCATATATTACTGAAAAAGTAAAGTTGTTTACAGAGGATCCTGGGTAGTATGCTGGACTCTTGATCATCGAAAAATTGTCGGACCAGAGAGGAGGAGTTGTAACTTACTAGAAGATTCAGATTGTGAGTTGTGAACCCTGCTTGACCTCCAACTCTAGGATGAGCCACAACAAGAATATAATAGAGTGACGAGTTGTGAGTACACCTTGCTTGACCACTGCTTTCCATGAAGTTGGAAGTAGTGGGCCCTGAATCATCTGTCTAAACTTCGGTTGAGATTGCTTCTCTGTTTATAATCGGTTCTTAGATCGTGGTATGATAAAACAAGATCAAGAAGATCATGCTTGCTTTCATCTGAGTTGTCGTGAGAACTTCCGTACGAGTCGTAATTATGTGTTATAAGATTTAGTAGAAGTTGTAGAAATTATTTTGTCAACATGATCCGTAGACGTAGAGATGATGCACGCAGTTGTAATTCATAAGACTTCTTCTAATACGTTGGAGAATAGAAGACCATATGGAGTTCTTGAATCGAACTTCTTGTAGTTGTGATCACGTCAGTCTGACTCATCTTTGCAACACCACCACCATCACCACCACCACCAGGATTGCTGTTTCCTCGCATGTTGCCCCTTCGCCTTGATATACTACAAACCATCTAGTTCGTCGTTGAATCATCTTCATTTCCGTTATCAACAAGAGCCACTATAGCAGTGCACATCTTGTCCAACTAGACGAGTTCTTCAGTAATTCATCAACAACCATCTACGTCTACCTAGATCTCGATCTACTTATAATATAAGTAGACAAGAATAAGCATCTTCTTCATCAGCGACATAAAATCAAACTGCACTTCTACCTCGCGCTAGGCACATTCATTCACTCATTCAAATCGACAAGAAGAAGCATCTTCTTCATCAAGTAGTACAGGAGGATCAAGGGCAGCTTCACGCTCAACCACGAAACAAAATGGGCTTCCCGGATGTGGAGTGGATGTTTTGTGCTAATCTTTTTAGCACCATCGCGTCCATCCACCTAACACTATGCCACAACCTTGTGCTCGCGCTGAACGTCAATTTCCCGGAAGTTACCAAAGTTAAGGCCGCGACCACCGATGAAGCATCCTCAACGGCAACGTCATCCTTGGCTTCTTTTCCTACTTGTGAAAAAGAAGCCCCATCATCTTCCAAAGGATGTCATGACTCTTAATAAGGAGGAATTCTTTTTCTACTTCCTTGAAAAAGAAGCCCCATCATCTTCCAAAGGATGTCATGACTCTTAATAAGGAGTGACAAGTGAACAGGCCAACGCCTAAACCACTGAGCCAACTGCGCAGTTGGCTTAGTGGTTTAGGCGTTGGCCTGTTCACTTATCAGTCAAACTACCGGAAGATGCCAAAGCCAACGTGTCCTCTAACAAAAAGGGCTTGGCTACTCGACTAAACACGGATTACATAAACCATCATTGGATGGTAATGACGCTTTGGTGGCTTCTATGCTTTTGCTGTCTTCTATTATGGTCACCAGCTGAGCTATATTCATCAGCATCCTTTTCATCCTTTTTTACCTGATTCTGATCTCAAGAAGAGATGAACCCATTTGGAGATTGAAATTATTAGGTCATCAAGAACTCAAGTGTAAATAAATACTAGAACCTTGGCTGGGTAGTCACACTCTATTTCACACAAGTGGAAGAACTGTCATCTCGATCCCCTGAGCGATCTGGTGGACTACCCTTAGGGCCTTGGGGGGATTAGAAGACGTAAAGATTTAGGCATCTTCTCCAACGACGAGCAGAGCGTGTGAAGACGGAATAAAAACGCTGCACACGCATTCCAATTGTTCCTTAGTACTGCTTCTACCTTCTAGTAGTGTTCTTGTCACGATAATCATTATGTTCTTACAACATGATGCCATAACAATCCCATCGCGGAAGGTGAAACTAGGATGATCTCCCTTTTGTTCCTGCCATCTTTCTGGCGACTTACAAAACCCTAAGGGTAGTTGTCCACCAGATCCCCTAAGGGTAGTCCATCGAGATGAATAGAAGCCGCCGCTAATTCTAGTGTGGGCACACAAAAACGGTGACGCGTACGGAATCGCGGGTAACTGGATGAAGATGGTAGCGACTGTCTTTATGAGGATTTTTTACAACTTGTTGAGGAGAAGCAAGGACTTTTACTTGAAGATTTGATCATTTATTAGTAGGACTTTAGACTATTAAGTAGTATTACTTGTTCAAGATTTGATCATTAGTAGGACTTTACTATTACTTGAAGATTTGATCATTAGTAGGACTTTGCTATTACTTGAAGATTTGATCATTAGTAGGACTTTGCAGCTATTACTTGAAGATTTGATGAGAAGGACTTTATTAACTGAAGATTTGAGGAGGAGGACTTTACTACTACTTGAAGATTTGAGGAGAAGGACTTTACAACTTGAACTAGAGGATAGAAGCACGACTTATTTATAACTTGAAGATAATTGAATATGGGCTTCTTCTACCATTTTCATCGGTTTTAGAGGTTTAGGCCCATCGAAGCTCTGAAAGAACCTCCTCATCATTCTTCTGGAACACCTTCCTTCACGACCACCTCAAGAACCTCTTCTAATGCATGTTTTTTTGTGCAATGTGTTTTTAGTTACATGGGACAGCCGCCAGTGACAGCGGTTCGTGCTTGGGAATATGGTCCCACGACTACGCCTGCGCAGTCTTTTGCAGCTGCAGTCGACGTTGCACCTCCAGTTGTACCAAGTCGTGGTCTACAGGCGCCGCTGATTGCAGTGGTGCCTCGTGGGTGGTTCGACAATCCGTCTCCGGCAACCGAGGATGAGTTCGTGTCCTCTCTGTGCGGCATTTTGCTTTTTTTCCTGGGTGGCGTCGTGCATACCATTGGCTTCCGAAGGCTCTTTGGCACATTTTACAACAGCACAGTGGTTAAGGCTCCTTGTTCGGGAAATCTCCATCTTAGATTTTCAGAAGCAGCATCTTGGACCTCTCACATCCCATCTTCAGAGGCGCAAACGGAGGTCCACGATGTTGACCTGCAAGATTCAGATGGATTCGCGGAAGGTCTAAGGTGGTAGGAATCATGTGTCTTACGTTTGGAGCGTTGCTTCTGCTGATCTTCTTCCACCTGGGCGTGACCTTTGTTCCAACAGCATTTTACGACAAATGTCCAGAAACGATCCGAATCATGGTCACCCTTGGAGATGGGCTTTTTTATGTCAACATGGGAATTCGTTTTGGTCGTACTAGATCATTAAGAGTACTTAAATTTTAGATCAAAGATGGCTCTATTGACATATAATTTTTGAGTTCGAGAGAATATATGATTTCGGTCCTCTTCGGTCTCTTTCATTAAGTATGTTGTAGATCAAGAGTAATATTGGTCATCTACTTAAGAAAGTAGATCTTCACTTTATTTTTTGCCGCTGGCTCTAGTACGTAAATAACACGTATAATTAACTAGATTACTTCTAATGAAGATCTACTTAAGTAGATGACGACTTTGAGTAATATGATGTGATGTGGCTTGCTATTATTCAAGGAATGGATGTGATGTAGGAAGATGATGTAGAAGCTGTTGTTCTTGGTGTTCAAGGACAACAACAACTTCTAACTTTTGGTAACAGGATCAGTGATCCTCCTAGCTCCGATGTGCGATATCTTGTACGAGAGGGCAATCGAAAATGCAGCCAAAAAAGCAACGATAGTTAAGGCTGGGACCCTACTAATCCATCTTGTTCTTCTTGGGTATATTGATATTAATAGAGGAACCTAGAAGAAATCTTCCATCTTGATGTGAAACATCTTGGTGCCCGCTTTCGTCTCCTCAGGAAAGAACCGATACAAGATGCGGGCTAAGATGGGTTTATTCTTCGAGCCTCTCGTCCTGCGACATCAGGGAAGGTCTTCCCTCAACCGTAATATGCACGACCCACATAAGTACTTACAAGGGCAATACTTAGATACTCGTAGACTCTTTTGGGGGGCATACTCTTACTCTACTTGAGGGATCTCGTCCGACACAGGGTCGTTGGGTTTAGGACGAATCGAATTCCTCTACTTGAGAGATCTCGTCCAACACTTACTCGAAAAGTGAAAATAACAGAGTTACTGACTGAAAGAAGGGAGGCACTAGCTTATAGCATCAAGGCTACCCTTCCTTCTCATCAGTATCTCGGTTATTCATATTCTTATCAGTAGCTCGCTTATTTCATCAGTTTTTCGAGTAATAAAATGACTACAAGTAGCGGAGCCACCTCGGAAGTCCATGATCCGGTCCATCTGATCCTAAACCCGACAACCCTAGATGAAACGGCTCAGCGTCAGCGAAGCCTCTCCTTCTAAAGTAGTAGGAGTTGAGGCCTTGGAAGACGAAGTATACGCACCCATTATTAACGGTGAAGCCGATGAAGAAGCCGCGCCGACAAATGAAGAGGCCGCGCCGAAAAATGAAGAGGCCGCGCCGATGACAACTGCGGGAGGTAATGAAGAAGAGTCAACGCGGACCTCGCAAGATCGGGCGGGAACTCCTCTAGATGCGCCGACCGTCGGCAGAGGCAGTGCGGGTGAGCCTTAGGCTGGAGCTTACACAAAAACAGTATGTAGTCAGTGTGTTAAGTACACAAAAACTCAACAGTATGTAGTGTGGAGCTTAAGTACACAAAAACTAAACAGTATGTAGTGTGGGCCTTAGGTGGCTTCCGAGGCAGCTTAGGAAAGATAGGAAATCGAAGATGGGGAGGAAGTGCTTGTGATAGGAAATACAATCGCTACTAGGAGGAAGAAGCTAGTCGGATCGAGAAGTACGAAATATTAGATCTTCAGAGCAAGATGCAAACCTCCCGCTAGGCACATTCATTCACTCACTCAAACTGAGACTACACAAGAACATATGCGTCTTCATTCAGGGACTACGATATATCACTGCATTTCTATTATTAATTTGTAACAAGATAGAACTGTATTTCATCTATTTCTTGTACAAGGACAACTTGTTTGTTTTGTATGTAATGATTTGATGCGCTCCACCAGGCAAGGGCGAAGCGTAGTATCTCGCCTTCTATTTGTACAAAATATTTGAAAACGAAAACGGAACAACTAGTAGTACTATGTACGTAGTCGTAGTAATGTACTACTACCACCTTTCTTTTAATATAACAAGAAGAATATCAAGAACTGTAGTAACTGTATACTATACAAATAATGTCTAGTTGTAACCAGCACATAATCATAAGATGGTTGAAAATCATATGGTGCTGTAATGCACAAGCACGCGGCGAACAACTTCTTGTGGTGTGTTCAGAGGGAATAACTATTACAAACCAAAGTAGGACAAAAATTTTTCGGGGAAGAAGCTACTGAAGTCAATTCTGCCACGCTGCTTCACACGCAACCAGCGGCGCCACCGATGGGAGCTGCGGCAGAGGGCCTCGAGGGCGATGCTTTTCTATCATGGTGAAGCGTCATTGTTTGCCTGGATGTTTCGACCTGCTGTCTATCCTAGAAATTGTTTGCTAGGAGGTCTCGGGGTCAGTGGTGTGTTCAGAGAGAGGGACAGAAAAGAGAGAGAGTATTCAGAGAGAAGATTTTTGGACTTTTTTTATCTAAAGACGACAACTGTCTGCAGTCTGCTAAGTTTATAATAAAATAAATACGGAGACGGGGAGGACCACCTGATTTTTGCAACAACTTTCCCAATATGTTGATCAATCTATGAGCTGTGACTGTGAGTGGTCCTGCTAATCTCCTGCTTGTAGCCGCTTGCTTCGACGTCAAGTCGTCCTCCAGTACGTGGTCGAAGTTCAGGAACTATTGCAAGATCCACATTCTTCGACGTCGAAAACGTCACATTGGACCTTCACACTGAGTTCCAGTCAAAATGGTGATCGTGGTGAACGGAGTGCTAGAAGTGTCGCGGCGCACGTTGCGCCTGAGCACATTTTCGCTCTCGGCGCATCTTCTCCTGGCTCAGGGAATCAGCCACGAACAGGAGAAACAGGCTGTCATCGATTGGGATGGAGACGTAGAAAGTCAGGACATGGATGGCGCAACGGCTTTTACGCAAGTAGTGACACCGCCGCCCGAGGACAAAGAGTCTCAAGTAGCAGAGGTCATCGACATGAATGCCAATGCGCTGAGAAAGAAAATGAGAAAAGCGGCAGCTTCGCTTGCCCTTTCGCATGCGGGAGGAAAACCAAAAGGGCTGAAGATGTTTGATAATTTTGGCCTGAGGAACGGGGACGGCAGGAACTTGCTCGGTCCGCTGGAGGCTACCGATTCGAAGCCGTTAGCGGGCGACCATGGGAGTCTCACCACCAAGCCTTCGTCTCCTGCTAAATCGGCCGCGCTGAACGGAGGAGGTGTCGATGCGCAGGCGTTGCCGTCGCTCAACACGAGGGGCGCGGATCGTCGTCCAGAGGAAAAAACGCCGCAAGACCTGCAGCAGCCTCTTTCGGGGGAGGCGCAGAAAAATGTTCTTAGAGCCACTGTACGTAAGGTGGATGCAGGGCTGGTCAAGAGACTGGGCAACACGATGAATAAACGCGGTGGCCCAGGAGTGATCAGGGAAGCCTTTTTGGGTCAGCTCGTCGACGATGGCGTATTTAAGGAGCCTATGGACCTAAACCCGCTGAAACAAATTGCGAAGCAAGTCCGAAAGGCCTTGATTGATGAGGAAACAGAGCTTCACGGTCACGATCCGAAAAGAAAGGAGGAATTGGAGGCTCTCATTGACGCAACAGATAAGTCTGCAGAGCTAAATGCGCGACTCAAGGAACTCGCCTTCCACAATCACGAGACAAGCGATTCTGACAGGCTGGTTGTCGAAATTCAATTGCTTTTACTCACCCAGCTTGCCGATATTGACCAGTCTGAGGTTAAACGCGCTGTACAAAACAGATCCGAGCGTGTATCGCTAGACGGCTGGCGTCGCAAGACGACGGAGGATTTGCTAGCCATCATACAGCGCGTGGATGCCAGCACGATCGAAGACGCCATAGCGAGTGGGAGTGCTTCCTCCGGAAGTCCGGATCAAAATGGAGGACAGTTTCTCTTTCCCATCCCTCCTTCAGTTCCTTTCTGGAACTTGTTTTGGCAAATGCTGAAGGGCCGCGGGCTAGGATCTGGCGATGGTGTAACCGACATGCAAAAAAGTGCGGGGGTGGCGCGAGATGTCTTAATCGGAGAAGCTGGTGGTACGGACGAAAAGCTCAAAAACTGCAACTTGGTGGTGGAGATGAAGAACGATAAACATAAAAATTGCTTTCAGATTCTATCTGCGCTACTCCAGGGATGCTTCTTGCGAGGCTCGGAGGCTAGTAGCCCCAGCGAGTGGGCCTTCGACCAAGATCAAGCAGAAAAAAATCTGCCGCGGATTCGAGTACTCTTACTCACCATCGATCAGGCCGAGTTTGAGAAAATGGCAGAAGGGGCGACGAAAGGTCGTGGATGAGGAGGCTTTTTTACGACTTTCGGTGGGAGTGGACGTGGATGGATGAGGTGTGACGGGAGACCAGAAGAAGGCGAGGATTGAGGTGTCATGGGAGACCAGAAGGAGGATGAGGCGTGACGGGAGACCAGAAAGAGGATGATGTGTGACGGGAGACCAGAAGAAGGAGGGGGAATGAGGTGTCATGGGAGACCAGAAGGAGGATGAGGTGTGACGGGAGACCAGAAGGAGGATGAGGTGTGGCGGGGGGCTAGAAGTAGCGAGGGTATATAGAGGATAAGATATGACGGAAAAACAGAAGGTTTTCCAATAGAGCACTGATTGGACGAAGTCTAGGAAAATACATATGAGGAGATTGTTTGAAATGTTGAGTAGGTTTTCGTAGTTGTTTAGGTTTACCATTCAAGCTAGTCATCGTCCGACGAGGATTTCTGTTACTGTTTTCAAATTGATCGCACGTCGAACAATTTACGCCGATTATTAACAACAGCTAGAACTACAACAAGATAAGTTAGTATAGTGCTTTTAATTTCATATTCGTGAAAAAACCGTTATCGGGTCGTTCATGTTTTCGTTTATTATATCACAACAAGGGTTACACTTACAGGGTTGAGTCGGGAGGCTAAGCCTGCGTGTAGGGCAGCGAAAATAGTCGTATAATTTGTATTTCTATTTGAGTGCCATAGGGCGTCATAGATGAAGACGTAGCAGTAGCTGTGCCTTCTGGTGGTCTTGTAGCAATAGTACCTTCCTCGAACGTATTTTAGGAGATGTTGTGATAGAAAGTTCAGTCTCTTTGTGAATCAATCTACAGCGCGTCTGTACAGCTTCAACTTGTAGATCTACCTATTAGTGCTACATACCACATATTTATTGACTTGTGTACCTTTAGTATCCGGACAGAATTCGAATTGTTGTACGTGTACATGTAACTGCTTCGTTGTATCATATCAACATGTCACGTGGATTATAGCGATGAGTTCAAAGTAACTCGATTCGTATCCAATTTAGGTTGGCGTCTAGCCTGTGTATCTTGTTGTCTGTAAAAGCTAAAGGACAGGAACTCTGCTCCTCCTTCTTAGAAGCTCTATCACGACGCGACTTGTTCACATGGACATGCTGCATCCGATGAAATCTCTGAAGTGATGGGGAATATATCCCGTTGCAAGAAAGAAGACAGAAGTGCACTGTTAAACAAAAAATTACAATTGCTATGACTATGAGCCCGATTATGGGACATCGAGTCAGAGTAGGTAAGAGAGTTCCAAGACGTTTGATTTAAGTGAAGACGAAGTGTGTGGTGTGTAACTCTGTGTGTAAAGTCTTCTTCTTCTCCAGTAACTTACTCACTTACTCAAGTGCTCAGATAGGTCGTTCAGGTAAGAAGCTAGCTTTAGTGTTGTTTTCTCCGTAGTCTTGAACAAGTTGTAGTTGTTGCCAATACTTGTCGCGTTTTAAGTTCTCCTTTCATTGTCGTTTAGTTGTCAGTTACTACCAGCACTAGGTTACCAGTTAAGTAGATATTTGAGTTCAGCACTTTCCCTTCCTTGTTTTTACTTACTGTTTGAGTAGTTAATACTTACTAGATTTAAAATTGAGCTTCCGCCCTCGGGTTTCTGTCTAAAACTACTACTGTCGGCTTCGTTAATTGCGCGTAGTAAGCTTCGGCCTCTCACTGTCCCTAGGTAGTTAGTGTTGCTGTAAGCTGTGCTGTTAGTTGAGGTTCCTTGTGCTTTGTTACCTAGCCTTCAGGTTTTCAGGGTTTGTTTCATTCCTTCCATCATTTCGTGGCATCCCTTTGTCTTCGCGCCTGTCTGTTGCTTGCTAAACGTAACGTGCCCCAACTGGTGGCCAGAAATTTTTTCTGAAATCTCCCAATCCAAATCCAAATTGCTAGAGTGTGTATGTGAGTGTCTGTGATCGTCCTAGTATTAGAATTATGTGTGTACTAGATTTTTTAGTTGAAACATTTTTTTTGTACCACGTGGCGCACGTTAGTATTGAGCTTAAGGTGGGTCAACTACAACGAAAGTCTGAAAAAAATGACGCGCGGCAAGGCGTTATTAAGGTCAACAACCACAACGAAGGTATGGAAAAATGCACCATACAACTTTATTGTAATGAGAATTACTGAATATGTATGTATTCGTACTATTGAAGGTAGAAAAGTAAATCGGTATCGGATGTTGAGAGATCGTTGCTATCGAGTCGTTGTCTGCTTTCGCTTTCGGTGGAGTCACATTGCCAAAACGCCAACCCCAAACCCGATCGCAATCGCAGAAGAGGTTGGTCCAACAACCTGTCAAAAACAAAAAGTTTCTTCGACAAATATATACGAACATGGACCAATTGCAATTAAAGAAGGACATAACTACGGATACAGAAGATGCAGTGACTGTTGAGTTCCATTCCAACCATTTTTATTAGTACCAAGGAGATATTAAACTAAGCAACTGACTCCAAAGCAAATCATGTTGGGCATTCGTGTCACTGAGTCGGCGACGACCGATAGGGAGAAGACATACCCTGGATGTGCGCGGCAAACGACGGGCAGCCTCTTTTTCGACGCACAATATGGGCTGCAGTCGGACGCAGCCAGCAAACAGCGTAAAGCTGCGGAAAAGCCAGCAAATGGAGGAGACACCAGATTGATTATGGCAGTTTGTAAAGCGGACACTATTTTTAGGAAGAGGAGTTCTGCATTTTTGAGTACTTGTTACTCTCTAGAAGTAGTCTCTGATGTGTAAAAAGGAATTCTGCATTTGTGAGTACTTACTCTCTAGAAGTAGCCTCATCTGTGTAAATAGCAGGAAACCTCCTCCACCTACACCTGCTCTAACCTAAGCACTCGAACAGAACGACTCAATGGAACCTCTGCCGAAGATGTTGCGAAAGTTCCAACAAAAATGGCACCCAATGTCTTCGCACCTGGGACAATCCTTAGTGCAAGCCGATTGCACAAAGAGGTACCATTTTTTACTCATCTTGTTGATAGAAGAACGGATGAACAGGATCTTCGTCAGTGATCTCTAAGTCATCTAATATCTCCTTCATCGTCATGCTCACGTCGAAAACTGAAAATAACCGAGTTACTGACTGAAATAAGGGAGGTAGCTCTAGCTTAATAACATCAAGGCTACTCTTCCTTCTCATCAGTATCTCGCTTATTTTCAGTAGTTACTCGCTTATTTCAGTTTATCGAAATAATTCACCACTACCAGGAACGTCCAGATGCAGCAGTATTGTGTGTGGTGCAAAAATCCAGCGACTTGCTGAAGCAACAAGAGGGACGGCGTGGAGTCAAATTAGCCTGGAGACCGCCAACTGACCGGAAGCAGAGGTATAGCACATTGTTCAGGGAGATTTTACTCCAAGAACCAATCTCAAAGCCAGGAGCAGCTCTGAAGGCGGTTGCGCAGGCAAGAGAGATGGGGACGAAAGATTATGAGCTACTTATATATAGATATTTGATTTTAACCCCAACTTGTTTTCCCCAATCATGAGTCATAGACGAGAGCTTTACTGTACGGAAATGAATCGGATTATAAAGTAGATGACCTCCTTGTAGCTATGCCAAAAAGTCAACATGTCTCAGTCTCTATGTGGTCTTCCTTCATCTTCTAATAGCCAAATGCCCAAAATTCATGTCTCTGTGTCTTCTTTTCTAATAGGCAAGTCTTCTCGCTGGTGACACGCTTGACGAGGTCGAGGACGTAATTTCCGAAGCTTTGTCTCAAGCTTTGCGGGAAAAACTTTCTGTGATTGACAGTCTAGGAGCCAAGCGACGCTGCCAGGAACGAGACAATCTCCAGGAGATCATAGAGCGCTGCAGGGAAACCACAACTGATTGCTTCCAAGACCAACTTCTTCTTGAGGCAGGTGGTGGAGTCAAGAACGTCTCAACAAGGAATCGTAAAAACCGCCTAGCAGAGGTTGGTGTTTGGGCACCAGGCACTGAACTACGGATGGAAGCAGAGAGCACTCTTGCCCTCCTCGACCTGGACCTGCTACACAAGGCCTACCAAGAGAGGCTGGCAACACGGGAGGAGTTCGTCTGGAGGAAGATCGAAGAAGTCCTTGGTACGCCATCGGATGGTCCAGCCGGGAAGCGGCCATCCACAACATCGTCCAAGCTGTCCTCAAAGAAGAGTTCAGAACAAGGTTCAGCAGGACAAGGAGACGGAGGTGAAGAAGCTGCAGTAGAGGGAGAAGATGGAGCAGTAGATGGTGCTGCACCAGACGGAGGGTCAGAAGGAGAAGGGGCCGCTGAGGGTGAAGAAGGAGCTGGCGGAGAAGAAGGGGAGAATGAAGCAGGTGGCAGTGGAGGAGAGGGCCTGGAGGGTGCTGCTGCGGAGGCGGGCGCTGAAGAGGAACAATCTTCGTCAGCTGCACCCAGCGCTTCTCCAACTGAGTACCTCTGCGTCGATAGCGCAGACGTTGCTGCACTCGTCGGCGCCATGCGTGTCGCTTACAAATACAGTCAGTCGCTCTTAGCGGTGCAGATCAATCAGCGAGTCTTCGAGATTGCAAGGATGTGGAGCACAACGTCACGCCGATCCGAGTACAGAGCAGAATCAGGACTACAGAACGCCTTAGAAGGTAGCAGCCTCCGCAGTGCAGCGATGGAGTTGAAGCGCTTCTTCCAAGACGAAGAGGATTACCGAGAAGAGTGCTGTCTGCAACTAGACCAACTCGGTTTTACAGTCTTAGCCGCACACGCATTGGACAAGCACGCATTAGATCCAGTGCATAGTCCTAATCTGTGCAGCCACGCAGCCACAGCTCTGTCGCAGATCAATCGGGCGCAATTGTTATGGACAATGGAACAAGTGGATCATTTTGTTGTTCTTGTTCTTGTTTTTGATCTTAATAAGTACAAGTTGCTGTAAGGCTACAACTAGGAACAATCACTGCTGTATCTGTCGATGGTTGATGCAGGAATCAACACTGGCGTACTCCTCGTTGTGAGTAGACTAAGTTGTCTGACGACCCGCTCTAACGAAAGTCCAAACCCTTGAGCGCATCGACCCGGCGCAAGTGGCATTGTACAGGAATTTGTTTTACCATGGAATCAAAGCGCTGAAAACAGCAGCGATGGAGGATGCAGCCGTTGCAGAGGAATTACGTGGACTAGATTGCAGGGAATTAGTGCAGACTATCGTACTCTTTTATCCTGATTTCTACTTGGTCTCGTCAAATTCAGTAGATTCATAGACGGAAGTAGATGACGTGGTCGTGCTGTATTGATATCGTTGGATCTACTGTCATCATCTTAGTTGTACCTCTTCTCGTCTTCCTAGTAACACAACATTTTCTTTTCCTTATCTTCAACTTAGCTGTACCTCTTCTCGTCAAAACCACAGCTATCCTACCACGGTGAAAGTCTGTTGAAAGTGGATGGAACTCTGTTGATTGAGCTTCAGCTCTTGGGTCGGGCTCTGGAAAAGATGAACTTTTTTTAGAAGCAGATGTCGTTGATGTCGGTAGCGGTATCTGTAGTTGTAGTTAGAAGTGGCTTTTGGTGGAACAACTTTGGGAGTTCTTGTAGTTCTTGAAGATTTTCGGTTCTTGGAGGCGAGCTTATTTTTCTTCGGTTCTTGGAGGCGAGAAGGCGATGAAGATGAAGATTTTCGGTTTTTTTTTCCGAGCTGCACTACCTAGTAGCGGTCTTCCAAGAAGTTTGTGTTGAGCAGACATTGCAAAGCAAAGGTATCTGATGCATATTTTTCACGCTAGTATCCGTCAAGTGAAATAAAGTACTACAAGTAGATCAGCAGACTTGAATTCGGAAATTGATTCATCTTACCTTTGATTCACATTCACTTCAGCCATCCCTTCACACGAACCCCACCAGAACCCCAACGGAATCCTCCCAGCCCACGACCCAGAACCACAACCACTCCTCACCTCTTCACCACCAATAATACCACGACACCAGGTCGAAATGAACCCCCACTTGGGTGCTCAAGTTGATAATGTGATGGAGTCCGAGCTTCTGATGTTCCGCGAAGCATTGGAGAAGCGTGACGCTGACTTATTCCGAGCTCGTGTGAAGGCGTTTCATCAAGGAAACATCGATTTCCTCACGTCCTACGGTCCTCAACAACTGTCGAGGAAGGATAGCAGCAATTTGTATCTGACTGGCGAGTTGGTGTCACCAGATGCGAGGAAGGTTATGACTTTGTGTTGGTTTAACTGACTCTATTCTGACATTCTGGTCTAGGTCTACTAACTTACACTGGGTCGTGTTGGTTTATTTTTTACGCTGTAACACTGCTCTCCTCTCATCTTCATCAAGCTCCAGAAGAAGCACCTTATCGAGATCTTGTTGATCATTCACCTCTCCTGAAGTGAATGCTTGAACAACTTCTAACGAGATCATGAGATATTAATGCCAAGTAGAATTCTAATCCCCAACTCGGCAATCGCTTCAAAGAGACACGACGCTACGATGGTGCCTGTGCGGTGAAGATGCCAGAGTTACCGAATTTGTTGCAAGAATTAGGCGATCGTCGCGATTTCACTCTGGCAGCTGAGGAAGAGGAGGAATATAAGGAGTATACTGGTTTGGTGGTAAAATGAACAGGATTATGAACGTAGAAGTATCAACAATGTTTAAGTTCGCAGTAGTACGAATATTACAACGCATGATGTAAGTCAGGAAGTGATCATTTGGAACACAACTGATTATACCTAAGTATTTTAAACCCGAACGACTTTTGCTTCATATTTGACTCGTCTCGGACCACGAGGAAGAAGATTCTGATAGATATACTCCGTTAGTTACCCAAATTTTGCTGTTTATTCTACTTAGAGCTAGGTGTGGTGTCAAAATGAATAAATGATGCGAAGAACTAAAAAAGGTACAATGCTAGGAAAATGAATGATCATCAAAGCCCTAGATTCTACGAACTCTTATTCACAAAAGAAAATGTAGCCTCTCGTTGTGAAAATTGACGCATGTAGTTTTTACGCTAGGTAGCCTCAGATGAAATTAAAACAATGCTTCCTGAAGACGAAAATACCGAAATTAATAGACCATAACACGGTGGATCTCTTCAAAATGTATGACTCAAGCTGACTAGCGATAGCCTTAACGAGTATTAATCATGCAATCCGAAAGATAAGAATTGACCCTAGGTGGAGATGAAAATACACTTGTTGTTTGATTTTGCGCATAACAAGAAGAGAATACAGCAAAAATTATGGATAAAATGATGACGTTGCTTGGTTGTTTGATGCGTCCATTGCAAGGTAGACCCAACCAAGAATTTGTTCAAGCTCCCGTTCTCGTTCTGACAGCGCTTTTTTTGTTGAATTTGCCGCACGTTGATCGCGATTTTGATGCCGATGATCTCTATGCACAACAGAAGATCAAGATCCTGAAGATCAAATTAAATTCACATCTTTTAATCTTAATTGAATCACGTACTATTGAATAAGAGACCGATCCACTGCCACGAAAAAGATCCACGACCTCATAACAGTCAATCACGAAAAAGATCCACCTCATAATCACGAAAAACCTCGCAAGAGATCACAAAGATCTCTTCTGGCTTCAAAGTTCTTATCCTTATATTTTTACAGAGAGACTGTTATTCTTCCCTGTTTAACTTCATACGTCGAGCTACTCACGTGCTTAACTAAGTAGACCATTTTTTCCATTTTTATCTCCCTCTAGAAAGGTAGCAAAAATGGCGAAGGGCATCAGAAGTAAGATTAAGAAGCGGTTTCGTACCGTGAAACGACAGAGGGTCGAGAAGATGATCGATCTCCCTAGAAGGGAAGCATCCAATGCAGCTTTGGCGAAGCTGATGAGGGGAGAGGTATTTTTAGCTAGTCTTGTTCTTCTGTGCTGGATTGATAGTGAGCTCAACTTCTTCGCATGACTCAGTCTAGTTTCAACACAAGAAGCACGACAACAAATATCAAGCTCAATCTAAATTCTCAACCCCAGGCAAGACCAGTGAAGCAAGTAAAGAACGCTTTTCTATTCCCCATGGACCCGGACGCAGAAATTCCACAGAAGTGTGTGAAAAAACCGATCGATTTCAGAGCTGAAACTTTGCCGATGGTATTGATGATTATTCGATGTCGGAAATTATGACTCTTCTCTAACTACTCTAATAAATAGATGGAGCTAATTCTCTCGTCCTCTGAGTTCATCATTATGTCACAAGACGACCACTTGTAATATCTCTAATAACGAAACCTCCATTAATATCTACTTCTACTTCCTTACACCATCCTCACAGAGCGGCTTCGCCCTGAAAGGCAACCGAAGAAAATACACGGAGGACGAAAAAGCAGACCTGAAGGCGCTCTCCAGAGACCACCCAGACCAAAAGATTCTCGCAGGCAAGGGCGTCCTTCCGGCTAGTAGTTGCAAGATTGGCGGAGAACAGCTAGGTGCTTCAGTGCTAGGAGCCATTGTGGGAGTGTCTGGTACTACGACTAAGCCAGCAAAGGAATCAAACGACGACAAGATGGAGACCAACTCCGATGAAGAAGAAGAAATCATGCGACAGAAGAGTGAGCAAGCGGCTACACTGCGTCAGACAACGGGTGATGGCGTCGTGGATATGGACAACATGGAGAGCAAGAAGAATCGTAAAGCAGTCGACACTAGTCGTAGGCCCGTTGTGAAAAAATCGACAGGCAGTGCTGCAACTGGCTCAAAGAATGCTAGCGGAAAGAAGAAGACCCAGAGAATCAACAAGTTTAGAGGAGCGAGTAAGAAGAAGTAAACAGCAGGTTCTACTCAGCTGCACGTGCAAGAATCGATGATGTGAAGATGAACATGCTTTCTGAAGATACAGCAGCAAAACTACAGCACACAAGAACTGGCGCTGAAGACGCCAGCGCCACTACCTTTACAACTACATCCTGATATGTTGCAACTAGAACTATATGATGTGCGCCTGCACTAAAAACGGCAGGTAGGAGGAGAAAAAAACGAATAAGGAACAAATAGTAGATCGCCATTGCGTGTACGTGTTTGTACTATGCGAGTGTTTCTGCGTGTTCCAAGTGGTAGCTACATCCTTGACAAAATTGTTCTGAAGAGATTTCCTGCCATTACTACAACGACAACTCATAGAACTTCTGTGCCAATTTAGTTTTAGGTTCTGGCTATTTCGGATTCCGAGTTGAGCTTGACTGAGAACAGATGCTTCAGTATCGAATCTGTGGAGAGTAAGCTTGGTATAGTGAACGCATCTTCTTGTATCTCTGTTCTGGGTGAGAAAATTTTCTGTATGTCTGACCATGATCATCCTACCGTGAAGGAACAACGGAGGAGAAAAATCGTTCCAAGAATTATCATCTTGGTTCTTGAGCTACTTAAGTTGATTATAGTGCTAATCAATCATACTACATTGACTCAGAAGGCAAGGACGTTTTTGTTCCCATGATCTCAATTTTTAGAGCTAGTTTTCTTTGCGTCCCCATTTACATTTGGAGATTCTTGATGAATACTTTCTTTAACTTGTGATGATTGCGATAGCGATTTGACTCTGACGCGTCACCGACGTTCTACTTGATCTTTTTCTCTTGCTTCGTTGTATGCTTTGATGTCGTCATTTTCTTTGATTGAGTTTTTGGCTGTGTACTTGTACTAGAGATTCACCCCCGCCTTTCGAAGTTCATCTTGAACCTCCTCAGCAAGGGAAGAACTCGAACTCGATGCCATTGTAGACACCGAGCAGCCACTCCACACTGACAATGGAAAAGCCCTCCAAGTCCCCTCGTCAGCCACCTCCCGAACTCGAGTACGATTACACTGCTGTAGAAGCGCAACTTCAAGAGCTCAGTCAGAGGAGCTCAAAAAGTGCTCCTTTTATACCGCCTGATACGCCACCTGCGTACGCGTTATTGGCGAGCGTTTTTTCGACTTCTAGTAGGTCAACATCCTCGAAACAAGGTGCTGCCACTGACGGTGACGCGTTGGAAGATACGAGCATGAAGTTGAAGACAACGTCTGTCGTGGCAGTTGCGAAAGGGAATACTACAGTACGCTCTGCAGCAGATGATATGCGTCTTCCTTCACCTGGCCGAGCAGCAGTGAGGCCTCCTTCACCTGGACCTGGAGGAAAAAATAGCAGACAGCTGCCTTCGCCTACTGCTGGTCAGCGTGAAAGAGCCCCCGCTCCATTAGATGAAGATATGAGAATGACGGAGCAGAAGCGTCCTGAAAGCCCAAAACGAGTTGCCGGGGATCCGGTTGAAATGATCAAAATGACCTCAAATCCTCTCAGTGTTGAGCAAGTGGATGCAGATCTGTTACAACAACGAACGAGGATATTAGCGCAAGAAAGGGAGCAAACCCAAAGGGAGCAAAGAGAACCTACTGCACAACAAGGACTCCCAGTCGAAGTTGAACTGCAACTCATGCGTCAACGCTTGCATAGTATGGAAAAACAACTCGTTGATCAGGAAACGAAAGTGGATTCGGTTGCGTACGATATGGTCAATTCACTGTTGGACTCGGCAGAACTAGGGTTACAGCAGCTTACAAGGAAACATACTGGGACGATAGTTACTAGAGGACTAGTACAATCACCTAGCGTAGAAGCTCCAAGGTTAATATCTCCGAAGACGAATAATATTGGACTTTTTACAAGTTGTCCACCTAGCAGCTCTTCTCAGCCAAGAAGCTATCAACAACAAGTACAACAAGGTCGACCTCCAGTCTTACGAAATGAGGTGCTCCAAATACAACCTTACATAAGGTCGCCTACGCATAACTCGCCTAAGAATACCCATAATGCTGGAGCGAGGGACGAGAGGGAGATTAGTACGATCGATCACTTGCGGAAGCGGAAGCTGAGCACATCGACACCCGTAGATAAATGCTACACTCGACCACAGCAGGAGGTTGAAACTGCTGCGACCAAAACAAAGAATTATGACCTCCCGAATTATGGACCGATGGTGCCGCGCGTACCTGCAGAAGAAGTGGAAAGCAAGGCAGGTGGTTCTTTGCTACCTTTAGCAGACCGATGGAAAGCACTACAGAAGACACGTTTACAACTTTTCTGTGATAAATCTGGAGAACTGAAGACGGTCTCCATGTTCCGAGCCAGGATACCGCAGCTGAACCTCGTCACGCGTCCGTTCGTGGATAGAATGAGAGAACCTGCGGAACCGAGGTGCTACTTGTGATTACCTTAAGATTACTTTGTTGATTTGCATTTGTCTGAGATGGAGCATATTTATTTGTAATTTATACATACTACTACCTCCTTCTACGTAATTCTCATCTGAGGTACAACGTTAGTAATTGTTGTGGTAATTTATAGGCACCGTCAAACAAACTCTCAAGAAGTAGCTGCTGTCTTTGAGTTTAACGAGAAGAAGAACGTGCACGCCCCCTGACTTTCTCTTTCCCAACAAAACAGTCCCGCCCCCGACAACGATCTCTGCACTGCTGTCGACATCGGCAACATGGTCAGAAAGTCTTATGCAGAGAATGAAGTCTCTCTAGCCGCTCGCCGTCCCCGGTCTACATTTGGTGTCAGCGAGGCTGCCAAACGCCTGGACCATCAGACATTCATCGCACGAAAATCCAAAATCCAAAAATCCAAAGGTGCCTCCGTGAAGATCAATAGCATGGCGGAGCCAGCGGAAGATAAAGGGAGAAGAAACAGCACTTCTAGCACTTCTTCGGGTCCCGGTCGGGACCTGATCAGTGCCAATGTCCCCCGTGAAGTCACGACTTCTCCTCGAGATCTTTGTCAACCAGAAGCAACTAGGAGACCTGCGCTGGAGGTGCGGGAAGGTCCGAATCGAAGCATGCCAAGGCCAGATCAGTTTTCTCCCTGCAATCGTTTGTGGCGTGCTGCATGATGAGACATCAAGAAAGATGACGTGCATGATGAGCATATTGATGAACTTGATGAAGCTTGAAGACGCTCACGCTTTTTACATTATATGAACTTTTGAAATTTGAACATTTAGGCTCGCGGCTTTTTCTCGAGCGGATAAGAAGGTGACCATTGGGCTTGTAGTGATAAAATGATCTATCTGTACTTGCATTGATGAAAACCAAAATCAAAATTCTTGGTGAGGAGCAATCGAAATCGAAAATCAGAAAGCTGATCAGCGGAACCGACGTTGAAGAGTTGTGTTCGTTTTGTCCTCCAGAAAAAACAAAATAATCTAAATCTCTGCTCAGATCGGATGATGAAATATGATACGGTCAGAAGCTTTTAAGAGGCTCACTCGGAAACCGCGATTTAATATTTTTCTTCCAACAGGAACGAATAAATAGGATCTCGCATCACCTTCGAGTCGACTAACGCAGGGACGTTCCAACTGTTTACTCGATTGCAAAAGTTTACTCGATCGTTTAAAAAAAAATGACACGGGTTGTAAATCATCGTTGCAATATGTGACCTCGTACAGCAGCTACAACTAGTGTCAAAATGAATGCACCCGACGCTCGCTCTCGTGAAGTCTTCCACCCTCTTTGGGGAAAACGCGGAGAGTCAGTGCTTCATATCGCGGACTACGATCCTGACTTCGTTAAGGCTTCCCCTAATCCATCTCCTCTATAGGGATCCCTCAAACATATGCGTCCCAATACCAGGGACCCATACTGACGCATATGCTTGAGGGATTCACTTCCACAGGGACGAATATTAGGGGAGAGCTCTAACTTCGGAGTCCAGTATAATTCCTCGTCTGCGTGCTACGAAGACGTGATCCTAAAAGTTCGCAAATCGCTCATTCAAAACCGGATCGCAATTGTGCGTCACGTCATACCACCTGAAGTCGTCCGAATAGCTATGCATGGTGATGAAAATGATCCTAGACAACCTAGAAGTTGTAAGGAGGTGCCGTCGTGTGCGTCTGGGGCAGATGGTAATGATCCTAGAAGTAAAAAGGAGGTGCCGTCGTGTGCGTCTGGGGCAGATGGTAATGATCCACCTAGAAGTTGTAAGGAGGTGCCGTCGTGTGCGTCTGGGTCAGATGACGAAGATGAAAATCGAAGTGGAGATGACGAAGGCCAATTCGAGAATGGAATCAGCCAATTGGAGAATCTCCTATCCCGTGTTGACGTACAGCAGAGGAGAGATGTTTTAGCTGTGCTGGAGCATGAGAATTTGACGAGGCTGTTGCACGACGTGATGAAAGGGATGACGGAGGAGGATCTGTTTCATGGGAAGGGTAGTTGTCAACAGGGAGAGATCGACGGTGAAGAAGAAGACCCATGTGCAGCTGATGGAGCCTGCTCGTCTTCATCATCTGTTGAAGATCTGCTGCTGCCGCCTAAAGGACGACGACAGATCAAAACAGCATTTGCGCCTAGCACTTTAGAGACCATCTCGTCAACCTCGTCTAGGTGTAAAGCCCCAACGACTTCCTCCACGTCCTCGTCACCCTCCACGACTGCTTCTATTCTAGAAACAACAGAGTACAAATGGTTGCGTAGTGTGAAGCCGGAGCTCTATACAGGGTTGCACCGTGATCGCTACTACCTTGGAAACCCAAGATATCTCACTGCTTGGATACCTTTCTCGGAGTCGGTAGATCTAGGCAATGGAACGCTTGTGTGGCTAGCTTCTTCCTCGAAGGACGATCTTCATGATTGTTCTGTTGAAGGTGGCTCAGGACCATGTAGTTGTGCTTCAGGTAGTACCAAAAACACATGCAAAAGTGTGGAAGTTCCATCTTCAGCGATAGAATCATCTTGTTCTGCGTCTTCCTCTTCAGGAGAGCAGGGGACAAAAGCTGCATTTTCTTCGTCTTCCGCTGGTGGTAATGCAGGATCTTCAAGCAACGGTACCACTTCCGGATGGCTCACTTTGGATGCATCGGAATTTCAAGTCCCTAACGGCTTTTTCTGGCGCAGTACCGAGTTTGGAGGTGGCGACGTCGCAATCTTTTGCATGGATTTGCTACACATGACGATACCGAATTTGTCGCAGAGCAATAGAATATCGTGTGATACACGGTGGAGACTTCGTGTACGGAGTAAGACGTCGCAGATTAGTTGTAGAAGGACGAGAAGGTGGAGGAGAAGAAACAGAAGCGGAAACAAACGATTTCAGACAAATATTTTTGATGAAGCTTCTCGTCTCAACAACAACAATGTTCTCAAGCACAGAACAAAGAATTTCATGCTTAAAGAAGCGCGTGCGCGAATTCGACGCATCGAGCATAAAAATGGAAATAGAGCCAGATATCTTAAAGAGCATGCGCATAATGGAAACAGGTATCGTTCTAAACATCATGCTCCTATAAGTCGTCAAATTCTAGTACCCCTCCACCCCGGCGAACCCAGATTGAAATGGAAAGAAGTGTATAGGACAACATCTACAATGGAATAGGAGGAGTCAAAACGTAGTAACGACATAGCATAGATGAAACAATCTCATCGAATGAGAACAAGAGGCTCGCTTACACTTACTCTTACTGTTATTGAACATAAAAATGATGTCGGACCACCTACACTTTCGGAGTTGACAACAAAGAGGACGTGTTTGCTTTTCGGTTCTCGAGAAATTTGCTGGCGTACAAAACAGGAAACTCTTTCGTTGTACTTCTTAGAAGGAGACTCTTTCGTTGGACCTTCACGCTCGTGGTAAGAAACGCATTGTCATCGTTGTCGAAGGCTCGTATCGGTTTGCATCGGGACGTCGCGTTGAGGAGAGCAAAACATCAACAAGAGTAGTTCTAGAAAAGGTTACAAAAGTCAAAGTGAAAGTATTGTCCCCATGGCCATTGATCCAGGACCCATCCCCTTTTTGTTTTGCCTGCACCACCAGTTCGTAGTTCTTGATGTTAATATAATTTTCAGTGACAAAAAGGCGTAGGCCTAAAGAAGTTGTGGTGCCAAAGATGGAGATACCACGCATTCGTGGAGATGATCAAACGTCGTTCCCTAGTACAGTGAAGACGAGCAAGAGTATATTACAAGGTTGCAAGTTCAACCATCTTGATCTTCTGAACAAATATTAATGCAAACAAAAACAATATGTCTTCACCTGCAGCTCTCTTTGTCTCCGATTTACTGTCTGGTGCTCCTCCTGTTGGTATTGCGGGGAAGCATCAAGGCGCGAAGGACACTTCAAGAACGTCTTTCACTGCCTTTCTGGAAGCCTTGGAGAGAGGTACGGGGACCTCATCTTCGTCGTCCTCGAGTAGAAGGTTTGTCTCATGGGAACAGCCTCCGTTGGTGCCTCATGGTTCTTCCAAGAAGACTACGAACTACACGGCAAGAAGAAGAACTACTTCTACTACTTTTTCGGTAATTGATCTCGCACGTAAGACCCCTAGAAAGAGCAGGCCGACGAGGACGACGCACACGTCTTTCGAATTATGGCCTGGTGCTTCGGTCGAGGACTACCAGCTAAACACTGGTGGTGCCAGAAAGCGAGTCGAAACTGTGACAGGCTTGTTACCTGGAATGAATGCCTGGCCTAGCGAGGTAGACGACCCAAATAGGAAATTCGCGAAATTAAACGCCAAACACTTGACACCGGATGCAGCGACGTGCGAATATGTGAAAGTTATGTTGATCTTAGTCAGACTAACAAGTCCTTGAGCAGATTGAGATGAAAAAGCCAGTACTTGTGCCTGCTGTTGTTCATTCCTCACGACAATAAGAGACCTCCCTAACATATGAAACGAAAAAAACAAGAAGAACCAAAAGAGAACTTCTACAGTGCTCCTCCAGGCATGATGGTCCTAAGTAATTACTTATACGAACATGCAGTTGAACGAGACACCTTTACACGATCATCAATTGTACATAGGTAGTTCATTGAACCATAACCAAGACGCTGTGTATTCTAACGCACATTCACATTTACTTCCTCTAAGATCAACACCGACCACAATCCTTTGCGAGCAGATGCGTTGAAACATGAGATGACAAAGATAACTGGCACATGCGCACCTGGGCAATATCGTTGCTGTAACGAGATGAAGCAATTCGCTATGCCCGATCCTACACTATTCAAGTTATGAGATCATGCACGTGCTCGACGTCGTGTCTAAATCTAGTACGTTTCTACTTTCTTTGGTTACTGCTAATATCGGTTTGCTTAATAGTTCTGCTGGGACCACATCAAACAATAACAGGTGACTCGTTTTTACTCGTACAGGAGAAGGCCAGTACGTCTTCATCAAGTCCTAGATTTTACTTCAAACAAGCTCTAACCCTCGAAGGCCAGTACGTATTCATCAAGTCGCCCACATCGAATGAAGAAGGCGACGGCTTAACCGGCAGGATCAAGGGCTTCGATGCTGTCACGCAGATGTGGCGAGTCTCGCTGTTTCGGCCGCGCAAACCGAGTATGGCCCCAAAAGACGACTTGCACACCATCGCGTCTGTCCAGGTCCGCTGTGTCCAGAAGACTTTAGCTAGCGAGTTCAATCCCAACGATTTCGGCGAATCGTGGACGACAGAACAGCCAGTTGCACTGGAGGAGGCGATTCCGCAACGCTGTCGCGCAAACGAGAAAGAGTTTCACTGTGAAAAATTGCGCTACGAATGTGGAGACGAGAAACCTCCGAAATTGAATGAAGCTGGGGATTTATGGCTCGAGGAAGAAGCTTTATTTACTTACTCACATACACATATTAGTCCACCTAGGGGGTACTAGTAGATGATGAATTAGGTTCATCATGATTTTGGAGATGAAAAAGACAGAATTATTGATTCTAACTTTATGTACAGAACAAGAACTAGAAGTACAGTGCTGCCTCCAATTATAGCACGACTAGTACTTTTTTTACCTCATTCCCCTTCTCCTCGAGCAGTCTCCTTGCACTACTTTTTTTACTTCTTCATTCTCCTACTACTTCTCGAGTTGTCTCCTCTTTCATGAAACGAAGAAGCTACCGGTGAAGGCGAACACCAGCAAGATGGGCAACCTCCTGGAGTGACCAATTTCGGTGATCTGATGCCCTCTCCAGACGATGCAACCGAAGAGCAGATTGTAGAATTGGACCATAAAATGCCAGAGTTCGAAAAGGAAGATTTCGAGAACGGTTTCAAAATGACCAAGCCTCCTCAATTAGTCGTGCCGGGAAATAAGCACTCTTTTACGGAGGTCTACTATTCGCCTAGATATTTAAAATTTTACCTGAGAACAGGTGGCTCCTCTCCTCTACTCTACGACTACCTAATCTACATCTTAGTAATTGCTGTGGTTGAATTTAGTTTTAGCCATGCCTGGTGCTCTACCTAGAAGAGTCCTCTACGGGAAATCTACACGCAAGAACCGTAATTTAAATTGAATATCCAAGAAGACGACTGCTACCTCAAGTAGTGCATACAACTGATGTTATAATTAATATCCAAGACGAGATATATCATCTTGTTCTTGAAGAAGGATTCCACCCATAGGAGGGATTATTGATTCTTCAAGGAACAACTACAAGTTCTAACTCTTGCGCCATCCGCAAGCAGAATTGCGAGTTTTACATGGGCTTTCATGCCCACTCGAACAACGGAACCGCATGGAGTTCACAACTAGGCTTGCAGGGAAAGAAAGTCGTGTTTGACAAGAAATCGCGGAGAGGTTTGCTAGCAAAAGCGATTGACGACTACGCAAGACACTATCCAGATCCTCATGGGCTCTTTGTGAACGAATTGGTTTCCATCGACAAAATGGGAGAGGCGAAGGTTAAGGCGAATCTAGAGGCGAATTCATCTTCAGAGAGTTCGTTGTATTTCAACATCCCTTAGATTATATTACTACCTATTAGTTTTCTGCTCCTACTTGGAAGATTGTTCTGACGTTAATTTATAATGAGCTTACCACGCAAGGGCAAGAAGATGAATTATCGCGAGCGCCTCTAAGAGTGGATCAGGTGCGAAAGCGCGGGTCGTTGGGTACAACAACGAAACACAAAAGTACAAGTTAGATTATGACTTCCGGAAATCTCACCCATCTTCAGGAGCAGCATCTTGGACCTCCGTGTAAGGGGAAAACGGGTCCTCCAGCACGAGGCTTTCTTCCAAGATGGGAGATTCCCGATTCCCGTCTAATTAGGGTACATTGGTGACCCGGCAGCAGATCTGAATGCAGGAAAACGAGTGGAGCGAGCAATTGAGGACCCGGATACTGGTGACAAATTAGAACCATTTGTCGGGATGTACGTGCGGTGTCATCTTATGCTGCCAAGAATAGATGTCACATCATAAAAATCAGACTGTGCAATATTACCCAGAATAGATGCTTTTTCTTGTTCCACGAAATGCCAAGAATAGATGCCATTTTACCAAGAATAGATCCTTTTCTTGTTCGTCGTAGCTCCATATTACCAACATCAATAGATGCTATTTTACCAAGAATAGATGCTTTTTCTTTTTCTTGTTCCTGAAATTGTCCTTGGTGTCCTTCGAGAGGACTGCGTAGATCCTTAGAGCTCTAGCTCTATGCTAACAGATATCTAGTCCCTCGACTTCAGTCTCTCAGTGTTACCCTCCTCCGGCGTGAACACTTAGTTAATACTAGCTAACGCGCTTGCGTTTGAAATGAGCCCTAGCTCAATCTTATCTCTTATGCTCTGAATCCTAGATTCTTAAACCAAAACCTAAACGTTCGTTGGGAAGAGATAGATGGATGAAGTCCGGACAATCGTCCATTCGTTTCAGTGGAATGCGGTTTGCATGAGGATTGCTCAATTTGTTCTCTCGTGTCAGGCAGTTTTGAATACTCTCTACGAGGAAACGACTGTCACATACTACTTACTCGTTTTGCCTTACAACAACCATCCTCCCTGTGACATGTCGTTAACCTCCTTATCTACTAAATACTGCTGACACGAAGCTTGAACGTTAATCGAATGATATCCTTAGTACCTTCATCTGATGATATCATCACATCCTCCCTTAACGACAGCACAGAAGGATAAGATCTTAGGAATTACTCTGAAAGATATAAGTCAAGAGAGAAAAGGACTAAATAACAACAGAGTGAGAGAGCGGAAATTGACAACCGAAATTTCATTGTCATCCTTGATAAGAATAGGCGAGGAGTAAAAGTCGTCTAAATCACAGTGGGGCAACTAAAAGTTTCAAATTCGGTGATAATGAGTAATTTCTTCTCACATGCAAAGAAAACAGCAACATGCGACACAAACTCTAAATTCTGACTTCAACTTGATATCCAAATGTTCATCAATTAATTATCTTATGATGCAAAAGTTCCTGCTTATCTATAAGCGTCCACCTGTCGCCTGACAATCAAAACCTTCTCCTCTATTTTTATACCTACCTCTAGTGGTCCGTCAACTAAGGAAACCCGTAGGTGACCTCGAATGCGGGCAAAAAACACAACGTCCATGTGATCCATCTTGTATGCCTGCAGAACTACTCGTAGAACTAGTGACCAGACAAGCCAAACAACAAAATATGTATGTCCTCGTAGCCTTTCCAAAACTTGATAACCTATGTTTAATGTTTAAACTTCAAGAGATACTAGTCTGACCTATGGTAGAACTATGTTATGCCTGTCCTCATAATCAATCCAGACTCTCTGTTGTTGATTCATACCATCCTGCTCGGCCCCTAGATATCGGATTTCCAACATAAACTTGTCCATCCCAAAATATGTATGAATGAGTTCGATGAGCTCCAGCACCTGCTTTCTAGGCTCAAAACCTATACAGACCGGTGGGTCTCCAAGGTTCGCTATCAGAGGAAGCTTATCCCCTTTTACAGTGAGACACTTCTGTCGTTGACGATTAACAACAATAGTCTTACCTACTTCCTTAATCCTCTTATCCTTCCGTAGGATGTCAATGCTTTCCTTGTTCATTAGGAAAACCATGACTTCGAACAAATCCGTCTTCGGCGACCCCATCTTCGGAACTGGTAGAAACTCTTCAACTACCTACCTTACCTACAAAGACTATTCGATCCACGTCTGAGGCAGCTATGAGGACTCTATCAAACTCAAGCGAGGAGATCCGAATATTAACTAACACCGTGTCCTTCTTCAGTACTTCCTCGAGATAGTGAAACAACTTAGTTGTCATGAAAAGTTTAGCCGGCTTGAAAAAGATTTGTTGTTCGTGGTGCCAAAAAATATTTTTCTTATCCTCCTTCACTTCAGAGCAACGAACTTCAAAGAATTCACCAGAATACCACAAACCAGTACCAGGACAACCGTCACGTCGATCAACTACACGCCCACCTATGTGTTCCACAAAACACTGAAAATCCTCGTTATCGAGAATAACGTCCCTTAGTTCGAATGGCTGGTCTATATAGAGCTTAGGCAACTCCATGATATCCTGCAAATAGTCCTAAACCTAATCAGTCCTAACACCTAGAATTCAACGAAGTGATCACCGCTCGTAACTAGGCTCAGTGATCGAAGAAATAGAAATACCACTGTCTCATGGAAATGTTACCAAGATGAACACGATTCAAAATAATATTACCGTGACGTCGCGACGTTGCTCTATCCCTAAGATTCACCGTCACCCGTTGGAGAGGCAGCACTTTCTCACTCATTAAATACTGAGCCAGATCATACATGAGAGAATCACACCGCACGAGGACGAAGTTATTTTCCAGATACTTGTAGTATATACGACTATTCTTAAGATAATACTTAGGCTGGCCCCGGGTGTTAGGGAGCACCGAAAATCCACCTCGTTTACCTAGATATTCGATAAACACCTGATTTTTCACCTTAATGGAAAGAACGTCGAACGTTTTCCCTGAGGGATTATATGTAGCCGGCATGTTGTGCCCCTCGTTTACCCAGTTACGAGAGCCAATTTTGCTCCCTCAAAGAAAATTCCGACACCTTCACCGAGTCGTCACCTACACCCAAAAACGATTTAACGAACCAGCTTTAAAAATACCCTTCTACAGCGACATCTTGCTTCTATCTAATAGTTACACAAAATAACGCCTAGTACTTATTTCCTGAAATAGTTCCTTAGTATGTATTACTTGATTCAAACCCAGCAACTTCCTAATCCAGCAATATGCGATCCTTCTAACACAAACTTTGAACTTCAAAATGTTGTTATGTTTAACACAAAGCCCTTATTTATGGAAACTTATGAAAACACTTTTCTTCCACCCCTTCTTACCTGAAAATCGACACAGTCATCAACTTGACTACCCTCCTGTTGACCCAACCTGCGTCTAAAAGATATGATATGAAACTGTTTTTGACTTTAGAAACATCTGATAACAGCCTTACTCTTAAAATGCAACTTCTTTTCAACCTAATATATGGAAATTTGCCATGTCCAGCAATCATAAACAATCAAAACAATACAATTCTACTGTTCATTCATCCTCCCATATCATGATCGCACATTTCTTTGCCACCAAACCGGATGCTCTTTCATGTTTTCAAAATTTCAATTATAATGGAAAAGGAACCTATGATTTGCGAACTTATTCCAGTTTGAACTTCTATGTATGTCCCAGATTGATGCGGAAAATATGAGGCATAGAGTGCAGATGCAACATGAAGGAACTTTTTATCACCAAACACCTCATCAAAGGAGCAAGACATTTCAATTCTTTGCCTCTGATCCTTCAGTTAAAATTCAAGAATAAATTTCACCTTTCGGAAAATATTTGATCAAACGCCCTTATTTTAATTACAATACGATCTAGATCCTGATGATTTTACTTTTCAATCCAAGAGATCACTTGATTTAATTAGCCTTCGCTTATTGATCTTTTTCGTCTCCTTCGTTTTGTCAAACTCGACCAGCGCAGCATCACCATAGTCCTCGAGGACCTTTCCAGCCTCGTACGGTAGTTGGAGGTTATGATGGACGTCTCTCAACTGCTCATTAGGTGCTAACCTGATGAGACAACGCGTATTAGGTGACCACCGCACGACTGGTTTCGATTCCTGTTCCGCTTTTTCAGCCATTTCGTCACGAACACGACTATAGACGTTATGCATCCTCTTGAGTCTGTCCAGCATCATCTTCTCTACTGATGTTTGTGCTTCCCCTGCTGCTACTGAAAAATCCACTGGTCTCCTACCTGTGACGTATTCAAAGGGAGAAATCAACCCAAGCTGAAGTCTCGGCGATGCTCGTATGGCCCATTGGGCCGGTTTGATGAGAGAGGACCATCTAGCAAATCGAGCACGTCCATGATCTAAGAAGAGCGTCTCCAAGTAGATGCGAATCGTCTGCCAAGCGGTGCGATGTGAACGCTCCGTGATGCCCTGCGTCCTGGGGTTATACGCTGATGCCAATCTCCAGGTAGAATTCGTAAATTTTGCTAACGCCTGCGTTACTTCGGCTGTGAAATGCGTGCCTCTGTCCGAACGAATCACCTTCGGCCTGCCAACTGCGAAAATGACATCTTCAAGTAGACCTTTCGCAGCTGTTTCCGCTGTAGCATCAGACGTAGAGCGAAACCAGCAAAACCCCGAGTGTGAACAGCTCATGGTCAAGATAAACTTGAACCCGTCTGATTCTGGTGCTATTGGTCCTACGAAGTCAATCTGGATATCCTGAAAGAGATCCGGAACGGTACGATACGTCCCCGCCGGTTCCGGGTTAATACCAATCTTGCCTTGCTTGCACACCCGACACTTCTTGACGAATTTCCGTACTAGCTTCGAGAGTCCACGCACAAAAACGACGTTACGAACTAGATCATAGGTTGCATCTGATCCGCGGTGTTGACCTAGCGTGATGTCCTGATGAGCAGCATGCAACAATGGTGAAAGTTGGCTGCTAGTAGGAGGGACCGACAAAAGGTACCTAAACTCAACTCTGCGTTCGTCAAAGGTCCTCCGGAAATGTAGTCCTGTCTGCTCATCTTTGATGTGTTGCGACCTCTCAAGCACCGTAGCATTCAACAAGTACTTCTCCTGCTCTTCCCGAAGTATTTCCAAACTGACATGGAATAACTCCTGCACTTGTTCTAAGGCAGCTGATGTTTGTCGTTGGAACCAGGTCTGCTGATGGAGTGGTAAAGTAGTAGTATCAACCGTTTCCGTAGGTACTTTAGGCTTATCTGACCACACTAAAGACCTTCTGTCTGCCTGCTCCCCATCCTTATCATCACAAAGACCAAGTTGACTAGTCGTGCTCGTTGTGTTAGTAGTATTCATTGCTGGCGGCAAACAAGCAGAACCAAAAGCGACAGGAGCAGTTGATGAAGAAGAAGAAGAAGAAGTTTGCTTCCTTTCATCCGCAAACGAAACTTTCTTCGACGAGGTGGCGTTCTTCGTTCGTACCCTCATGTTTGCAGAGATATCAGCATCCTGCTCATTACTATCCAGCGCGTCCAGCATGGTGAAAAACTCTGTGTCCAACTGCTCGTAATCGTCATCATACCAGAGAAAATTCACACAGCGCAGTCTTTCCTCCTGCAACAACTTGTTAAAATTGTTCCTTTCCTCCTCAAATGAACGCACCCGCTTAAGTGCTTGTCCTGCATAAAATAGTGCGCGCAATCCTCCCAACGCCTGTCCCGAGAAGTAAGCATTCTGTCTTGGGTGACCATTTGAAGATACTACTTCCTGTGTGTACTTGACATGATACGTAGTAGTATTACTACCATCGTTTTTGAAGTACAAATAGGCACGTGTCGCCTTTTTCGACTTCTTCGGGAGTTTATCCTGTGCTGAAATCCTATGAGATTTGGCACTCTTCACCGGTGCAACCATCTCCCTCTCAAAACCAACAGAAACGTCATGAACCGGTGGAAAAGCATCATCAGCTCGCGCACAACTAACAAAGCCGCAGCGTTGTTGTTCCAGTAGTACTTCAAAAGTATCCTGAGCCAGAAGTTGTTCATACCTAGCCGTAGTCAATGTACTAGTTTCGTTGATTGCTGCAACCGCTTCTGGTACTGTAACAACAGAGCTATCCTCCCGCTTCCTAGCGTAAACACCTCTTTTTGCTGTTTTGTCATCACGCTTCGGGATGAGTCGAGCTAGTTCATCCGCTTCTGCATCGGTGAGTTTAAAACCGAAGAAACGTAGCATTGCTCGTCGAACCGGTGATAGAGAGTGCAAGATGTTAGGTGAGTCATCTCGTCCCACTGCTGGATATCGCGACATAAAGTCCGCGCCTCCATTGTTATCCCCTTCGATGTAGCAGCGTTCGTAGTTTGGTCCGATTTCATCACAGTGGATGGCCCAAGAGATGTGCTTGCGTAACACTCTACGGTTCTTCAAGTCAAGCAGGAAGGTATTTGCTTGATGATCAGTAAGAAGTCTGCATCTTCTACCATTAACCAAGACTCGAGTACCCTCGATGGCTTGCTTCGCTGCATAACTCTCCTTCTCCGTAACTGTCCAGTACAATTCAGAGTCACTAAAGGTGCCATGCCCAACGTCACAAATCCGCGCATCTTTACTAGTTCCAGGGTACTCTTCTACTAGTACGTATCCCCATCCGTAGTCTGATGCATCGACGTAATTTGCTAGTTCGCCTTCACCGGTGGGAGGTTGGAAACTAATGGTCGAAAGCAGTTTCCTCGTCCACTTGATCGCCCCTTGTGCCTTCTCGTCTCCGACGAAATCCTCGAATTTAGCTCCCTTACGCGAGTACTTATTCAAATGGAATGACAGCGGAGCGAAAAACGCAATGCGTTTCCCCAACCAATTGACTAGGCAACGATAGGACACTACGTCCGCAATGGTCTGAGGTTCCCGCAAGTTGTTGATGAGATCCTTCTTCCTGTTAGTAACATTCCAGCCGCCGAGTCCTACTTCATAGCCCAACAGTGGAGCTTTATTTGCAACAAACTGACATTTCGGCAAACTAATAAGCCAATTCTTGGCACGTAGTGCAGGAAGTGTCACATTCTTCAAGTGGTTGATGTGTTCGATGCGCATCTCGTCTGTGATGTAGTCCTCAGTGATGGCGTGAGCTGGTGCTTGTCCTGTACCTGTGTGAACATCGTCAAGATAAGCTTTTGACTTTTGATCCTCCCGTAGTGTGACGTCCACCCGTTGCTGAAATTCCCATGGAAACGTTGCTGCTCCGAATCCAGCAACCGTAGGTGACAACAATTGGCGATTAAAACCAATAGTATAAACCTCTTGCGCCGTGTCATCCAATTCCATCAAGTGAAATCCGGACGGGAAATCCATCATCGAGTGCACTAATGCCTGTGCCGCTTCACGGAGCATGTGCTCCGTATTTGCCTGCGACCACTGTCTCTTCACTACTACACTGTTGGCCTTGACGTATGAGAAGATGGGTCTTGCCAAGATGCCTTTTGGTTCTGAATGATGAACGAACGCAGCAGCGCGAAACCTACTTCTAGCGTTACGTTCGTACAACTGCCCATCTTCCTTGAACCACCGGATATGTGCCTCCAAGATTTTCTTGTCCCAGGAATCCAAATCATATTCAGGGCCGAACAAGCCTTTCGTACTCTGGACCTTTTTCTCGTCAAGTTCCACTGATAGTGGTGGAAAATCTACTAGTCGCAGTGGTTGTCCAGGTAGCCAGCAAATGTCAGAGAATTGTGAGATGGTGTCGTTGAGGTGCGCTCTAACACGCGGTGATAGATGTGTGTAGTTTGCGTCGATGTGACTCCTGAGGCGTTGTTTGTACTCTTCTGAATTCTGATCAAGGCGTCCCTCGCGTGCCTTGGCTCTTTCTTCATCCTTCTTCTTGATTGCTGCTTCTAGTGCTGCCCAATCACCTTGGTACTTTGCTTTAGCTAACTTCCTGTATGATTGAGGATCGGAGATGGCGGAAATAGGAATATCCTCTCGTTCGTGCACTTTCGCCCAGCGTAGCAAATCGAATTCCGAAGGTAGCTCATCTTCGTGATTGGTGTTGTCGTTGTGGGAGCAGTAGAGATCACGGATGCCATAGTATGTTCCTCCATGCTTCCAAGAGCCTAGTGCTTCATCTGGTTGGTAAAACGGGCTCCAGCGTATCGAACCTAGACACGGCCAACCAATAAGTAGCAGGCAAAACAACAACGGAAAAACGAGGAAAACAAATCGCAGAGTGATAAAACGACCGCAATCCGCAACCGCGTCGAAGTTCAGGATGATTGCTTTCTCCACTTTCTTGGCATCCTTCGCAAAAGACATTAATGGCACATCAACTCCCCATTCGTGTTCGATTTTCGACTTGTCCTTAGCTCTGATTGCTTCACAAAATGAAGACTTGATGAGATTCTTCGCGGATCCTGGGTCCGGATGTCCAGGGATCTTAATCCCGCAGACTCGATAATCCGCTCTGTACGTAGCATGCGGAACAAAGGTGTAATCCTCACCTTGTGGATCTAGTTCAGCTTGCGGACTCGCTGCAACAACGCCCGGTGGGCAAAACGAGTCCATTTTGCAGATCAAATTCGAAAATCGTCCAACGCACAAGGTGGGTTGAAGTTGTTGCTGTTCCTGATTGAAGAGTTCACGATCAATGCGTTCTTTATCGTATCGCGCAAATTGAAGATCCTCAACCATAGCGTCCGGGACCGCCGCAATTCCCAATGGTTGATCCGGAGGATTGTCATTTAAGAACTGCTTGAGAATATCCTCATCAGATGATTCCTGATCATCACTCTGGTCTACTATTGCTCCTACTTCATTGACTCCATTATAAAATTGTTGGAGGATATCTTCATCTGACGGACCAGTAATAGCTGCAAGGACATGTGCCGAAGATTGCTGCAGTGCGCTAGTTGTATTTCCTGATGTTTGATTCTGACCAGAAGTTGCTTCGGGGGTTGGCGCCTGTTGAGAAGATGTAGTAGATTCGTTCTGCGGTACAGAAATTGCTGCTGTCGGATTCTGATGCTGGTCCTGGTATTGCATCCAGGAATGATCGTTCCACGACTCGTATCCCCAATTGTTGAGGTCATACACCACACTTCCATCGTAGCCACTGTCATAGACAGCGTTTCCCCATTCGTCGTATGCCTGGATCGCGGCAAAGTAGTTTACGTCTTCTTCCAACCAAGACGGTTCCCACCAGCCAGAATCATGTTCCTCACCGTCCTGTCCGTCATAGTTTTGTGCTGCTTCAGATGCTGTGATCGCTGCAACTTGTTGACCTTTTCTACCTTTTCCCTTGTTGTTGACGTAACTGGCACCACCACTACCTTTCTTGCCTTTCGTTCCAAAGGAGCCTTTTTTGCCTTTGCTCCCTTTTGAAGACGAGAAACCTTTGGATTTTCCTTTCCCCTTCGTTGTGCTTTGTCCTCCTTGCTTCTTCTTCAATTCAGCATGATGCTTCGCCAGATGACCACGACCATTGCAGTAGCACTGTAGTTCCCCAAGCCAGAAGTTGCATGACATTCCATTGTGAATAATGGAGTCGGCGTCCTCTTTCCCTACTACTTGATTCGGACAATTCGACTGAAGATGCCCCGCTCCATTACATCTGTAACACCAAAGTTGTGCCTGCGGACTTGCAGCTACTGGGTCTGCGTCATGAGTTAGAATCGAGGCAACTGGATCCTTTCTTGAATTCGCAATCTTCCGATTAACTTTGATGCCATTGTTCGCGATGTAACGACGGCAGGCGCTGACCGCACTTCTATCCAGTAGTGGATTTATTCGTAGTTCTTCTACTGTGTATAGTGGTGGATCAACTTGCTCGCACGATACCTGCTGAGAAGAAACATGATCTCGAAGGACGCGTGGTAGTTTGTCTAAGAAGTCCTGAAGTGCACGTCGATCCGACCCAAGATCGGTGTCCTTGCGTTCCTCGCGATTTTCCTTTTCTAGGACATCTAGACGTAGTTCCGTCCACTTCTGATAGAATGTTTCAAACTCCTCAACACTACTACAACGCAGAAGACGTTATTGGCCTAATGGATCTTCAAATCTCCCAGTTGTTGTTACTCCAAACGCGGATGGTAGTACACGGTCTACTAGATTGGTCCACAGTTGTTTGGCTTTGTTCTCATCCAAATTGAGGCTCCTGATCTCGGGATTTTGTAAGGTGTATTGACGCATTTGCGTCTCCGTTGCCCCAACTGCGACCGCTTTTAATGCTCTGAGTTTTTCGCCATACGTTTCGATTTTTGCGTCCGCAAATCTGTTGAGCAGTTTGGAGATCATCTTGTCGTACTGCGCAGGATCAGAGAGATCAATGTTTCCGTTCATCTCCTTTTTGAATAAGTCGACCTTCTTCGCTAGCGCTGCTTCGTCTTGCACTTTGGTTGTCGTCACAACTTGTTGTCCAGATGCAGTAGATGAGGTAGAAAGTCTAGGATCTGGTGCACCTCCTAAAAGTACTTGAGGCAAGTGAACCCCTGGAGAAGTGCTCATCTGGCTGGTGCGACGATCCCCAACGACTTCTAAATGATCTAGTTCGAAGTGATCAAGTTCAGCGACCAAATCCTTTGCTTCTACTCCAATTCCTCTCGGTTCCCTGTACTTCTGGGCATAATTCGACTCGTGATGTGAGGTTTCAAATGTTTGAAGTTGGAAATAGATGCATAGCCTCACTGTAGGGTCGAGTTCGTTTGTGCGTTGTTCGTAGTGCAACGTGAAATCCTGCTGGTCAATAAGAGTTTCGACCGCGAAAATTCGTGTGACACCTACCTTTTTCAAGTAGATGGACCTAAGCAGTACTCCTGACGCTCCATCGGGATTTTGGTTTTGATGGAAGTAGTAATCGCCAGTCTTCCATATCCAGTGCGGTGGTGGTCCATCATCTCCTGCTTGTTGTAGAGGCGGAATAGATGTCGGTTGATGCAGGGTTCGACGATCCATCGAGGAGGGAGCTACAGGTGTAAACATGTCTACTCTTCTTGCATTTTGCGTAGCAGGTGTAGCTGCAAGGGGATCCCCTATCTGCTGCGATGGCAGTCTGTTCGGTGGCATCGTTTGTGGATTCTGCCCCTTTCCACCTTTCCCCATTGGTGGTGGTGGAAGTGGTACTCCTGGTATTAGGTTGTGATAGTTCATAGTGCCTGGGGACAGTTGTTGATGATACGGATTACCCCTATTCATTTTGGTTTCAGCTTAGTCGTTGTTATGCTGTTGTATCTTCTCGGGGACCACTGAATTCGTAGTTATTGATGATGGTTTTCAGCTACCGCAACCGTTGAAACGCGAAATGTGTTGCAACCACAGTAAGGACAAGAGAAGTTTCCGTTTGAGGCGTCGTCGTAGATCTCACTGGAAATAACAGTCCAAGCTGATGAAGTGATGACTTGATGTGTCTGCTGGTAGTTCTGAGACACTACTGTTACCAGTGAAAGTCCAAAATTATGTTGATCAAGGTAATCCAGGATGCGCAAATGCTCGTAGTGACGTACTAGAAGGTTATCCGACAAGTTGTGAAAAATGATGATGTCTGTCGGAAGGCGATGGAAAGTCGTTCCTTCAGTCTGCGAAAAGGCGTAGTGCTCGTTTAGTATCACAACGCGAAGAATTTGGTTCACAACTGCACGTGGTGCAGATATTGACAAGATAACGTCCCGACCTGGTACGTACTCGTCCCTACTCAGTTCTGGCACTCGTTGAACTAGAGTTCCTAGAGATTCGGACGTCGATCGCAATTTAGCGTGAGCGGTTCCCATTGGTATGTACCTCAGCTAAGGCATGACATGAGAGTATCCGTGAGAGGCGATGTTTGGAAATGATTTTGCTCAGTGAAAGTAAGAGTAGGAATACAACGGGTCATGGATAAGGTGCGTTTAGTACCCATAGGGAGACTGTGTCTCCGCTTCGCTATCGATGCTCTACTTCCACTCTCTTCACACGTACTCGATGTCTAGGAGCCAGCTGTGTATGCTGATTCAGCAGGTGAAGTCGGTTCGTAGTGGAGCGTCTGGATGTCGTAAAACAGTGCTTCCGCTTGTGTAATACCAAGCTCCAAATCAATTGTCGGCCTGCGATCGAGCAACTCAAGTTGTGGGTCCTCCAAAAACGCTTCAGGTGGTGTTAACTGACTTCGTAGTAAACGAATTTCTTCACGAAGTGAAGTTACCTCTGTCTGGAGTGAAAATAATACTGTTCCTTGTGTTCTAGTAAATTCCTGAAGATGAAGATGTGTTTCGTCCAATCGATGGACCATGTGATTCGTAGTACGCGAGACACTGATGATAATTTCGTGAGATGTCTCGGACCGCTGAAAAATCGTCGTGATGGAAACAGCAATGCTTCGTAGAGTTTGAAGAACCTCCACTATTTGTTGCTGTACCGTGCGCAGTAGTCGATACATGAATGCTTTTCTTCAGTCCTAATTTTCAAGGTGACAAGTTTCCAGGAGAAGATGCATCGTCCTGCCACAATCCTGCTTCAAGATCTATTTCGCGTCGATTCAGAAGATGTTGGATGTCTGGGATCTCCAACACTACTTCAGGTGGTGTAAGTTGATGGCGGAGTAGCTGTATCTCCTGCCTTAGTTGATGTAATTCGTGCTGAATGTCACGTGAGTGGCTGCGATGCGCTCTGATATGCTCCTTCAATGTCGTAGCCGTGTGATAAACCGTTTTTGAGATATCATTAAGCAGAGACCGAAATCGACGACAAAGAGAAACAAGGTTATCCGTCCGCTCGGAAACTGTGAAGAGCGATTCTCGTATAGTTCGCAAGATCTTGTACATGCTTCAGTGCAATAAGGCTCGAGCCTTCGTAGGTAGAGACATAATTTTGTTACTTTTATTTATATAGCCGGAGGAGCTAGTTAGTGGAAAATCGTTCTAGTTTACAATTCAGTGTTTTGTCACCTGATATCTCAATTATTCTTGACTCAAGGTTTTGGTATTTACAATATATATATATATATATTTATTTTCTATATAATTATAATGCTGTAATGTCTAGTGATTTGATACCCCGGTAATTCATTTCGTTTACAAGACCCCAGTTGAAATTGTCCTTGGTGTCCTTCGAGAGGACTGCGTAGATCCTTAGAGCTCTAGCTCTATGCTAACAGATATCTAGTCCCTCGACTTCAGTCTCTCAGTGTTACCCTCCTCCGGCGTGAACACTTAGTTAATACTAGCTAACGCGCTTGCGTTTGAAATGAGCCCTAGCTCAATCTTATCTCTTATGCTCTGAATCCTAGATTCTTAAACCAAAACCTAAACGTTCGTTGGGAAGAGATAGATGGATGAAGTCCGGACAATCGTCCATTCGTTTCAGTGGAATGCGGTTTGCATGAGGATTGCTCAATTTGTTCTCTCGTGTCAGGCAGTTTTGAATACTCTCTACGAGGAAACGACTGTCACATACTACTTACTCGTTTTGCCTTACAACATTCCTCGTACTCGTAGCTCCTTTCCCTGCTCCTCTAATCATCGGCAAGAATACGGTAGTTTTTGGGATTGGCTTACTGACTCGATACCCGATGACCGAGGTCGGTGGTCCGCGATCTTCGGCGCCGATAATCAAACCGTCAAAGGAGGTGTTTGGCCGTTGCCCATCACCCACGAGAGCCAAATTCCATACTACTGTACGGATAACAAAAGCAGGCAGGGACACAGCGCTAGTGGCTTACCGCAGTACCTGACCGGTCGTTTCGGGGACGGTGATCCCGAACCGCCAATGTGGTTTGAGTTCAGCAATAGTCCCTACATGACCGGCGATATGCGGTACAATAGTCCACGTTCTATTAAGGCTACTACCGATCTCTTCCAACACATACACACACAACTCATTCCGATAGTTCAACTATCGTTACGCCAGTCATCATAGATCTCAAGCATTAGCATCCACCTCAGCATCATCGATCCTTGGCCCTTTATTTTCTACTTGGTTCTGGACTTGCTCAAAGATTAGGGACATCGACGGACAACATTCTCTCTTATATATTCTACTTGACAAATAAGGGGCCGCCAAGGATGCAGCACTCAGGGATGAAGATGCTAACTACTACGCGGAGGTAGCAGCTCTAATTCTCCGGTGATCAACAACTACAAGCAAACGCAATGGTCAATGCGAACAGGGAAGCAGCGGAAGGACATGGACATGGGCTGGCGGCTAAACTTGATGCGTTATGGGCTGCATCAAGTCCGTTCTTGGTTGCTGGATAGGGAACGGGAATTTATCATAGGAACACATGTCACGGGGGAGAGATATAATGGACAGATCGTGCAGGCTATGGAGAGAAAGCAGCCATACGGACAATGGGAGTTATGACATTTTTATTCAAATTCGTTTCTACATGTATTTCAGTACTCAGCACTGTTAAGAATCTAGAAGATGACTGCTCAGTCAAGAATCTAGAAGAGGAGGAAGACAAGAAGAAGCGAATCTACAACTACTTTGTTTTTCATCAATGATAAGATGTATTGACGTTTCATCTTGTTTTGTTCTTGCTCACAAGAACTGTGTCTTCTAATGGTAGACTCCCGCATGTACGACGTGCTCTATTTCCGTCCCCCACCGTTTCCGGAAGTGCAGAAGACGGCTCAAAATTTGCGTGCGGTTGCTGGGATACGCGTCACTTGTGGGCACAATGGAGAGTGGGGAGACCTTGACACTGTGGTGCAGAGTTGGAAGGATGTGCCTGATGCCTGCAAAAATAATGTCATCTGGAACCCGAAAAGCCACACGCGCAGATACCAAAACGAACACGATTCAGCATGGCCAATGTGGATTTGGGGAAACCTCGACGCTGATCCAGGGGATGAAGTCGGCAAGATTGTAGCTGGTGGTGACATCACGAAGCACAGCAAAAACGCAGTCAAGAAGGTGGTGGACGATGCTTTGAAAGTTGCTCGTTTAGCTTGGCCCAGTCCAGCTCCAGCTTTTGTCGTCACGGACGCAAACACCGAATTATTTTAAGGGTAGGTTAAAGGTGCTTTTCTTACCGCTTTTTATGCCTCTCCTAAGGGAGAAAGGCATAAAAAGCGGGGTAAGCGAGCACCAAAAACCTACCTCTAATTATTCTGCTCCAAAAAATGCTGCGGAGATGAACACTGCAAGAGTTTTTCTTACCTAGCGAACCAACGCCAGAGGAACTGCATCCTGTACAAGTCGATGGACAATTACGCTGTCAGTACTAATATGGGGCATCCCAGTAGGCAGATGTGCGGAGGTAAGATGGCTAGCGAAGGTGACGGAGGTGGCGCCGTGTCGGAGAAAGGTTTTTGCGTGCAGGGCGAGAGCTTCTGTGCGAAAGGTGGCGAGATGGCAGGCACTGACATGCCACAAGACGGTCCAGTAGTCGCGCCGCCGATGTCCGAAGCGAATAGAAAAAGAGTCCAGAAAATCTTTGAGAACAAGATGCAACAAGAACTAGTGCAAAAACAGAGAGGAGCACCAGCAGTTCCTCAATCCTTGACGCCAGACGAACTGAACCGTCTGTACCAGGATGCTCAAGCTGAGGTTAGTACTAGTACGCAAGCAGCGTGTGCCGCTTGTCCTACGAAGATGATTAAGTCGATAAGGAACATCGGACAAGACCCCAAAACCGGCAAGGACATTCTGACGGAAGTGGAGACGAAGCAGACGTGTGGCCAATTCGTCGACGAATTGAGGGAAAGGGGCTTTTTCGGGAGTAAGCATCCGAATGCATCAACAGTATCGACAGCAGTGGGGAATTGCAAGGCGAACTGCAACTACGATCCGAGACCCTGGAAGACATGCAAATTGGATTTATGGCTGGAACAAAATAATCACACATGTGACGATTTTTCATGTTAGCGCATCCACGACTGGGTTCGTTAGATAGCCTTTATGATCCACGTAAAAAAAGAAAAATGAAGAATCTACTTCTACCTTGCCATGATAGAACGACTTATTTCGTTTTCTACTACAACATCTTTCTGAGATGAATCTTCTAATCAGGACCGTCGACGCCAGCTACGAACGTGACCCTAAGCCAGTGGTCTTTATCCAGACCCGCTTGAGACCTGGCAAATTAGTGAAGCGAAACCGCGTCTGCGCGTCTCCTGTCTATGAGTGGAAGTGGGACTATGCTGGTCAATGGGGTGGTGGCGGAACCCCTCTAGATGATGCGAATGCCGCTATCAAAGCCCTCAGAGAGAACCGAATGTACACTGTCCAGGGGTTTATACTTAAGGCTAGTACTGCAAGAAATGCTTCAAAGGCATCTTCGTTCTTGGTCCCGTAATTTCTAGAGAGACGAAAAGGGCGAGACCCATCAAGATGTTGCGGATGAAGATGGATTTTTCTTTGTTCTAATATACGGAAGCTGAAAAAACCCTGCAAACTCTACCCTGGTCTGAAGGAGTTTTTGCAGCAGCAGGATGCGAGTCTTCCGCACTACGCGAAGAGCTATCCAGAATGGCGCAGCTTTGTAGATGAGTACTTGAAGGAGCTAGGACCAGTGAAAGACATGCGACATTCCTGGGGACCGTGGACTGCGGCGCGAACATTTGCGGATTTCGCTCAACAGCGGGTCAAAGTCGCGGGTGAATTCGCTGCTGGAGAGACGCTGTTGCCAAGACCGAATAAGAAGTTGAAGACCGACTACCGCTTCGAGATCATGGGCGCGAATGGGGCTAGGAGGAAAGTCGCGATTCCAAATCCAATGATTTTTGGCGAGGCGAAGGAAACGTGGGAACGCGTAAACGATGTGGGTGTCATGCAGGCGGTTTTTGACCAAGCAGGTGCGTACAAGAAAATCGTCAACCCAGATCGTGGCATTTTCAGAGGAGCAAAAGTGACGATCAAAGGCAGTGGCTCCGAAGAAACCTGGCATGAAGGCAAAGTCCTCTTCTGGGATGCCTTGCGTGAACAAGCCGTCGTCCGTGACGAGGTTAATCATCAAGTCTTGTACCAACAACGTCCTGAGGTACACTTCAGGCCACCACGGACGTTAGACAACTTCGATTGCGCTTTAGGAGTTAGGGCTCAAACGCGTTTGCATGAAATCGCGGCTATTGATGCGCCAACGAAGAATGACTGCGCGGTGCAGTGCGATTTGCAGACGAACTGCCAATCGTTTGACTGGTATCAAGCACATGGGAAACCTAGTTGGACGACGAACCGAATAAAAAATTGCCACTTATACGGAAAGAATTATGGCACCATCCTCGGCTTAATATTTGTGCTCTTCTTGTGAAGATAGAAGATGAAGAAGAATCATGTCTGGCGTGATCAACATACCTATTTTAGTCCTAGTCCTCTACCTATAACTACCATCACCTGCTTACCATTTCAAGCCCTCTTTTTTTGAGGTATCTAAATCTACATCCATAACCTCATCCTCTAACTCCCGTCGCATTTGAAGGAAATCCTCAAACTCGAAGCAGAAGGAAAGCGTCGATATCACGTCCAAGGCTTGGATGGCGAAAACCCGAATGAGATTCCGTTACCCTTGGAAAGAGTAGCTCCCGCGATCGGAAGCCATCACTATCATCATGCTTATGAGGATGCAGGTACTGCTTATTAACTCAGGTTCTTCTTGTTCGTCGTAGGTCTGTGCACGTCGTAGCTTCTTTCTAGAAGATATGCCCTTGTCCATCATTCTCATACCCGCCACGCGCCCATACGTCGTTAGATACAGACGTAGGATGAGGTATCATGACATGACATGACGCCCGTGATGTACTCGGAAACTGAAAATAACCGAGTAGTTACTGACTGAAATAAGGGAGGTACTAGCTCCGACAGGGCTACTCCTCCTTGTTCAGTATCTCGCTTATTGTAAGTACAGTTACTCGCTTATTTCAGTTTATCGAGTACAATCTTCAGGTGTAAATGAAATGGAGGAGCCACGTCGTCTGAGTCTATTTTATGACCTGGTGAAAATCCCGCAACCGGACAACTTTTTGGCGTTGCCCTTCTCCTTCATGCGTGTCATGCGCAGCCAGGCTGAGTGGCAGATGTGGAAGTACTTCGTCAATTAAGGCTTTTTATACATACATAGTTAGTAGTATGACATACTAGTAGTTATACATAGTAGCACTATGTACTTGAATGATTGATCACTTGAGACCTTATACTAGTACTTGATTCTTTCATCTTGAGAAGAAACATCTTGGAGCCTTATTTTCTGAAGTGGAAAGCATGTTGTAAAAGATTAAGATGCTTTTCAAGATGAATTAAGGTAAGCAAGCTCAAGATGAACAATAGTAAGGTAAGCAAGCTCCTCTAAGGGAAGCCCAAGCGGATGCGTGCCGGCAGCAGTTTGGCTCGTGGCTTAGGCGGTGCGCGTGATCGATGGTGGTGTCGTTTTGCCGAAGGACGGTTGGAGTCACACAGATGCTCAGAGCAAGAGCGCGGCTACCCACATGCGCCTCAGCGCAGTCTAGCTGATTTGCTCAAGAGTGTCGTGAACAAAGCTGCGAACGTCGCGGCCGACGCGACACGTTCTTATGGATCACGTTTTTTGATATCTATGTATCAGAGGACCATCGAGGGGACGGGCCCCTTAAGGCAGCTATTATACGTTTTTTAGCGGTACTAGCGGAAATACGGTACTACGTACCCTTGAAGATGGTCCTCTGGCTACTATGGAAAAATAGACACCAACATTCATAGTTCTGTTGCGAGGGAAGCAAACGGAGCAATTGGCGGCCACCTGCCGGGTTTGCCTGGAGGCAAAGTCGAAGTCTTTAAAATCGGTGTATCCAAACCCCCACCAGCCGACCATGTGCCCTTCGAGGGACAATACACGGAAGTGCCAGTAACACGTGAAGATGGCCATTTCAACGAAGACAACGAGCAGTACTGGAATCACTGTTCTAGAAAAATCAATCCCGAAACCAAGAAGCAGATCGGTGGCACGATCAACGCCTTCGGCTCTGCAGCTGTGATCAACAACACGCAGATGGGCGAAGTTTGCAGGCCAGTGTGGCAGCGACCGCCGAAACCTCCCGGCACCGACACGTGCAAAACCATGTGCGAGTTCGAATTGCAGGGACAAAATACGGAAATTTCTATGCGGGACGGGACAAAAAACGAAGGGCCGGATGGGCAAGGCCAAGACGTGGGATGTCGACAAGTCTGCTTGGATCACAATCAAAGGCCTTACAGTTATCTCTCGTCGTTGGAGTACTATAATCTGGTAGAAGTTCTTCTACTTGCGGTTGTAAGTACTCAATTTTGTCAAAGCAACTCACTACAACACTGAGTGAAGGATAAAAAGTAGATTTTTGTCAAGAAGGAAGATGGACGTGAACAGTGTAGTTCAAACAGGAGAAAGGCTCTCTGTACAACAAGAACTTGATGAAATTTATTTTAGGAAGGATTTGGGTTCATTTCCAGGTAACATTCGTAGAACTCAAAGAAGATTCAGGGAAGTCGTAGGTCCAATCCGAATCGACTAACATCATCAACGAGAAACTATCTCTAACACGCAAAACGTTGGGAAGAGCTTTCCGATATGGAAAAGATGGGCTTGCAAGAGGACGATTACAAATCGGACACCACAGCAACCAATACTGGCAACATCGCAAATGTTGGCGTATCCTACATGCGCCCTTACCTGAACCCCATGTGCAACGTGATCTACGACATTTATTGTCGCAACAAAGTTATGCTAACATTTCTTGTTTTATTCATCTAGTTACAAGTACAACTCTCTCAATATCTACTCTTCGGTACTACCCAGAAATATAATCTCTTCGGGGTAGGTATAGATACTAAAAATATCTCTTTGGTACCCTTTTGCTACCACAGAAGAATACAACACCAAGGGACGAAGAGGTGGCGAGATGAGGAGAGTAGATGAATCGAGGCAGTATGTACACGACGCGTGGTCTAACAAAGGCTACTTCGGTTTTTCGCTGAGACATCCGTGGAATGGACGTGGCAATTACGAGACCAAAGGAGGTGAGCATCCTCGTGGCCTGTGGCCATTTCGCGAAGACGCCTACGAGTGCGTGGACCTCCATGACCCACCACGAAAGTTACCCATGATCACTCGCTTCCATTGCGGTGACATTGACATTCGACCGGACTGGTATGAGTGTGGTGGTGGGGCATACGAACTCGGTGCGAAGATTATGACAGGAAAAAGTGTACTCAGACTCAGAAACGGATGGTCATATCAGGAGCACACACATGACATGACGCAGAAAACTAGCTACAACTTTCCTACTGAATATTCTCTTATCCTAGAGCTAATATTCTCTTACATCATCATCTCCTGATGTAATTTCCTCTCATCTCACGCTTAACCCGTTATTGAGTATGAGTACACTTTTTCTTTTCATAAAGATCTTTTGCAACCAATTTTATCGGACTGATGCGGTGTTTGCGACACCACATAGGATGGGTGCGCACTCTAGCGCTACACAAGAAGCAGGCATGCATCACGAAAACTTGTACACGATGAAGGACTTGAAGCCAGATCCGAGACCGAACTATCTTTATGGTGATGTTGTGACTACTTCCTTCAGATATAGTTCTCCAACGCGAATGCAGTACTAGATGAGTTCTTCCAGACAGTACGATGTAGAGTAACTCCTGTCTTCGCATGAAGATTCGTCTAACTACTAAGTAAGCTGATTCTCGAAGATTCGACTATCAACATCATTAGCCCTTTCTTTAGCTGCTCTAGGCATAGTACAACTTCTAATGAGCAAAACGCGCCCACTGCGAGCGACCTGCTCCTGGAAGTACCAAGAACTTTCTCGGAGTGCCAAACACTTACCGTTACCCCAAGAAACGGTACACCACTGGTCCACGCGGTCTAGGGTTGTGCATCGAACAGTTAGGCTGGGACGAAAAACCTGACGAGGACGAAACCACCTACGACTGGGCTCGCATGGGAACACATGAGAAATCGTGCAAGATACCTTTATGGCTCAAAAATACAATTCATTAGGTTGGTAGATGGCTCGGAAAGATTCTGTTTGTTTGAGAAGATATCAAGTTCTTTGGTATTCCTAGGCCCACCTCGTCATTAGGTTGGTAGTTCTCTCAGTCATCGTTTCTTCAGGCTTGTGTTTGTCCTTGTTGTGGTATTCAGCTTACCATAGCCTAAATAAAAGTATTTATTGCACCTTGCTCCCTGAGCTCATCTAATATGTGTAATCCATGTCGGGAAGCATCTAGGCGCAGTGGAGGCGAGCTCTGGGGAAACAAACCCATTGGCGCCAGCGTGTAGGGTTCACATCACGCGGAAAGGAGCGATCGATAAGGACTACAAGGAGGCAGCAGGCGACTGGAAGTACGAGAATGCGACAGATGCTCGTAGCGCACTCATGGTGGAGACAAATGCGGTTGATGAGATGTAGAAGATTTTTCACATTGATGATGTTGGAAGACTTGTTTTCCACGTCAACAAAAGCAGAAATTAAAATCTAATGATGGTGGTTGAAGATGATAGACTTAAACATGATGAAGAGACTTTTATCCAAGATAGAATGAAACTGAATCAATGTACTTCTAAGACAAACACAAACAGTAACTACAACTTGAACGTACCAGCAGCAGCTATAAATTGATTTCTTGAACTCTTTTTCTCGTACTACTAGTACTAATACCAAACCAAATTGTTCGTATATTTGCTCACGTATTTTTGTCGTTATCCACGCTCACGCACATACAAGCACTACAAACGCGATCATCTTAACGACGTTTTAGTTCTTATCACACTCTCTCACAACGTTAACGTATAGATGAAAGTGAATACAGATGAAGTGGACAGTGCACGATGGTCTCTCCATGCTATATCAACATGAAGATGGGGTGTTTTTATCCCGCGGAGGTCGTATTACCCATATAAAATGTTTACGCCACTTCTTTTTACCCAAACTACCTCATCAATGACTCCTTTCTCTTTGTTCTTAACACTGATATTGAGCTCTGTTTCGTATTATTCTCTCACTTTTCAGTACTTCTTTCGTAGCAAAACTACTATATTTTTTTGTGACATCAAAATCAATATTTTTTCCTGAGGAGCCTGTCTTGTACAGATTATTTCGCAGTACTCTATGATTCTCACTTTCATTCAGTCACTCACTCAAACTCAATACCTATCTATGACTCGCACACATAGTGCTGTCTACTTCTACACTTCAAAATAATGCAACTCGCGACTCGAAAGGACGGTACATCAATTATGCTGCAAATACGCCTGCACCTGCATGGTGCTGTTTATTTGTGATAGAGTGTACTACTAGCAGATACACGACATCCAACATTCGACGAAGAACGAAGCACAGCGGCCTCCGCTTTAATAAAGTTCGAAGTTGTCTCATACATTGATCTCAAGAAGAGATTCATTTTTTGTGTGGTGCGGATAAAAAACCACTGACTGATGTCTACATACCTTCCTCCTAAACCCGAAGAATCTTGGATCTATTTGTGAGTATTGATTTTTGAATCAGTTTCACTGAGGACCCTAGTACAAAATAAAATGGGTTAGTTTCGCAAACTTCCAGTTCTTGTACATACTAGGTTCTTGCGAAAAAAAGACTAGTTGTTGGAGCACGTGAGTCTCCGTGTGTCGTTGGTTCGCCTTTGCTAATTACAAGAACTACTTAGACTGTAAGTTAGTAAGATCATTATCTTACAAGACTATTAGTGATAGTAAGTGTAACAGATCGTCTTTCTAAAAATGTCAATCGGATTGAAGATCAACTTTTTGCGTTGAAGATAATTTTTACGATGACCCAGCAAAAAGATGAAGAGACAGCGCGTCGTTCACGATGACATCGAAGATGACACCAGTAGCGACGATGCGGGCAGAGCTGCTCCTGCACCACCGACCTCCAGTTGGAACAGGCCGGCGGTGGGAACAACGGCAGCTGCAAGTTTCCCGTCGTCTGCCTCGCTTTTGGCACCTGTGGTCCCAGGCACCTGCCTGGGACTTAATAACGCGGGACCGGTAGCTGCAGTAAGAGGTAGTGGCAGGCCCGCGCCAGTTTCGAACTCGATTCAGCAACAAACACTACCAAGAACAGTCGGACATGGCTATGATTATACGGAAATTGGAGCAGCAAATGGTCGTGGGGCGACAAGCACAAGCACCGCTGCACATTATGCTGTTGTTCCTGTTGCTGGGGTCTCATCAAATTTGGGTTCTGGAATCTCCTCAACAATAACGCAGGGCTTCTCTTTAGCAACTTCAACGTCGGCCTTCAGTTTGGGTTCGGGTTTTGGTTCGGGTGGCATGGGTAGTTTCGGCTTTGGTTTTGGAGGTGCAACGTCAACAGGGCTTACCACGACAGGAGTTCCACCTCTTGCATCAACCATGCCAAGGCCAACGACAGGGCTTACCACGACTGGAGTTCCACCTCTTGCATCATCAACCATGCCTACGTTTCGTCCGCCTTCGGCATCTTCTTCTGTGCAACCTCAACTGCCAAGAACCGGAGTTGGATCTACTTCCACCACCACCTCTAGTAGCAAGAAGGAGCCTCCAGACGAAGCAGACTTCTGCACAGCAGATGAACTCTGTTCAAGACTTTTGGGGCACCAGCTCCAAGACCTTCTGCGTGCGCGAGGGTTGCCACGCTGGGGCACAAAAGAGGAGTGTGCACGAGCTTTGGGTGGGAAAGTTTCACGTAGAGAACTCTTTGCATTGACAAATAAGCGCGTTGGGTTTGCTGGGAATCATCGAAGAAGTGGAGGTGGTACAAATGGTTGGAGTACAACTGGAGGTACAGGTAGTCCTTCGAACGCACAGAGCAGAAGAAGTGAGGTGGATTCGGATTCGCACGGACTATCTGCGTTGCTAAAGCAGATGCAGTACACACCCCCAGCCAGAGACATCCTGGATTTTCATGAAAACGTCAATAAGCCGTGGAAACGACAGGGCTACTTACGGGAAATCCAGAGATGGCTTCAGCCGGAGGAGAAAGACCTTGGTTCTCTTAAGAGGATTAATAATGCTTAATAGATGTTGTTGAATCATCATGTTCATTAACACTAGTAGTTTGTCTAGTCCGAATTACACAACTAGTACTAGTACTTGTCGTCCCGGCGATGTAGATGTTACAGCTACTACTCCTGCTAATAACAACATGGTGTTGAGATATCGGCCACGGATTCCGCATCCTAGATGTCCGCATGGCGGCAATGTTATCGTGCGTGAGATACACACTTCCGTGGCGAGGAAAGGGGAACAAGATGCTCCTGCCGCCTCTGGTGATCATGACAAAAACTACAAAAAAACTGCACAAAAAATCACCGACCAACTGGAAAATGTCACTCTTTATCCCGAATGCGACTTGTGCGAAACTTCTGGTGACGGTGCTGGTGACGGTGGAGGTGGACGAAGTGGTAATCAAAATCAACTATCTGATCTTCCTCCAGTCGGAGCAGCTGCTTTTCTCCGTAGTAGAGCCGAAGCACCTTTCTTATTTGGTCGCGGCGGTCAGAATGCTCGATGGCGCTTGAAGGAGGTGCTTGGCTTGTACAAGTCCCTGATTACGCCGAACTTGCATATACGCTACTATGAGCACCACGTCGAGAGCTTTTTGTTTTTCTATTTTCAGAATGATCAGAATCAGTGTGGTTGTCAGCAGCTGTCCATTATAATTCATACAGATGAATAAATCAACCTTGTTCATCAACCTTGTTCTTGAATCAAACTCAACTTGTCTCTTCTTGGATCTAGAATTACACTCTTCTTGGAACAATATCAGCTAGGATACACACATGTACTGTACATCTAACACTCACAGAAACAAAAGTCCTTCTCGTCCTCTAACCTTCCATCTAACACTCAGAAACAAAAGTCCTTCTCCTCTAACCTTCCATCTAACACTCAGAAACAAAAGTCCTTCTCCTGCTCGAACCTTCCATCTAACACTCAGAAACAAAAGTCCTTCTCCTGCTCGAACCTTCCATCTAACACTCAGAAACAGACCTCCTTCTCCTCTAACCTTCCATCTAACACTCCGAAACAAAAGTCCTTCTCCTCTAACCTTCCCACCACAACTCCCGAGAGTGCAGAATCCACATTCAGACAGCTTGCGATGAGGGCGTGGCCTGCTTGCACCACTTACTGGTAAAAGAATTCGCCATGCCGGAGAAGGAGTTTGAGAATGCTTTGGAGTTGGCGAAGAAAATTAAGGCATAATTTCCATTTCTCATACATTATTTTCGAAAGTATGTAAAAGTAAAAGAGTACGAACAAGAGCGTTCAAAATATAGATACTTAGATTCCTCCTGATTTTTCCACTACTATCTAATTTGAAACAAGGACTCAAGAACTACAGAGAGCTGGAAAACAACGCTTCTGGGATGAAGATGCAACAGACACTTGCAGAGCACTTGCCCAACGTGGCTCGAACGACGTCACAATTTGCTGCACCTGCAGCTTACCAAAACCTCGAGGCAAAGTCCTCAACAGCACTGTCGGACAGGGGTAGAACGAATTCCTTTTCAGATTGGGACGGATTAGGTGGACGAGCTGCCTTCGCCAACGGCACTACATCCATGAGTAGTCCAAATCAGAAACGGAAACTACATCATGACCCGTTTGCAGCATTCGATAACAGTGTGAAGAGCCCGAAGAGACAGCGTCTCTCTGACAATAACAAAGGTCAGGATCCTGACCCCCACGTCCGCCTCTCAGATTTCCTGGTTTCTGAAAAAGACCTTGTCTTTGAAATTGAAGACTCCGAAGCTGTTGTGACCATTTTGCGTGCTTTTGCCGGACAAATAGACCGTTGGAGAAAGTTCCATCTACTTTGTGACGCAGGAAACAACAAGAACAACAGCAGGAAACAACAAGAACAACTGCCGTTACAACTACAGCATGCGCATAGAAGTTGTAAGCCACCTCCACCTGGCGGCACATGGATCCCTCCTAATCGGTGTTGGCGCAGCATACGCATAGACCCAATGCCTGGAATGCATGTGCGCTACTTTCGCCATCTAGAAAGTCCGCGCATCATCACAGCAAAAAACTTTGTGAAGCGGATATGTTGGTACTCGGATGGGGAGATTTTGAAAAATGCGCTGTCGGAGGAGAAAGCTGCACTGATTAGGGAGATTGATATTAGAGCGAAACTGGAGATTGGTAGGAGTACTGCTGGAGGTGGTGCAGCTGGTGGTCGGGGTGGTCGTGGTCAAGATGAAGATCAGAGGCCATCAGGACTGCATCTTGGTGCCCCTGAAGAGGAGAATCATAATGGACTAAACAATAAGGCTGAAGAGGGTGATGGCGAACCGCCTGAACCCGAAGAACAAGAACAACTTCAGCAACACCACGCTTGGTTTCCTCCTTTGGAAAGGGCAGCACAACGCTTGATTGGAAATCAACTATGGAAGCGCCTTGCTCCCTACCAAAGAGAGGGAGTCCTCCGCATAGCCCATAGAGGTCATCGCGCCGTATTGGCTGATTTACGGGTTTTCGAATTTTTGCATCCCGTTTGACTGCTCTTTTCCTAGTAGAAAAGAAGGCAAGGATGTCCTGAAGAATGTAAAAATTCCGTAACCTCTAAGTGATGCTTGCGGTCTCGGAAAATCTGCCCAAGCCCTGGCAACACTGATCTCCCTACCACCAGAACACGCCTTTCCAGCTTTGATTATCTGCCCTGCTGCCTGCCGCATCAACTGGGTGATTGAGATAGAGAAATGGTTGAGTCATCTTGTTTCGCCCTTAGACATCTTTGCTGTGCGCTCCAGGCAGGAAGAATTCTTCGAAGAGTATCGGAAATACGCTCAAGAAGCGAGCAGGCAGATGATGAATACGACTGCGTCTTTTTCTAGCTCTTCTAGGGATCATCATAAAGATGAACAACGACAAGATGACTCTACTAACAAGAATAAACAAGAACAACAAGATGACTCTACAACTACTACTAACAATTATACCCAGAGTAGAAATGATGTTGATGACTCTACTACAACTACTACTAACAATTATACCCAGAAAGATAAAACCTCCAACAAGCCCAACAAGATGCGCAAATTCATAGTGGTAACGTCTTACCAGTTAGCACGTGCTAGAATTGCCGCTTTTGAACGTGTACCGTGGAAAACGTGCATTGTTGATGAGGTACACCAATTCCTGTGCAACAAGACTGCATTGTCGCTGAGTAATAACCTCCAGAATAGTACGGGTGGTGGAGGTGGTGGCATCAGTAGCGCAGGGCACTCTTCTGCGTTTTTGACCACGAACATTCGAGAAGAAGTGGAAAGTCTTTTGGTTGACTCAGCAAGAGGCGAACCAAGGATCCCCAATGTTTTGTTGCTATCCGGGACGCCGCTGGGGGACAGCTGTGCAGTATCCGCGATCTTTAACGTGGCAGGGATAGTCAGACCAGAGCTTTTCCACAAAGGAGCGAGGGAGAGTTTTATTACGTGCCAGGAAATCTTTATCCTAAGGTCTTGTACTTGTAGTTGTATTCAAAAGTAGTTGGCTCATCATCTTCTTTGATATTAAAGTGCTGGTAGGTGTCTGCTCATTGACATGCAATCCTTCACTAAAATTTAGATCTCAAGATTACGACTTTCTCAGGAGCAAATCAACATAACCACTTCACTCGTCGTCCTCTTCTAACAAGAACTACCACCACAGCATCAATAGTGTTAAAAATTCGACCGCTGCTCTCGGAGTTAACCGTTTTTTACTCCGCAACTGGAATCGCTATGACCTCGAAAACTGTGAACGGCAAGAAGAGCTGGCCTATTTCGTGCGCAACGCTTTGCCGATCATCCGCAGAGAAAAAAAAGACGTCTCTGGGCAAATCTCCAAACTTCCTCCGAAACTAACGAAAGTAGTCAGATTTCCGATCAGACCTGAGATCGTGGAATTGGTCCTAGAACTAGCAAGTACTGGTGACGAGAACGCGGATGGGGATTTTTAAGGACGCCAGCGTGAAACCATCTTTTACAACATCTTATTTATATTTAGCCGTTTTCTACTTGTTAATATACTAATATGAATTTTTTTAGAGGCTAAAAGCAAGGTGTTCTAAATACGAAGATGGGCTGTCGATACCTCTAAGATTCCGATGCTCCGGTTATCATGCCCAGTGAGTACGAGCGTGCTGGTTATATGAAAGTAACGGAATTGCATTGTGCTTTAGCTCAGAAGTGTAGGGAAGGGAAATTTGAGAAGAAAAAGACTTCTGGGGGTGGAATTATTATGTTCAACAGAGGAACGTCATCATCTGCAGGAGTCCTCGACAACAACGAAGAAGAAGACATCTCACAGCTAATCGCGGACCTACTCATCGAACATGAGAAGATTGTCCTGTTCACAAGACATCACAGAGTCACTGATAAAATGCAGGAATTGCTGGAAGATACTTAAGGGTAGGTTAAAGGTGCTTTTCTTACCGCTTTTTATGCCTCTCCTAAGGGAGAAAGGCATAACAAGCGGGGTAAGCGAGCACCAAAAACCTACCTCTAAGATACATCGATAAAGGAGTGCTTGGACCTCGAATACATCTACCACATCGACGGAAGAATACCAGAGGAAGAGCGACAGACGCAATTGCGTGACTTTCAAGTGCCTAACCTTATGGTTAAGCATCTCTGGCTGCATCTCTGGTGGCTGCATCTCTGAAAAGTACTATTCCACTTGAGAATGCTGAATAGATATAGACGGAGGTCCTCAAAAAGGAAACACTAAAAAAAACAACCGGTTAGTTTTTACCTCTCAAAATGAGGCGTATCCCATGAAGCAATATATTCCTTGGATCAACATAGCCCTAATAATCAGCGCTCAGTCATGCTAGCTGGCATGGAAGCGATGGGAACTGGGATCAATGGACTGCAAGCAGCTAGCTGTGCAGTCTTCATCGAGGTACCGCCCACCGCGGCATTGCGAGAGCAGTGTGCCTCTCGCTTGGACCGTCACGGACAGAGCGCTAAGGAAGTGCAATTTGTCGTTTTGTTGGCGACATCTTCAAACTTTTGTACGGGAACTAGTAGTGCAACGAGATCGGCACGATCAACAGGGCGGTTGCATATTAATATGTTAGGGGACGAGGAACGGTGGGAAGATATCTTAGCAAAAGAAGAAACGCAGAAGGAATTCTTGCACAAAAAATTTGAAGTGGCTGCTTCTACACAGCAAGACCATGTGGCAGGTTCTTCATCGCAGGCTAATTTGGAGGAGGATCATCTTCAAGTTCAAGGGGATAATGATCCTCGTGGAGGTACTACTTCTGCAGGAAGTTCTTTGCGAGCAGCGCTCAAAGCACAAGGCAAAGACGTTGAGCAAAAGTTTGGACGAGAAGAAACAAGTGGTGCTTCAACACGAAGACATCATGATCAAGACAGTGGTTCTGCTTCTTCTTTCTTGGCAGGGCGTAAAGTCTTGTCAAGTTCGGAACTATTTGAGGATGTCAAAAGTCCTAATCTTCAGACATCTACGTCTATTTCTACAACGGCTGCGTCTACCTCTTCAACAGCGAAGACGATGAAAAGAACCCGTGACCATCCTTTTTTTGAAAAATTTGACGAGTCCAAGTACTACTTCTTCATCTCGACGCTCACTCAACATCTACATGCCTACTATGGGGAAAACGGTGAGGCAGAGAGCTTTGTACGCATGTGGCGTGGCTCAGTGTCAGACGATGAAGTAGAATACAAGAGATTGCTAGCTTCTTCGGCATTGACGAAATTGGACGACAGTAAGAACAACTCATCTTCTTCTGTTGTAGCACCTCAAGCACCACTCGGCGGGAAAAGCTTGTCATCCACAGATCCTGCAGAGGACCAAGCGATACTAGCTAGTACTAGACCTCATAGAAATAATTATACACGGGACGAGGATTTTCTCTTCGATTATTGGTTATGCGAACTCGCTCGAGACTTCTGCGATATCTACACCGGTTTGCGTGGGAATGTCAGGTCCACGCGCGTCACTGGATTCATGACTCGGGAAGAAATCGCACTCTTGTTGCCGCAGAACGGGAGTAATGCAGTTGTACTTGCTGAGTCAACAAGTGGAGGTCATAAAGACCAACACTTAGAGGACGTGGACCACGACGAAACAAGCACGTCAGGTGGAAAATTGGAGCGTCTAGCGACTAGGACATGGGTAGCAGGTGACGTCTGCGAAGCAAAGATGACGGCGATGAGAAAACTCGTCAAGTTAAGGCCGTACATGTTGAAGTCGCCATCTTTCTTTGCTTTAAGATCATATAATTTCGCACGACTTATTGATGGATTTCAATTTTTCGAGTGACTTCTAATCACTGGGTCTGAGCAGCCTGCAGTCATCAAATGGCACACCGCTAAGCTCACTCAGTTGTGGCGATCAAGAGCCAATCAGATCAATGAAATTCTGGTGCCTTTCGACGGAAAGATACTCTATTGCAGCTATCGTGGCTGCTTAGACCGTGCGGCTGCTGGGATTGGTCCTCCAGCTGCATCCTCGAAGAGAGGACAAGGAGACAACATCAATAACAACAAAGTAGTTGTCGATGATAACAAATTTTCCGGTTGTCTCGGTGCGGAGAACGATAATTGGATCACCCTGAGTGGGGGACAGGAACTCTACTGCAGTGCTGCTTGTTGGGAGTCTGCCAGGATGGAGACACATCTTAAGATTAATAGTACTGCTACTCCACCCGCTGAAGACTAGTTGTACTGCTAATCCACCCGCTTAAGACTAGTACTGCTAATCCACCACTAGGAGAACTACTCGGGATGCCAATCAATCAACCTAGGCATGGGGGTCGATGCCCGAAAGAAGACGATCATGCGATCTATTATAGGATATAAGGTTTTACTATAACTTAGGGATGCTAGATAGTGTACTACAGGGATGGATTTAGATTACAGGTACAAGCTCTAAACATCGTGCCGAGGGTAGGGCGCACTGTTGGCGCTATGAACGCGGTGTGTGTCAATCGTGTGCTTTAGATACGGAAGAGCTGAGACAAAAACTCGTAAGGAAATGGATGCCTAGGAAGCCAGTTACTGCTATACTGGCGCAACTAACCGAGTTAGTAGCTAATGGAGGACAGATGTCAACTTAAGGGCATGCTAAACAAGGTGTTCCTGTTACCGTTTGTTATATGTCATCTACTAACTCTAAGGGAAACAGGCATAACAAATGGGACAGAGAAACACCAAGACCCTACCTCTAACTAACTACGAGGGCAGATGATATTAAGGCTGATGGACGTCGATTTAAGAAAACTGCTAGTACCTTTGGTGCAGCTGGAGGTGGCACGAGCACGACTGGAGACGAAGAAGGGAGCGACGAAGAAGACGAAAGCAATGATGACGACGAAGAAACGATGACACTCTCGGATGATAGTAACGACAATGAAGAAGATCAGGATGACCGTGATGATGGAAGATTTTTTGATGTTGTTGAGGAGTCTTCGAGTGCTGGTAGTGCTAGTGCGTGCTCATCCTCTTCTGTCGCGCCACGGCTGAAGAATGCCATTGCCACAAAGAAGGGGAATCTTCTGAGAAACGCCGCTTCTTCTGCACCATCTAGTAAACCACCAATGAAGAGAAAGAGAAAGAATCCGTCTTCTTCACAAGCTACATCTAGAAGCAAGCCATCCAAGCGTCCATCTAAGCGCGACCTTTTTCTAGGAGACCACGGCGGCGCAACATCTACTTCACAAGCACTCCTAGCAAATAGCAATAACAAACGTTCTACTGCTCCACAGCTCCCTACATTAAGGCTACATACAAGAAATCCATCTTGACTTCGCCAGCATCTTGGTCCCGTTTTTAGAGGGAAAATGGATCTCTCTTAGTTCTAACTACAGTTGATCTCTCTTAGTTCAGCTGCTGAAGATGGGTCTCTCTTAGTTCTAACTACAGTGGACGAAGACAAACCTCTCCTACAGGATACCGCTTCTGCTGTAAAAACTACTTCTGCTCCTATACTAGAAACGGAAGAGGAAAGGCTACAGCGAGAGCTAGAGGAAGAACTTTCCGCAGCGTCTACAACTACCTCGTCAGCACCTTCATGTGAAATTATATCCAGTCAAAATCGACGTGGAAGAGACCAAGCTGGTGGTGGAGGCGCTTCTTCAGTGCTGTCTAGAGTTAAGAACACCTTGAAGGCATAATTGATGTTGTTGTCCAGCAATACTAGCCAGTAGTTTTTATCTACTATGATCGGGATCGATGAAGATGTTGTTAATCGAGAAGGTACAGGGTGACTGAAAGGCCTCAATGCCGTTATTTAGGACGGAAGCAGATTCGTCATGACATGACATGATCGAGCAGACCGCTGTTGTTCGAACTTATGCCACCTGTGCATGAAGGTTAATAGAAGATTTCAATTTCATGATGAACTACAACATCTACAAGTACCACTGGCACTGCATCGCGAATTCTAATCCTAGAACTACCACGAGCAATATCAACAAACGAACAGCATCGAGTTCAAGAGCACGACCAGCATCCTCCACGACGAACAACTCTTAAGGCTAGCACAAATCCATCTTCCCCAGCACCTTGCTCCCGTTTATTTGAAGGGAAAACGGGCTGCACCAAGATGCTCACCTACATGGATTTCTGCAAGGTCTAAAACTCCAGAGCCGCATCATCGCGTAAAAATGCTGCTTGTACCTTTGAGGTACCCATTGATACACAGAGTCGTTCGATTTCTGACGAATACTGGGCTGAACCCGTTCCATCAGACTGGCAAACTAAATTGTCAGACGCTGAACTCATTACGGCTTGGTCATGCTCTTGAGCTCCATAAAGACTCAACCACAGCTCCATACTATTTAACAAGATGATCATTAATATTTTCATCGTCATCTTCTAAACTCCGAAGATTTCTGCAAGAGGTGGTCCGCAACCATCGAACGCGCTTCGGAGTCAGCAACCCCCTGTGGCAAGCAGACCACATACAAGCAGTGATGTTAAGGCTCTCACAACCACAAGAAGAAGTAAGAAAGTAACTCAAAATCTCTTTTCTTTGAAGATTTTTTTGATTTTCTAAAGGCAAAACTCAGTGAGTCATCTTCTTCAATCATGGGGAATCTTCAAAGGCTTCAGTACATAATTTCCCGAATCGGTACATTACGGCTGTGGAGAGGTCATCTTCTAATGATGTTTGGAGGTGGCCAGTGCGGACGTGGGAATTTTCAGACGCTCTGTGTGGCCTGCCATAGTCAAAAAACGAAGTCAGACATGCGGGAACGAAAGAAGCGCACTGAAGAGCGAAAGAAGGCTGAAAAAGCTAAAGAAAAGGCTGCAAGAGAACAAAGGAGGAAACAAAATAGTACTATTAAGGTAGATCATCTATCGTTCCCTCAAGTTGTTCAGCATGCTAAAAATTATAGTATTAAGGGAGTACAACAGGAACAGCCTCATTCTCAGAAGTCAGTGTCTCAGTCAGTCTCAGTTGTAGGAAACCCAAGCTCAGGGAATAAAGCAAAAGCTGCAGAAAAGGTAGAGGCAACCATGATGAGGCCACCACTTCGCTTTCCTAGAAGTAGATCATCCTCCGCACTGGGAGGGAGAGCAGGACCACGTAGATGTGAAGAGCAAGACAGACAAGTGCAGGAGGGACAGCTAAAAACGGGCATGTCTTCGACGAGCAACAACTACAGAAGAAAAGACGCGACGAGCAACAAGAACAGCAATGAGGACGACGGCGTCAGCAATGGGGACGACGGCGATTGTCACAATCACGACGATGAGGTCGCTGCTAATACCGCAAGTAGATCTTCCACAACTGCGGACTCTCTTCTGCCGGTAGTTGTTAATCTTCATGCTCGCGTTCCTCCTGCGAGGACCTCTGCTGTGTTGGCGGAAGGTGATGTAATCATACTCACAGACTCGGATGAAGAGACCTGAAGAAGATTGAAGCACAAAGAATGAAGCACATGGAGGAGCTCCCGAGGACCTCTCCGCAGGCGAGCCCACTCCTATCCTAGTGCTCCTCAGCGGGTTCTTTGTTCTCGGTCGTGCTTCTACTTCTCTACGGATGACAAATTCTACTGGATCCAACATGAGGAAGGGACCAAGATCATTCACAAGAATGCTCCTAACTACTGTTCTTAGAAGTGTTCTAGATGACGACGTCAACTTCAATGGGCATCTGCGACGCCCTTTTGGCAGTCTGCACTGCGGTACTTTGATGTGGGAGATATTGCATTTTCGCATAATGCGGATCAACCACGTAGAAGAAGTTGGATCATGGTGCCAGGATTCTCTATTCAACACTTGCCCAATGGATCATGATGAAAACAGTTTGTTCTGGCCGACACCTGGTGCAGATCGTGGATTATCACCGCTGTCACAATCGAGATGGTCGGATGGACCCTTATCTACTTCATACCTTCTAGTACATCGAGAGGCGCAGGTGCTTCTCAAGAAAGTAGATAATGATCTTTGCAGCTGCAGCCTTGTTCTATAGAAGTACTGGTTGCGAGCTGCCGCCTTATTTCAAAACGACAACGACAAAGACCACTGATGTGATAGAATTTACAATTATAGAGAGGTTTTGTGTTATCCAATTCTTTTCTACTATTATTTATATATCCTTGACCTTGTTCTGCTCCTGCTGTCTTGTTATATTGAATTAAATCTCGTTCTCAATCTCATAATCATCTAGTGCCTCAACATGATCTAATAATTCACCCTTCCTCCCTCGTTTTTTCTGATAGTACATGATGGACGACTTGCGCTACAGGTATTTTACCTCTAGGTGTTATATTCATCTTACCTTCCAGCACTGTTCTCTCCGCTTCAAAGCTTATTTGTGATGATGTCTACTTATCTCTTTCACTTTTTTCACCCCTAACAAGTGCAACAGGCGTAAGGCAACGGCATCGACGCTGAACAAGTGCAACAGCAGGACTTTCTGACTCCGACTGAATATTTAAGTAATAAGAATAAGTTCTCTGATGTTGTTTAATATCTACTTACTTTCCATGAAAATATTGAGTCTTTCTTGGTCTTCCTCCTCGGTTCAAAAAGGTTATATGTTTCATATGTAGGACTTGGACTACTTTAATGATTATCTACCTACTCACAGCACTTCTGAACTACGCCAGCACGACTTCAACTGAACTACAATATATTGCCTCTACCTGAACTACAAAAATGAAGAATAAAACTACCAAGGATGGCTACACTTTGCTCACGATGGGGCCTTTCTCTGTGCCTGGAGCCCGAGCCCAAAATTGGCGACCACTTTTAAGGATTCTTTCTAATGATTCTAGTGGAGTTATCTTTGTAATGCTCTAGCAGAGTTATCTTTCTAATGCTTCTAGTGGAGTTATCTTTGTAATTATGCTTCTAGTGGAGTTAAGGATTCTTTGTACCTAGTTGTACGCTTGTCATGATTCTACTATCGGACGAAATCGTCGCCGTACCTTCTAATCTTGGGCATTGCCTCGCAGAGCTCCTCGTCCAAGAAAAAGTGCCCGAATAACAAGGTGGCCATCGACGCCATTTCGGACAGGAATACGATTGATAAGGCCCCTCCTTGAATAGCTGGTGATGTCTATCTACTTACTGTATCTGTAAGTCCTCAGTGTCTATCTACTGTAAGTCCTCTTCATCTCTTCTGTCTACTCTAAGTCCTCAGTCCTTCTTCAGTGTTTCTTCTTCTCATCTTCTCTGTAGTGTCTCTCATCTTCTCTGTAGTGTCTCTCTCTCTCATGTCTAATATGTAGGACCACTTTAGTAATCTACCTACTCGTCACGACAGCAATCTCATCTACTCTAGTACTAATCTACCTACTCACAGTCTAATCTCACCTGGGATCGCAATGACGCGATGCTTAGTCATGAAAAAGCGTCTCAAGGGGATATCATAGACCAGATCGAACTAAACGTGGAAAATAAGAGTAAAATTTCTTCTTCTAGCGCGACCACGACAGCAGGGAGAAGTAGAGGGAGACAGAACGCACATGAATTGTTAGAGTCCGCATCCGCGATTCGCGACTTCCTTGTGGCGCAGAGCAAAAAAGCAACAGCGAGACCAACACAATTCACATGCTTGGTAACACTTGATTCTTTGCATCTTTGGTTGTTTATTTTATAATTCGTCAATAAATTTTGTTCATGATTTTCTAGAAGTTTGAGTAGCAATGGCGCTCCTTCCTGTTCGTTTGCGTATTCCAAGAAATTTGTTTGCGTATTTGTATAATATAATATGTCCTTCTGATGATCCTGATGCCATTCTTGCCTCCATCTTTTTAGGCCTGAACATCCGGATCTTGTGGTAAACTACACTTGAATATGCATTTTTAGGCTTGAACATCTTCATCAACCTAGTACGTACGTCGATGTCCTCCCCTTCAACAGATTCGTTTCCGATGCCAAGCTAATGAGAAGAGTGACGATGATGTCACGGAGAGCGAGAGCGAAGAAAAGGGACAACCTCAAGGAGGATCTCAAAGAGCTCAAGCAGGAGACTCTTCATCCTCTGACGATGGAGGCAGTTCCTCTGACGACTCTGAAGAGGAGGAAGAAGCTGGAGCTTCCGAGAGCAACAAGATGGCCTTAGGCTTGAAGAAACAAGAAGTAGATGAACAAGAAGTAGAAGATGGACAAGAAGGAGAAGAGAAAAATAAAGGTGGAACTAGTGTTGAAACTAGTACTAGCAGTAAAGGTACAACTAGAAGTAATGCAGATAAAAATATGCTGGACCACGATGAACATGATCTTCAAGCAGATGATGCCTTAGAGGTCGACGCGGCTCATGTAAAGGATCATCTACAAGACGTACAACCCACCGGTTCCACGACTAGTGCACCTCCTTCTAGTTGTACAACTGGCCGCGAAACATCAGGAAACAACAAGAACGTGGAATTCAACAGAAGAGATGAAACTTCTACAGCTTCATCTAGTAGTGAAGACGAAGAAGAAGAAATTGTTAATACGATGAAAGTAGATAAAAAAGCCTCTATAAGTAAAGTTGTAGATCTTGTTTCTCAGCGTGAAGCCTCTAGTAGTACTAAAAATCTTGTAGTTGTTCCTCACTGTCCATGGGATGCGGACAAGGAAGCTGAATATCAAGCCAAACTAGAGGAAGAATCGCCAAAAAAAGGAGATGAAGTAGTAGAAGTACTAGACGAGGATTTGGCTGGAGGAGCAGTAGACAAGGATTCATTTGTTGGTACAAAAAAAGGTGGCGATGTTGATCTTGTGAATCCAAAAAAAGGTGGAGAGTTGACAAAAGGAGACCATCTACTTTGTACAAATAAAGAAGGCGAAGAGCTTGAAGACACAAATACAAAAGGAGACGACGACCTTGCTGACCTCTTCTCAGCAGGAATCGGAGACAAGGAAGATGAGTTGACTCCTGGAGATGAACCGCACACGTCTCCGCAGCCGCACAAGCCTAATAAAGCGACAGAACCGGTTATCCTTGATGCTTTGCTGGATAATTTGGATGAGTGTCTGGCGGAAACTGATAAGCAACTGAAGAAAAGAAGACTTAGTAGTGGAGAAACATCACCAACTAAACAAGCTGGTGAACATCCAGAAGTAGATGCTTTTGGTGGTTCTACGCTGCCTGAATCACCAGAGATACAAATTGTTAAGGCTCCTGTGCCTAATACATCTTTGGACTTATGATCCTTGAAATAACGTGTGGAGGAGCATCCTACAGGAATGCTCCCCCATACTTTTCAAGGATGCACTTGAAAGATGAACTACGGACAGCACTAAAATTAGCGACCACTCGCTTGGATCTACTACATCGAGTACAGAAAAAGGAAATGTTGTAAGGACGTCGACGTCGAGCAGCGCTGGCGATGCAGACGAGGTGGGAGAACAAATTAGTCCCCCACTCAAAAAACCGAAGAAGTCTCAAGTTGCAACTTCTACGGTCTCAGAGGACCTCCAGACGATGAATGAGACCGATGAAGAAGATGATCATGAAGCTCGAAGCAGTAGGACTCGAACAAGGGACGAACAAGATCAAGTGGCAGATGAAAAGAACAACAAGCATCTAGAAACACTACATCACGAGGTGGAACAACTTGTACCTCGTCTCTCGGAGGTAGAACAAACGATGCAGCTGGAAAATAAGTCTTCTTCGTCTACTACTCTGTTAGAACAAGATCATATTGACCAGGAGGAGAGAACATCATCATCCTCGACTTTTGGTGGATCTTCTCTCAACATAACGGCCCCCTCCTCCAATTTGACGACCTCCACTATGAATATGATCACTTCAACGTGCTCCTCAAACATGATCTCGACTTCAGCCTTTGTTCCACCCACGACTTCTCCTTCAACATTCAACACATCTGCTCTTTGTTCATCATTCAATCCCTTAAAGCCCTCATCATCTTCTATGTTGTTGCCCTGTTTGCCTGTACCTCCGACGACGACCACAACATTGGGAATTTTACCCACTCCTCCCCCGAGGGCGACAGGAGCTGGTGGAACTACTTCTACTATTACGGGAGGTTATTTCTACATTGCATCTTCCTGCGCTAGTGCCATTCTTGACTTGTTTCCCGATTATAGGGAAGAAGTCAAGCAGGACGTTCTGAAGAATGCAATTCCGCAACCTCTAATACTACTGCTACGTTTTGTTCAGCACCATCTCCCACTACTGCCCTTCAGACCAGTGCTCAGAGTCAGATGGCCCAGTTTTTACAACCACCGCCACCCCTACCTCAACCGCCTCCGGCAACTACTTTTTTCCGCGATCTAGAGGTACGCGTTTTGCAAGCTGTGCAGCATTCTCATTGTGTACACTATGGTCTCAAAGAGCGCGAAATCGAAGTGAAAGAGCAAGAGGAGAAGCTTCGGAAAGACCAAGCTGTTTCGGACCAGAGGGAGGCTGCTTTAGTTATGGCTAGTGCATCTTCTTCACTATCTTCAATGTCGTGTGAGTGAAGGATGAGTATCCTAAGTTGTGGTGAGCTGTGAAGTCTGTTGATGAGTATCCACCTAAGTGGCGACCGGCGTCCGTAGGATGAGCAGTAATATCCTAGAGGCAATATAACCAATGGGGCAGCAAGTCACTCAATTGATTAATTACTTACTTACTGACTTACTTACTTACTTAGAAAGTCCTAGGCTCACCTTATTACTTATTTATATTTATTCTTGATATGATTATTTATTTATTCTGTCAGAATTAGGCTCTCTTTTCGCCTTATTTCATTTACTAGTCCCAACTCATAATAATTTCTGTGGTTTATTCTTGATAGTAATTGCCTAGCCGCGAAGCGTTAATGTAGCTGAGACAGAAAATCGGGTGGAGGCTGAACGCGGTAGGCTGGAAGCTTTGAAAGCGGATCTGGACGCTCTCAGTATCGATCTGAAAGCAGAACGAAAATACATAGATCGTTACGGCTTGTATCTTCACTCTACACTTTTTGAATACATCATAGATCTTCGTTACGGCTTGTATGTTCTTGTTCACCCTACACTTTTTGAATACATACTGATCTTCGTTACGGCTTGTATGTTCTTGTTCACTCTACACTTTTTGAATACATACTGATCTTCGTTACGGCTTGTATGTTCACCCTACATTTTTTGGATCTAGTAGTAGAAAGTTATTTCTCATCCGTAGAGAAGTAGAAAGTTATTTCTGATCCGTAGAGAAGTATCTTCATTCTAGTACCTCTAATACGGTAATATTACCGGGTGTAGAAGTGATAAAGATAAAGATATTTGTGATTCAATCGCACTATATGCTGTAGTTTTACTGTACGACTATGCTCTTACGTAGTTGTTGTTTTCTCCTATACTTCCACCAGCACTTTACATGTTTCTTTTGGGCGGTGGAATCTAGTTTGGACAAGCGCGACTTGGAAAAATGACTGATCGACCATATTGGGCTCTCTCCTTCTAACCTTGAATGCAGGAGAAACGCGAAGCGAAAGAGCGGGGACAGAAATCCGCGAGCGTCGATCTCGACAAACGCCAAGCGGACATCGCGATAAAAGAAACCTACGTCTTGGAGCAACAGTCGGTGATGGAGACTCGGGCGAGGGAAATTGATAGGCGGGAGAAGGAAGTGGAAAGACGGGAGAGCGAAGTTGAAAAACGTGCAAACAAGCTGGAAAAGCGTGAGAAGGAAGCCGACATACGAGATCTGGAGTTGCAAACTAGGAAGGAAGGGTTGGAAACCAGGGATTAAGGGTTACCACATTGCATTCTTCACTACCGTCCTTGACTTTTTTTCCAGTAGGAAAAGGGTCAGGGATGATCTGAAGAATGCAATGCCGCAACCTCTAAAGGGAAGCGGCGCTGAAGACGGCAGCTGCGCAAGTGGGCACTACTGGCATAGACGTAACGACTTTGAGTAAAGAGGTCAAAGAACGGACTGAGGCCTTGAACTTATGGGGTGGCACTTCAACTTCATCTGATCGTAGTTAAAAACGAAGGAAAGGGAACAATCATGTCCTCGTGGTCCTCCCCAAGTGCTGGGGCAAGGGTAGTTTGGATTTATTTATAGGCCATAAGGCTTTTTACAAGTAGTTCCTATTAATAGCCTTCATTGGCTTGGCATCTTTCATTGCACAAGCGCGAGAAGGACTTGGACACGCGGGACGAGAAGATCAAAATGCGTGGGCAGGATTTCGCGGAGCGCATGGACCAATTGAGAGGGAAGCAGAACGACTTGCAAAAGCAGGCAAAAGACTTGCAACAGAAGGAAAATGACTTGCAACAGAAGGAGGCTGATCTAAAAACGAAGATGCTGATGCTTGAGATCGAGGCTCAGGAGACTTCCGAGATAGCAATGCGCAAGAAAGAAAAGCTAAACGGTGGACCACGCGACAATAAGCAGCTTCTGTTATGGGTGTAGGGAATTCATCTTCGAAGTTGTCATTTGGATTGGAAGAGAAAAACAGGAGGAAAATGGCACCTTCCAGGCGATCCCCGAGATGGATTTCCAATACCTCTAATTCTGGATAACGATAAGACCGCTAAGAACAAGAAGGATAAACAAGGTCCTGCTGGTGTAGCAGAGGCCGCTGTTGAAAGCAAAGCTGCAGTTGCAGGAGAGGAAAAAATGAAGAACAAGCTAGAAGCAGAAGGAGGTCCAGCGAAAAAATCGAAAAAGTGGAAAAAAGAGGATGGCAACCGAACTTCAGGGGCTGATGTAGTGGTCGCGGGAACTACTTCCGATAGTGGTACTACATCTACGAAGTCGAAGATTGACATTTTTGCCACAAGTAATCCCGAGCCGTCGGATGAAAAGCACACATCAAATGTTGGAGAGCAGCAGATGAAATCAAGAATAGACAAGAAGGAGAAAAAAGCCGCAGCAGAGATGAAGACCTTATCTTCAAAGGTCAACCATGAGCATCATGAGAGGGAGGATCTTCAAAAAAATGGTGATCATCCTCAACATGGATCATCTAGTACAACTACTACATCATCCAAGAAGAAAAAAAAGAAAAAAGCTTCCGCAACTGCCGATAAGAACCTTCTAAAGGAAGGACAAATGAATATAGATAAGGAAGGTGAACAAGATATGACTAAGCTTCCCGAGGCTAGTTGTACTAAGGTGGTGGACGAGCCTAGTACTAGGCCTACCAAAAGAACCTCCAAAACAGTGGAGACTACTGCTGGAGACGACGAGACGAAGAATATAGTAGCCCCAAAAAAACGAGAAGCTTCACACGACATTGGCGAGACTCCTGACTCGAAGTCAAATGTAAACGGACCTCAGATGAAAAAGAAAAAAAAGAACAAGATGAATCTGAACAATAAAAATCCTTGAACTTCTTGAAATGAAGATCATGATAAGTAAGTAAATCGTATTTTGCGAGCAGCAGCTTCAATTTCAATTATCATATCTTTATCAAAGCAAATAAGCATGTATTTTGGAACTCCTGGCTCAAATCTCCCTTATAGATAGGTATTACCCGAAGAAAACCGGATTCTATTCCCTGCTCGTTGCGCGTAGTTTCTATGATTTCTTGTTCGTTGCACCACGTGCCGCCGAGGAGCTTAATATCGTTGCATCAAAAATAAGTCCCATTTCGTTTCGCACTACTGTTACTAACTTCACGACCTATAGACGTCTGGAGCCATGGCCCCTGAAATCAAGCCAGAAATCTTCTAACTCTATAATTCTAATGCACCAATGTGAATATATTTTTTGACCGCGCCCTCGTCCAGCATAACTACATTGAAACAATGCTTCCCTTTGACCGCGCCCTCGTCCAGCATAATATTAAATTTAAAACAATGTTTCCCTAGACCACATTGTCATTGTGGGTCCTCGTTCCGGATGGAAACTGTCCATGACGAGAGGATCCCGTTTTGTGTTCGATACCACGACAAGAGGGTCCCATGTCTTGTCGCGGAAGCTCCTGTGCTACGAAGAAGCTCCAAACAGAGGCAAAAAAGCTCCTCCCGAGAGAAGAATGCAAAAATGCTTCATCAGAGATCAAACGTGTGGTCCTACTAAGAACGGCAAATAAATCAAATTCTGGTAAAGGAAAACAAGGTCAGAAAGGAAAAGGTCTCTTCTAATTTCAAACTCAAATCGGTTTCCGTGGCCAGCATGGACCACTGCATGCAGCATAATGATAATTGATTTTACAACCTTAGACCCAATTCAATAATATTACGTTGCAGGCACTGTTGCGTTAGCATTATTGAGCCTCTTGGTCGCTAAGCATTTTCATTTTTGAAATTTTTGAAAATTTGTTGTCAACATCTTCTTTGGAGGTGCGACCAATTATCCGGATCCCTTAATATGGCAAGTAGTTCCACAGCCTGCTTCCTCAAGTAGTCCAAAATAAATCTAGAGGTGGTTAGTAGAAGTACAACCAGGAACGACCAACAAGGAAAAGAGACCTGATGATGATCACACTGTAGTATGATGAAAAAGTGTATGTTTATGTTGTATTGAGTAAATGTAAATCTGGACAATCATCCTTCTTTAAATTCTATCAAGAAGTAGTTTTGAACAGCCTCAAAAATGGCACAACTCTGGGACGATTTCGATGCCGGCTTTGGAGAGGCAACCTCGGGTGGTGGTGCAACTTTAGACGGCTTCAATTCGTGCAACGACTTCGCATCTGTGCAAGGCGGAGCTGAAACGGCTTCACAAGCTGGCTCGCAACTAGACTCATTTTTCGATGATGCATTTGGTGGTGGTTCAGCTGCACCGGAAGTGCCTAGTGTGCCACAGTCCACTGCTAGCACAACCACCGTAGGAGGAGGAGACGCAGCCGCAGCCTTGGAGAAAGTGCAAAGTTTGGAGCAAACGGTGCAACCCTCTTTTTTGGTGATGCTGTGAGTGTTTCGTTAGGGAGGTGGATAGACTTTTACTCTCGATTGACCCATATCTTCCATTCGATGATTTTGTCCTATTTTCCAACATTCAAGTTGTTGAAACATCTTCTTTTATACACCCTCAAGTTGAAGCATCATTTTTTTTCCAACCTTATAATAGAAGCAGAGTATTTTTGAACACTCACTCCATGGTCTGATTTTTTGTTTTTACCTAAATATAGGTCTCCTCCCTCCGTCGCGAACTCTCCGTCGCGCAGTCAGAGCTTTCGACAGCTCAATCCGGCAAAAATGAGGCTGAAGCGACTCTCCGAGAAGAGCGAAGTAGATCCGCGTCCGAGGTCGAGCAAATCAAAGAAAAAGCACGTAGTCTTTTAAGGCTTCCCCTAATCCATCTCCAGAAGCATCTCAGGGCTGTTGCGTAAGGGGAAAACGGCTTCAAGATGATTCTCAAGATGGATCAGGGAGAAGGTGCGCTCTAAGTCTTCTATCGGAAAAACAAGCGGAGTTGGAGCAAGCCAAAGCGTCTTCAGTAGCTGGTAGTGGAGAAAATCAAACCTCAAACGCTGGCGCATCCTCGGAAGAGCTAGAAAGAGTAGAGAAAGAGTGGTCGCAAAAGCTCGAGGACCTCAAAGAGAAAGCTAGGGAGAAATTTAAGGCACAAAATGACGAGATGGAGCTTGTGAAGTCCAAGGCTAGAGAAGCCTTGGAGACGAGGAATGCGAAGATTCAAGAATTGGAGCAGAGCCTAGAAAAGAGTGCTGGTACCAGTAGGACTGAATTTACCGATTTATTTTTGATTCTCCTTTGTACGCGTACGCCATGACATTTTTGTTGCTACAGGAGTACAACTATCTAACTATGTTTTTTCGTCTGAGTAGTCTCATGATCTTGTTCACCAATTAAATTACTTATACATTCACAGATCACTCCTGTACATCACAATCACTCTGACCCCTCTTCAGCTCCTCCAGCCAGCACCGGTGTTGATGAATCCGTGGTCGCAGATCGGATTGCTGCGGCAGTAGCAGAGGCAAAGCAGGAAGCCGCTAGTCTCGCCGATCAGCTTAGATTAGAGAAGGAAGTTCTTATGGAGTCGATGATACACATACAGTCGATGTCGATGATACACCAAGAATAAATTTAGATGATGATCAGCTCCTGTTTCATCTTGTAGGCTACAACATGATGAACTTCATCTCGCTAGAAGTTGTACACCTTGTTATAATTATCTTCCTGGTGATGTTGAGGCCAAAAATGTCTTCTAATCGGCGAGGGATTACCCTTCGTCATACACAACCACCATTCCCCACCGTTCATGTTGTCTTCAGTTAAACTCCGTAGTTCCCCTCTTGTCTTCAGTTATACATCCCCCTCTTCTAATCGGCGAGCCGCCGCAGCGAAAGGATTATCCTCTTCCAGTACAACCGTTGCTGACTCAGAAGAAGAACAAGAGCAACTAAAACGGCAACTCGAAGAAGTCAAGGACAAGGCCCGAACTCGCATCCAAGATTACGGCGACCACAACTACTAAATCTATCAAACACTACTATAACAGAGTAGTTTATCGCACGCATGGAGTAGCATGGAGTGCAGAGCTTTAAGGGGCGCAAGAAGCTCCCCCTTTAGCTCCGTGCTACTCCATGCCATGCGAGCTGTGAAACCTTACAAATTGCTCTGCTATAAATATCTATCAAAATCATCACATGATCTTTCTTACGAATCCTGAGACCGTTTAATTCAGGATGCTTGGTAGTGTAGCTCTATAGTTGAAGAAAGACCTCTAGGGTCGTTTTGAAGGGGGAAAAGGTTCCAGGATGCGCGCGAAGATGGATTCATCCTTTTAGTTCTAACAAGAACAGTCAGACGAACTCGAACAGGTGAAACAGAAGGCGAGAGAACGCATTGAGGCGGATGGAGCTGAAATAAACCGGTTACAGGACGAATTGTTAAAGGCAACCAACAAAGCGACGGAGGCAGAACAAGCTGCGGCGGAAGCAAGTAGCGCCTCGACTAGTAGTGTGGCGGCGTCTGAGGTGGAATTGGCGGATACGAAAGCGTCGTTGAAGACGGCTGAAAGCGAACTGGAAAATAGTCGATCGAAAATAGCGGATTTGGAGAGCAAAACTGCTGCTCTGGAGAGCAAAACTGCAGCATTAGAGTCAGAGCGCGCAGCACTGGAGTCACAGCAATCCAGTGGACTTGACGCTGCGATGGAGGAGCAACGGCAACTAACGACGAGACTAGAATCCGAAAAGGCACAATTAGAGTCAGAGAAAGCACAAGCAGAATCTGAGCTCAACGACGTCAAAGAGCGTGCCAGAAGTAAGGTCATGGAGCTAAACGACGAGCTCGAGCTTGTGAAGCAGAAGGCACGAGAAGCTTTGGAATCAAGAGGAGAAGCGCTAGAACAAGTTAACAGAGAAAAAGACGACCTAGTGAAGGAGAAGGACGGCTTAGTAGAGGAACTAAAAAAGTCCAGAGCAGAGCTAGCTGATATCGAAGCTGCAGGTAGCGGTAAAGCAGAAGAAGCATTGGCATCTGCGAGTGAGCGGGTGAGGGAGGCAGAGGAGCAAGCGAGTCTGAGAGTCCGCGAAGCGGAGGAAAAAGCTTCATCTCGCATCAGAGAAGTGGAGGAATCCTTCGCATCCAAACTAAGAGAAGCCGAGCAAAACCTGGAAGAGATCACCGGTGCCAAGATGGAGGTCGAGTCCAAACTCCAGCAAGCGGAGACCAGAATACACGACGTGGAAGTTGGTGCGGAAGCAAAACTAAGAGATGCTGAAGCCAGATTGAGAGAAGCCGAGTCGACGGGTTCGGAGAAAGCAGCAGAGACTGAGAGACAGCTCCAGCATCGTGTGACAGAGTTGTCTGACCAGATGGAAGAATTGAAGTCGAAAGCGAGGGAGAGGATAGAAGGACTCTCAAATGAGATCGAGGAGATTAAGGTGCTTACCACTGATCATTAATCTTGTATTAAGGTGCTTACCACTGATCATTTTCATTACTCCTGTAAGTATTAAACTTTACTTGACTCCTGTATTTAACTTTAGACTTCTAACAACTCGTATTTCTTCATGTTCCTCCATGTCCATCATGTTGTCTTTTTGCCCCTTTACAAATATGTTCATATATGCGATGTTGAACATCTTCAACAGTAGACATCTGAATCTTCCAAAAAATTCCTCCAACGGCAACTACTAGTACAACTACTCCCCACCTGCTCTTCTCAGGGCAACTACAACTAGTACAACTACTTCCCACCTGCTCTTCTCAAAAACCTCCAGGTGAAAGCCCGGCAAGCAGTGGAAGATGCCAGGCAAGCCGGATCAGAAGAGCTCGCACCAGAGCTCGCTGAGACAAAACAAAGACTGGAAACTAGTGACGCAGATCGCCAAAGACTAGAGGGAGAACTCGAAACTTTCAAAGAACGGGCGAGGGAAATGGTGACTAAGTACAAAAACGAAATAGAAGAGCTGCAGGGTCAAATGCAGAGGAAAGCAGATGCAGAGGTGCTCCTTTTAACTCTGTTTGATTGATGTGTTTGAAGACGAATGTTGACAATTTGATTTGAACATGAACTATTTCTACTGCACTTGTAATGCTATTTAGTTTTGACGTTGTTGATGCACATTTTTCAAAACAACGAGCATTCAAACCTCAGGAGCTCTCATACCAAACAAATATCTGATATCAACAATGCATCATGATCTGCTCAGGCCGAGCTCGCAGCTTCCGAAGCACGTGCACAGGAATCTGGGAGAGAGTTGGAGACATTGAGGTCACGGTTAGTGGAGGCCGACCAAAAACTGAAACAGCAGAATGCCCATATCAAAGATCTAGAGTCTTTGTACAAGATGCAGCAGCAGAATCAGAAGAACGTATGATCTAGTGCTTGCTTTTTTGATTTGACATTGATGAAATGTGGAGATCTCACGCTTCAATCGCCCAACAAATCAACTTCAAGTTGAATTTCCTTTACAAATGTGGAGATATCACGCTGGTCCATGATCTTCCTTCAATCACCCAACAAATCAAGTTGAATTTCCTCTACAATCTCTCCAACCAGGAACGAGAGCAGGAGCTAGAACTGTCTCGACTATTGCATGTAATGCATGACGAATACTCAGAATTGCCACCTCAGGAAGGCGGCGGGCAATCATCCTACCTTCAACAGCTAGCCAGAGTCGTCGAAGATTCGGTGCAACTACATCAGAGACAAGGTACAGCTGTGGTCTTACGAATTCTTGCTTTAGTAGGTTTTTTCATTCTAAGTTCGACTAAGTGGTTCATTCATTCTACTTGTTATTCTCTCAAGAACATGTAACGAGAATTTTATTCTTTCATCTTCATGCCCTTCCCAGTTCCCAACCCTCAAGAACTCTTCCCAACCGACCCTTCAAAATGACAGTGGTCGAATCCCGGCAAACCGCTAGTGCTCGCGAGCAGCTGAGACTCGAGAATGTGAAGCTCACAAAGGAAGTGAATCACCTTCAGAAAGAGCTAGCCGAAAGTGGCGTGGTTGCTACTATGTCGAAAGTCGGGAAAGCGATTATGTCTCGCTGTCCTTCGCGCCAAGGTGGCAGCGGATCTCTGAGCAATGGCAGTGCCGGAAGCGGGAATATGTTGGTTATGGATCTGCTGGTTACTAGATTGGTTTTTCAAACTACACGACCTCGTCTTTTCTTCACTGTAGAGGAGTGCTAGACAGCTAGTCCTAGTTTTTCCCATGGTGGATCAGGAAGATGCTGTCTACAAGTTTTTGTAAAATCATGATCATTGGTATTTAATACCCCTGGACGGTTTTTGGTCTACTTCCTTCTACTAGATTGGTTTTTCAAGAAACTACACGACCTCGTCTTTTCTTTACTGTAGAGGAGTGCTAGACAGCTAGTCCTAGTTTTTCCCATGGTGGATCAGGAAGATGCTGTCTACAAGTTTTTGTAAAATCATCATGATCTTCATGGTTGGTATTTTTAGCCCCTGGACGGTTTTTGGTCTACTTCCTTCTCTAATCCGCGCCGTGGAGCAGGAAGAGGTCGAGGTGGTGATGCAGGAAGCTGGGTGCCGTCGTGGGGTGGTGAGGGGAGTCATAAAAAACATGACGGACTACCAATCTCGAACTTCCACGATACAAGAGAAGACTTGTGAGGATAGTACCTCCATGAAGAATATGTCTTCTTCTTGCCATGAGGATTTTCCAGATGGAGGTGCTCTTTCTTAGTACTTCCAGGTACACTACTTTCACTTTCTCTGTACACTAAAGGAAGAAGCTCGAACGGACTACCAATCTCGAACTTCCACGATATTGCTTCCTCGAGGAAGAAAGAACGTGGTCCACGACATTTCTATTTCAAAAATGCTACAACAAAAACTTCAACAAGAATCCATCCAGCAGTGGGTAATGTCCATTATGGATCAATGAGCCTCACAAGCACGACCATAGCGAATGAATATTATTCAACTGACTTCTAGCATAGTGTCACTTCACAAAAACGGCATGCTGGTGCAACTACGAAACATTGTCTTTGTCATACGAGAACTTTTTAACTTCACGTACACGATCATGCTGGTTCAAATGTCATGACCTACGAAATGAAAATTTCGATTTTCGATCATGCTTCGACAAATAGTGGGCATAATAAATCTTGTTTGCTTTCTTCGCAAAGTAGCATATTATTGTCAATGTCATCGACGCTGAATATGATTTTATCATTATGATCAGAGCATAGAAGTCATGATCTTTTTAGAAGTTGCTATGCAGGACGAGTCATGTGAGCATAAGTTTGACACATCGACGTCATTTACCCAGTACAGCGCAATCCCCGACCCCGCATTAGCATCTTAGAGCTTTTTCCCGCCCGAGTAGAAAATATTTCCCAACCTCCAAAAAGGCATCCGCTCTAATTTGATGTGCCACCTTCCTCTTATACACAGACCACTTTAACATGATCACAGGTAGACTACGAAGCACCCTATCTTCTGAAGAACAGGAAATAATTAATGTCAAGGGGCATTCTTGTCGCTCAAAATAAAGAGCAGCTCATCAGGAGATCAGGAGTACAACACCAGCCGCTCGTCCAGGAAAATTAAAGATCAATTTCACAACGAAAATCAAGACGGTTTTTTTGAAAATACTCAAAGTTCTACACGGAGTTGTAGATCCTCCTGAACGCATGTAGTTGTAGATCCTCCTGAACGCATGTAGTTGTAGATCCTCCTGAACGGATGTAGTTGTAGATCCCAGCGTAGTTCATCAAGAACAAGAAACAAGGCAGGGGTCATGATTTTGAGATCGAGATAACAGAGTCGATCAATGTGCTGACAGTGACAGAAACAGATCGCGTCATTGGCTGAAATCGACGTATGAAGGTCCACAGGGTCTCTGCTAAAATTTCAAAAAAAATCCATGTGAAGATCATTTGTACCTGCTCTTTTTCTTTCTATACAGGACGGCATCAGGGGGTGGACAAACGTTTGTCCGTCTTCAGGTCGAATAAGGGTTTTAGAAGAAGTAGCAGCTAGCCTCATGTTTTGGTGAAGATAAACTTTAACTTTGTGTGCTACTACTTACAACACTCGAGGACGTGGCTTCTTCCAAATACGTAGTTTCAAAAACCTCTTTGTACTATTTCTTGTAAGAGGAGAGCTTGAAGAACAACATTTAAGCATCGACCAGCTTGATCTGCTCACTTCTCTTACCTCACATCCTCCTCCTCCACTATCGTTTTACTTATCCTCACCAAGTCCCCCATCAAAGAAACAAAATGCCTGGAGGCGGCAACAAGCGTGGGCGCAAACGCGCTGAGGGAGAGCAGGAAGAAGAGTTCGACATGGCATTCGTGGATGAGGATGTCGAAATGGTCGACGTAGACTTCGCCTTTTTCGAGCCATTCGAGTCCGACTTCCATGGCGTCCGAGCTCTATTGCAGAAGGCTTTTGAGTTCTGCAAAAGGGCACCGATATTGGACATCAGCGAGATCGCTGATGTAGCGTGCAATCAAGGTATTTTTACTTACTTCTTTATCATGCAGCAAGCCTCACGACCTTGAAGATTTTTTCAACATGATCTTTTTCTAGGACCGACTAACTATCACGACCTTGAAGACTTTTTCAACATCTTTTTCTAGGACCGACTAACTATCTAGGCTTTTTCTAGGACCACTAGGCGATAAACATTCAACGAAAATAGGTAACATCGGAACCGTCCTGAAATCCGGAGATGAAGAGGGCCTCTTCGGCATCTACACTGCAGTCAACCTGAGACAATACAAGGCCAGCTTTGCCCAAAGTTTGACTGGTTTCGTCAGTTTCCTAGCTCGCTTTGGTGGGGCCGAGTTGTGCACCTGCATAGAGTCCCTTGAGGAGATGGAAACAGCCACAGGAACTACCACGAAGAACAGTTCTTCATCAAAGAGGATAGACCACGCAGCTCCTGTGCCATCGATAGCACAGCCAACTTCTGGAGGCAACAAGGCTTCCTGCTCAACATCTTCGAAGACAGCTTCTTCGAGGAAACACAGCTTGTCAGTGACAGATTTGGTAGGTGCGGGTGATGGCAGTGTGGCAGGAAAGGTGGCAGCATGGATTGAGAACAAGAACGTTGGTCTCTTGATCAACGAAAGGATCATCAACTTGCCGGAGGAAGTGGCCTTACCATTGCATAAGGTATTTTTTATTTTACTTTTGATTGTGGCCTTACGACCATTGCATAAGGTATTTATTTTACTTTTCGTTTTTTACAGCTTGTTAATACCTTTATATCTAATTTGTATTGTTCTGGTATTTGGTATAGCCTGATTTCGATCATAAGGGAAAACAAGAAGAGAATGCTTGTGATCAAATTCAGGCTATACCAAATCCAAATACCGGAAACATTCATAATTTGTTGTACCGTCTGGTTATTTTCTCATCTCCAAAGTCCTCATAATTTGTTGTAGCGTCTGGTTATTTTCTCATCTCCAAAGTCCTCAATATGATTCCAACTCCCTTACCTCACCAGGCCCTCCAAGAAGGCATCGAATGGTCTCAGAGTACTCCCGAGTGCCCAGAAGACGAACGTCCCTTTTATTTCTTCGATTACTTTGTTGGCGTCGCCAAATGCTTCGAAGACCACGACGGCATGGCCTTCGCCAACTACGAAGAAGAGATCTACCTGAGACATGCGGTGTATAGGAAGGCGATTAAATTGCTACAAGCGTTTCCGAATAAAGGTGGTGGATCTCCTGCAACCTCGTCTGGAGAGTCCTGCGAAGATGATGCTAGCCAGGTCCGCGAAAATGAACATAGAGTTATCTATGTCATCCGCGCAGTCGACTTGCCTAAAATTGTCGGCGAAATCGAAAACTACAGACCTGTCATGGCTGTTGGAAGAGGCGGAGGTTAAGGAAGTAAGGAGCAGCTTCTTGCCTGTGCATAAGCTGCGCTTCTTATTTGGCTTCTTCTACGCAAGTGGGTAGCCGTAGCATACAAAACTTTCATCTGCGCTTGGTTCGCAAAACTGTGACCATCTGAACAAAGGTAATAACTACCATCACGATGACGACGTCGTGCTCGTTCAAACGCAGTTCTTCTTCTTGGAAACATTATCCGCTGTTGTACGCGATGCAGCGAGGCACCAAGCAGACAGAAAATTAGCCAAAAGCTTAGGATCATCAGATTGCGGATCTACTGTTCTTGTTCCAGACGTCACTTCAATAGTGTAGAATTAGCTTGTAGCATGTATTGTCCTTAGTCAATCTGTGAGCACGCAGCAATAGATATAATACACGGAGAAAATACTACGATGAGAATTACTACTAGTGAGAGCACCGCGAAATTCTGTCAGCGTTAGGTATCATGTGAGTGAAAATTCTGTTAGCATGCTGATGCTCGACCACGTCACAGAGAGAGAGAGATGAGATGGAAGAACAGATCTGAGAAATCAAAGTAAGATTGTTTGAGAAGCTTCTAGTTTTCTCTGTGGAGTCGACGACTAAGAAATCTGTAGGTGGAAGAGAACTTGGAGTGTTGATGAATGATCTGGCCCAGCATCTCATCTGTTACGACGCAGAGCGATCTGTTGAGATTATTACCGTTACTGAGCAGAGAGAGAAACTGAGAACAAAATATATATCTAGGAGATAATGTAAAATGAAACCAATGAGACAATGTAATCTTTCAGGGTTTAGTGGTCGATGTCAAAGCAACCACTCCTTTACTCTTCATGATCATCAATGTCAACTCCAGTCCATTATATTTCCTTTTCTGATTTTCCCACCCGCCGCGATTTCTTTCATCCACCCACATCTCTTTCTCCTCTTATTCCTAGACCTACAATTGACTGTATGTCGTCCAGTTCTCTTGATGTCCCAACGAATAATATAAAACCTCCACATTTTCCATCTTTTACAACTCGTAGTAAACATCAACAAGACAAGAACTATTCAGCTGTCGTCTTTGTCACTTCAGTCGTTTTTCTTGTCATAGATTTCCTCATTTCGGAAGTAAAGAAAGTCTATCTCGAGGCGCTAATGTCGAATAGACAGTACGTTCAGCAGGGAAAAGGCGGAAGCAGGCCATCCTCTCAGGATCGAAGCACCGAAGGAAAAGCGAAGCCGGTATCATTTTTCACTCAAATCACAGCTTTGATCTTGATATCCAAGGACCAACTACTTAAGACTGTATACGCGTTGCGCGGACAGCGCACAACACAGTTTCAACAATACAAACTACTACTCAAGAATATCAACTTCAAAACGTGGATCTTTTTTTTTAAGATCCATGATTTTCTCTTTCACGCAAGAACACAACAGCCTTCAACAAATCGACCACCAAAGGCGTGAACATCTTCTTCTACACACCTCCATGCATGAGTAGAATACTTGTTCTGCAAGAGCGTCAACCTTATCTATCAGGTGCCGCAGCCTAGCCCGACCCCACGCAGCTCCTACGCTCCACCTTCCCGACCTTCGGAGATCATGATAAAGAAGTTGGAGACGCGCGTAAGCGCTACTGCTAGTAGCCTACAGCAACTAGTAGAGGATGCGGAGACGATCTCAAGTAACCTGTCCAACGAGGAGTCGAAAGTTCTTCTCCAATATTTTAGGAACAAGATTGGGGAGACGGTAATATTTATAAATATATATTTTTACTTAAGATGTAGTTACTTTGTTGTTCTTAGAATGATTATACATGTTGAGTAGCTGAGTTTTAAGAAGATGATAGTGCAACAAAAATGACCACGTCGAAGTACTATAGTTAAGGCTACCGCTGAAGCATCCTCAACATTATCCTTGGCTCTTTTTCTACTTGAAAAGGAAGCCAAGGATGCTCTCAGGGATGCGACCGCGGTAGCTCTAATATAGCAGATGAAACAAACTTGCTGGTGCGTAGAGATATCTATTTCTTGTTCTTGAGCATACCTCTTAACATCGTCCATGATCTTCTCATACATCTTCACGCGATCATCTTCATCACACGAACCAGCTTTCCGTCGCCGCTGGTGAACTCGAGTCAAACGCTTTCATGACTCCTTCCTCCAGCAAAGAGCACAAGGCCTTCTCCGGTCCTGCCCAGAAATCTTCTGCCTCCTCCTACTCCTCCACGACCAACAAAAAACGTCGATCCGAGGAGATCGCTGCTCGTCTCGGAGGTGCTGGCGACAGCCCCATTGGCAACATGAGCGGTCGCTTGAGCGGCGCCGCTGGTTCGGACAACAAATACGGCCCGCCAATTCTGCACCACTTGCGCAGAGTGAAGGACAGAGACATCGCCCACGACCGCAGGAAAGAATATTATGAGCAGAGTGTGTTGCCAGAATTGAAGGTGCGAGCAAGTCAAGCAGGAGCTTTCCGTTCCAATGTCCGCGCTTCTAGGGCGAATCATGAGGACACTATGCGACGATCAGTGCACAAGCAGTTGATGACTGTGTATTACATTTCAATGCTGGTTCTTTTTTGCTTTACAACAATCCAAAAATAAAAACTATTACTAGTCTTTCATCTTCGTCAATGCAGGTGTAATGCAGATGTAGTTCAAGGAATTTCAACGGGTTTTTTTATTCAGGAGGGCCTCAAAACTTCTACCTTCGCTTTGTTCTACTTCTTGTTGACGAAGAACTACCTGGTCCTCGAGTCCTCGAACACAATCCTTTCTAAAAATTGGAATATCCTACCACCCAAGAAATATAATCTAAATGAATCTCTCAGCACCGCCGAGCGCAACCGCAATTTGATCGCGCAAGAAAAGTCTCGGCAGAGCTTTAACTCCGTCATCCTCGATCTGAAGGATATCTTCGCTGATCACCACCACGAGGAGCACTACACGAGATTCTCCCGAGTCTCCGAGACAGGCAGTCTTCATCGTGCCAGACGGGAGTTCCACGCAGCCCTGAAGGCAACAGTGCCGATTTTGAAGGACCAGAGTGACTTACCAGATCACCTCTTCGAAAAAGTCTTCAAAAAGATGGAGAAGAAGCTGATGAAGTCGGCTGTACACACGTCCGATGATGAGGAGAGGGAAAGATACAGTGGTACTTCTATACTACTCAGTACCGTGGTACTTACTATGTTGTTTTGTATCATTTTTTAGCGCCTCTATCATTAGGCTAGTACTTATATATAAAGGAAAAAATGTTGTTCCGATTTGCTCTGTTGAGAGGACGAAGAAGATTAAGTTGACCTGTATAGAGCTCCTCAGGTAATATCTTCGTTTATGTTGATTGCCTACCTTCATCTTACCGCCAAGAAGAAGCACCAAGAAGAACAAAAGTAAAGATCCCTTTTTACGCAATCCCTTTTTACCACGCAATCCCTTTTTACCACGCAATCCCTTTTTACCACGCAATCCCTTTTTACCACGCAATCCGTTGTTACCACGCAATGCCTTTTTACGCACTCTTTCCTCCTCCAGCCCAATCAATCCGTTTTTACGCACTCTTCTCTCCTCCAGTCCAATCCGACGATGCTAGCGACGAAGTGAAATTGGAGCATTCTCACTTTGCCAGCTACCACCACGAGACGGGAGAGCCCGTCATGCGCCATGTCCGCGAACTCCAGTCCCCAGTAAATAAAGCAGGTGGTGTCCAGAAGAGCACGCCTTATTTTAAGGGTTCTTACCACAATGTAAATTCTTCACTACCATCCTTGACTTTTTTTCCAGTAGGACGATAGAGGTGAGGGAAGATGAAAGGGTCAGGGATGATCTGAAGAATGCAATGTCGCAACCTCTAATTATTTGAGCAAGAAGGCTGCTGCTGCTGCTTCCGGATCATCCGCTTCTGCAGCTCCTGCACAACAAGGTTCTAGATGGGCTCCTCCAGCTACTCAGAAATCAGGTTACGTTCACCAGCAGCAAAAGGGTGTTCCCCGCGGTGGTCGGTCTAGCTCACCTAAAAATGCCGCGGCTGGACGTTCTGCTTCTCCAGCTCGCTTGCTGGACTACATCGACGAGGAGGAAGAACGCATCCTCATGGCTCATCGCGCAGCGAAGAAGGCTGCCAAGGATCGACAGCAGGCAATGGCAACGAGCTTGGTCGGCCAGGGTCCTCAACTAGCATCCCATGAAGCGGGAGCACTGTTGCCGCCTAAGGGTTTGGTCATTCCGCCACCAGAAAAGACTATGAGCTTGTTCCCGAGTGGAGTTTTGGCGGCTGGGGGCAGCAGTATCTATAGACATTGACATTCTATTTATTCATGTTCCCGCAGGCTAAGGCTAATTATTTCTCCGAGCTTCTATTGTGAGTAAGCACCAGATCTAGATACGTTTGCTATCATTAATCCTCATCTTGAATCACTTAGCGTCTTGACGATAGTCATGATCGTTATCAGAACTTATCTCTACGGGCATTAGTAAAAACGGTGCCATCAGGGATACACATGATACACACATACAAAACTCAATCAGTTCCGGATTTCTACTTGATGCATCCTTCTAATTCGAAAACTTTATCAAGTTCAAGGTCGACTGTAACGAACACCTTCTTCAGCTCGAAGAACACACACCTTTCCACCACCCACCACCTTCAGGTTCCCCGACCTTCTTGAACGCCACTGCTTCTCTGCGTGCTGCCGCTACGAGCAAGGATTAAGACTTACTTTTATTCATCTTAAGAGGCATCTACTTTGATCCCTTTTTCACGAGGGAACTGCGTCAAAGATGCTTTCCAAGATGAATAAAAGTAAGGTCTAAAAGGAGGTGAACGACATCAAGTTCGAAGTGAACGATTCGATCGCCACTGCTACTCCTCGTGAGCTTCGCGATATGCAGATTAAGCAGGTCATGGGTGCTGGTGGTCCACCAATGGCGACTCCTCTCCTCGGCAACGTCCATGAGAACTACCTGCAAGAGCAGAGCAATCGTCCGGTTTTCATGCGTATGAGCCCAGTTGTGCCAGTCCGCAATGCGCTGCAAGGTTTGTCTCCTCCACACCTCGACACGCCATTGTTGAACACAGGCACCATCATTGACAAGACCTTGTTCGACCCTACTCTTCCCCGCCGTCAAGGCCGTACCCTGACTCGCGCACCCGCGCACCAGAGTGGCGCCAACAGCGTCCGCTACAGCTTTGGCGCCGACGGCGCAACGGTCGTCACCGCTACGACAGGCGAACGCCGCACGCCGAGTCCCACGGGGCGATTCGTGCTGGGCCAAACCGATGTGTTCAAGCGAGACAGCAAGACCGGACACGTGTCGAAGAACACAGTGGATGTCGTCTATCTGGACGCTAACGCAGGACCGGGAGGGAGCAAGCAGGGGTCAAAAGTGAACGCTTTTGGAGCTATCACAGGATCGCCGCAGGTAGAACAAGTGATTTGATCTGTTAGTAAAAGTGCTGTGATCAATGATGAGGGGTCTTGTTGAATCTATTCAAGAAAGAGATTCATAAAAACTTAGTTGAGTACTGTCACTGATCACTCTACTAGAGTCTATTCTTGAGAGAAAACGAAAATATTACTCCAGCACCTGCCAAACATTATTTCTGCCACGTCTCTTGCACCACCTTCTCATTTGGAAAATCTCACATCAACATCATCAAAGACTCACTGCTCTACGTCTACTCAGATATATGTATTATGATTCATCCATTGTTCTCTTTCTCAAAAGAAATAAACCACTCATATGCATCTCTTCACTCCAGGGGACGACTAGCAGAGACGTCGTAAAAGTCGACGAGACTACCGAGTTGGTCGAGAATGGTGAGACCTTGTACGTCAAGCGTGCGCAACCCGATGGGAACAGCCCATCTATCTCCTACCACCGCCTTGTCCACTCCGGACTCCTGCACCAACCCGTGTTGCTCAGTGGTGTACTGGGACAGTCGACGACAAACAACTTGCCGGGTCTGATGCTCTCGCCAACTTTGGACTGTAAAGAAGATATCCAAGTCGCAGGAGGAGACTCTTCGCCGAAGAACAATGTTGCGTGAAGATAATTTTTGAAGAACAGGTTATAAGTACTTTTTTCAGTACCACAGCAGTTACATGTTAGTGTGACAAGTGACCACGTAGAACTGAGAAGTTGTTCTCGTATGAAAATTTTATTGAGATGGAATTTTAAACAGACAGACAGAAATGCTTGTACTAACTGAATCTTCATATAACATAGACTTGAAATCTTCAGAATGGGACATGCATGTTCTTCTTCCAAGACCGACATTATTCTTATCAAATAAAATACAATGCACATCACAACTAAGTAGAATGATGGTTGAGAAGTTGATTGAAATAGAGGGAAATATCAACAGAAATAGGAAAAGTAATGGATTCACATTCAGCACAAGAAATGACTTTCTTCGTCCAACAAAGCGCGAAGCCTGTAATAGATACTTGGATTTACCAAACATTTCGAAAACGGTGGTGGAGATAATAACGCATTTAACTCGGTCGCATATTTAAGAAAATAGAAAAAACAGCAAAACGAAAACTCAGGGTAGTTGTACACATATTCGTTTGGGAGTATATATTTTAGTTGATAAGGTAAGAATCGGAATTGGATAATAATTTGGATAAAAATATGATAAGACTGTACAAAAACATTGGTACTAGATGTGATCTATTGTATTGACGTTGTTCGGGAATTCGTATGTACTAGAAACTAACATCAAATAGGATGTAGAGATAGAAGAATTAGACGTTAGAACTAGACGAGGAAGTTGTAGGTGAACATGAAAATAACACACACAATAACATCTAGTGATTGTTTCAAATCATGATAATTTTCTCGAAGGAGAACTTGAACTGCTAGGAGTTAAAACTAGGCGGTAGCTAATAGGATCTATAGAAAACTTCGAGTTATATCGTGATGATTATCAGGCCATCCGTAGTCGAAGCACTTTTATGTAAGCCATAGAAACTTGTCGAGAAAGCACCACAACTTCTACATCAATCATGATGCTGCTCAAATATAGAGAATTCATCTCGTATCCTTTTGGCTGACATCGTAAGACGGATGAACACAACCAAGAAAAGCAGCTGCTAAGCTCAAACCTGCTCATGTCTAAAACGGGTGGTAAAAAAGGGGAGAGACGTAGTTGCAGTTTGGAGCAATTTATATTCTACCAAGACCTGATTCGAAAATCGAATTTCCTCGCACCAGGCGGTGCGGGAACAGCACTCGCAGGAGTTGCTTTACTTATGCCGGGACTTGGTATGTTGGCTCGAGTGTTCATGTTGGTGCGGGAACAGCACTCGCAGGAGTTGCTCCACTTATGCCGGGACTTGGTAGGTTGACTCGAGTGTTCATGTTGTGGCTGTGCCTGTGAAATGTTTGCTTTCTCTGCGCCCACCGCTGCTGGTGCGTCAAACTAATCGAAAAATTTGTGATTGTAATTGTAATTGCACAAGGGTAACGTGGTTCAGATGAAATCCTCACTTATAGAAGTCGAGCAACCTCAACAGATCTTGGTCTCGAAGAATATGAAAATAGAAGGTTCATATGTTGTGGAAAAAAGAAGGATTACCATCTGCAACGATCTGGAACGTAGGTTGAAGCATAAGAACCCAGCACTATGTCGCTCATGATGTTTCTTAGCACCTGCTCAATCATCACTCGCCACGTCTCGAAAATAGTCCTCAACCTGTTCATTTTTTTTTTACGTCAAACTTCAAAACCAGGAGGACTAGCTTCAGAAATCTGAGAGAGTAGCTTCGCTACCTAAGCTATCTTCTAAACGAGGTAACTAGCTTCTACCACAAGGAGAAGCAATTCATCTCTTACCGTAGTTTCTGCTAAAACTACAACACTCCAACAAAATGCTGATCGACTGCCCAGCTCCGGACTTCGACTGCACGGCCTGCATGCCGGACAATAGCTTCGCGAATGTCAAGCTTTCCGATTACAAGGGCAAATACGTCATTCTCTTCTTCTGGCCAGCTGATTTTACTTACGGCGGAAATAAATGATTCATTTCTTCCAACGGTCATTTTCTTCCGTTTCCTTCTTGAGAATTATCTGAATAAGTGACCAGTCAAGATGGAACGAAAGACTTGTTTTTACTTGTAAAGATGGACGAATTCACGTCTGCCAGTTTTCCTGGTAGGCCCACACCTAACCTAACCTAACTTGTAAGGTGAACAAAGTCGTGAACATCATCAGTTGTCAACTTGGTAAAAACGTGCTCTAATTTCCGTTCGTCTGCGCCTCTGAGGTTCCAGGATTCGACAAGCTGTTGCCAGAATTTGAAGCACGCAACTGCGCCATCCTCGGTTGCTCCACCGACACCCATCACGCCCACAAGGGATGGAAGCTGTTGCCAGCGGAACTCGGTGGCATCGGACCAATCAAGTATCCCATGTTATGGCTTCCCTTGCTTGTTGTCTAACTGTAGATGTAGCTAGTTAGTACTGTAACACTAAATAAAACCCCAACTACATGCAGCTTGTTGTCGTGAAAATAGAGGGAACAAATAGAATATCGCCAATCAACATGTTATTTCCACTTCGAAGAGTCTTCTAGTGCCTGTTGTTATTTCCACTTGTCCTCCGAGTCTTCTCTTCTGTTAATATCTATGGACCTTCTGTTAATGTCTATGGACCTTCTGTTAATATCTATGGACCACGAATGAAACGTCTGCATCACATTAAATCTTCATCGCCCTTCTGAAGGATAATCAAGGATAACCATGATCCTCTAATCTCAATCGGCGACAAGTCCAAGGAAATCGCAGCTGCCTACGACGTGTTGCAAGCGGATGGGTTGTGCGCTCGCGGTGTTTTTTTGATCGACAAGACTGGTGTCGTTCGCGCTGAGCATAAGAACTGTGACCCGTTGGGACGTAACTTAGATTTATGAAGGTGTTTCGAGTGTATTAGATTAGTGTTAGTTAAGGACCTAATAAAGATTAACTAATCCACTATCGTCTAGAATAACTGCATTATGAAGGCTTCTGATGATGAACTTGGCCTAACACTATGATACTTTGCCAAAAGATAAGCGGGATGAGAATATTGAAGGAATAGCCTAGTCTTAGTGGGCTGGAGTTTCTGGATTTCTGTAGCAGTTCTGACGTAGGTAGGTAATCTAGAAGTTAGGTCTGACGTAGTTGTAGTACGAAAACTTTTGGTTTTGGCCTGTGGCACATTCGCAGTCAATAGTGTTTAATCCAAGACATGATACTTTCCAACTGGTTCCCCTCACAAGTAGACACTAATAGCTAGATAAGAGGCGCCATGACATGACAGGATGTTATTTAGCATGATCCATCAATCATGTACGAATTTACCTAGTACAACTGTGCTTTCGTCCCACCCACTTGTCCTCATGTTATTTAGCATGATCCATCAATCATGTACGAATTTGCCTAGTACTGTGCTTTCGTCCCACCCACTTGTCCTCTGCCTCCGTCGCCCACTTGTCCTCTGCCTCAACCACTTCCCTTCCCCTCCTTTCATCTTTCGAGCCTCTCCGTTTACTCGATGGTCTGATCTTCCACGAGAAGTCTATTGCAGATGGAAACAAGCAGGTGTGCCCAGCATCCTGGAAGTTGGGTAAGAAGGGCCTCACCCCCACGATGGAGGGCGTCGGTGCCTTCAACAAGGAAGGTGGCGTCGCGAACTACGTGCAATAAGTAGAATCTTACTTTCGTAAAAAGATGGAGCTGGAATGAAGATAAGGAGATGATGGAGAACAGGAAGATATGACGATATGGAGATGAGAGAAGGAGAACAGGAAGTGGAGGATGGTTTTGGATGAAGATGATCTTGGAGGAGGTGAAGAAGTCCTGGATGGATGTGGACGAGCCTTGAAGACGTGCCGTATCGAGAAACAGTTCTTGTTGCCTGGGGTGAGGAAGGTATTCCTTATGGATTTACCTACAACTAAGAAAAATAATCTTGTCTTGTTCATTATTTCTGGTAGAAAGACAGCATGATATTGAGAATTTTCTAGGTACTAGAGCTAGTCCTCTCTGTCACTCCTTTGACATCTTTGAACGATAGACTCAATACTTCGTATCTAAAGATCTTTTCTCGTATCTTCGTAAACGTCGTAGACTAGAATATACGCTCGTTCAACGTACGTGGGAAAGAATCTTCAAAATATGTAGGAAAGAATCTTTTCTCGTAGGTTAAAGGTCCTATTGTAGAATCTCAATACGAGGAAAAAATCTACCTCCATCATCACCACCAGGTAGGCTCTTGTTGTCATCTTTTTCGAGGCGGCGACTGATGACGGGAAACCCGGAAGCTCGATTGGTGGAGAGTGCTGAGCAGCGGTCGAGACGAGGCGCATCTTCGAATCGGTGGTGGTGTAAAAACTTAGAGGTTGTTCTTCTTGTCTTCTTACCTGTGCAGATATGATCTTCTATCTTCTTCTTGTTATCGCGAAGCGAGTATCAATAAGTTTAGCTTTCCACTTTTCCTTTCTTCTTCTCACCGCCAGCTGTTCCCAATGCAGCTAAATGAAAGTAAATCCTTTTCTCAATGAAGATGTTTTTTCTCGCTGTTCTCAAGTTCGTCTTTTCTCAAACTTTGCAAGCAATGTGCTTCAAAATACCAACATTCATGAGCTGGAGTCGAAGAAGAATTCCACACGACAAGGACGATGACTTTATACTGTTTCATCGAATAAGTATCTGAATGTCGTGTTACTAGGATCTATTGGACGCAGGTTGGAGGATGTTGGAGAGGAAATATATAGCGAGCAGAAGAACTAGAAGCTGCAGAACTACACAGGTAGAAAACTCTACTGATGGTTAGGTCCCTGGTATCCTACTCTCCTGTTATTCGAGAACAACTGAGTGATCTTCGTGTGTGGTACCTCTTCCTTCTGGATCTGGGTTGTAGAAGACGAGGTAGTTTTGTCAAGCTCAGCTGCTTTACAAGCTAGTATGCCAACTATATTCATATTGTTCGTTGTACCAACATAAAGATCTTGATCTTCATCAGTCTTCATATCTACCTATCAGAAACGGCATATTACAAGAACCGAATCTACAGCATTCTATCATTTTTATTTTATGTGTGGTCCACCAAAGTTGGAGGTTCTACTCTGTGTCGTGTTTATTGTCGTCGTTGTTCATCTCGTGAACAACACGAACGAAAGCGTCAACTTCCATACCCTCTGAAGCCGCTTGCAGGCGACTACCAAAAATGTGGGCTAGAAGCTGCATCTCCATGACAAGTACACCCAACATTTTTTAGTTAAGACAACGTGGTTACGACCATGTTGCTGAAAACCCGTACCCCTGCTCAACACACATACTAGACAAAAAACACTTGTCCGTGTTGTTCATCTCCACAGTCCTCTGGCACTATACCGAATCGCGAATGGTCCTCAAAATAGACCTAGAGACTTGTAATTGTAATATAGCCAGAGGAGGACGTGAACAAGAAACCTGAAGATGTGGTCGCTGTTGCCTTAGAAACTAGGTTTACTAATCGTGCACCATCAGCGCAGGAGCTTAATGAAGTCGGTTTAAGATGCAGCAGACGAGTCCTCGGTGCCTTCGAATTCGATAAAGACTCTTGTACCACAATCAAAGAATGCCACTACAAGAGTCGGTAATATAGAGAAAAGAACTGGGTGTACTTACTTAATGGCCATACGTCGGCACTAGAACTAGATAAAGCTATAACACGGACCCGGACTCCCACACCTCCTAACGGTTGCCCCACTGCTCGTGGAGATTTTCATCATTTCATTACACATTTCATTGGACATTCATACACGCTGGACATTCTTACACATTGGCATTTTAGTTAAATCTTACTCAGACTACATCGTCGTGATGATTCTCGTCCTTCAGGAACATCATTTTTATTCCAAAAAAAATATACTGTTATTTGAGCAACAAAATGAACCACGAGGACTTGCTTCATCAAGTAAGCGAGCAACAGGAGGACGTCTGTGTTTTTGACTATGGGCAGAAATGGTCGATCCGAAGACCACCGTTTTCCGAGAATTACGTGGTCTCAACAGATCTCCCACAATGGATAAGGACTCACGGCAAGAACGCTACATCATTTAAGGCGGGCAGCTACAAGACGAAATCCATGCGTCCTGATCTTACAGGCATCTTCTAGTACTTACAAGATGCGACTGTAGGTGTAGATGGATTATTCTTAGTTCTAAGTCATCGAGCCATCCTTTATTGGTTTTCCGCCAGCCTGTCCGCAACGTCCACGTAACTTTGGAAGACGCTAGCCAGAGTCCTAAGCACCATCATTTTAACAAGATTCTATGGGACGCCTTTTTCGATGGAACGCAGAGGATTGACATGGAAGATATTAGGAGTCTTCGTGGAGGAGGTGGCGGTAGCGATAGCGGAACAGGAGGTTCACGTGCAATGTCCTCATCATCAGGATTTTCAGTAGTAACATCCGACCAAGAACCGAGAGGGTTGCTTTCGTACTCTGCAGCTAGGCGAGGAAAAACTACAGGCACGACAGGGTCGATTCCCCCTCACATCCCAAATGAGCTGATTTCCAGTGAAGCTCGTGCGACACTGAAGTTACACGTAACTGCTGATGGCGAGTACATTGGCAAAACGTACGACGAAGGCATAGGGTTTGGCCCTAAAAGGTCGCAGGATGTTGATGAAGAATTATTTTTTGATGTTTTGTGGTCGCCTAGAGTTCCGTGTCCGGGATTGGCGAGACATCCGTTGACGGGAGTCACACCCTTGGGTGGAGAGCCAAATTCGAGAGTTTCGATGTTTTTGGAAGTGGATTGATTAAGAACTACTGGCTTAGGGATGAATCTATCGCTACTACTTCTAAACCTGCTCATATTCGATGGCAAACATGTGTTTTTCACAGAAGATCGTGTTCCACCGACCACCACCACCAATCCCTGCCCACCATACGTCATATAACCCATAAAAGCGTCTGTTTGAGCGACGAGAGAGCGAGAGGCTGAAGACCGAAAATGGAATACGTACCAGGTACATGATAAAAAGGCGTTAGCGGTGGAATAAAAGGCATCAACATGTATTGTCATGATGAGAGAAATTCCACTCGAGTTCGTCGAAATACCAGTGACAATGTGGAATTCGAAACTAAAAAATATACCTCCTAGTTGCAATTAGCTATGCACAAAAATAACGTCATGAAAAACAGAATGTGACTTTTATGCGTGGTTGCTTAGGGTCGGATCTACTTTTTGTACCTTCTAGCTGGAATCGAAATGCAGCAGGAGATGAGCAGCAGATCTCGTCCGGAGCGTACGGCTCATAAGCCGCAAAGGCCAGCACATGCGGAGGCTGAAGAAGGGGAAGATGGAAAAGCGCCGAACACATCTTCTTAAGGCTTCCCATAATTCATCCCTGCTCCTGCAGACACCCCTCAAACATATGCGGCCCAATACAAGGCAGATACTGACGCATATGCTTGAGGGATTCATTTCCACAGGGATGAATATTAGGGGAGTAGAGCTCTAATCTTCTGAATCCAAGACGTCGACGTTCTTTCAGCCTAGTGCCAGATCGACATCTTCCTCTTCGATAGAACAGCAACGTTCATCAACCTCAAAGTCAATAGTCGTACAACCAAGTCCAAGAACGTCAAGGAGCCTTATAACGCTGAACCTGGACGGGTCCCGACTAGATAGTCTGCCTGCGCCTGTAGCAGAGTTGCCTAGCCTGAAAATCGTGCATGCTGGCAGAAATCGACTGCGGAGGATTCTGGCGTCAAGTTTGCCAAGAACATTAGATTATGCGAGGACTGTGTGGTTCGGTTTGATATTGATTAGTGTGGTGTGTCAAAGTGAATTTGTCAAGTTTGGCAAGAACTTTAGATTATGCGAGGACTGTGTGGTGTCAAAGTCAATTTGATTATACTGAGGACTCACTGTGGTTTGGGCTATTTGATTACTTGTTACTTACAGACTGTGGGTTCGGTTACTTGATTTTTGATTACTGTGTGGTGTCAAAGTCAATTTGATTATACTTTCGGTGACTTTGTGGTGAATGAACCGTGAAACCTGCCTTGTGCTGCTGGATCCAAAACAAAGATCAAAATCAAAAACAAAATACCGCGATGGATCTGAATAACAAAATCATGAAATGCCACCCGTGTGAAAAATCAATGACTTATCTCGCTGACATAGTTCGGCGATTGCTCTCACCCTAACATCCTGAAGTTTGAACTTTTTCGCTTGGCTTCGATTTTACGAATGTCTTGGTGATCCTCCGTCAACTTGGCCCTTTTTTAGAGATATTTCATTTTATTTTCTTGTTTCTTTCTTTCCTCATTTCTGACCATGCAACTATGCTTTTCTTCTCCTTGCCCTACATGTTCTTTTCTAGACGTCCATACAATTATAGAGCTTTCACATTTTATTCCGCATGCAGCCTTCATCTTACCACTACAACATGCTATATTTACTTCTATCATGATTAGCCGCACATTGTCATGGCTGTATGTTTGCGTACGAAGTCTTCTTGTGGTTAAAACCCGAAAACTCCTCCATGTTTCTTCCAAATGCAGTGTTAGCAGGGGATTGAAGCTACATTCGTCGACAGACAAGGAGCATTGCCGACCTGTTCTACAAAAACGAGATAAAAAGAGGAGTGAGCATCTGAGTTGTAGAGATTTTTAAACTATTTATGGACCTCAACCACGGGTAGATAAATAGTGCATACTCGTACACACATCGGCCAGCATATCAGAACGTAAGATATACATAAAAATCCACAATATACAGTCTGTCATAACACAACTAGAGCGAAAAACTAAAACTATTGAATGACAAAGAAGGAGGAGCGGAATAAAACCACTACCACTTGAGACTATCGCCTGAACTCAACACGCAACAAGGACCGGCGCACATGATGAGACAATCATCTGAACTCATCCAGAATCCAAGACCACGAAAAATCTGTGAGACAACTACCTGAACTCACAAGAGCAGCATCGAACAAAGGAGCCTGAAGATCGAGCTCTATAAATACTACGACGTTTACACCAAGATGCCACAAGATGCCGCGGACGAGCAAAAATAAGGTGCCCCAGTTCGCCCTCACGCACAAGCAGAAGTGCATGTGGCTCCGAATTGAAGAACTAAGAAAAACTAAGAAAAGCGGACTAGTACTAGGTAAGAAGCTATTCGAAGAACTTGTAAAAAAGATCAATAGCTCAGAGAGACCCTGGCTACTAGACTACGACCTTGGGGCGGATTCTGCTCCAGAACTCAGATTCTCCACATCTGAACTAGCGATCCCATACTACAACCGTGAAGAAAGACCAGAGAACGTAGCGGACGCACTGACGCACGAAGGAAAAATCGCTAGAGTGGTCCAGTGCGCAAACCGAGCAGAAGAGTTGGCCAGCACCCTATCTTTACTCGCCTTTTCCGGGTCGTGCGATTTCTCCCACGTCAACACCTACAAATTAAGAACGGAAAAACCGAGCAACGGTTTCGACGGGTGGGAAAGCATCCGGAAGTACCACGACGGCAACGACATCGCTTTTGATATCAAGCCACGCACGGAAGAACATAGAAGAATCATCACGAAGTTTAACCTAAAGCGATCTGGATACAGAAAAACGAAAGCCGCTACACCAGAACAGATATTAAGCAGTAGCAGGAGCGCTACGGAATCACCAGTGAAGTAAAAGAGCTCGACCATAGCAGAAAAACGCCCCTACTCCCGTGAACTACCAATCAACTACGAGGATGACCAACAGCATGAACATCTCACAGCAGTCGGGAGGTGGAGCACAGACCTTCAATCACAACCCCCAGTACGTGAAAGCATGCAGGGTTGCATCAAGTGGAAATCCATGCGCGGCGGGTGACAGCTGTCAATTCTCACACCAATATCAGGACTTGTTAGCATACAACAAGTGGATGAAGGATCGAAATATGGTAGCACAGGAGAGCCTACCACAAGAGATATATCGCACAAGTATGCACATTGGGCAATTCAACACTGCGAACGGACACCAACCAAAACAACCGATCCAAGGTGGGAACGCTCAGTACCAGCAGAACAATCTGCCCAACCAACAACAAGCTCGACAGCAACAAGCATCACCTCCACCACCTAGCCCGACGCAGATCCAACCACAACAACAGCAGCAGATCTACCAATCACAGCAGCCATATGCTACCAACTCGAACTCCATCCAGCTAGGGAGCTCACCACAGCAGACGCAAAGCAGCCAGGGATCTAGCTGGACCGCACCACAACAGCAACAACTTGCACAACATCAACAACAACAACAAAACACCCACCTGCACGGTGTTGCGCCCCCAGCCGGCACGATCCACATCAAGAAGACCAGAGGACTCGTGCCCACAATCACGATGAAGCCAGCACAAGAGGAAGAAGAAGAAATCTACCCGATGGCGATATCCAGCATGCAAGTGATGAAAGAAATGAGTGAGCACATGATGTTCAAGTCGACTGAACTCCCAACTAAGGACTTCCTCATCCCGCAGACTATCGCGCGCAGACTGGTAGACGATGAATCGGAAATGAAGGATGGATCAGCCTCACTATCACTACTGGTGTGTAACAGCCTGGTGGCAAAACAATTGCAAGAAATCTGTCTAAGGATTACCACAACGGAAAAAGCAGATAAGGCGAAGAAAGCACTTGAGAACCTCCCTATCACCCTCAAGTTGGCTAAGGAAGAACCGGAATCAGAGCTCAGCACGACAACAGGCCAGGACGCGAAGGGCATGGATAAGAGCGACATCCTCAACGCCATTGGCAATAAATTCCAGGAGTTCGGGGCGAACCTACAAACGCAATTCACGACAATCTCCTCTAGAATCGAGAGCATCGAGAAACGCCATGAAGCCCATCGACAACCATACCAGCATCAGACCCCGCCACCAGCCTCAGGATCCGCAACAGATAAGAAGTGGTGGGAAAATGATGACTACAATCAACCGTGGCGGAAGAAGGATAAGGATGCAACGCAACAAAAAACAACTTTCAATGATGGCTGGCACGAACGGGAGGAGCAGCAGAAGGACAAGTCATACATCCAGAACATGGTCGACCAGCAATATGCAAAGATCCGCGATAGAGCGAAGCATCAAGCCTATCCACCGATGGATAAGAAATCCAGCACCAAAGGTGAAGGAAAGAAGAACAGTAGAGATCCGAACACAGCAGCCTTGCTCAGCGACCTCTACTCAGCCGCCCCCGCGGGGGACAAGAACATGCCGAGAGCGGAAGATGAGAACACGAAGAAACGACGCATCACGAAGGCCATACAAGGCATAGAGGAGGCGTGCGGTAAAGCATACAGCGACACTGTCAGGCACATGTTGGACAACAACATCAAGAGGAATCCGAAGGACTACAAGGCTGAAGACTTCGAGAAGGCTATGCCACGTCCCATATGCTTCCTCCGATCGACACTGTGCCACAAGAGACCGGCAACACCCGTCACAAGAGTTAAGGAGCAACTTTCTGGAGCTTGCCTGCTATATGAGAAGCATGGAATACCGCTAACCACCTTGTCCAACAAGATCAAATCAAACGTCATCGACTTAGTCCGAGACTTCACCACAGAGAAGTACACTGCGGCATATCGGCCTCTATTCAAACTAAGGACCACGACGGAACTTGCGCTCTTCGTGATGATAGCTGCGGCAGGAGCACAACAAGAAATCCTCACCATTGAACTGGAGAAGGAGAAAGTACAAGAACGCAAGAAACAACTACAACTGAGCGATGTCATCGAACGTACACCACAAGAGCATGTCCCTCTCGACCCGAAGTTACGTGAACGGCAAATGCGAGCACGAGACCGGCAGATTCTTAATGACGGAAAGGGCGAGAGCACGTCATTGAAGAACGTCGGAAATGAGGATGAAGACGAATTCTCACCACTAGGGGGAAGACCAGGGGATCCACCACAATGGTCACCACCTGCACCACCGCAAGAAGAAGAGGAACCAGATGCAGAACAGCTCTACGACCTAATACGCGATGAGATCTACGGTTCACCTGACCAGAACCAACAAGCAGATGCGGAGATGGATCTGGGAGATGAATACGATGACATGGACTACTATAAGAACGACCGATACTACGATCACCAAGGAAGTCAACTGCCGGCGGCAACATATCAGAACGACGATGACAAGAAGGGCCACGGTGACACATGGCAGGATACATCAGAAGCAGACCCTTTTGGGGAACTAGGAAACCTTTAAAACAGCCACCCCATCACCATGACTGACAACATCTACAATTGGTTACAACCCAGGTTCAGCCTGCCGATGTGGGAACTTCGAACGAACTACTACACGAGAATACCAGCCATGCCATCATTCGCTCTCAACATCGCAGATATCTTTGTGAGGGAACTTTTGAGGATAGCGCCGATAATAGAAGAGAGCCGAAGGGTAAGAAAGATGGTTCTAAATAAGATCATGTTTATGAGAAATATTATATCCCAGCTATCACAAGAACATAGCCAGACAAAAACATGTCTAAGATGCACCAGATCACATAGGCATTGCGCATGCACCTATAGCTACAACAAAGTCACTAAGAGACTACATAAGATGTCGCAATGTGCTCAAGGATCTCTACACTTTGATCTCCTACCTTTCGAGATCTTAACTACTACAGGCCCTTTCCAAGCATCTCTGGTGAAGCTCAATCAAGTGATATCCACCGTTCGTGAATACATGATCACCATAGACGAGATCATAATACGACTTTTCTTACTCGATGGCAACACTTGGAGGAAAAGAGCACTAGAGAAGAAAATAAATAGATATGATAGAACTAATAGTAGATATAGGGGCTCACCAAATGTAGTATACATGGCACTACAGCCACACTCCAAAAAATCATACGTAGGGGAAACATCGGGTGGAATCGACATTAGAACAGCTGCGCATATCCGTAAGGCGCAGACAGGCACCCAATTCTTTTATCGTAACACCTTCGAGTTCTTCAAATACTACTTCATTCCTTTGGTCTATCTACCCCCCACCCTTACTAGCAGGCAAATTAGAACAGCAGAGGCTAACTTAATAACGGAGTTTGCTGCTAACCAGAACACACAAATAGCAGCAGACACCCACCAGTCGCCATATCTACATACAGCATCCTTATATATTTCGAAAAATAGTAGATCTAGACCATACCAGAGAAGGAAGGGACGACAGCCGAGAACTTCAGCCACCTCACGTGCTACACCTAACCTAGCACTAACTACTCTACTTGCCTCATCCAAAGCAACAGCAATATGCATAGCACTCTCGCGAAGACTTGTTGATGTCATTCCCCAGAATATCGCCGTATTCTTTGACACGCATACACATGCCAGTGCTATCATAACAAAACGTGCGAAATTTGTCTTGGATGAGATTGAGTATGAGATCCTCATCAGGAATCTAGCTAAGCATAGACCACAACGTCTCATCCGCCACGTAGTAGATATAGGGGACACGAAGAAAACTCCAGCATTCTGGAGATATGTACAAGCATACATAAGGGTATATCACCAACACCAGGAGCAAGGCAAGCCTGCGGTCAACCTATGTTTTCGGACGAAAACTGGGCCCACGTTGATAGATATAGCAAATAAAACTAACGTTGACTACAACTTACCTCAGGTATGTAGGTGCTGCGAAATTCTCATGGACCATCCCAAACTCAACAAATACTTAGTACAAGGACACATTGTATCATCACTAGAAAGATATATGACTGAATGCTCGGACTATGACTTCATAGAGACAGACTTACCGGTGGGCAAGTGGAACATGAGGTCGAGGCTTCTTAGCCCCAAGTCTACGGCCACCAGCCTCAGACGGGAACTACTCAAATTCACCTCGAGAGTTTTCCCAATCACCCGCCCTACACTAAGATTTCCCAACTCATACAAGGACTTCGCGAAGTCATATGAGACTAGAGGAATTAGACCCGAACAAACTAAACCTAGGTACCTAGATATTTCCGAGAGACTAAGCACGGACGTAGTAGATAAAGAAGTTGATATGAGTTTGGTATGCCCAGTGGTCCTACACAAGATCGTAACAAAGCACATGTTCACTTCAGGGGCATATATACAACTACCAGGCTGGGAGAGTCTCAAAAATGACAATAATAATGAATTCTTTTGGCTTTTCCCTGATTCGTCCATCAAGCGAAAGAAAAAGCACAGATGGGCGAAGATGAGGATCACCATGAAGAAGAAGACATATAGAATCTTTGAGAAAATAGAGCAGGAGCGCAAAATCGTGGACCTCAAGATGAGACCTCTAACTAGCTACCAGCACCATTGCTTTAAAGAAATATATACCACTGCCACGAGAATAGTCAGCCACCTCCTTGAAAGAGACCCAGCAACCTCCAGACTCTTCTTGACAGACCCGGCCTCTATCATTGAGTACCTTAAAAACGTTTCAGAAAAAGCATCTAGGCTAGACTTACAACTAGCGGCATTCACGGGAGACATTGGGGAATTTTTTACTAACTGCAACCTAAATAGTAGTATGGTCGTGATACAAAAAGTAGTTGATGAATTTATTAGAAGATCGGGCTACAACTTTGCTAGAGTATTCAAATCTAGCAAAAACTTGATGCCTGTGCTACATAAAATGATAGGAAGAGATAAAACTTACTTTGTGCAAAAAGGTAGAAGACTACAAAAGCGTTTGTCTTTGATCTCCTTCACTAGAGGGAGACCGGACCCAAGATTTCATGATTATATAAGAATTACCGACCTACCAAAAATACTACTACATGGTGTTAGATTTAGCTATGTTAGAGCACTAGGCACAATTTTCAAACAAACTAAAGGCGCACCTATGGGGAGCCCAACTAGCACTCCACTTTCTAATGCATACGCTATTTATGAGGAGATGGTGAAATCCACCGACCCAGGAACAATGCTAGAGACCTCACGACGCTACGCAGACGACAAAATAGTATTTACTACTGTCCAGAGAGCTATGCAATTACAACAAGTACCTGACTCATTAAGACCTAACTTCTATACGGGATGTTCTCTAGTCCAAGATGGTGTAGATGAGCCTACTACTTTCTGTGGTCTTAAGGTAGACATAGCTCATAGAAACAAAATAGTAGTCACAGCTGCCTTAACAGACAAGCCCCTGGCCTCTGCCTTCTCAGCAGGGATGGATCGCAGAGAAAGGGGCGTTATCAGAGGACACTTCGCCAGATTAAGACTACAATCCAACATCGTACCAAAACAAGAAGCGACAACTCTAGTACAAAAACTACTACAACAAGGCTACTCGCATAATATCATTATTCAAGAATTTAAGCAATTTGCAGAAGCACTTACTTATACCTTTGATGGTGACAGAGCATGAGGCAATTTTCGGTGACTTTGTGGTGAATGAACCGTGAAACCTGCCTTGTGCTGCTGGATCCAAAACAAAGATCAAAATCAAAAACAAAATACCGCGATGGATCTGAGTAACAAAATCATGAAATGCCACCCGTGTGAAAAATCAATGACTTATCTCGCTGACATAGTTCGTCGATTGCTCTCACCCTAACATCCTGAAGTTTGAACTTTTTCGCTTGGCTTCGATTTTACGAATGTCTTGGTGATCCTCCGTCAACTTGGCCCTTTTTTAGAGATATTTCATTTTATTTTCTTGTTTCTTTCTTTCCTCATTTCTGACCATGCAACTATGCTTTTCTTCTCCTTGCCCTACATGTTCTTTTCTAGACGTCCATACAATTATAGAGCTTTCACATTTTATTCCGCATGCAGCCTTCATCTTACCACTACAACATGCTATATTTACTTCTATCATGATTAGCCGCACATTGTCATGGCTGTATGTTTGCGTACGAAGTCTTCTTGTGGTTAAAACCCGAAATCTCCTCCATGTTTCTTCCAAATGCAGTGTTAGCAGGGGATTGAAGCTACATTCGTCGACAGACAAGGAGCATTGCCGACCTGTTCTACAAAAACGAGATAAAAAGAGGAGTGAGCATCTGAGTTGTAGAGATACTTTCACTGTTCGTGACACTTTAATTATTTCAGCTTGAAGATTTGAATCACGAAGAAAGTTCAAGTTCAAGTTGTAGTTCTTCACCGTATCGATTGGTTCTTCAGATTTGTCTACAACTAAATCTTGTTAGGTAAATGAATGAGTGAAACTGTATTTTCTAAAAACCAGAGCTCTACCTGGAAGACAACAGAATCGACAGGCCATTTGAAGACGTCACTCTAGCGAAAGAAAGGGAAGTAGCTGCAGCGCAGCGCTTGCCAACAGGCCTGCGGATTCTGCATCTACACCGCAACTGGGTCAGTGAATTACCTGTACCAGCGTTTTTGGAGTTGTTACAACAGGCGAGATGTAGATCGTTGGAAGAGTTCAGCCTTGATTGGTTTTGCTATGCGGCTCGAGAACGTTTTCATGCTCTGTGCGCAGATCGATGGCCTTCGATCAAAGGGTCGAAGTCAAACATTTTCAAGGAAGATGAAAATCCTGCACTCGTTGTCCGACGAACTACTGAGGGTGGCCATGTTCGAGGCAAGAGCATTATATTTGATCGTTTGTATGCCGTTTTGCAAGACAAGTCCACTTCTATTGAGCGTGAAGATAGCAGTGCAAAACCACGAGCATCTAGTCCTAGACCGCCTAGTAGTGTTTCGGACGGGAGTGGATCCGTCAGGCAACTATCCCTTGATGATAAAGGTATCCCTGTCGTTCAACTGCAAAATCCACAAGAAGCCTGTAGTACTACCGCGTCTGCAGTTGCAACAACATCATCGAGTACCAGCACAACGCGGAGATCGTCAGCTCCGCGTATGCTGGGGAAGAAAATGAACAAAATTTTTGGACGCTTCTTCGGAAGTGGATCAGGCAAAAGGGGTAGTTCTAGGAGAGCAGTTGGTGACGCAGGAGACCCAGACTCGGATGTGTTGGGAGACCTCAACAAGATTATACCAGATGACGAACAAGCGGCGCACACTGTTGCAAATGTCACTCCACCTGATCGTAGTCATCCTCTTGCTATAGACGACGAGCGAGTACATGAACCCGCATCTCATCGACAGCAATTCTTCATCAACTTCATGGATTTCTACATAGCAAACGGTAGTGCAGTAGACCCATATTTCGACAACAATACTAAGGGAGGAACTAGTTGTGCGAATAAGAAGAGCATCTTCCCAGTCGGACCTAGTATCATTCCACCACCTACGCTTCTCCATTTCGCGATCGCTTGTGGGCAAATTGGCGTTGCAGTGTCTCTGGGATGTTCTTCTAGAACTAGTAGTACTGCTCTCAACGCCACGGACAGCAACGGGCATTCTGCTTTAGTGACTGCACTCGCAGTTCCGAGATGCCACGAGGTGGCAAGAAGAATGCTGGTTCTTGGTCAAGAAGTAGAAGAGCAGATGCTGAAGATTTCATCTGTAAAAGGCAAGATGAAAGGCGAAGAACATCAAGTCCTGGCTCATCCGCGTCTTCTAGATGTAAACGTCGGTGGGGGATCCTTCGGATCGGCTTTACATTTAGCGGTACTCACCTTCGACGTCTTTTGCGTGCAGAAGTTGTTGGCTCTACATGCTGATCCGAATTGCAGGGACGCCGATGCGAATACACCCCTGCACATACTGATGTCGATATTTTCTAGAGGAGAAGTGGATTTTGACGAGGTAAGACAGATGACTCAGGCCGGTCGTGCACAGCAGAGGAAAATGTTCATGCAGATGGACATGGAAGGTGCACAACTACGAAGTCAAGTTGGAGGTGGAACAGGTCTGCCTGGAGAAGGCGTCGATGCGAAAAACAAAATAACTGACGGCATCAGCACAGCAGTCAATAAAGGACGGATCATTCTTCGTCGTGCTACACCTGGAATCGAAGAGCAGGGGACTCAAAGTCAAAGAACTGAGACAAACGAGGGAGGTAGTTCAACTAGAAGAGCCCTTACCACTTCTTCCAGAGTCCAAGGAACTCAAAGTCCTGTGGTCTTCCAACAAGGCACTCTGATCACTCTTCTGCTTCTGAAATATGGTGCCGACTGTAACGCAGTAAACCGCGATTTTTGGGCGCCTATTCACCTCGCTACACGTCGAGAAGAAGTAGCTGGATTGAAGACCATGTGCTCTTTGGCTGAGGGAGGTGATGGTAACGATAGTACTAGAAAGTTCATGTGCTCTTTGGCTGAGGGAGGTGATGGTCACGAAGATAGTAGTTAAGGCTAGAAGAAATCCATCTTCACAGGCATCCTGAGACCGATTTCAAGGGGAGAAAGGTCCTCGGATGCGTCTCAAGATGGATTTCCCTTAGTTCTAAAGTAGTACTGCTACTGCTACGAGTACGACGAGGAAGAGAGAGCAGCTAGATAATGTCGCGAGAAAACTACGGTCGGATCTCGCAGATCTGATGAGGCGAACACCAGACTTCTTGAATACTATAGATTTTGATCAGAGATTGCGTTTACAGGAGTGGCTGCAGGTGATTGAGCAGGATTTTTGTCCCGGCTCGCGTTCGCAAGCCAAGGTCGCACAACAAGAAGCTAGGAAGACAATCAAAACCGTGCCTGCTCTGTTCGACGTCAACTCTCCTGGAGGCACATCTCGCTGGACCCCCTTGCATTTGGCCGGTCATATGGGATCGTTGACTTGTGTCAGACTCTTGCTAGACGCCAAAGCGGATTTGTTTCGTGAAAACGCAGAAGCAAGGTTACCAAGGTACGCAGCCAAGAGCAATTTCGCAACGTCCAAAATTTTGAAACAAGCTGAAGACGCGGCTTTGTATCGTCCGTGCTCAGCTGTTGTGGGTGGTGGAGGTGGTGGTGCTGGTGGAGCCGCTGTTGGCAACTGTAGTAGGAGTAGAGGAAATGACACAGATTCCGACAATGACAACATAGACTTCTACAAACAACTTTTTTGTCTCGACGATGACAGTACAACTGGGATCCTGTCTGATGCTGAAGTTGATGAATGGATTAGGACCGGTTGTTATCCAAGAACGGCTGATGTGCAAAAGCAAAGCGCAGAGCTCAGTGCCGACAAATTCCGAGAAGAACTCAGTCATTTACTACAACATGCTGAAAATTCGAGCTTGGAAAATAAATCAACTTTAGCATCTACATCACCAGGACCACCTCGTGGAACGATGTGCAGCCTCAATTCTTGCCTTTCTTGGCCTCAGGATCATCGTATACTGGGATTGCTGTTTAGATTAGTCGACTTCGTGGATAACCAGAAGCATCATCATGACCGTCAACTTCAACATCACTCAGAGGCTGTTGTTGAGGATCTAATTTACGATGTTTTGCTTACTTTGCACAATCATTGTCACGGTAGTTCTGGGAATAGTCAAACAAGTGAAGAACATCTGCAAGACTGGACCAGACTTCTGCTTGGTTTGGCGAAGACTACTGCTAGTACAACAACCACAAGCAGTAGCAAGCGACAACCATGCCTCTGGCATCTTCTACTACTAGAATATGGAAGGCGACAAGCATGCTTGAAATCTGGCACAGGCTTGGAAATGAATGCTGTGGATACAGATGCGACGTCAACAATTTCTCTGCAGCCATCTGCCTCCCTTTTCACACTTCTTGTGGATGAATTCTGCTGTCAGACTACAACTAGTACCAAGTCCAACGCAGGCGTAAAAAACGCAACATCAGCTTCAGCCATAGCTCTCCTGAACACTCAATCGATCGGAGACCAAGCACTGGGTGCCACCATCTTACACTCTGCATCTGAAACTGGAGACTTTGCGGTTGTGCAGGCTCTTCTCACCGCACAAGCCGATGCGCGAGTGACGGAACGAACTGCAGGCTGGACGCCGTTGCACTTGGCTGTGAAAGAGGGTCATGCGAATGTTGCACGGTTGTTGCTGTTCCGAAACACCACACTGGTGCAGGGTGTTCATTTGGCAGACGCTGCAGACCGCTTTGGTTGGACACCATTGTTGGAAGCAGCTAGTCACGGTGACATTCAGTTGATGCTCTTGTTGTTGAATGCAGGTGCCATGAGTAGTAGTATTAAGGGTTGCCGAATTGCATTCCTCGCTACCATCCACCCTGGGTCTTTTCCTAGTAGAAAAGAAGCCAGGGATGTTCTGAGGAATGTAATTCCTTAGCCTCTAAGAGTAGTACGTCTCAAATGTTGGCTACTACTTTAGGAGAAGCACTAGACGACGATCATACAGATGAATTTCGTTCCCCTGAAGAGGCAGAAGGAGGAGAACCTGACATGTTCATTACAGGAGCCATTGAAGCCCTACAAGACGCGATCACTGATGCCAGAAAGTTGTCTGAAGAACGCATTGCTTTTTTACGACTGTTGGTCAGTACTTCACTGGACCTTAACTCAACAGCGAAAGCTGCTGTAGGCTTGAGACGGCGTCAGCGATTTCGAAGGATTTTGGAGCTTATCATGTCTTCAGGAGAAGCGTGTTCGCTTGAAGGATACCTTCTGCAAGACACGAGCTCATCATTCAGAAGCGCAACATCATCATTTTTAGAAACTCCAGACCCAAACAACAACAACAACGACAACATTCTAGCAACTGTCCCCAGACAACTGATCCCTCTCTTCCTCAAGCACTTCATCCCACAAGCATCTTCTATGCGTCCTCGCGACTGGGAACCATGTGAACTCTGTGGCATGCCTCAAGTGAGGGAGGATCTATATGATAGAACATTTTCTTGCTACATAAAAAACACGAAGACGAACACTTCTTTTTACATGTTGAACAACGAGGCTGGTGATGCAGATGGTGAAAGACGTAGTAGACACGACATGGTCAACCTTCGCCTCTGCTCAAAGTGCTATTTTGTGGGAAGAACAACATGCGCGACAGGACATCCAATCTGATGATTTTTGCGGGGGATGGAAGCTCTTGCTTGCCAGCTCACCTGTCTGGGTTCTTCGGCCAGATTCTCATGTTGAGATGACGAGCTGCAAGAGCAAGTGCTGCAAGTCTTAGGTCATTCTATGTCCAACAGTTGCACGACGGAGCGCCTCTGTTGCGATCGGTCGGTCATGTTGTGGCACCCGTCGAATGCGATCGGTTGTACAGCGAAATAACCGGCACAGCGGCTATTTGTGATGGAGAGAAATAGAGATCGGTCACATCCATGAAAGAAACGAGTTTGTGAGTTGGTACCAGACCAAAGAGTCGGAATTCAATCCGTAAAAATTTTTGTGAGGAGGTGTATCTGTATGTTTGTTTTCAAAATAGAGACAACTAGTTAGAGACAACTAGCACTACTTCTTGATTCTAACTTGCTGTGCTGCTCTGTGTTCTTGCATAGAAAAAAATGAGGACCATAGAAGTTCCTGTGTCGGCTGCTCGTCAGGAGAAAAAGGGATGAAAGGCAGCCCACAAAAAGAAGTATGGCGCCGTAAATGAATATGCCTGTGACCGCCCCCACTTCCTTCAGGACTACTAGGAACCATGGGTTGTGGTGCTTCCTCAACAGGTGCTGCGCCATCGGACGGAGGTCCTCGTTCCAACGTCTATGAGACGCAAACTAGTCCGACTCACGACAATGCTGGTGGCACGAGCAATGTCGATGGCGGAGATGTTCTTGGAGCGTCTCCACACAAGGGTTCCGAAGATAAGGGTTCTTCCTCACCCGTAGGTGAACAAGCACAAGGAGGAGAGAGCAGGAGTCGATCAAACTCTTTCTTTGGAGGCTCTTCTGGTGTCGCTGATGATGGCCATGGCAATGGCGGAGGACCTCAGTCATCTCAGAGTACATCACATCTCAACCTTGGTACAAAGCACACTACTCAGAATACATCACATCTCAACGTTTCTCCAAAGAAATCGACAGAAGAGCTCCGTCGGATGTCAGTGCGTGATCTCAAACGATTTTGTGCTGAGGAGTTGCAGATCCGTGAAATGCCAACGACGTTCACAGAAAAGCAAGAGTTGGTGGCATATGTTGAGGAGAAGCAGAGAGAACAACAACAGCAAGCTGGTGGTACTGGAAGGTCGTCGCCAAGTGGCAGGCAATCGACTACGTACGGCACGAGTCCCTCTACAACTAAGCAGGGAATAAACGCCTATCCACAGCCATCCACAGCCAGGAGTACTGCCACAGCCAGGATCTCGCCATTTCAAGCATTAGGCTATCGACCAGTATCGAATGACTGCACCAATGAAGCTTTTCTCCGCGATTTGTCCGCAGGCGAAGTCAAAAAGTGGCTGCGATACTTCAACCTACAGTTACAGCCCTATATGCTGGAGAAATCGCATTTGGTGGACCATCTGTTCGAGGAAGTGCCTGTAGCCAAGTTGGAGGACGTCTTCTTTCAATTACCAATGGTTAAGGGTTTCCGAATTGCATTCCTCACTACCATCCCTGACTCTTTTCGTAGTAGCAAAGAGGCCAGGGCTGTGCTGCAGAATGTAACTCCGTAACCTCCAAAATGGTGGGCGGAAGTTCGTCAGGTTCGACGACAGCTAGGAGAGACTCAACTACATCTTCTACAACGTCAGCGTATGAGGGGGAGCCGGATTATGGTGTGTCGATTAAGCCATTGCGATCTGCGGTGGGCGCTAGTAAAGCGGGAATTAGAGGTCAAGGTGGTGATCAAAGAAGGAGTCCTAGAAGTGCTGGGACAGGAATTAAGGCTACCGCTGGACCATCCTCAACGTCATCCTTGGCCCTTTTTTCAAGGAGAAAAAGGGACCAGGGAGGTTCTCGGGGATGCGAGCGCGGTAGCTCTAAAGGAAGCAAGAAGCACAAGGACCAACAATCTAGTATTGGAGGAGTATCGAAGTTTACCCAAGAAGAGCAAACCTTAATCGCTGCAATCTTGGTCACAATCCGCAATCTAAAAGCACAAGCCCTGAGTTGGAAAGCCATTTTGACGACTGAGCTAGAGGACAAAGTCCCTAGATACGGCAAGTGGCAGAGGAAAGACAAACTATTCTACAAAGGCAGACCGGTTTACGTGCACGATGTGTCTGAGTATATGGCTGACGAAGGCAGTGGACTGATCGTGGTTATAGACATGCAAACTGAGCAAGAACTCGAAGTTGGAGGCGACAAATTGAGGCGATTTGACGGGGTGTACTTTCCTGAGCATAGGAAATTCTGCGAAATTGAAGACTTACGAGCGAATCTGAACAGCATCACGCAGGCCTGTGCTTAAGGCTCGCTACTTGTTCAGGAAATTATGATTATCCGTCGGTCTTAGCCAGCATGATGATCTTACTTAGACGTAGGTCCGTTTCTGAAAGGAAAAGCGGGTCCCTTGGGTCTGTTTCCGAAAGGAAAACGGATCCAGGGATGTTCTACTTACATACAAGGTGGAGCTCGAGTGTTCCCGGAATTTGCTCTAACGTGAAGCAGAGGAAGATGCTTTGGAGAGGGAGCTGTTTGACATGAGTGGCGTTGAGGCTATGGACATGGAAGACATAGCGGATCAGCTGGAGCGGATATCAGCCATTTTGGTCGGAACTAACTGGCGACCCAAGGCAAGAACGAAACTGCCAAAGCACTGGGTGGAGAAGATTTCGACGCAGTACGGCATCAGCTATTACTACAACACGCAGACAGGAGAAACGACCTGGGAGAAACCTCCACCAAAGTCAGGGATGAAGTTACGGTGAAGATGATCATCATGGTAGTTGTGAAAGATCGATTTTTTTTACTAGTCGGTCCTACCTACGCAGCAGGAGATGATATAAGTAATCATAATGATTGGCTTGTGGTTCTAGTTTCAGCTCTTGTACAACCTACTCCTCTAATCATTCGCGACGACGGCACATCATCGATGGGTTCGCCTTCTCCAGACGTGAGTCCGAGCCCATCATCCTCAGACGAGGAGAAACGAAAAGCCAATGTTAATAACATGCAAGATAGATCTGCAGCAGCGGGATCTTCTATGATCGAAGAAAATGGCGGTGCTTTGAAAGCTCACTTGCTCGAAGTAACCGGTCGATCAGGAATTATAACGCTACCTTCCGGAGGTCAACTAGAGGAAGAACGAGTGAAGAGACAGCAAGCAAATGCAGCAAATAAGCGTGCTGGACGAGACAACAATAGTAAAACGCCACTAGAAGCATTCGCCGAGGAAGAATTCAGCAAGAAAAGAGGTGGTCGCAATAACAGACGAACTAGTACTAGTGGTTCGTCACCAACGTCTGGTAGTCGTGGAGGTGGTGGAGGAGGTGGAGGCTCATCTGATGATCCTGAGGACTACGAGGACGGCTTCGATGTTTTGTCTGAAGACGCAGACGCATCCGATATCGCCAGTTACGCCAGTGATTACAACTCTGGGGATGACCATGACCAGGATGGCTCGTTGGACGAGGTGGAAGACTTGCAGAAGAGTAAATCAACGACGGCGCCAAAGAACCAACTATTTTCTACGTTACTGTTCGGCTCAAGCCAGATTTTGCCAGCAGGTGCGAGCTTAGCGACTATGGCTGAGATGCAGCAAAAGGAATTTCAAAACTACAGGGAAGGAGCTGGCGGACAATCTTCGTTATCTGGAACAACTAAACAAGATACATCGACGATGACTACGAACGTCCCCTTCGACACAACAACAACAGCGAAAAGTGCTTATAATCAGAATATGCGGAGTCGACCTGTGTCCGCAGCCACAAACCGGAGTGCGAATCACTGGGCTGAAAAGTCTGTCCTACACTTTGGCCTCGAAAAATCTGAAAAATCTGACGGCGGGGGAGCTTTGAACAAATGGGCTGATCTGTTCTTGCCGGATCAAGCAGATGGTGGGGAGACGATAGACTCAGAGACCATTTTTGCTCAACCAGGGTCTTGTTCACCCGACGCCTCACCTGGAGACGACACTGGTGGTGACAACAAAACACGACCTACAGGCATAGCTCGCGTGAAGAAAATCGAACTTTCTGGAGAGCGCGCCACAGTAGCCAGTTCCATGGAAGAGTTTTTAGGATTGTTGAGGGCTGACGAAGCTGCAGGAGGAGGTGGAGATGGTAACCGACAAGGAAGTGCAGCACTAACCACCGTTTTCCCCATCTTTGACTTCAGAGCAAACGGGTTCGCACCTACAAAGGACGCGCTTCGGAATATCACTAGGGGCTTAGGGAGTCGGAAAAAACTAGCAGGGCCAGCAGCTGGAATGCAGGTTATTGCCGAAGACGAAGATGAGGAGAAAGCACAACAAAAACAGCAAGTTTTACTGAATGAAGCTGCGGCAGAGACGGTGGAACAGCTGTTCGTTGATGAAGAAAATCAAGAGGGTGAAGGAGCTTCGTCGAACTACGTCTCCACATCTCCGGCAGATAGTCGAAATGTGAAAGACGTAGTTCAGACTCATGTTACTCAGTGGCTCGCACTGGTGAAAACGACAGCGAAACAGGTGTTGCCATTTCCTGGCTCAGCAGTAGGATCGCCAGCGTCTGATGCTGGAGGAGGCGAGCAGCAACAGGCTGTTGCTAATCAAGATCAACAACAAATCATGTCTCCACCACCACTGCTGCTCACTCACTTCTTCGTCACTTTGCAGCAAAGTCTACAAGGCCAATTTTTAGCTGGTAACTCTACTACAACTTCCTCTGCCGCAACATCCTGTGCTCCACCATTCAGTGCTCTCACGGAGCTGATCCAGTCACAACTTTCGCCTTTAGTACAGATCGCTGTACGAAGATCACCCTCGTCGACTACAGCAACCTCTTCGAGCAGGAGCAGAGGACCACAGGCCGCTTTGATGTCATACGTCGATGAACTGGCTCTTCCACAACTCGTTCTCAAAACTATCGAAAGCTTGAGCCTAACCTTGCAGAAAAACAGCTTACTCCTGAACATGCTAGGAGGTGAAGGAGCTGCAAACGGGTCACCAACCACAGGAGTAAAGACTCTCCTACCGCGTCAATTGCTCAGATTAGTGGCCCAAACCGTGAGCAAAGTTCTGGTTACTCAAGAGCGCAATGCTGTGGTGAGGCAGAAACTCCGTGCCTTCCATAAGACGCATTCTGTGATTATGGCTTTTTCTAGCTGGAGTAGTTTCATAGAGGCCTATTGTCGGTCCGCCTCTTGCTCTTCTGCTCCACCTCTTTCTTTTTCAGTACCCTTGTTCTTGTTGACATTCACTATCGCCAATTAGGACCTCGCATGTTTTTCGCCGGTAGTTACCACCTAAACCTATCACTTACTCGATTGCCCGGCTCTGGCTCAGCCAAGACTCACTTGTTCTAACCTTTATAACACCAATCATCTCTTCGTCTTCCACGTGGTCCTGTTCTAATTCCCAAGCCCTCCGCCACGCTTACGGTGTCCTCGCAAGTTGCGACAAACTCCTTGTAGAGATTAGTAAGCATCTCGACGACGAAGAGCGCGAGTTCATGAGCAACTATGAACGTCGACGCGAGATATTGCTGGCGAGATTCGAGTTTTTAGCCAAGGAGTACTTGCCTGACGAAGAAGATGAGGGCGATCGGGATAGAACCACAACCAGCAAGGAGGAGCACCAGAAGAAACTAAACATCACTTCTTCGGTGCTGAATGAGAAGTCTATTCTCTTCTACATCATCCAGGATGCAGAGGAGTGGCTGGAGGCGTTCTTGCAGAGTAGTGCAGTGATGCAATATGCCATATATTAGGGGTAGGCGTGAACGGTGCTTCTGTTATACCGTTTGTCATGGCTGCTCTCCTAAGGGTGACAGCCATAACAAACGGGAGAAACGAACACCAAAAGCCTACCGCTAAATATACTTTGATCACGCAAAAACCCGTAGTTTTGATCCACGTGAGAAAGCCGCAGCTGAGCAAGCAGTTCAAGAAGCTGTAGACACGAAGAGACGTGAAATAGCGAAGAAACGCGATGCAGATTTGCTGCAGATAGCAAGGTCGTTTGGAGATACAGGAGAAGTGGATGCCGCGACGGGTTTATGATTTAGATTTTTTTTATTGATAGTGAGACTTGTTCACTTCTCATAAGTATATATTACTCGACCGTCAGTTATAAGTTAGGAAACTAATAAAGCTTGATAATTTCACTAACGTCTTCTAGAACAACTGCATATAATTTACTCGACCGTCACTGGATAAGAATATCTTTGCCCTTACTGTTGCTCGCCGCTAGGTACTCAGCTGCTAGAGCGAGAACGTCCAGAAAACTCCGCTTTTACTTCCTCTAATTCCCCAATCCGACCAAGCCTCTCCTAGTGACTCGACAACACAACTCAGGAACAACACTACAGCTTCCTTTGACGCCAAACGTATCCTAGCTGAAGAGGAAGTCAAACAAAAAGCAGAGAAGCAAACCACTACGTTGCAGAATGCTGGCGCTTTTTTTTAAGGCGGGTCGAAGAATTTTTTCAATTTCATTTCTACAAGTACGTAGCTTATTGTTCTCCTGATAATTTGCTGTTGGGTATCTGTAACTGTATGATGTATCAAACTACAACTGAGAATGAAATGCTTCACCAGCCTTTAATTTTTGATTCGACTTTGTAAAGGTGATTTTGCGAACGTGAATCTTAACTGGGAGACTAGCGTGTCACGGAACGTCTTGGCAAAGTTGGGAATGGATAGCTACAAAGTGTGGATGTCGCAAAACCACATCTGGCATTTTGTTTGGCAGGTATGGGAGGATGAATTTTTCGTTTGAAGTCTACAATAGACTGTAGTGAAGTACAATAGACAAGAGGATGAATTTTTCGTTTGAAGTCTACAATAGACTGTAGTCTCGGAGAACACCAGAGACGTGATCTTCACGACAATTAATATGTCGTTTTGAAGTACAACATGGGAATCTTTCTAAGCTCAATCTTCGATTCCGCTTACGACCTTGTCCGCAACCAACGCGGTACAACCGCGAATTCCAGCAGCACAACTTACAGAGCAGGCAACCCGCAGATTCTTTCTATGAAGCGTACTCAAGTATCCGAGGAAATCCGAGTGCAGATGGCAGCGTTTCCTAGACAAAAGCGGTCAGATGAGCTGTTGACATTAATTCTTGGGGAGGAAGCAATGTCACGCGTCAGGCGTGCCAGGAAAGTCACAGAAGCGTACCAAGACTGCGAAAAAGCTGGGGAACGGTTTGCAGAGGCGGCAACTAGTTTGAATACTAGCAAAGTCGATGACCTCGTATTCGCGGTTGAGGCTTGGCAAAGACTGGTGATGGATAAGTTAAGGGTAGAAGAGTTCTAAAGGTGACACCTGTAGTTCTTGCCGTTTGTTAATATGGGTCTCCTAAGGGAGACAGGCAGCATAACAAATGGGATAAACTACGAACACCAAAAGGAAGCTTACCTCTTCTAAGTAAGGTGCTAGTTTTGCGGGAGTTTCATAAGGAATTGGGCCAAAGTTTGGAGATATTCGGGAAAGCAAGAGCTGCGGTGTTAGCGGATCGGGAGAAAAAACAAAGGATATTAGACGTATTGGATGGCAATTTCGACGAGGAAGATGATGAAGTTGATCAACAGAGAGACAGGTTAGATCTAGAGGCAACATTGATTCAACGAGTCAAAGATCCGACTACTTCTAAGACAGGTATTAATGCCAAGAAAAATGGAGGAGGAGGAGGAAATTTCGAGATTGATTTCGTAGATAATTTTGGTGGAGCCTTTGATTTTAGCCTTGACAAAAGCGCCATAGGGAAAATCGCAAGGGGTGAAGCCGCGTCTCCGGACAAAGACAGACCTGATCTCAAAAACGATGCCAACATCAATCGGATTCCACCCGGTATTAGGAATCTCTTGATGAAAACAGTCAGGGTGCTGGAACAGCAGGAACAACAAAGTGGTGAGAACACGACAGGAGAGCACCAGGCACAACAGGACAAGCAGCGGGAGGACTCTGAGCAGTCTACTCCAGAGGACGTGGAGAGAGATCTCGCCATCGACTGGCTCAAAATCTCTCAACTCGACAGTACAGGAGACATCTGGACTGACGCAGAGATGCTCCAGACTCTGCCTTGGGCTTACTGTTTTGACGTGATTTTAGCCGCAAGTAGAAGCTTACAGACCCTAGGCTCCTGGCAACAAACAAGCGGTCGCTTTCTCAGTGCCTGTCGTGTACTGTCTTCGCGGTTGCAGAAAGAGCAAGAGCGATCGGCTGGACTTCACAGTGGTGGACTGGGAGAAGAAGCGCCAGAAGCGTATAGGCTGTTGTTGGCGAGTAGAGGGTTACTGAATCATGTGGCTGGAGGTTCTTCGACGATGTGGACGACTACGAGGACTGGGGGAGGTGGCTCAGCACATCTTCATCAGGGCAGCAACCGTGGTCTCCCGGAAATAGTTCGTACGTGGCAAACGACCGAAGAAACAGCGTCAGGCCTCAGTTTTGAGGAGGATATGTACGCGGAATCATGTAGCGCGATGCAGAAGGCCCTCGCAGTCTATGATGGAGGGCCAGAGACACCTTCTGCTCTGAAGGGTCATGGAAATCAAAATCTATTGCCACCAGCACTTTTGACGCCGGACTCTGCTTCTGCCTCCACAACAATAGTAGAAGACAACGGGGGAGGTGTCGGGACAGCACAAAACGCTTCGTCCGACATGATCAACCAGCATTCCGCTGCTCTACTCGCCGCAGAGCAAAAGGTCCAGGCTTACTGGGAATCGCACCAGAATGTCAGAACGGAAATGGAAAAATTGAAAGGAAAGCGGATTGCGGAAATCACAGCACAACTAGAGAAGTTTAGAACAGACAAAGCTGTCGCTATAGTAGAAGAGAAAAACTTCGGGAAAATGCAAGCTGTGCTATCGTTTGAGAAGAAGAGGACAGCGGCTGCCAGTGGAAACAAGAATTTCTTTGAGATAGTGAAGAAGGAAATATTAGGGGATAGGCCAAAGGTGTTCCCGCTGCCGTTTGTTTTGCCTCTCCTGGGGGAGTAAGGCAGAACAAACGGGAAAAATGAACGCCAAGACCCTACCTCTAAAAATAGCTGCAGCTGGGAAAGGAGGTTCTGCTAAGGCAAGTACAGTTAAGGCCGCTACCGCTGAAGCATCCCCAACAGCATCCTGGGCCCTTTAGCTACTTGAAAAATGGGACCAGCACCAAGGATGCACTCAGGGGTGCCCACGCGGTAGGTCTAATACAGCGAATAGTAAAAATGCCAAAACTTCTGCTGCTGCAACCGGTAGTAATGCTGCCGCTCAATTTTCTGGCTCTCAAAGCAATGCAGCAAAGGACGCAGCAAAACAAGGGACACATCAGAAAACCACAACCAACGATACAGCAACATCAACTTCAACATCTTCATCTAGTGTTGAAGCAGCAGAAAAGATGAAGCAGTTGAAAAAGCTTCCTTTCCTGAACGAAACAGTAGCAGATCAAGAGACAGCTTTAGCTTTGATTGCTCACCAAAACCTCTCAAATTTGCTCGCAGTCCTTCACGATATGCACGTGGAGGGCGTCGAAAGCAACAGGAAAAAAGCGTTGTTGGAGCATGGTATGGATGATGTTTACTCCATCTTCCTTACGGTTACGAGTTGGACCTTCCTGGTACTTCTCATTTGTTCAAGAGGAAAAGCCGCCAGGATGGTCTGCCTATGTATTGTAAAACTCAAAATAAGCGAGACAGCTTTGACAGGGCTACTCTTTTTTGTTCAGTATCTCGCTTATTTTAGGTTGTTACTTGCTTATTTCAGTTTATCGAATAGATGGAAGAAATATCATTCATACATGGAGTGCGGATGTTTCTATCGCAGTTGGATAAAGATAAGTTGACGGGTGCTCGTGCAAGTCTGAAAGCCAAAATCGCGAAGAGGGAAGTGGATTTGGCCGAACTCGAGAGGGTCTACGATATGCGGATGGACCATGAGAAAAGCAAGAGTGGTGCTCGAGGAGGTGGGAAAAGGGATGGAGGAGGAGGAGGAGGTGAAAATTATGGACTACTTGGACTACCACTACGACTACTTATCTAAAAATAGGAAGGTGATAATTGCTGGCTCTACTTTGAACAAGGTGATAATTGCTGGTTCTACTTTGTAAGTAGTTTTTGCACAATTTTTTTTTTTCGTAGACGTAGTTGTAGTCAGTAAACAGAAGTTGACCATAAGTAGATCCTTCCTGTTACATTCTTCATATTCCCTTCGAGGGGCACACGTAGCATGATCGCTAGTAAGGTTACATCGTGTGTGCCATCTATGACGCCCTTAAGGCACTCTGGACTGAACTTTGTGCGAGATATATTGCATTGTATTGTATGGTCCTTCATCTCCCCTTGGAGGCAGAAGTAGCCGCTGAAGTGCAGGCCATGGTCGAGAAGAAATGTGCTGAGCTGCTCTCCGGTGTCCAACGTGAGCTGCGCGAGATGGAACAGAGCGCTTTGAAGTTATGAGAATGTTGATAATGCTAATGCATTATGCATATACTCTTAGGTGGTTTCATCTTTAATCAATAAATAGATGAAATTCAAGAAATTTGTGGCCGATTGTACGGTCTTATGCGCCGCCAGTATGTAATTTGGATGTTTTATATAGGTTAACTAACTCCCCGGGCCCGGGTGCCCCGGGAGACGTTAAGGAAGGGAAAAGGATACTTTAGGGACGTGGGCGGGGGTGAATGGTTTCACAAGGTGAAACGGGCGCCCGAAGTGCGCGCACTCCCCTCCGCGTTGCGGCAAAGGGGAGCGGGAGCGCGCTGACTTTAAATACAAGAGGGAGGTGGCAGCACTGCCACCGATTCCCTTTGAAAATGTGGCAGCGCTGCCAATCTTTTTAGTAAAAAGCTTATGACGTGCCTGCGATGATGAGACAGGAAGATCAGCGACAAGAAGTAGGAGAGCGAGGAGAAGAAAAAGCAGCGAGGAACAAGAGAGCGCGACACAGGAAAAGGGGCCAGAAAGGGAAAGAGGGAAACAACAAGCAAGCAAAGGAAGAAGAGCAAAAGCAAATGAGGACCAAAAAGGTGAAGGGAAACGGACCCCCCGCGGACACTCTCGAAGGGAATCAGGGGGGCCAGGATGGAGGCAGGCGCCGGCGGGCAGTGAAACGTGCACCACCACGGGCACCATTTTCAACGCGTCGGCCATAGCTGGCGCGGGTGTTCGCGGTTTGTTTCTTCTTTTCTGTCTCTTTGTCCCGTTCGTGGCCTTGGGTCTGAACTATAGCGAACAACAAGGACAAAGGAAAACGGAGGCCCGCGAGGGTCGTCCGCAAATTATAGCGAGAAGAGGGGGGCTGTGTTCCCAAGATGGTGACAAGAGTGAGCAACCAGGAGGCGCCGGCGGGCAGTTAAACACGCACCACCACGGGCACCATTTTCAACGCGTTGGCCAAAGCTGGCGCGGGTGTTCGCGGTTTTTTTCTTCTCTTCTGTCTCTTTGTCCCGTTCGTGGCCTTGTGTCTGAACTGTAGCGAACAACAGAAACAAAGGGACGCGGAGGCCCGCGAGGGTCGTCCGCAAATTATTTTATATAGCGAAAAACAGGGGGCCTTGCTCCCATAGTAAGAACAAGGAAGCAACGAGGAGGCGCCGGCGGGCAGTGAAACACGCACCACCAGCACGGGCACCACCTTCAACGCGTTGGCCATAGCTGGCGCGGGTGTTCGTGGCCTTTTTCTTGTTTTCTCCCTCTTTGTCCCGTTCGTGGCCTTGGGTCCGAACAATAGCGAACAACAAGAACAAAGGAAACAAAGCGGAGGCCCGCGAGGGTCGTCCGCAAATTATAGCGAAAAAAGGGGGGCCGTGTTCCCAAGATGGTGACAACAGTAAGCAACCAGGAGGCGCCGCCGGGCAGCTAAACACGCACCACCACGGGCACC